TGGTGGTGGTGGTGGTGGTGGTGGTGGTGGTGGTGGTGGTGGTGGTGGTGGTGGTGGTGGTGGTGGTGGTGGTGGTGGTGGTGGTGGTGGTGGTGGTGGTGGTGGTGGTGGTGGTGGTGGTGGTGGTGGTGGTGGTGGTGGTGGTGGTGGTGGTGGTGGTGGTGGTGGTGGTGGTGGTGGTGGTGGTGGTGGTGGTGGTGGTGGTGGTGGTGGTGGTGGTGGTGGTGGTGGTGGTGGTGGTGGTGGTGGTGGTGGTGGTGGTGGTGGTGGTGGTGGTGGTGGTGGTGGTGGTGGTGGTGGTCGTGGTGGTGGGACTCGGGTTCACCGGGCTAGGCGTGGTGGCGATGGTAGGACTCGGGGTGGCCGCCGGGGTGGGACTCGGATAGGCTGCCGGGGTGGGACTCGGGTGGACCCAGCAATCCTGTTCGGAACAGTGGCTGTCCTCGATGTCTGGCTCTTCATTGCCATCGCATGCAATTCCATCGTGGGGGGGCTGCCAGTACCGTGTCCGCATCTTGTAGCCGCCGCCGCAAGTCTTGCTACAGGGGCTCCAGTCCCCCCAGTCTCCCAGCTCGCACTTGCATCTTGGACGCGTGCACGCCAAGACGCCAAGTGCACTTTTTCCTCCATGGCCACATTGCCGCACGTGTTCTCCTTGAGGAAGTGCGACGTCTTTTCGTCGCTGTCGAAGCCGTAGCTGTTACTCGGGTCGGAATAACAATAGTCCGTATGCCATGAGCCCTTCCAATCGCACCCCCTACGCCAACCGGTCCTGTCTCGCGCAATGTACAGTTTTTCGATCACTGTGAGCGAAGAGGTGTGGCATAATTCGTTGTCGACGGCCGTCATCGGAATACTTATCTCCGTAGTGGACTGCTTGAAACCTGCCAGGACGTCATCTACCGCGTCACGGTCGAATCCCGAACCGCTGCCGTGCCACTCATCCGTCCTCCACTGCTTCCAGCCGTCCTTGTTGTCCGTAGCAGGAACACTAGCGGAGTACTCACCATTAGGCTTTATTGTGTAGCAGCAGTGGTCATACCCCCAGTAGTCCCATCCGCAGTGGTCATCCGGGTCCCAGCCATACATCGACCATTGCATGTGGTTAACGCCTCTTTTGGTGGTGAACCGGCTCTTCTCAATGCAGTGAAGTTGATAGTGAGCATCCTCTTCTGGGGTTCTAGTTCTACTGGAGGAGGACAGCACAGCCTGGACGTAATTAGTTCCCGAGAAGGTTTCTGCTTCATCTGGGTGATCTGCTTCACGGACACCAGGTTTATTGTCAATTATGGTGTCGTGCTCGTGTTCGTGACGGCGCTGCATACTACGCTGGTGGGAATCCCGCTGCCTCGTGGAGGTGGTATAATTCGTAGAAGCGGAGGGAGCAGCGGCCACCAAATCATGATGATGAACAACGGAATTGGTGTTTTTGGACCACAGATCGACATCATCTCTATCTTGACCGTAGTTGTACTGTTGTTCATCTGCTGAAAGGTCTGCATCTTGATCCACTTGACCCTCGACGCCCTCGTCGCTCCGGACTACCGCATCCGCATCCATCTTCATCTGCCCGCGCCCCGAGAATACAGCAGGAGTGGTCCGTCCTGGTGGTCCAGCACGACCTGCTTCATTTTCATGATGTCCAGCTTGATCGTTTCCCTTCTCCACCGCGGCACGGCTCTCGACGTCTGTCCGTCGGACCAGGGTCGCGGAGGCTCTTGAAGATGTGGCACTTCCTCTAGTTAGGGTTCTTGGGGTGCTCGTCCTAGTACTCGTAGTACCAGCGGGACCACGCAGTGAGCCCGGGGCAGCCGCGTCATCTATCACTGCGTCGTCCTCGCCTGGTGCTTCATTCGGTCGTGGTCGTTCTTGTTCCACTGTCGCAAAGAAAAATCCCCCTCCCCGTATCGAAAGCGCATCCTTCTCAACATGCAGATTTGTGACCGCAAATCACGTCAGTCTGTCTTGCAGGAAGGCAAACCCGGACGAGACCCCGCCGCGTTATGCGGGCGGTCTGCAATGCTGTCAGGCGTGCAGGGTAGTAGACTTCTGCCATGCTAAGAAGTGCCTACTTACACCACAAAGCTCCTTCTACCTAGGCTTAAGATCTGCAGCCTGCAGTCCCCTACTGCAAGACAAATTCGATTTGTGTACTTGTACACAAATCCCGCATCACAGATTCCAATGGCGGGAAAGGGTGATTTTTCATTTTGATATCCGCATCTTCAGGTTCTTCTACTACGGGGAGAATCTCTACTTCCCGCCGAACGACGTTCGGGTGAGTGCGTGCGTAGGCAAGAAGGAGCGTAGGTCCTCGCATCAACCCCGTATGATGTTTCTCCAGGATTTGTTCCATGTAGGAAGTATAGTTCAAATTCTGGAGATCAAGCTGGAACCACGACCACCACCACCAGTACCAGCAGGGTGCGAGCATTTCACGATGTCGCGGTGGTGCACGGAAGCAGCACGAAGTCGCTCTCTTTCTGGTTGAGGACGAAGGGACGTCGGCCGCGAGGACGCAGCGATCGAGCCGGCGCAGCGGCTGCCGCGTTTGGCACAACAAGCCTTACGGGGTCGCACCACATGAAGACCCGTTATGATCTTCCTCGTTCCTTTCTATCTCGCGCCCACGCAGCTGCACTGATCAGGAACGAACGTATTTCCTGTGAGCAGAACAGGACTATCATCATGTTCGGCAAGACAAGCCCTGAAGATGTCGTGGGTTATGCAATTGCAACCATTCCCCGCACCCGTACAATATAACAAAATGTAGAACAAATTTCGCTCATTTAGAGTGTTCCACTTCTTGACATGCTCCTGACTAGGATTGACATTGAAGGCCAGTTTTTTGCATGCAGAATAAACAGCATCCATTTGTACGTGTACGGGGAATTTGATGTGGATAAAGGCTACGGGCCTATACGTATACGGACTCGGACCGTCGTGTGTTTATTAACAACGGCTACTGAAAGAAGACATATGAAGAGTGCTTTTGTTTGGATCGTTTCTTTGCTGGCTATGGCCAGGATATAGATTCGCATGAACTAGCCATGAGCTCCTCGCTTCCCTTCTCCCTCGTTAGTTACATCAGCGCGTTTTCTTTGGCATGCTATCTCACTGCATCTTCATCAGTGGTACTAACACTAACACCTTCTTACGCAGTGGGATAAGATAAGAGTCGGTACACAAGAAAGCGGCTGGGCTTTATTTCCTGTGTGGTGCAATGAAATCCAGCAACATGGTCATCTGCTCTGAAACTGAGTTAGGCCTCATTCGTCTTTATTTCCCGCATGGTCTTTGCGACCACAACCACGAGTAAGATACCAACTTGAATTCTCCCGCACTCTCCTTCATTTTTTTTCTTTTTATTTGATCGAGCATTTTCTGCCTCTATTTTGCGCTACAGCTACACTTTTATGTTGTTTTAACCACACTGCTTGAGGGTATCTTCATGTAAAAAACTCAGAGTCAAAACCTGTTTATTCGGTTTCCTGTTCTATGTAGAAAGTTCACTAAAACACTACATGTCACCTTGAACTTGAAAGGTGTTGAAAAAAACCGTAGTACGAGCCAGCATTTGTGCCCACTAGCCTGATTCTTTATGTTTTCCATCAATACGTCCTCACCTATCCCATCCAACCGACCTCACCCCCGCTTTTCGCTCGCTTGGACATCTTGATCACCATTTTCTCCATCACGCTTATCAAGTGCAAGTATGTCTGGGTCTGGAAGGATACGAAATTGTCATGCAGAATTTCCATGCCCCATGAGGTCGGGAATGCAGTACATAGCATGAAAGATTCTGCGAGGTCTCTATCATGCCTGTCCTGCATGAGAAACTCCCTCTAATGGTGGTCAGAAAACGGCGTCTTTTGTTAATCACGTAAGACAGATATTTGTGTGATCCACAGGACGCATCACAAGTTCCTATCCTTCCTTACCCAGACATATTATTTGCAGTGCATAACGCTGCCGCCTCGATCATTTTCGCATCGTCGACCTCCGTCTGGTTCAAGTTCCGTCCCGCCGTTCCCCCACCGCCGGTCGCCGCGGCCACCGCTTCCAACGTTGCTTTCGCTTCCAACAACGCGCGCTGCCTCTGCGTTTCCTTTTTGTAGATAGCGACATCCCGGATCGCGAATAACCCGACGATGGAACAGCAGAGCACAAACGGGGAACCCCCCAGAATGACCAGCGTCATGAACACCGCGGCGATCCCGCTTGCAGTGGAGGAAAAGGGTGCGGTCGTCATCCGGGTCACGACGTAGAAGCCTGCCATGCGACTGTGTCTGATCCGCCGGATCACGAAGGGGGAGCCCCAGCCGAGCGGCCCTAAATTCGCGTCCTCGTGGTCCAGCTCCGCGGAGCTGGAGGCGGAAGTGGTTGTTTCATATTCGTTCGCGTAGTTCGGCAGTTCAAACTGGTCGACTTTGCTCCGCACTCCCACCATCCCGCCGGAGAGCGGCGGTAAGGTTGGAATGGTGTCCAATTTCGCAACGGTCAGCGCCCAGCTGGTTGGAGACAATCCCAAATCGTCTTTGAAGTGAGCTAATTCCCAGATCTTCTTGAACTGCAACTGAGTATTTTTCCCGCTGTTGTCCACTTTCCGCACCTGGTCGTCTAGCGACCGCGCGCAGACGATTCTTCCGCCTTTATCCACAATGAACGCTTCGAAGTCCTCCCGCACCTGGGCGGCACTGGATTCTGCCCCCAAATACTCATCTACAAACGGGTCCCGCATGAAGGAACTGCAACCGGTCAAATCGACGGAAATCCGACCAATTATGTGGGTGACCTGCATCTCCGCGAGGTTCAGATTTTGCAAATTTGGGTCCAACGGAGCGTCCGGAAACTCCAGCTTGAACGTCAAACCCATAGCGGGCGAAAATTTGAACGCATCCCCGGAGAGATCTATTTGCGTGCCGGACGTGGACACGAAATCCGGGCCATCCTGGTTCCACTCGAAATAGATGCGACGCTGCCATTTTCGACCTGATAGGACTTAGGGATTGACTTAAGTACGCTTGTTACTCGTTAAACCAAATCCAACTTTGCGCGCATATCTATGTCTATCAGGATCAGCACATGACCACTTCCTTCAGCAATAAAGCCAAAAAATCTCAAGTGTGAAAGAAACTACCTTGCAGGTACGCCCTCTGCCTCGCGATAGTTTGCTCCTCCCAGTTGATGCCCCTGGACTGGTATTGAGAGGAAAAATCCCCCCTCCCCATATCGAAAACGAAATTTGTGATGCTGCATTTGAGTACACAAATCGATTTGTAATGCTAGAAGGCCAAGAGACGCAGCTGTGGCCTCTTTTGCAGGCAATTTGTCATGCTGTTTCCCACTTCCAGCTGCCCCCTGTCATGCTGAAGATGCAAGGCTTTCCCACACCAACAAGCACTACAGTCCGCATCTTTTCCCTTCTAGCATAACAAAGCTGATTTGTGGCCACAAATCTGCATCACAAATTTCTAGTTTGAGTATGGGGTGGGGGGATTTTTCCTTTTGATAACTGGCCGCTGTCGCTGCGGTAACAGGATTCCGGTGTATGGAAGCGCCAGGATTGAAATCGACAAAGTTGAAATAAGTAGTTACTCATGCAGAAATTGCAAGGCATGCAGCGCCTCTCTTGCAGGGATGACAAGTGAGGCCAACTGTCAGCCTGTTTGGGGTCTGCGATAGGCGGGCTGCCAAAGTAGCATGACAAAAGACGCCGTCTGTCCCTAAGCAGCATGATAAACTGGCTTCAGACGGTGCCAAAATTTGTCATGCGCCGAGAAGAATTGGGGTTCCAACTGGTATCGATTTTATGCATCACAAATTTTTCAACTTTGTCAATTTCAATCCTGACCGTTCCATATGGTGGGTCGATCACGTAGAGGTGCTCGCTCCGGTCGTGCTTGAAATGGAAATAGAGGTAGTTATTACAATGAAAAATGCCCCCCACCCAGAACTTGGGAGCATTTGTTAGTATTGCAAACCTTTCCAAACGAAACATTCGCCCTCTTGCATCTATCAGCATTGCAAATTTTCAATCGTGATTAGCAAAAATCTGTATTGCAAACGAGCCCAGCAAGAGCGGCGCTTGTCCTCATGCAAGCGATGCTACATACGCCTAGACTCTGCATCAGAAAGATTCATACTCCTTTCATGCATGGCAAAAGGTTTTCATTTGGAAACTTCGCATCACAAGTTATTGCAACTTTGGGAGTGGGGAGATTTTCACTGTAATAGTAGTTGTCGGTGATTTGGTAAGCAGTGAAGCACCCGTCGACGACGTTGGGGAAGGAGGGAATGGTTAAGGTTATCGTGGTAGTCGAGGTTGGTGTCGTGTTCAACACTTGCAGAGGTGCTGGAGCGGTCGTAGTAAGAGTGGAGGTGCTGCTGGTGCTGGCAGATGAGATCATAATTGCAGTACTGTTTGAAGAAGCAGAAGCACTGACTGTCGCGGAGCTCACACCTGTCGCAGATGTTGACCCTCCACTACCACTTTGTCCCGAGGCCGAGGCTCGTGCACCTATTATCGCATTCAGCGGATTGTTGAAAACAGCCACCAAAGGGTTGCCCCCCGCGTCACAGAAGTCGCCGCTAGCCGCGGCAGCGTGGCACTCCTCGTAGGCGAGCTTCCACTCGTCAATTCTGATTTCGTTGTTACTCACCATACTCGTTTCGTTGATGTCCTGCTTCGCCAAAACGTACCGAAACCAGTCCCACTCGTTCATCTTGACAATCGACTGCTTGCTCATTTCGAAGTTTTCCGGGCTGACTTTCATCGTCAACAAATCCAAGGGGTAGATCAGGTACAGATTCTCGAAGGAGATTTTTGTCAACCGCTGGTACCAGCTCCGCTGCGGAATCTTCATGTCCGGAACGCAGCCGAAGGCGCCGATGGAAACGCAGCTCGGGTACATGTCAGATTGCAGAATGAAGTGCCCTAAGGGTCCGGTCTTCCGGAAAATGATTCCGTGTTCCGTGACCGGTTTCCGGGTACCCAGAAACCCGAGTTCCAACCGGTTCACCCCCGCTCGTCGCTGCTGCAGCAAGGGGGTCAGGAGCCAGTCGAGGTGTTGGAAATGCAGGGGCTCCTTGTACAGTCCCTGTTGCACCGCCTGGTTCAAGACTTCCACCACGTCAAACGACGACTGTTCTATGCATTGCAAAAGTATCGTACTAGTATAAATTGCATCACAAATTTTTTCAAGAAGAAAAATGGAATTTGTAATGCTGATTTGCCTAAAAAGGGATATTTGTCATGCATGATAGCAATTACTACGAGTACGGTACTTTTGCACAGTATATGTTCGAGAAAGTGGACAAACTGGGCCTCTATCCGCTCCGCGGTCCCGTACTCGTTGTAGATGAACCGCAACGACGGCAAAATCGTATCAAATGCAAAAATGTCTGGGTCTGGAAACTTGTGATGCAAATCTGTGAATGGCAGGCGCACTGCAATGCGCAGCCAAGCATGTTGACAAGTTTATAATGCGCCATGTGTTTCGTTTTCCGCATGGCAAACTGCGTTTTTGCCTGACAGGCAAGGGGCCCTTTTCCTGCTCACGCAACACAGATTTAAGGCTCATGCCAGACAAGCATGACAAACTTGCATTCTTCCAGACCCAGACATATTTGCAATGCATAAATCGACGTGAAGTACAAAATGCCCCCGAAAATCAGGAAAAACGACGCAAACGCGGCCCACACCGTACAACTGTAACACGTGCACTTGTACACCTTGTAGTGCGGGTGGGTCTTCGCGTTGTCCTGCTGCTTAACGAGGACCTTGATATGGCTTGCTCAGACGTTACAATGAATCTCAAACGTTACAATAGAATCAGAAATCCAAATCAAACTTGTCTTGCCTGACGAGCATGACAGACTCGGACAGCATTCCACTTTCTGCAATACAAATTTCGCCCGATTGTAGTGCGGTTTGGCACTCCGGAACTTGTTATGGGCAATCCTATGAGAGTTTGGTAGAAGATAATGCACCTCTTGCATAACAGCCTTCCAGATTCTATTGTAACGTTTGAGATTGTAGCAACTGACCGGGTCATACTTGATCATCTTCTTTTTCAGCTTCACCGACTGGGCGGAGGAATTGTCGGAGTCCTCCTCGTCTTCGCTGGATTCCGACCAGTTATCGTTCTCCTTGTGGTTGTTCAAATTGCTGTAAATGTCTGTATCCGACAAAGTTTTCCGCATCATTTGCTTCTGCTTGTTCGACCCTGCGATCGCGTTTAATCTCGGCATCAGCAACTTCGCGCGTCGTCGTTTCTTTTTCTTCTTTTTCTTTCCGAACAGCTCTTCGGCGTGTTTTTTGAACGACCACGAACCGGTAACCGGGTTTTGCTGCACTTGCGTCTCTCCCGCCTGCAACGCCCCGTTCTGCCCGAAAACCACCGGGTTACCGTCTTCGTCGTACTGGAGTTGGTGCTTTGAGCTGCTCGAGGAGAAAACCCCACCCACCCAGGAAACGAAATCCGACAAGGGATTTGTGTTCTTCTCGTGCATGTGCAAGTCTCTTACATCCACTGCGGGTTTACTCTTGTGGTCCTTTTTCGACGTATTCAACTCCCGCCAGTCCTGCACGACCCCAATATGGTCCTTTGTCTCCTCTTTCTGCATCCGGTTGCGTCGCATCTGGGCGACTTTGGCGAAAACGGGTAGATTCACGACAGAATCCCGGACCCGCATCGCCGCTTTCCGAAACGACCCGACGCCAGCATGTTCCTCCTTCGCACCGGGCACAAACATGACTTTTTGCTTGGGTCCTCTGGTGGCCGCATTGGCATAATCGTGAGGACCACCAACCTCCGCATGGTCCTCCGACCCGAGCTCCTCTGTGTTTAAGTCCTCGGAGCCGCTCGGACTACTGTCGATCGTGCGCTGATGAATCACGACGCTGTCGCCAACTTTGATATTCCGGTCTAAAAACGGGTGATCGGCGTCGAGTTGCTCCAAATTTGTGTCGTCGCGGAACAGCAGGTTGTCCACACCGGCTGGCGCGAAATCTTCGTCCTCATCGTCACCACTCGCTCTGCTGTCCCGACTGCCTCTGCTCGTCCTGCTTTTTCTACTTTTTGTCTTGTTCTTTCCAGTCGCCGATCCAGTCGCGCTGTCCTTCGACGCGGTCGTTTTGCTCCTTCTTCTACTGTGGTCATCTTTAACCACATTTGACGACTGCGTCGTGCTGTTTTTCGAGGCTGTCCTGGACTCCTGCAACGGCGGGGTAGCGGAGGGCGTCACTTTGTTCGAAGAATGTCCCGTGGCAACTCGATCGTGGTCCTGCAGGAACTCCACACTGTCGATCACGTTCCCCACGTGGTCATTGATTTTCTTCCCCGCACCGGGCTGAGATGAACTACCGGTAGCTGTATTTACATTACTCACACTGGGTCCACCAGCTAAAAAGGGATCGTGTGATCGTGGTACTCCCGTGCTGGAAGTGTTGGATTGTAAAAACCCTGGCTTCACCATCTGTTGCGGTTGCCCGTGTCGTGAAGGCGAAGAAGCAGAAGTACTGCTATTGCCAATCCGCAATTTTTTCCCGATGATGGGGGACTTCTGCAGCGGGCCTAGCGTCTCGTCGGTCCACCTTTCCAAAGATTTTCTTCTCGCCTCCCTGGTTTCCTGCTTCTGAATCTTCTCCTCGCCCACCACCTGGATTTCCTGCAAAGTTTCGAGGATGTGCGCCGCCGCAAAATTGTCTCGCACGGGGTCAGGCGGCGGCGGGTTGCGGACCCGCTCCTGCCAGGCGTCGACTTCGGGGACATTCCGACGGACTGCGTCGTCTTTCTTTGTAATCGGGGAGGCCATATCCATAATGCAAATGGTTACTATGTATTCCGTGTTTGCTTTGTTCGTGTTTTACAAAAGTGTCAATACACGCCAAAATGGACCTCGCAGCTGCACCGCACAAAAGCAGAACAACAGGACGCCAAAAGTACGGTGAGCATCATCTGCCCTTACATACCCTCTCACTCGCGCTCCGGAACGCACCTGAGGAGCTCTCACGACGTGTGTTCTTTCCCGGAAAACCCGAACTGCAGATGCCCTCTATCTCTCGCACTTAGTACGCTCCGTGGGAGGGTAGGCTGAACAGGAGCGTGGTGGGAAACACATTTGACCCCCTGCTGATGTTCAAGCAACGCAAAAATATGAATATTGCAAGTCGATTCTCGTCAAATCAAATTTAATCATCGACGCAAAGAATTTACTTTTGTACACAATGAGCGAAGAAGTCCCATATTATGGGAAATCCTTATGATAAGGATTTCCATGAGCTCTCGCCTTCTTCAAAAACTATGGTTCATCTGCCCAGCCCAGAGCACGCGTGCCGGAAAGGTAGATGGGTTTTTCCCCTAACCACCACGACGTCAAATGAGCTGGCGTGTGTGGTCCGTCTGCGCAACTCTTACAAGGAATCTGTACAGCTGCAGAAAAAAAGTCTACTACTCTAGGTCTATGGTGTTACAGTATGATTGCTGCCAAACCAAGATCCCTTAGGCATTTCCCCAGTTTCCGCCCCAGGATCGCCGGGCTTGGGACCTGCATACGCGGGGGGGGTGCAGGACGACACAGCAGTGCCGTATCCTATCCTACCGTCGTGGGTTCCTGGGCGTGTATGCACAGGTGCTTCCCGAGGACACCCGCTCCTTGCGGGCGGCCCCCAACGCCCATGGTGAGGCGCATTTGTCGTGATCCATATTCCGTTGACGGCTGCTGCACGCGGTGCAGAAAAAAAGTCTGGCTCTGGACACAAAAAAACTTCATCTTTACACAAAAGAATTCGCTCGCAAATATCAATTTTTTTGCCTTATTTATCAAAAAAACCAGGTTAGATTTTCTTTGTCATTTCCGGAACCGCCTCGAACAAATCCGCTACCAGTCCGTAGTCCGCAATAGAAAAAATCGGCGCATCGGGGTCCTTATTGATCGCCACGATGGTCTTGCTGTCCTTCATTCCCGCGAGGTGTTGGATGGCGCCGGAAATTCCGACCGCCACGTAGCAGTCCGGGGCGACAACTTTCCCGGTTTGGCCCACCTGATAGATTTGATGTAAGTACCGCGCATATCATGTGGTTGATGAGACAACTCAGACCCGCCTCAGAAGATTGCTCCGTAAAATTAAATGCATTTTCATGTAGGGGATGAGGATGTTTGCGTCTGTCTCCTACACGTTTTGAGAATGTTGACAGCACGAGCCTATGTTCCTTACTTACGCTTACCTGCATGTCGTTGGGCACATACCCTGCGTCTACGGCCGCTCGACTGGCGCCCATCGCCGCCGTCATCTTGTCACAGAGCGGTTGCAAAACGTTGTCGAAATTTTCCGATGACTGCAAGGCTCGGCCACCAGCGACCACGACGTTCGCAGAGCCGAGTTGCGGCTTGTCGTCGGTTTTCGTGGACTCGGAGACAAATTCGGACTTGCAGGAAGGGACGGAGACGTCTTCGATAGCACCTGTAGTTGTAACAATATATATTATATGTACGTGTGAGGCTCAAGAATCGTCGAACTTGCCATGCTGGAAACTGCAAGAACACGAACAGCGCGCTCATCATCATTTATCATACCATCATGTGAGGAGCAGGTGCTTGGATGGAGCAAACAGGAAATTGATTCAACATAAGTAGATCACGAAAACCAAGAAACATCTACTATTCAGCACCTCCCCCTCCCTCTGCAGCCGCGGGCGGGAAAGCAGTTGGTCTTACGGTCGCCAAAACGACGTCGTCCGTGACTTCCACCGTGGCTATCGCATTCCCCGCGTACATGGGTCTTTTGAACTTTTTGTCGCCCAAAATTTCCAAAATGTCGCTCACGGGCTGCACGTCGAGCAGAGCGCCCACCCGGGGCAGGCAGTCCCTTCCAACATCTCCGGAGGCGGCGAGTATGTGCTTGAAGCCGTGTGCTTTTTGCAGGTCCGCTATCACAGGGGCGCTGTTGTATTTATTAGTAGTATTGGCAGGCTTCGTTGTACTTGTTACAAGCATGACAGTTCCGAGTGGAGAAGATTCCGTTTCGGACATCAAACCGAACATACTCTATTGCTAGTTTTAAAAACCACGAGAGGACCAAAACAAAGCACTGTAAAATTATACAGTGCGTCCGCCGTCCTTGCTCCCTCTGCCAAGTGAAAAGGACCCGGCCGAGAGCTTTGGCGCGTCTATCCGGCAGGCGCGTGAACTCTCCAGGCCTTTTCGGCAGAATGTAGAGGCGCTAAGGGCAACAGCGGGCGCCTGTCTTTTCCCCTCGGCCCCACTTCCCAGGGTCTACTTGTGCGTTTTTTTGAGCACTTTTCTGCGCTAAACTTTGCTTATCACGGTCGAAAAGTGGCGCTCGGTGAATTTTGGGGTGAATTTTGGAAAGGACGCCGGTGAATTTTGTCTTCCGGCTCCTGTTCAAAATGCGCTGGCGCATGAGAAACTCCGGGTTTTGGGGCTTCCAGAAAGTGTCGCAAAAACAAAAAGCCTGAAAATTCACCCAGGGAATTCTTGACCTGGGGGTCACGTCGAATAAGACTTGCTCCGGAGGCAAAAAACACCTGGGGAGTTGTAAGCCGAGCACAGCAGGCGAAGCAAACTAGTGCCCGCGGCCGAGTCGTGCCTTCCCTTCCACCCGAGGCTACTCCCAGATATCCAATTCCAAACCACAACTCGCGAGAGCGTACGCGTTGAACTCGTGCCCCTGTGTTCAGGCGTCGCCCTCCCTTTCGACCATTTCAGAGAGGAACTTCTGAGGTGAACGCGCAGATGAACAAGTGCCCCACGATCCACCTTCTTTGGTTATGCACTACACGGTCCGGCGGGCCCCGTAAGACCGCTTTTTTCGGTGCTGCAAGTGCCACCTGGCGCCGACCAGCCCTTCACGCTGCGTGAGCTGCTTGGGCTCGTGTCCAGCCCTTTACCACGCAGCGCACTTCTCTTTTGAAGTAAATGCAAGTCATGCAATACAAATTCACTGCAAATTCACCCTTCTGTACGCTAACGACCGTCCAAGGCATAATGTAAAAATATACAGTGCGTCCGCCGTCCTTGCTCCCTCTGCCAAGTTTGTGATCGTGGTTTTTAAAACTCTGCGCCGTGTGAGTGGCTCTTGCTCCCTTATCAGGGACAAGATGTGCCTGCAGGGGCGAGATGTTCTGCGAGGCAGGGGCAAGGGGTGCTAGTACTACAAAGGGCAAGAAGTCCTATCAGGGGCAAGGCGTATGCGCAGGGGCAAGACTTACTGCGAGGGGCAAGAGCTACTGCGAGGGACAAGAGTTACTGCGAGGGGCAGGACCCAACGCAAAGAGCGAGAAATGCTGCCAGGGCGACGTGGCAGGTGCCTGCACGCAGGGGCAAGGGCTGCCGCCACCAGCAGCAGGGCGCACCACACTGGGCGAGGGGCGCTTGCATATTGAAGGCGACAAGGGGCTCTCTTCTGAGCGCGGGGGTTGTCGCTGCGTGTAGGGCTCGGGCTATTTTTGCAGCGCCCAGGGGTTTCTTTGTCGCTCATCGCGCTGAACCCCTACAGCCCAAGTCGTAGAATTTATCGGAAATATTTCGCACAGCAGCACGCGCTTTCGAAAAATAAGAGCGCAAATATATGCAAAGCTCTAGAGCTCGAGCCCCAGAAAAGCTCCAGGCTTTGTCGTAATAGCATGCAGGTTCAGCGCTTCCAAAGTGTCGCGCTTTTCGTGATTTTTGCTTGTTCCCTACGGGTCGACCTCCATCTTTTGGGTCGAATAGCGTGCGCATTCGCGAGTAGAAAGCTGCGCCATTTCTAAAAGCCCTAGGGGTTTGCTCCAGGTTTGCTGCAGGTTGAGCCGCAACTTTAGAGCCTGTTTAAGGGTTTCGCAACTCTCCTCTACAGCTTTTGAGTCAAGTCCTTATCTGTCTATAGTCTATAAAAATATAGTCTATAAAAATATACAGTGCATCCGCCGTCCTTGCTCCCTCTGCCAAGTACGTCTTCCCCCCGTAGGCCGCGGCTTTCTCCGCTGCCTCCTTACTGGTCGCCAAGAAGCTGATGTCGTTCCCCAATACTTTGGCGGCGGAAATCACGTGCTGTGTGGCCGGGGCGAGTCCAGCCTGCGCGTCGCCTGCGGTCACGACCAACGTTGAGAACGAGCGACTGGACGAGGAGGACGAGGCTGCTTTTTGCAAACCAGACAAACGACGTCCGAGGTGTTGCATGATTTCTTAGTTTTTCGGGTTCTTTTTTAATGGTGTTGTACAACAGAGAGACGGTCTTCGTGCGGCTGTTGTAATTGTATCAGCTTCTATATTAACATTTTTATTTTTGACTCCATTAGGCGGTCGTGCCAATTTGCAGTAACAAGGTTGATTTGCTCGTATTTCCTCGTGCTGGGGGGCACCATTTCTCCTGCAAGAAAATTGAAAAGAATTTCGATACGAACATCGGATTTCAAAGTTCAATTTTTTACTGAGAATGGCAAAAAATGCTGGCACTAACGGCGGAAGACCATCGATTTAGCACAAGCCCTCGATCCCTCGACTCGCTCAGGTGTATCAAAAAGGTCGCGCATCAACCGGCTACAGAGTACGAAGAAATACGACTGGCCGAACAGACAAATGTGCTCTTTATCTTGCATGACGTTGACATGCACTGCGCAAAAATAGCAAAAGGCACAACCTTGTTGCTGTCTTCTTGCCAAAAATCTTATATTCGTCACTGCTTTGTAAAAAAACAGCGAGGTGGCTGCAAGGAGCATAATTCCGCTCCGTTTTTCATTGGTTACTGCTCTGACGTTGGGTTCATTTCTTTTCCGATTCGTGCTTTCACTTAAATGTTTTTTATACGCTCTTGTAGGGTGTTCTAATGTTCCTCCACGATGGTGGAGGTAGAAGGCTTCTTCTGTTTTCAGATAAAACGGTCATCCGGTCGGCAGATGGACGGAAACCATGAAAAAAGGAATATGCAATTATCGGTGCGGGAAAAATCATTTCTAGTTTACGCTAGACGACGAGGCCCTATCAGGCGCTTGTAACAAGTGTGAAATTTCTGAAACGATGGTCGTAACGATAGGCACAGAATGAATCTTCTGTTATCGTTTCATCATGGCAGCTATGGCATAAATCTCTAATTTTCATTCCTCTCGTTCATTTCTTATTGTTTCAGGTACAACTGCAAGGCACGCAGCGAAGAGTGCCGGCTGTTGGCTGAGTTTCTTGTCTGTGCTCAGGCTGTCAGTGAGCCTGATCCAGTAGCACAACTACTTCGTTCTATACTTCGCTTGGTCGTGACAATGAATATTTTTCGTATCTATTATACTGTACTGCTCGCTGCTGGACCACCTCCCGCAGCTTGGTGCATTTCAAGTAGACCGGTTTTCTAGTGAAACAAATCCTGCTGTCCCTTGCTCGCTGGGCTCTGCTCGTACCGCGTGATGACTTGTCGGGAGTAGTCGCCGCGCAAGGGGGCTTGGTGGACCATTAGATGGTAGTTTTTTCTCGGTACCGCCTCCGGCCCGCTGCCGAGGCCATCTGATGCGTTTTTTCTTCTTAAGTCTCTACTGTTCTTGCAGCCTGTCATGCTAGACTTTCATAAAGTAACCTAATGCGTCTGTCATGCGAAGTAGACCCAAAATTTGATTGCACCAACATTAGTAAGGCTAAGGCTAAGCGAATCGGATAAGTAATACGTCCGACGTGCATCAGCGCGTCCGGGTTGCCCTGTAACCTCTCCGGCTGCGGAATCAGCTTTTTTCCCGTTTTCGACGACTCTGACTCCACCGGCGCGCTCGATCGCGTCGGGTTATGGTCTAACAACGTGCTCCGTTCCACCAGGTTTGGGTTGTAATAGTCTTGGTAGCCATGCGGGACGCCGCGGAGGGATGGTGAGGGGTCGGCGCTGCTGTGACAAAGTAATAGATACCCCCGGTGCCAAAAAAGCCCACATCAACCAACAGTCATGACACCATGGCATGCGGATTGAGGTGAACTTCTGAGAGTGAAAGTGGAAAACATAGAAACTACAAAATACCCTCCTGCTGCATAGCTGCCACTGAGCATGGAGGGCGGAACGCCGTCGTTGAAGTCGCGGACTTCTTGCTTGAGCATGGTAAACTCCTCGCTGTGAGCGTATGGGGTGTGTTCGTGCTTCACCTGAGGAGATTATTTTTGAAACGAAAAATTGTTGTGGTCGTTACCCCAGCATGCAATGCAGCATAAGCATTTTCTCTGATGCATGCTCATCCTCGTGGTGCACAAATCAAATTAAATTGTGTACCGTCCTCTTCTTGTGTATGCTCGTCGCGTTCGGGTAGAAATCAAAGAAAAAAAGATCGTAGGTGTAACTTTTTGATTTTGGCTGGCCAGCATTACAAATCTGTTTGGCATGACAGCAAAAACCTGTCTTGCGCAAATAGCACGTGAAACCGCGCTTGAGTTGACTCCTGGTCCTGCAATGCATGACCAGCATGAGACGCAATCATCTTAACACATGTACTTAGCGCATCAACACAAACTTACAGCTACAATCTTTTTTTATTGCATAGTAGATCGACGTCATGGAGTCTTCGCTGAAACTTGGCGCAATATCGATCGGCTCCCGCACTGCTGCTGCCTGCTGCGCCGCTTGCCTCTCCCCGCGGAGTGGGCTCGCGCTCATGCGCAGACTCCCCTTGACGCCATCGGACACCAGGTGTCGGTCCAGTTTCGTTTCCACGTTCGGCATCTCGTCGGCGCCAAGCGTCCTGATGTTGCTCTGGTAGCGCGCGTCGGCGAAGGGTTTCCTCCTATGGCAGGGGGCTGCGTGCCCGTCAGAAGAGAGAAGTTCGGATTGAAGTTTGTCCTTGTCTACGGACCTCACGTAGCCCGTGAACTCGGAACGGCAGGCTGTCATGATAGATTTCGTGAAGATTTCCGTTTGTCATACGCAAAACGCTTCGAAGCGTAAACTTGTTGATGTGTTGCAAACAGCAATTGGTTGTATTAAAAAAACTCAGTCCTTACATTCCTCCGTCTTTTTGCCCTTTCCGAACCAGGCGTGCATGCTGGTTGGCTCATTCAAGCCAGGTTGCGGCTCAGTAAAAATGTTGTTCGTCGTTCGGGTGACGCCGCTAGATGTGGGACGCGTCGCGACGTTTCCTGTTTTTTGTCACAATTTCAGATCGGACTTTAATAATATCATGCGGACGGAAAAGTAGAAAATCTTCCAGAATCAATGCAGCCGCACAGACAGAAGTAAGCTCCTCTCGCTCTGTCGTGCCAAATACAAATCATGAGGAGCCAACTTGATTTCCCTTGCACGCAAAGCACTAAAAATTAGTGATTTTTATTAGCTATAGCCCTTTACGTTTCGGCGAGTTGTCCGCAAACACGCTGGATTGGTAAGTCTGCATGTTGGCTACCCGTTGCGAAGAGCTTGCCTGATTTGACCCCGTCATCGGTCCACCCGGGATTGGGCCCGGCGCAGGCCCCGAGCCAAACACCGAGGATTGAAACGTTGGGTTCATTTTTCACGTGATTTTTTTTGTCGTGTTCAGCTGAGTCTAGGTCGATTTCGCGAGATCGTCCACACTCTACAGCTGGAAATTCTTTCTTTGTAGTTCTCTTAGGTTTTGGTTTTCTATGATTGAAATTGTAGCACGAGACGGAAACAACAAGAGCGAAAATGTTCGCGACTCTTGCGTAATTGCCCCAACACCTATCGTCAGCCTTTTTCTTTGACATTCGGTTTCGCCCCGCTCAAAGTCTTGCAGTTCAGAATCTAATCAGAACCAGTGCACCTTACCACAATCCATCGCTTTGACACTTTCCGTATCAACTCAAGTTTTGTCTGCGCAATCGGGAGAAAGGATCGCGATATTTCTCGCTTCACAGTTCCACCGCTTCTAATTCTATTCGCCTCAAACGCAAAGAAGACTCTTCAAATGCACGCTGACGCTACTGTTCTGCGAACTGAAAATAAAAGGTGAACGACTACGACAATATTCGGCGACAACAATGAAGAAATTTTTGGGGTGCAAACGCAAAGAACACAATCATAACGTTCTCGGGAACGGATCACGCTCACACAGATCTGAAGGTGCTACCGTGAATTCGTGTAGTTGGTATATGGTTTTTCATTTTATAGCAAGTTCGTGAACTTTCCACAACCTCGCGGCCTCGGCAAACACATCTCCCAATGTTCTATCTATTCTAATTCGAGAAAGCAGGCGAGGTAGCCTTGACATTGGTGTTGTAAAATCCTCGCGTCTTCGTTTTTCGCAACTGCTGCTCTGCACTGGCCAGCGCGTTCTCCAATCTCGAGTGCGGATCCGGGTTGGCCTGTTGCAGTTGCCTCATTCCTGTGCTTCCTCCATTTCCGCAGCCAGTGGCCCCTCCCTTTTGCTGTGTGAAAGCCTGTTTTATCGCTTGCTGCACGCTGATTCAGAACGTCGTAGACTAGTCGGAGGAGTTGTGATCTGCGCCTCGTGTCCCGTTTGCGTGATGCCCATGCCCCCTCCTCGTCGCAAGGTACGTCGGTAGCTGTGGTGGGAAGCAGCGAATCGTCATCGAAGATGGTCGCGTGAGCAACAAAATCGGACTTCGGCCTCATGCCAAGCGCAGCTGCAAACGCAAGCGCAATCATCACTACCGCCACAACCACAACCACTAACAGCTTCTCCAGGAGTACCAGGACGCTTCGGACGCCACGAGATGCTGCACTTGAGCCGTTGGCGGAGGTCTTGGTGCGTGAGGAACATGTCGATGCGCTTGAGCCACAATCGTGAGCCACGTGATCTCTCCCTCCAGAAACTGCGTCGCGCGCTCTCGACTGTGTGCTCTCCCCCGTGCGACCAGGAACTTCCTGGCAGGAAGCAAACTCTCACACAAATTAGGACGGAGGCTCATGCACGCTCGAAGTCGAATCACTCTGAAGCACTCACTACCTGTACCTGGAACTGCACCTCTTGACGCATTTCGCTCTTTTGTGGACGGAGACGGTGGAGCGACGCACTCTGCTTCCAGGTCGTCGGGGCGAACACATGAAGACTGCTCTACTCTACTGAGGCTATTGCGTACGAGACGCAAGCCTTGTACATCGGAATTTTCGAAATTGCAGTGATATTGATGACCATCTTGCTTCAGGCCGCTTGCGCATCTTGAGATGTCATTTTCAGACCGCATCATGAGGACCTCGCGTTCATATCAAAACGCGCAAACAAGAGGAGACGCCTCCTCAGCATGCGACTGACTTTCTTGGTGGCAGCGAACTGCGTTGGTTGAGTTCACAGATTTGCATTCTTCAGAAAGAGCATGTTCTTCCATCACCACCTCATCACTTTGTTGTTCAAAATAGTCTCCATAATTGTCATCATCCCGTCTTCCGTCCTCCGCGTTATTGCCGACATTAATGAGCGCATTCGCTTGCTCGAATAATTTTGCATAACAGATTGACTAGCCTGAAATTTCTAAAAATTGGACTTGCTGCTGACAAACTGAGCCTTTCAATTCAAAGCTAGTGCTTGGACTACAGATCATTTGCTAACTTCCAAAAATAGTGCGTGGACTAGAGCCTTCCAAAAATAGTGCTTTGTTGACTTTGGGTCTGAAGTTGCCACGGCGCTAGGCTGAAGAGAGAGGGAATCTTTCTGCCACTTTCACGTGGTGCTGTAAGTGAGAAAGAACTATGGTGGCAAGAGTGCTTTCTAGTCCTGTAAGTGAGAAAGAACTATGAAGCCTTTTCCTTTGAAAACTTGGGAGTCTGTTTTTTTCTACAATCTACAGTTCTTTGGGATAAAGAGACAGAAATAACGTACCAAGCAAGCTGGATAGTAAATTGGTAAGCGCAAGTGTGAAATTGATGATGATTGCGTTTATTCTTATTGACAAAAACTGTCAGACGCTTAGGCTTAAGTTTTAAGACATGGGCTTTCGCTAAAAATACTCCTGAAGCGGGATGGTATGGCACCAAAGGTAGGCGCTTTGCTAGAATAAACATGCTAGCTTGACAATACCATCCGCGGTGGCAATAGAACAAGAAAAAGAAAGAAAAGTGGCCTATAGCTACAAGATAGAAAAAAAGAGCTATAGAGACAAGGAAAACAAAGTAGAGCCGTCCCACTAAAAATCGATATAAGGCCTCTGGCGGCACCAAAACAGCCAAACCAGCTGGAGACCGCGTTTTGCTTCTTTGCATTCAGACCTTAAGTGTGAAGTTGCTCGTCTGACCCTTCCATCTGCGCCGTCGCCTTCGTTACGTCGCAGTCTTCACTATCGGCACACTCTTGCCGGCTGTATTCACAAAGTGCTCCTGTTAAAAGCGGAACATCAAAGTGAGACTTCCACTCTCGCTTTTTTGGTGGAAGATCCGTTGTCAGAATGGTTAGTAGGTTCTCCATCAGCTGCTCCTGCGGTACGTAATGCGGACCCCCTACGGGCTCCCCCGCTTGCACCAGCTGCTGCTGCGCCGCTCCTTCGAGGCCCCGATTATAGCCGTCCCATACAAAATGGCCAAGCGTCCTTGTACCGTCGCGAGGGTTCCAGTAGTCGTGGTGGTCGCCCGCAGTAGCGCTCACCATGCAATTCTGAAAACCCTGACAACCATAAAACGCGGGCGGACCAGTGTAGTTGTCGTTCGTCATCCACTGCGGAGGCTGCGGCCAAGGCTGAGTGTCGTGGTGCCAAGGCTCCTGATTTTGCTGCTTGTCCCAAAAAAATCCGACAGCCGGGTCGTGTATTCCTTCCACCACCCCGGCCGCGCCATTTGTGGAATTACTTCCACCCGGACCAGCACCAGCTGCCGAACTAGCATCAACAAATACAGATGCAGCGGCCGGCCGTTTAGGCACCGGGCGCGAGGGCGAGCGTCTGCCCTGTCCTCGGCCCCTTCCTCGGCCCCGGCGAGGAGTAGCTCCCCGAAACCGGGACACCTTTTCTCGGCGGATGTCGTTCTGTTCTGGATGATCTGCTCCTGTTTTTGAGGCCGGCGGAACTGAAGAAACGGCGGTGCGGCTGCGGTGACCTCGAGATGAGCGCCTCTCTGATTCTCCAGCCGCCGCTCGGGCCGATGGAGGGCCCGAAGGCTTGCGTTGTCTCTGTCGTCCTAGGGGCGTACTTTGACTCCGCACTGGCGGCTGTCCCCAAGCGGCGTGCACATCTCCCGCCTTGGGAATTAGTTCTACAGAGTTTCCCCTTTTCTTTTTCCCTTTTGCACTGGTCTCTCCCCGCCCCGGCAAGACCTGTTCGATACCCTCGCGGGCAACGCTGCAGTCTCGCTTATATTTCTCTATGTGCGCTTTATTCATCAGCGCGTCGTAGGTGGCGGCGTTTGGCACGATACCCGCGGCCCTCATTTCTTCCAACACTCCCTTCACACCCTCAACGTCGCCAGCGTCAGCATGTCCGCTCACTAGGGTGTGGTAAGTGATCACATTCGGCGCGGGGCCCGCGTCCTTCATTTCCTCCAGCACCAGCCGCGCGCTGTCCATGTCGCCGCCTTTTATGTACGCGGCGACGAAGATGTTGCACGTGGCGACATTTTGCGCGATTTTCGCGGCCTTCATTTGTTGCAGCACGTCTGTCACGCCCTCCCAGTCGCCTCTTCTTCCGTAGGCGTCCAGTAACGAGTTGTAGGTCCGCGCATCTGGCTCGATTTTCGCGGCCTTCATATCTTCCAACACCTGTCGCGCGCCAACCGCGTCGCCTGTTTCGCTGTAGGCATTTAATAGCATAAGGTAGGCTTCCTTCTCATGCATTTCCAGAATGTGGATGAGAGCGTTCCGGGTTTCCCTGGTTGCCCGCTCGGAATGAAACACGCACTCCTCTCCTTCCAACACGCAATACTGGGCGAGCTTGTTGCTTAATACTTTGCGCGATTGGCCTTGTGGATCGAAGACATGGACGGTCGTGCAAATCAAGTCCCCCGGACGAGAAACGCGAACCTCGGAGCCCTCCTCGACATTACCTTATTTCAGTTGTCAGTCATTCTTTCGAATTTAAATTAACAGAACACGGATTGCAACGTCACAAACAACATTATAAAGCCTCCTTTTCCTAACCCTCATCCACCTCATGGCCACGGGATTCTGCTAAATAGAATCCCGCGAAGTGCCACGAAGGAGGTAAGCAAATGCAAAAAAGTCTTTATCTTTTACTAGAATGCAGGTTAGCGAGCAAGCTTTTGCCTACTCTCGTCCCCGGCTCCGGCCGGCCGCATCCGATATACCACTCGCCGGATTGCATCTGTTGCGCCAGCATGCTCTCTTCCTGACCTTTCCACCCTGCTTTTCCCTGAGGATCTCCATCAGCACGAGGAGCGCTTCTTCCCACAGCTCCGGCGTTCCCTGGCGTAAAAACGGAGGGCTCCGCCAGTTGCTCGCGACACGGCTTCGGCGACGCGCCACCCTGCGCCTCTGGTTTTCCGCTCTTCGGACTTTCCCAGGCCTTGCGGTTGCGAAACTCCTCGCCCTCATTTTGCACGGCATCGAACAAGTTCTGCGCACCAGTCCGATCCCCTATTTTGAAAAGTGCGTCTCGCAATTCCGTGTACTCATACTCCGTGGGTAGACGAGGACGCTCGTGTTGCAACATTTCGTAAAAGTTTTCTTTTGCCCCCGCCAGATCCTTGCTGTCTATCATGCACGTAAGTGGGCTTGGGCCGCCTCCCGGAAACAACCACAAACGGGATGGCCGCCACAAACTTGGCTTCCAAGATGGCCGCACCTGGACAGCAACCACGAACGGGCGAGTAGAGTGGCTGGCATTCATCCCAGAGGTTTCAAAAGCACCACGCCCGCCCAGCAGGACTGCGCTGAATAGTAATTCTCTGCGCAAGTGGAGAGAGATACCAGCCCCGGCCGCGGCAAGTACGCGACGAAAGAGGGACGCCATAGTTATGCTCTTTTAAAACACTTACTCGCGCTGCCTTGAAGAAACGGCTCGACACAAGGAGCAGCGTGTTATCTGTAGGCGAGATGTAAAAGTAAATAAAAGCGTTCTTTTCTGGCCCTGATTTGCTGTGGGTTTTCCAATTTTGTTCTACAATGAATCAGAAAACGAAGTAAAAATAGCAAAGAGGATAAGACAGTATAAAGAATATATTTAGCAAGGGATAGCAGGGGGAATATATTTAGCAGTCACAGTTTTCGCAAGGGAATATGTTTAGAATATATTTAGCAAGGGAATATGTTTAGCAGTCACAGTTTTTCGTTTACTTACAGCAAGCAGAATGAAAATGCTCCTTCGCTTTTACTTCCAATTCGAACGCAGATCGCGTTCTTCGAAACTACGCTCCAAAAAAGAGTGTTGCTGTGGTTGTTCCGAAAGACATTTGTAGGTTATCCCTTTTGATGCTTGGCCATTCGGCGGGTGAGCAGAAAGCTCGGAAGGCAGCGTGCAGATCTCAATTCTCTACTCTGCTCGGCAGAGAGCAGTAGGCGTCTCAATGCGCGCCTTCTACAGAAGTCCCAACGACCGAATTCCACCTGCTCGAGATGAAGACCTTGTATTGATCCACTTTTGACGTTTCGAGATCAAAATTTTTTGCGGTGGGTAAAGCTACAGAGGGGAGAAGATCCGCTTGTCTGTATTATTTGCGTGGTCACATTCGTAGTATCTATTTTGCAGACCGACCGAGACAACGAGTGACAACATGTAAATATTTACTCGCCATCATAATTATTTATCAATCCGTATTAAAGATCGCTGAGGGAGATCTTTGAATTTATCGTGTACGTAAACATCTTCTTTCCAAAGGATGCATACGCTTTTTCATTTTCATTTTGACGATAGTACCAGTTCACCGAATCCCTTGGATTTTCATTCATAGTATACTGCCGGACTCATACTAACAAGTATGAAAAAGTGAAAATAAAAGGTGAACGACTACGACAATATTCGGCGACAACAATGAAGAAGTTGGGGTACAAAGAACACAATCACTAAACGCTCTCGGGAACGGATCACGCTCACACAGATGTGAAGGTGCGACCGTGCTCTCGTGTAGTTGGTTTAATATGGTTTCTCATTTTCTAGCAAGCAAGTTCATGAACTACAACCTCGCGGCCTCGGCAAACACATCTCCAAGCGCTCTAATTCGAGAAAACAGGCGAGGTAGCCTTGACATTGGTGTTGTAAAATCCTCGCGTCTTCGTTTTTCGCAACTGCTGCTCTGCACTGGCCAGCGCGTTCTCCAATCTCGAGTGCGGATCCGGGTTGGCCTGTACCGGCGTATCAACTGTAAAAATATCTGGGTCGGGAAGAATTCATGTTTGTCATGCTCCTTGTCTGGCATGACTCTTAAATCTGTCATGCACGTTACCCAAGATGAGCTCCGTTTTGCTGTGATGCAGAAGCGCAGTTTGTCATGCAGAATAGGCAACACCTAGGAGCTCAGAAACTTGCCATGCTGAGCCAGCGTTCGTAGCCTCATCATGAGACGCCACCCAGCATCACAAGTTTCCAGACCCAGACATTTTTGCATTTGATACGGCGTGGTAAATTGCAACACGGTCGGGTCCAGCGGCGAGTCTTCCGGTGGCTCTTGCTCATCGTCGGGCGACGGCTGGAACGCATAGAGCGTGCGGGGCGGCGGGGCGAAGGTGTTTGATGTTGTTGAAATTTGGTTACAATGATTCATCTGCGCGTGGTGTGCGGTGGTGGTGAAATGTGTGTTGGTTTTATTGTTCATGAAACGGGACGATGAGGAGGACACCGCGCCATTCGATGTTGTCGTATTCGCCGTTGCATTCCCAATAAACCGGTTCTCGTTAATGTTCCCAAATAAGGATTTCAGGGAGTGTGTGTGTGTCGTGCGGACAACGCAGCGCGACTTTATCTTCTCGGTGCTCGCCTCACTGTCGACAAGGTTCATGGTCGTGCTGGTTTCGAGATTCTTGGCCGAGGAGTTGCTCATCTCCCGTTGCAAGCTCGTTGTAGTTGGTACAGTACCAGCCTGCGCTAATTTTTGGCTCTGATCTACTTCTGCAACCGCAGCACGCTTCTGTGACGAGGCCTCCGGACGAACTTCAGACTCCGCTTTGTGGCTTGGCTGCAAACCATATCTCTCTTCGTCAACAAAAATGTCGTGCTCGCCTTCAGCAAGAACTCCCTGTGGCTCCACGAGGCTGTGGCTCGCTGATGCAGATACAGTGCCGGGAAAAAAACTCGCTGACGCCTGGTGGTCATGACTTGCGTTTGCCATCATGGCCGCGTTATTAATACCAGTTGGGGCAGACGCGGACCCAGCTACAACTTTTGTCCCCAAGAACAAATCCGTGGCGATGGCCTGGCAGTGCTGAAATTTCCTTTCCAACCTTTTGTACGTTTGTTCTGATTCCTGCAATTTCGTTCGCAAAGATTGCTCCGAATCAGAGGCTTTGCGAAGGTCAGCAAGCAGTTTCGCGACTTTCTGCTCCTGCCGACGCAACATGTGAGAGGACTGAGAGGTTTTTGCAGTTCTGGCATTTGTGGAGCGAATGGAGGCGGAGTTCTCAGTCGTGTCTTGCACAGTCGACGATGCCTTAGAAGCCTCCCTCGATGCAGTGGTGGTTTTGCTCCTGGCAGCACCTCCGGCGGACGACGAGGTTTTACTTGTTACAGATGTGCCACGAGCTCCAATAGCGGCAGGTACTACAGTAGCTCCCTCCCGTCTCGAATTTCGTCGGGAAAGGTTTGTTGCCTCCTTTGCAGTACTTGCAGAAGTCGCCGTCATTCTCTGCCCACTACGCGCTTTGGTTGATGTACTATCGCGCACCACGACGGCTGCTCCCGCTCTCGTCCTGCTGTCGGCGGCGCTACAGCTTTGTTCCCGCACACTGCTTCCTACGGACGAGGATCCTTTGGAGGTCGTGGTACCCCCTGGAACTGGCCGGTTACCTTTACTGGTAGTTTTCGCACAATAATTCGACGAAACTGCACTGCTGCTCGCAATCGTTTCCAACTCGTTCTGCGCTTGCCGTAGCTGCTGCTCCACGTACCGGGTCCTCTTCACGGCGAGCTCGCAGTCTGCCTCCAGAAAACGACTCGCTTCCCGCGCTTTGGTCATCTCCGCGGACACCTTTTTTCGCAAGCGGGCAGACTTCGCTAGGAGCAAATCCGGGTGCAGCTGCTGGCGAGACGCGGATTGGGTGAGGTGTTGTGGAGGTCCTGCAGATGAAGGTAACGATAAGATTTCATTTCTACAGAACCAACTGCAGCAACAGCGAACAAGGGGTCAAATTTCAAATTCAATTTCATCTTCGAAAAAATCACATCTGTACTTTGCGGTCTCTTCCCAAACGAAGCTGGGGCAGCACCGCTCAACTCGCGAAACGCGCTGGCACTGCTATCCTTTTCCTCGTAAAGGTGGTCTTTTACTTCCCCCAGTGCGTGAAGATCTGCTCCGATGCTGGATGAGCAACCTTCTGCCGGTCGCAGAAAACCATCGCCGTGAGGCTCTTGCAATTCCTGTCGCAGTAAAGATCCGTCCTCTGTGTCCTTTTTTACAGTTATGGTGTTCGCTGCGACAGCCTTGACGACCTGAACAATTTCACTTGCTGGACTTGTAGTTGTAGGTTTTGCTGTAGATTGTACTACTTCTTGACATGCATGCTCATCGAATGAATCTGAGAAAGGTCGTGCACTACAGGTTTCGAATATCCTTAGTCCCAGCACTGTTTACCTGCGCCACATCTGGCTTTTCTCCCTTGACCACGCTGCCGCCGGTGCCTGCCCGTGCGCGGATGAACGACGAACCATACAGCGGTTTTGCGCTCCCGAAAGTGGATGGCAGAGCGGATTTTGGTGCCATACCTTCAGATTTCATCAATTCATGATCTTCTTGCGCGATTTTGTTACCTGGTTCTGCGTTCTTTTTCGCAGTCGTTTCTCCACCACTTCCCAGGAGTCCCGGCCCCGTCTTTCCCTCACTTGGTGACGACGTCGCACCCTTCCCCCTTTCCTCGCTTGACACCTCTGCTCCCGGGCCTTGCGCCTTCTTTTCGCTTCCAGAACGACCGGCAGGTGCGGTTGTCGTGCTGGACTGCGAAAAATTCTCCGCTCCACCTGCAGAAAAATCCGCCAATCGTTCCTCGAACGGCCGAATCCGCGCTTTTTTCAGGTTCAGCTGCAACGGCGGCGGCGGCTTCATCGCGCTTTGCGCGAGGGAGGAGTTCGTTGTAGCGGTCTTCGAGGAACTACCAGAAACAGCAGCGCTGCTCAAAAACGTCGTCGTGAGATTCACATTTTGCACACCAGCACCTGGTACTTCCCTGTGCGCTACCCCTGCCACTTTTTTTGAGTTTGCTCTGCTGCCAGTTGCAGTGGCGCCTGCGGTTGAAATAAATGACCCAAGCTGCAAGTCCGGCCGGCGCAATTGCGACGAAGACGGGGATGCTGCGAGCACTGTCCGCGCAAAAGCAGACGTAGTGGAAGATGATGTAGAAATTGCACCTCCAATAAAGGGCCGGTTTGCAGAAGTAGAAGATGACAGCATCATCAGATGCCGATCAGACACACTCCGTGTCATTTGCAGTCGAGTTAACCGCTGCGGCGCTTGTGCGATCGTATGCGCGGTCGGTGTCGCAGCAGCACGATTCGGTCCACTTGAAGCAGAAGATGAAGCTGCCATTGTTTGGACGTTCACATAGTCTGTCGTGCGTTGATGTTCTTTGGGCGTGCCACTGACGGACGGTGTTCTCCTTGAAAACGGTGCTTCGCCTTTAGTTGCGTTTGCCACCGACGAAGCTTCAGCAAACTTCTTCGTCGCACTGACCCTCGTTGTCGAACTACTTCTGGGGTAAACATTGTTGCTAGACAGCTCATGAGTTTTGCTACCAAGCCTCACGTCCTTCAGGCTGGCGGACGCGATCAGTTTGCCCGGCCCCACCCGGTTTGATGAACCGTTTGGTAAACAGACCGAGTGTGACCCGTCGAGCGCTCGCGTGGAGGCAGAGGAACCTAATCCCACCGCGAAACCAGGAAAGGCCATGGTGATTTGTAATGTACTTCTGATGTTGCGAGCAAAGGCCGTCGCAAAATAAAGCGAGACAAGAACAAGCAATTTTTCTTATTTACTAGTGAGGAACGAAACAAAGGTAGTACGTTGCAATGCCATTCCGCCAAGAAGCCAGTACAGGCTGCGAAAGAAAAAATTGAAATAAACGATGGGCAGACTTTGGCCATTTGATTTCCGAGGTTCAGGTTCTTTCCGACACCAGAATCAGCGCGTGTTTCGTACCCACGACGCAAAGTCCAAGAAAACGAAAAGTAGAAAAAAATAATGAAAAAGGGAGGCTTCGCGGAAATACGAACACGATCGCTTTGGGTGTGCTGTCCAATTTTTTTTTTCCAAACTGACGTTTGGATGGATGTAAAAATGGGCTAAGCCTGAATAAGGGTACTAATAAAGTCGCCTCAAAATTCATGTAGTTCGTCTTCACTGTGGTCCTGCTGTTATCGGAACGATTTCAACAATGGGAAAAAAAAAATGTTTTGTATCAACGGAACATCAACATCACACTCTGCAAACAACTGCGTCACCAGAAGCCAAACCCTACTAAGCCAATCGCGATCATCAAGCTCGTAGTTCCAAACAGCTGTGCACTGCCACCCCATCTGCCCACCGCGGAACTTCTCTCGCCCTCGATCCGGTCGATGATCCGCTGTTTGAGGGCCTCCAAATCCTGCTCCGCCAAATACTCCACCTCTTTCGCCTGCTCTAGTGCCTTTTGCGCGGCCAAAAGCGCGGCCTCCGCCGCTTCGCGGTTATGCATTGCAAAAGTATCGCACTCGTATAAATGCAATACAAATTTCCTCAGCACGAGAAATAAAATCTGTCATGCAGATTTACCTTGAGAAAAAAATTTGTATTGCAGGACTGCAATTACTACGAGTACGATACTTTTGCACAGGATAGCGGTTTGCGGTCGCCGACCTCGCTTCATCTTCCGCTTTCTTCAGCTGCTTTTATCCTGTGTAAAAACGTCCCAACCCCAGAGTTGTAATGCTAAAACGCATGCTTAAAATGTTTCTCATGCGGAGACTCATGAAAGGCGTTTTCTCGTTGTGATCTGAGACTCGTCATGCTCGAATCAGCATGACAAACTGGATCTGATATGCTGCTGCACTAGCTAAACACGACTACACAGCGAGCCACAATTTGTCATGCGCGACAGCCAAAGCTTGGGGATTTGTGTAGCAGATTTCCCATCTTGACTATTGGGTGGGAACGTTTTTCCTCAGGATAGCTTTTCCGCGAAGGCTACTCTAGCCGTCGCCTCCTCTAATCTCTTGTTTGCCTCCTCCAGTTCCTTGCGCGCCGCTTCCGCAATTTCCGTGGCAACACGCAGCTCCTCCTTTTTCGCCGCGACGTTCGCCTGCGCGTCGGAATATTCCAGTTGCTCGGCATTCGCGTTTTGCTTCTCCGCGGCCAGACTGTCTTGCGCGTTCGAGACATCACTCGCCGCGGTGGCCTGCGAAGTTTCCGCGCTGATTTGTTTCCCTTTCATCTCCTCCACCTGCTCCTCCTTCGCCGCCACCGCTGCGCCGCTGGCGACAACGTCAGCCTTGGCATCCGCTGCATTCTTGGTACTCGCTGTCACCGCGCTGTGCTCCTCCGGCTTGGCGTCCACCGGAATTCCGTCTTTCGTGAGAACTGGTTTTTCTTCCTCGACTGTGGGAGTTTCGGCCTCAGAAGATGGACTACCACTACTCACGGTGGTGCTCGCCGCCGAAGAATTCTGGTTCGCGTCGTCGACGGGAAAATCCTCCTCGTACTCCTTTGCTGTTTGGACCGGGCCGTCGCTTTGAGTTTGAGTATTGGCTTTTTTAGCAGATAATGAACTCGCAGCAGCCGTTTTCTTGACTTGTCCTTCCACACCGGTGCTGATCTTGCTGACTGTCACAACCGGAGCAGCAGCTTGTCCACGCGGGTTCTTGGCGGCTGGCCGTGCCTTTGCCTTGTTCCCCCCAACCGCACTTGCATCCGCTACTGCTGTTGGCCCGCTGGCACTCCAGGCCTTGTTCCCGGCGCTGGTCGTTCTCCGTACGAGAACAGGTTCTCTCTTCTGCGCAGTCACTGTGGCGGATTTCTCCTTTGGCTTCGCAGCAGAATTATTCCTCACCGTGTTCACGTAAGCATCCTTGACCGCGGTGAGATGCGCTGCCGCCTGCTTGTTTATGTGATTCTGCACGACACCAACCGAGCTGGCCGTCGCGGCATTTTTGTTTTTGACAACAAGACCGCTAGAAGCTTGTGCCGCGATCTTGGCATTCTTGTTAGCTTTCAACACCGCGCTGTCGTAAATTTGCTTCACACTGGCGGAGAAACTCGGCTTCCCTCGGTTCCAGTCGGCTTCGGTGACACCCAGAGGCGCGATTTTGAAAGCAGATGTGAGAACCGCCGGAAGGAAAACTGAGGAGTAGAGCAAGAGAAACAGCGACATCATGCCGTTTTAGTGCAGTTGGGCATGATGTTCTTGACCGGAAAAAACCCTTTTCTTTGGAAATAAATGTTTCGGTTTGATCCAACGAGAAAGGTGAAAAAGAGATCAATCAATGCGAACAACGTACGTATTTAAACTGGCTGTCAACTTCACCGCCAACACACGAAGGCGCAAAACTGCATCCAAGAGATCCATCTAAGAACAAACAATAGAGCTCCATCTACGAACACCTAACATGTAGATGACGGCCGCCTGCAGCACACGTAGCGCCTGGTGTGCGCAGCTGCGGTCGTTTTTTGGCAGATACATTGATGCTCGGTTTTGCTTTTGAGAAGTTTCAATCTGTTTCATCGAGAGCTCTCTTAACGGCCGCGCAGCTGATCTTGCAATCGTACTAGGAGCCGGGATAATTTCTTGTGGTGCGAATAGACATTACGCAGGGAGGTGGATGAATGAATACGAAAAGTAAATTTCTTCGAAAAATAGTTCTGCAAAAACTAGCTAAGAGAACTCCAAAATAGAAACGGTTTGCTATTGTTTGAAGCATCTTCATACAAAAAGAACCATGATACGCATACTGCACGGACGAGATGAACGACAGGTGAGATTTACACATCAACATCAAGTACTCCGTGTTCCATCATCATCATCATTCCTCTGCCGCCGACATCATTTCCTTGCTTGGCACCCCACTGACATCCATCTTCTGCCCGTCCTTCGATTCCTCATTGCCCGCGAACTGCGTCGTTTGCGGCACGCCCTGCGGGGGTAAATCCAGCTTCGGGTTTTTGCACGGGTTGAACTCAGTGACCTCGACGAGAAACCATTTGTCCCGCGCATCCGCACTCCGGGCTGCGTCGCTGCACTTCTGAAGAATGGGTTGTAACGCCCGGGTGACTATCAAATGCAAAAGTGTCTGGGTCTGGAAGAATGCGCTATTTGTCACGCAGCTTTTCCATGACCCATGAGGTCTGGAATGCAGGACCTGGCATGACAGATTCTGTGCGATCTCCCTCATGCCTATCCCGCATGAGAAACTCCCTCGCGACTTGGTCAAAACTCAACGACTTTTGGTAATCATGCAATACAGATTTTTGCATGCTTCAGATTTAGCATGACAAGTTGCGTTCTTCCAGACCCAGACATTTTTACATTTGATAGTGACGACGCGCACGTGCTGGATTCCATACAGGTGTCTGCCCGATTCCTTGTGTTGGCCCAGCGTCGGGTGCGTTTCATGCATCTTGATTCGCAGGTACCGAGCTTTCAGCGCCCGTCCCGGCATGTGGTACGTCCACTTGTCGTTGAAATTCACGCGGTTGCAGGAACTGAAGTGGTGTCCGTCGGAGGAGGATTCGATAGAGAAAGATTTTGGCGGATACTCCCAGTCAATGTCCACTTTTGAAAGCTTCTGCGAACTGCCGAGATCTGAATGTTTTGGTGTGAGGTTAGTTGAAATGAAGAAAAAATTTGCGAAAAAAATTTTGTATGTCATACGCACAGCATGTACATGACGAATCGCTCTTCACCTCTTATACCTATCGTCACCGTTTCCGGCTCGCTAGGGTCCCAATCGCTGGCCCAGTACGTGGAGTCGTTTCCGTCGGCAATCATTTTTGCGGTGTGGGTGCCGTTGCTACTGGACGCGTCGATGGAGCTACTGCCCTTGATCAGGTTGGTCTGCGGAGGGGGTTTTCACGAGAATCAATTTTTTTGTGAAAAAAGAAGAAGAACAACTTCGATCCAGCATGAAAAAGCCAATGAATCATGCAACCTTCATTTGGAACTGCAACACTAGCTTTGGTCTCTCTTCCTCTTATTCACGATTCTATACCTCCCCGATCGACGCCTTTTCCGGCCCCATGGACAAGCAGTAGTCCCCGACCTTCGCCACCTTCAGCTGCGAGCTCGGCATGGGTTCCCACAACGCGCGCCCATCCGACGCAGCGGTTGCCGCGTCGCAGTCTTGCAGCGTCACCGACCCGCCGGAAGCGGTCACCTTGCCGTCCTCCAGGGTCATGCACTTTTTGCCCATCAGTGTGTAGAGCGCCCCGTTGTCCATGAACCGATACAGTTCGTGGCCGTTCATCTTCCTCACTTGATCATCACACGGGGCGAGATGGCTGTGGAAGAGTTTTTTATTTTTGGATTTGTCTTATTTGAGTGAAACTGGAAAGGAACTGCAGTGCAACTGCAAGTAATTTATGCATGAAACAAGCATCCAGTACTTCGTGCCTCGCATCACAGACACATCCGACAAACATTCGGTACAAGCCTGTCCCATCGCGGTCCGGTGCGTCGGCGACGAGGCAGTGCTCCTTTGCGGCGGTGATCCCGGAGACGATCTGGAACGTCGGCGACTCGTTGAAGGCGGTTTTTATCCTGCTGTTGTGAAGATGATTTCGCCTGTGATTGTGGTCGTGCCAGGTTTTGCTCGTTGAGGAGGATGAGAAACCGAAGGAGTAGGAGCCAACGCCCTGAGCTCCAAGAAACGCAGCATCGTCTGCATCATACTCCCCTGCTGTTCTGGTGTGAGCCACGTAGTTGTCAAGAAGACCGGTGTGACGAGCCTTCGCTGGGTCGCTGGGGAGGAGATGAAACGAGGTTGCTGGGAAGGAGCTCGCTGCGGTGAGCTGGTCGTAGACGGAACGGAACATCTTTTATATTGGATTGATGTGATACTGACGAGTGTCAATCAACAATACCGGAGAAAAATTTTACAAATTCAAAAAACCAGCTAAACCCAACTACATCAGAGGGCACTTTCGACTAAGTACGTTTTGTTCGTGAAAGCGTTCTTCATCGGACGGTAGGGAAAGAACAGACGACAACTACATTCGCTTGAGACGAAACATGCGACGCACTGGGGTTCTCTAGCGAAACCAAAATCTGCTTCTCGTGCACTCAACTCGAGAGTCCTCTTTCAGTCCACTTGCAACGACAAACACTACGCACTCCTCTACTGAAATGAAGGGTCCAATCAGGTCTCTTGCGAGCGACTCCATGTCGTGGTGTGCGTCTGTTACGTAGGGATAAATCTGACGTTAGTAGTGAACTGGTACTTACATGGATTTACGTTAAAGGTTGATTTTGAAGCAGGAAAAACTTCAAGACAGTCTTTTGGTGATCATGTCTTCTGGGAGATGATACATACAGTCATTTGTTTTCGCTAGGAGGGCTTCTTGGAAAAGTTCCAGACAATTCTGTAGTACAAGTGCTTTTCGGGTTGGTAGGTTGTTCTTCGTTTCCAAAAGGTAAATAAGGAGATGACATGTTCTTCATCTTGTGCAGAATCCAATGCCCATGTCGTTAAGTGGTCGATACTGTACTTCTTCCGCGGGGGGCATAAACACGTCGTATAGTAGGTTTATTAGTGTCTGGCGCCAGCCAAGGGAGTACAGCGCAACTTTTCAAGGGAGTCAAGGGAGTAAGATAAAAAAGCAGTCGCACGCGCCAATGCGATCGGCATATAGCAAAAATTTTTAGCGGCGCGCGCTGCGCGCGCGCGGATCGACATCTGTGCGCACACAACAAAAATTTTCGAGGCCGCGCGCTGCGCGCGCGCAGCGAGGCACGTGCAACATGTAGAACATGCGCCCACGTGTGGGAACGTTGCGCAGCATGCATCAGCGCGAAGCAGGCTGCACATGCTACGCGTGTGGGCTTCAAACTTGCTGCGCGTTCCGACGGCCATTGCAACTCTTTCCCGATTGGAGAAAGTCGAAGTGGCCGCTTCAAAGTTTCCATTTCGTAATCTCTGTTCGGCATGGCGTTGAATCTGATCACGCAGAACCTCGCGCGAAAGATCTCGACAAGGAAATTGCTGAAGTGGCTGCCTCAACTTCCCCCGGACAACGGAAACTTGACATGGCCACGGCAACAGTTTACGCGTTCCTTGTTCGGCTCCACGCTCTATGTTGCTAGGCAGAGGCCAGGCCGCCCCGGCGACTCCTGTTGACGGGGGCGACTCTACAAGCCTTCACCTTCTTCAAAAGGCCAGGGCCTTCGGCAACGGGCCAATGCCTAAACGCGGACAAACCTGGGGCCGCGGCGGGGGGGGGGGCAGCAGGGCCCAAACCGGCGACCGGTAAGCGCGCCCATAGCATGCATTTTGGCGATGATTTAAGGAAAGGCAATTTGTAAAGGTTTTATCTTCCTCCCTTGGCTCCCTTGACTCCCTTCGAAGTTTCACTCCCTTGCCTATAAAATACTCTAGTATAGTAAGTACCTCGGTGGGCAGTCACCACTGATATTAGGCTCACAAAAACCTCAGCAGCCCGCTCAACGAACTGATCTTGAAATCCGCTCCGCAATGCGGAATGGGTCCCTCGAAGATCTCGCACGTCCAAGCCCCGACGTCCTCCCCGCACCGCACGTCGTCCACGTGGTCACCAACAATCAGGACCTCCTCTGGATCGCAACCAAACACCTTCTCGCACAGGTCGCGGATCGCCTCCCCGCTAGGCTTTGGGGCGACCGGGGAGTCGCGGGTCCGAATCCCGTCGAAGATCTTGAAAGGAAATGAGTCATGTTGTGATGCGTTTGGTCCACCGCCAGCATTCTTGTCGTGCTCCTTCGCGTGGCCGTTCCCCGTCGCACCGGCCGCGGATGTCGGTATGGAGAACGACCCGGAGTCCGCGGACTCTCTTGGATCCACCGGACAAGCAGATTCCGGAGGGGACGGTCCGCCTCCGGCAGAGGACGTCACGGACGATAAGCCGCTGGAGATCGCGACAGTACTTGTTCTGCCACAGCCTGCATCAGGATGACCCAAACCAGCACCGTCTTCGGGATAGCCGTAGCCACCCGTGGTGGTAAGACCACTCCCTGCTGGTGCGACGACGCGAATGTCAGGTAGTGCCGCTGTGCAGCTGCTGTTCCACTTTTTCTCAAGTTCTTTCAAAAACACTTCCACACCGCCCAAGTGGTTCCGCGTGATCAGTCCGAGCTTGTAGCCCTTCTTTTTCAATTCCTTTAGCACCTCGACAATGCCCGGCTGCAATTCGTATTTCCCGGCCAACTCCACGGCTTCGATCGTTTCGGTTAAGGTTCTGCGCTTCTCCTCACTTTCGATGCTTTTCACGTAGCCAAGGATGTCCGAATCCCGCGGGGCGTCGATCATCGTCCGAAGTTTCTTGAAATCGATCTGGTGTGGGAGCGTCAAAGTTCCGTCCATGTCGAAAGCGACGGCCTTGATGCCTAAGTTCTGCCCGATCCGCCTGCAGTAGTGCACAACTGTCGGTCTTTCCAGTTGCGCTTTCGACTGAATCAGCCGGATCTCCGGCGGCACGAGCTTCTTACTGACAGGTGGCGGAGCTGCTCCTGAAGTAGGCCCCACCTTGGGTGAAGAAGCCGCGGGGGCTGGTGGTGCACCAGGTGCTTCTAGTTTTGCTGTTTCCGACGCGGAGAAACTTTTCCTCGCCGCCGGGCCAAAGTTGGAGGACGTATCAACTGCAAAAGTGTCTGGGTCTGGAAGATTGCAACTTGTCATGCTGTTTTTGGACTCTAAAAAAATTTGTACTGTATGACCAGCAAGAGAGGCACAAATTGTGCTTACACGGACAGGGCACTTCTCATGCGGAAGGTGCATCAGGGAGCCCCCTAAAAGTCTGCGATGCTAGGTCATGCATTACAGGCATCATGGGTCATGAGAAATATGCATGACAAGTCTTGCATTCTTCCAGACCCAGACATTTTTGCATTTGATAGGACGAGCAGACACTCAATCTTCGCGGCCGCCCGCGCATGGCTGTCTCCTCGAGCACCGCCTGCATGCTGGCGCCGACCAACTCCAACGCTTTCGGGAGTTCACACGGATGCTCAAACGTCCGCGCCAGCAGAAGCGCGGCCGTGAGATTATGAAAAGGGAAAATCCCCCCTCCCCATATCAAAAAGGAAATCTGTGATGCTGGATTTGCATACACAAATCTGATTTGTATTGCAGGAAGGCATTGCGGCCAGATCCCCTGGCTAGATAGGGGCGTATGGGTCTAGTTGTTCAGCATTGCAAACGGCTGACCTTTAGGCCCAACAGCATGACAAATCGCTTCCATAATGGGGCGGAAGCTTCTGCCCTTGTCTTCTTGCAAGAGCAATGTGATTTGTGACCTCAAATCAGCAACGCAAATTTTCGGAAAGATACCTTTTCGATATGGGGAGGGGAGATTTTTCCTCTCAATAGAGATCCCCGGTGCCGGTGAACCCGGTTCCCGTGGTCGGTGGTTTCTATCAAATGCAAAAATGTCCAGGTCTGGAAGCATGGAACTTGTCATGCTGAATCTGAAGCATGCAAAAATTTGCGTTGCGTGATTACCAAAAGATGTCCACTTTTGACCAGTTTGACAGGGAGTTTCTCATGCAGGATAGGCATGATAAACACCTCACAGGGTTTGTCATGCTAGGTGCTGCATTCCAGGCCTCATGGGTCATGGAAAAACTGCTTCACAAATCTTGCATTCTTCCTGACCCAAACATTTTTGCATTTGATAGTTCCTTCTCTGCTACAACTCCGGAGGACTGTTGTTCCCCCGGAACAAGATGGCTATGCGTTGAGCTTTTCCTGCTCGGACTGGCCGCGGCGGCGAAATGTAATAAAGGGAGTTTCAGCAAGTACTTGTTCCCCGGGCTGACCGCGGTAGAGGACAGCTCGGATTCTGCTTTATTTTCGTCACCCTCAGACTCCTCAAGATTTTGCTCAATCACGACCGGACTTTTCGAGGAATACAACATGGTGATCACCCCCTCCGACTCGGCGAAGATATCGAGAGAAGTGACGAACACGTGCGGCGGCCCGAGTTCGTGCAACCTGTCGCAGCAGGCACAGGCGTCCTGCAAAGTCTCGATCTTCATCCCCGTCAGTTGCTCGCACTCGAACTGGTTCGGGGTTAGAATTGTCGCGAGGGGTAAAATGGTGTCTTGGAACGCGGAAACCAAGTCTTTCGGCGCGTAAAACTTCCCGTTGTCGCCCAAAACCGGGTCGCAGACGTAAATCAGCTCCGGCGCGTTTTGCCGGAGTTCGGCCACGATTTTTCCGACCGTTTCCAAGAACTGCCTGCTGCCGATGTAGCCGGTTAGAACGTGGGAGTACTTGACTTGGAGCTGTGGCAGTTTTTCGAACAACGACCAGAGCTGATCCGGTTTCAAAATATCCCCGGAAAAAGACGGGTAGCCCGTGTGGTTGGAAAACTGCACGGAGTTTATCGGATCCACGTCAAAGCCGAGGAGCTGGAGGGGGAAGATCGCGGATTTGTTACCGACGTAACCGTGAACCACGTGGCTCTGGATAGACAGAACGCGCCGCCGGGTCTGCGCGCCGGAAGAAAGAGCCTCGGCGAGCATGTTGAGGTTGTGGGGAGGGAGGTGATGAAGCTGTATGAACGATGTGAAATATCTAGTACTTCTGGGGGAGGATAAGTCTCTCTTGGGTATAGTACTGTAACAGTGCGGGCTACTAGCTCTTGTCTTAGGACAGGGGAGGGGGAAAAAGTCTAATGGAAACTTTTTTCACAAAAATCGTCGTACACAGTACACTAGAGCGAAAAAGCCCATCTAGATTTTCGATTGGATTTCGACCACCATAATATTCACGACAGCACATAAGAAAACTTAGTATCCCCTGCTGTGTCGTGGAGCAGAAAACGATCGTCAGACAAAGCAGGTAGCTGCAGACTTGGATCCGCTTTCATCTCTTCTTGAAGATGATATTGATCGATCACGCTAATGAAGTCCGGATTTCGCGTTTCATTCGTGGTAGCAATTGCCTTTTTCTAGGCTACATGGCTGATATTTCAACAGCGCAACAGGGCGTCACAGGTGGCAGCGCCCCTTTTTCGTTTTCCTTTTGTATCAGGTCGTACTCGTAACCCAAAAGGGAGATTGGTTTGGGTTGTAAGGTGCCTAGCAGCCAGCGAGACATATCGTCTTCGTGGACGTGTTCATCTTGGTGCAAGAGACAACTTCGTCCAGCAGACTCATATTAAGTACTTACTACTGATTCTCAGTGATATTGTTCACCAGCAGTTCCCGCATCGCCCACCGTTGTCGGTGGTAACATTACGACAGGCACCGCACCCAAAGTGGTTCCTTGCCCACCCAAAGTGGTTCCTTGCGTTGTACTAGTCAACAACATTTCTGACGGCGTATTATTTTCATCATCTTCCGCTGGCACAATCTCCATTGCAGAAGCAGTGTCCTCTACAACTTCATGTGCCTGCTCTGCAGGTGTGCCACCAGAAGCAGAAGTTCCTTGACCTCCGTTATCAAGAACTGCAGGTGGTTGTTGTCCTATTAATTGTGGTTCCGCAACAGAGACAGTCGTCTTCTGCTGCATGCTCTCATCCTCTTCCTCGCGAATCGGTGCGATTTCCATGAACGCGTACTGATCGGACCTCAAATACTTCCGGGGCCGTGCATCGTGATCCGCTTGCAGGTAGTTGCCACCTTGGGAAGTACTAGATCCCTCGTAGTGGTCCACCATACAACCGTGGGAATGATCAACTACATTGTGGTGATCTACCAACCCGCCGGAAGAAGTAGTAGATGATCCCGCAGTATTGTGTCCACCTCCTCCGCTGGTGCTTTTGTGCAGAAGACTTTCCCCCGCCACGGCTCCTGCGCCATGTGGTCCATCTTGGAGGTTGTTCGAAGATCCCTTGCCGCGGCCCATGTTGCTCGAAAAAAAACCCTCCTCGTCCTCCTCCATCTCTTCGCCCTCGGCGCCCCCGACCAGACTCATCCGCATGGTCAAGTTCACCAAGGCGTCGATCTTCCGCTTCCGGCTGGTCTTCGTGTCCACGGGGCCGACGTTGTAGTTCGTGGGCAAATGACCACTACCCGCTCCCTGTTGCTGGAAGTGCTTTTTGAACGCGGAGCTTTCCCATTCCGACAACGCGTCCGACTCGTCCGCGTCGGTTTCGTAGCCCGCCTCGTACCCGCTGTCGCTTTCCGAGGCGGATTTCCACCGTTCAGGATTCCACATGCGCAGCATGCTGTCCTCGAGAAAGAAACTAGGCCGCGCTAGCCGCGTTCGCCCTAATGTGGACGATGTTGAGGGGGGAAAATTGGGATTGGTGGTTCCTGGTCCAGCCCCAGACGACGCGCCGGCAAAAGAACCACCGGTGAGGACATTGTTAATGCCCGATGTTGATGATGTCGCTCCACCCGGTCCTCCTGCGCCTGTATTCATTCCAGCGGACGAAGACGCTGCGGCCCCTCCGGGCGTACCGGCAAGTTGTGACGAAATTCCCGCAATACCACTAGCTCCCCCCGCGCCCGCCCCTGCAAAGGACCCCGGTGGTATCAGCCCGGCGCTCGCTGAAGAATGTTGACTAAAGTTCGCGGCCAAACCCGGCGGTGGACCGTGGAGCAACGGGATTTTCTTTGCGGGCTTCTTGGACCCCCCGGACTTCGACGCCCTGCCTGCGAAAGCGTCCTCCATTAGGCGGGATAGGAGGTCTGGATTCGCAGCCCCGGCGTGCTGGTGCTGCCCGGTGTGGTGCGAGGAACTATGACTATCACCTCCGTGAAGATGATGAAGATTATTGCTGTTGTTTCCAGTACTATTATTCGCGTTCATCCCGCCCGGCACGGGGCTGATGCTGCCGCTGCCCGGGGACAAGAACTCTCTCGCCAGCGGAAACAAAGCACTCGGGGGCGCGTTCGAAGCCGCACTTGCTCCACCGCCGGACGATAATTGCTGTTGGTGCTGCAACGCGGCGGCAAGGCTGTTATGCGCAGCAGGAATCGACGTAGTTGTAGTAGCACCATGTTGGCCCCCCCCTCCACCCGTGTTCTGGTGCAAACCGTGTATAATCGAGCCATTGGTCGTCCCCCCGCCAGAGAAAGTAGAACTGACGGCGTTGCTCGGCGGCGGCGAGCCTAAAGGAAAATTCACGCCCGCGTGAAAGTTCGTGACCCGCTCTACGTTGCTGGGGAGGATTCTCGTGCTGGAAGTTGCGTTGTTCCAACTTCCGTGTTGATGTGGTCCAACGCCAGCTGCAGATGAGCCCCCCGGCGCAGGGGTCATCAGTCGTCGTTTGTTTCGCAAGTACTTCCGCATGTTCCGGCTGTTCATGATCCGCGTGTTCCGTGCCAGTGAGAGCCAGTTTTTCGCGGACAAACTGTCGGAAAAGTTTGGATGCAAGGAGCTGCTGCTGGTCAGCTCGTCCACGTCGCGGCGAAAGGCGCGCCACGGATCCAACTCCGCGGACTCCGCCGCGGATTGAGAGAGGGATTGCTGACCCGAAGGGTTGTTCTTCGCGTTGCAGGGGTCCTCGAGGTGGGACTTTTGGGAAAGGTTGCCCACGGAAGCGGTGTCAACATTGCCGGGGAAATTGTTTTCGTTGTTGTCAACCTGATGGTCCACATCAGCATCGTGGAAAACCACGTCGCTGCCTTTCTCGTTTGTTTCATACGCAGACACTGATGAGGCCGAAGGAACTACGTCAGCCGGACCGTTTTCTTTGTTCTCGTCTTGTCCCATCTCCACGACATCATCCATGGTACTGTCGACATTTGTAGAAGACGGTAGGGGCGCGTGCTCCCCTTCTGCATTTATTTTCGGTACTGGGCTAGAAGAAGTCCGCTGCTCCATTCCACCCACTCCGCCACTTGTGGTCTCGTTCCTCTCGTTGAAATGCGATTGCTGTGTGTGAGCTCCGGCTCCGGTGTCAGTCTGCATCACAGCATCGAGGTGATCGACTACACCCGTGCTGTTAACGCTTCGCGTGCGAGCCAGTGAGATACCGCTGGAGCTACTCGACAACATTTTGTTGGAGGAAAAATAAAACGGCGAATAAGGAAAAATAGCTTCAGAAAGAACGAGCTTATGCTGCAGGGTATCATCCCATGTTGATCGAAGACCGCTAATGTCCTTTAGGTGACTCTGTTTCAAAGGAAAAAAGAAAAGAAAGTCCCGGTCTCCACAGACGCCAGCGCCGGTCGAATGACACAAGGACCAAAAAATTGAACAAGTAAATATACGATTACCATGTTGTCGGGCAGCCATCAATAGTGCGACCATGATGAAGACCACCAACGCATCTTCAAATGCGACTCAATATAATTCGTGCCAGCGTTCCATTTTTGAAACAGGTAAAGGAGAAAGTCGAAACATAGGTCCCGCACCTTGACGTTAGATTTTGTTTAGGTAAGCTTCGTTCATTGATTTCAATCCCGGAGCACAGACATGCACACCCATGTGCGCTGGCGCAAACCATTTCAGAGAAAAAGGATTCAGATCTTCACACTCGAGCAGTAGAATGAAGCTCATCTTCACGACTTCAAGCTGAACAGCTTCTATGCATCCCAAAGTTGCATCCCAGATCAGCCCACTCCCGGGCCCCGCAACAGGTCCAAATACCCTTGTTTGGATCCGCGGACTTATCATCCTGTACGAAGTTCGCAACGTGGGTTCTGCAGGCGAGCGAGTGGTTGTACGCAGCGTGGAACAGAAAGCCGCATTTGCTGCAGGTCTCCGCTTGGCTGGTCGTGGTGCTGGGGGTAGCTGTAGTTTCCGGGAGGTCAGTGGCGCCGTTTGTAGTTGCATTTTCAATCTCTTTTTCGTTCCCTTCGGAAGCCGACGAAAGCGATGCAGATGCCGCTGCGGGCTCCTGTGCACGAGCTATAATAATCTTTTTCCTCGCGATCTTCTTCCCGCTCTCGTTGTACTTTTCTTCAAACGCAACCCCAGTTGCTTCCAAGCATTGGAACACCCCAACCCGCTTATTTTCCGTCCAGGAGCCGACGAGCACTTGCCCGGCGGAGGTAAGGTAAACGCCGTCGCCGTGGGCCCGCCCTTCTGCGAACCGACCCACGTGCTGCTGGTAGGAAACTCGAATACCTTTAATACCGTGGGGCGGACAGTAGTTATTGCCATCTTCCGTTGCAACATCCACTGCAGGAGGTGTTTTCTTATCAGCAGAAACAGCTGCCGCTCGTTGCCCTTGGTTCACAATCAGCAGCGTCCCCTCGCCGTGCGGGCGCTTCTTGAAATCTACGTCCCCAACGTACAAAACGCCCGGCCCGATTTTCACCACCTTCTTACTTGTCACCGAGTTCACGCCGACATTAGTGCGGGCGACGCGCCGCTGGAACACGGACCGGGCGTGGATTAAGCCGCCCAGAGTGTCGTTTAGCTCTTTGGGGGCGGAAAACGGGTTCGTCGTGCTGTCTGGGTCATCTTCTACAGCTTTTACTTTTAATGCACTCCCGTTGGGCGGCGCGGAACGCACTGCAGAGGCTGCTCTAGGTCTAGTGTTAGCAGAAGCGGCTAATGGACTTGTTTTCGAAGACGAAGACTTGTGAAGATGCTGCGTGGACGAGCCCGTGAAGACGCCTTGCAGCTTTTCTTCAACAACTTGTGTGAGTGCAGCGGGGGGCTGTTGCGCTCCTCCTCCTCTTCCTTCTCCGACGTCACTGTCTTCAGGTTCCAGCGATGGTGGCAAAGGCTGAAGCACTACGCCAATTTTCTCAAGCATTTCTGCACTCGGGCTAGTGGTGCCACCTTCCGTTCTTGCCCCCTCAGATGTTGAGTTACGTCTCTTGTCCAACGGCGCACCAATGCCGCCATCCGTAGAAGCGGTCGCAGAGTTATCCACTTTTCCCAGCCGCCCGACCTTCTCTAGCAGGTGCGGCCTGGTGTGGTGCGGTCGATGGCCGAGAATCACCTTGCCCCACCCCTTGCACTCCTGCACGACGGCTTCGTTCCAGGGGAGTTTCACCCGCGCACCGGCCATACTCGCGGGGGTGCCTTTCGGGTGGATGCCCGGGTGATACTGGAACTCGGTTAGGAAGGCCTCTTGGCCGACGATGCCACTGTTGCCGGACATCTTTGTTTACGCACGGCACCTTGCGAAGAAGCTGAACCCAAATCAATTCAACCTGCAGTGCCAGTTGCATCGATCTTTGTGCAATCAAAATCTTGAATTTAAAAAAACATGCCTTGGTGTCTGTGCACCACGAACGCTGCTCTCTGTCTTTCTCTCATCGCACCTGCTCAGGAAGCGTTTCGCTCATCGACTTCATCTTTTTTGGTCTCCTTTTCCTGGCAGATCTGATGTCTACTGGCTGGCCTGCAGAATCTATCATCACGCAAAAGAAACTGAAACGAACAAAAATGCTATAGTGTGCCGACACAACGAACATGACTCTGCCAGGGTGGAAAATATCCTGTCGCGGAAGCATCACCAGAGGACACTCCTCGACGGCGCAAACTCGTTATAATAAGTAGTGTTGTTCTTGGCTCCAACTTTTTCTTCTTCAGATTCGTCACGTACTTTCAGACTTCTTGTTCATCACAGTTTCATCCATACAATTCGTTTCTCGGCATGTCGACGCAGACGTCGGAGTTACTGTACAAAAGACCACTTCTTCGGTCAACATGCCATACTAGCTCTACGGTAGTTCTATGATCGACTTCTTCGTAGGGTGGGTTCTAGGTTCTTTTTCCATGTTGTTCACGTTGTACTTACTGCTTTCATATATTCTGACGGGGGATTTTCATTTGTCGTCAGATGGTACATTTCAATGCTTTCGGATTCGGAAACTTCTTTTTAGGCTTCATACTTATTTTCGCGTCGTAATATCATACACGGAAGTGCAGTTAACATCAATCTTTTCACATTTATTCGATCTTACACGGGTGTTCCCAGTCCAATTCTTACATCTTTCGCACGACAGCACTGCGGATAAAGGCATATTTGCTTTTCATATCCACAGGCGGTCTTGTAAAAATCTCATCGATACAACTTTTTCCAATTTCATGTGCAGCAAACGTCGGCCTCAGGCCTTGGTCGTCCTGCGAGGCTCATAAAACAAAGAAAGTGTCATATCCTCAAATTTCTTTATCTTTATTGTAGACATCACTACACGTATTTTACATCTTCAACACACTGCATTTCACACATTGAATTTTTTGAATTTTGATTCTTTTGCTTTGCCAAATTGCATCAACTCGATGCAGCTTCACGTTCAGCTCCTTCGTCTGCTGGACTTCGACCTTGTTTACGGTTGCTAAAAGAGTGCGAATATGCCACACGACGAGCTTCCATAAACACAATAGTAGAGTCCATCGCAAAAAATAGAGCAGGAGAAGGTCTCATCAAAGTCAGATATATATTTATTGTAAAACAAAGTGTTCTTTCAGATATATATTTATTGTAAATTTCACTTACTAGTATGTATACTCAAGTTCCAGTGTGCTCTCTCCATGTAGTCTGCCGGAGTAACGATCGGCGGGAGCGGCATGGAAGCAACAGGGTCTTGCTCTTCTTCTTCGCTGTTTTTATCCTCGTCAACGTCATCAACATCATCATCCACCTCCGCAGTAAGTTCTTTAACCTCATCAAGAAATTTTTTCTTGTTTCCAGAAGTGCCGTTCCTTTTGCTATTGGCGAGGAGGTTCTCGACGTTCTCCTCACCGCGCGGTTGCTCCAGCTGTAATTCTTGTACGTTCTGCGTCTCAGAAGTAGGGACGCTGTTCTCTTGTTCACCCTTCATCCCCAATTCAAGACTCGCTTCACCAGATGATATCGGGCTATCTTTCTTGCTGTTCTTTCCTCCTAACAAGGCCACCAACAGCGGTTCGTAAGTATTCGCTTTGTGTTCCTCCACTGCGTCCAGCAAGAATTCCTTTGGATAGGGCGAGAGCATCTGGTCTAGACTCGACAAGACCGTCGCTTGCGCGTAAAGCGGAACCCGGAATACGGTAGCAACGCGGGTAAGAGTTCTGCTGCAGCTTTTTCCGCACTTGTCCAACTTTTCTTGCAGCCCCGCGGGTGCGGTGTCGCGAAGCCAGAAAACTTTCTCCACGGGGGGGAGGACAATTTGATCCTTCTGCACGTTCATGAACGCGAGCCGGGGCACCGGGTCGAAATTGAAAAACAGGTTCGTAGAGTTCTTCCACAGTCTGGTTTCCTGCTTGTTTAAATTATCATGCGGAAACTCCGTCGCGAGCTCCTGCAGCCAGGAGCAGCGGTAGTTGCCCGCAAAGACGCGGTTTACATTGAGCGCCCAGTTCGCGAGTTTCCCGGTGGCGAGGTACACAAAAGCCAGCTTTGCCTGTTCCGGCGACCCGGACGTGAACATTGGGGGCGCGGAGAACGCGTTCGTGTGGATCTTTTTCCCGGCAGAGTTGTTCGTCATCGCTTGCAATAGGTCGGACTTTTCCCTCAGACGGTGAATCACCAATGCCGCGGCGCCGCCCAACGAGTGGCCCTGGAGGAACAGCTTGTCGGAGATTTTAGTCGCGATGTTTTTTTTCAGATATTCCACAAAGCAGGTCGGCAATTTGGTTTGGCGCTTTTCCAGGTACGATTTTCCTTCCGCGAAATTGCGGAACACGTCTCTTTTGTGACTCTCTGTCCCCGCTTGCTTTTCGAAAGCGAGGAGTTCCTCGTCGGCTTGATCGCAAGTGGTCGTGGCATCGCGGATTACTTTCACGGGAGCCGTCTCGGTTTCCACCGTTTGCGCATGTTCACTAGTACCTGCTTCATCATCTCCATCACGACCTCCTTCGTCTTTCTTCATCTCCTGGACCACGACACGCTGTTCTTGTTGCACAACAATCTTGCTCTGCGCCAACAACGCCACCTCCAGTTCCATGATTGCCGTGGCCGCGCGGTCGTAAAAACCTTTGTGCAGTATCAAGAAGGGTCCCAACTCCTCCTGCTCTGGGTTCGCGCCCATCGACAGCGCGGACTTTGCGGCGGGCATAAAATGCTTGTATTCCGCGTAGACCGGGCTGGTCCGATCCCCCGAGCTATTGAAATTCGTGTTCCAGTCGTCAAAGTAAACCGTACCCCGGATGGTCAGAAACCCCTGCTTGTTTTCACTGTCCAGAAAAAACATCCACTGCGGGCTCATCTTGTCGGATCGGAATTCGATGCTTTTAGCTTTTGCGCTCGCCCGTTTCTGCGGACCGGTCAAAAGGTTGAGGGTAACTGTAAGAGGAGTGGCAGCAGCTGATCTTCGTGCAGGAGAACCATGACGTGGTCCATCCTGTAGAACCCGACCTTCTTCATCTTCCGCCTCGACGGAGTCCGTCGAGCAGTTGTCATCACTGTCGGACTCTTCTTCAGAGTCGGCTGTTTCAACGTCCGCAGAACAAGAAGTCCTCCTGCCAACGTTAGAATCAACATCTTCGAGCGCTTCTGCTTCTTCCTCAACATCCTCCTCGTCGTCCATTTGTTGACGATCTTCACTCTGGCAATTTTCCGGTCCGACAAGCTCCATCTCGCAGATCTTGCTCGCTAGGTCCTTCACCGGCAGAGCACTTTCGTACACCAACCGGGCATTTTTGAACGAGCGAAGCATTTCCGCTTTCTTCGTTTCAACAGCACTCGGCTTGTTGTTCAGCATCGTACTTGTAGAAGTTCTTTTTCCACCGGCAATTGTAGTTGTCGCACTGCTGGCAACACCTGCTACACGACCGGAGAGGATCTGGTCCACGCTGGTGATCATGCGTAGTTGATGTTCCTCATCGTCCCCAGCGCCTCCACCAGCCGACAGTCCTCCTCCCTTGAAATTCCATCGTTCCCCCACTTCCGCGTAGCATTTCGCGTCTTGCCAAGTGGCTTCCTGGTATACCTTGTAAATCTCCTTCGTGAAGCACTCCTGCCACCCCGAACTTCCCCGCCACCACTTCACGCAGGCGCACTTGGCCGCCAGTTTTGCCACGTAGGCCCCGAGGTTGCCAAGGGCCGTTTTGCCGTTCGCTTTAGTATCGTCTGCAGCCTTTCCAACCATCGCGTGGAACACGGCTCGGTCATGGTACTCCACATTCATGGACTTGGTCGAAAACTTCTGGAGCCTTTTCGCCAAGGCCTGCATCGCCGCGTCGAGGCCGCCCAGTTTCAGCTGTTGCGCTAACATTTCCGCAATGTCCTTGGCAGAAAATATCTGGTACGCAGGGTCAAAATCAGTGGGACCCCGTTCGAGCTGCTTTGTCACCTCGCGTTTCAGTTTTTTGGCTTTGTCATTTGTTCCGGAGAGCATGGATTTTGCACGATCCAACTTACTATTTTGCATCATTTGTTTTCTCGTGGGAGCTACTTCAACTACGGCCTTTGTTGTTTCATCTTTTCGAAGTTCTTCTCCGGCTGCACTTTTTCCCGTTCCAACTTTAGAATCATGATGCGCAGGTGGAGTCTTTGTCCAGATGGCCGTGGCCGCCTCATTCATCTCAGCAAAACCTTCATCACCGATCAGGTTGGTGTCGTTGTTGTTTCCGTTGCGATCGAAATAATGGCGGTGAGCGGAAGGAGTAGTGCCGAAGGTCTGGAGCTCCACTTCTTCTGGGTGAAACCGGAAAGCACGCACGCCTGCAAGCGAAGTCGAAAACGCAAATGCCCAGAACATCATAGCTTGACAGGTCGTTGAGCTTTTCGTTTTCATTGCCCGCGCCCGGAGACACATTCTTTGTTCTTTGCTCATGTTTGTTTTTTCTTTTTGTTAGAAGAAAAGGGTTCGTAACAAGTTTCAGGTAAACACAATGATTAATACGTATTTTGCGTTTCCTTTACCTTTACTTTTTCGTCTATTATAGCAACTATTCTTGCACAAGTACTAAGTATACAATCTTACAGCGTAGTACAAATTACGATTGATTCCCAAATCTTACAGCGGATTGAGGGTCGGGTGTCAATTAAAATTTTTTCTCAAGAAATTATTGTTGGTGATTTCTGGTTCTTAATATGTGGTACAACTTGAAGAGAGTTTTCCACTCTCCTAGTGAAGCTTTTTGGTTTTTCACAAAACGGATGAAGCAAAATCCTACTTTGGTATAGTACTACAGTGAAGCTTATGTCTGCACACAAGAAGACTATTTCAGCCTCTAAGTAGGGTGATAATTTGTGTAGCTGCGGAGTGGTTTGATGTTTTCTTAATACTAATTGATTATTTCTGCGTTTTCGATTAGCACATGGCCGAGAAATAATCAACATGACGAGCAGATCAGGAAGGCGGGACTTTTCTGGAACGTCCCACCGGCAAAAGCATCAATAGATCAACTTCGGCGAGGACCACAGGGTTCAGCTCGCGGCGATCGCTGGATCGTTCGTGTGCCGACAGTCCAGGAATACAGCAGAAGATTCTTCTGTGTAGAGATTTTTGACCTTGAGATCTGGGGACTTGATGAGATCCTTCATGATCTTGATTCTTGGAAGAAGAGCGAGAACTTTAACTTTTGCGATTTATGTAAATACATGTTGACGACACAACTGTAGCGGTGCTACAGTGTCAGAAGGGAGTTCTGTCACAGTCATCTTCTACTTGATCCAACTGAAATGATCTAGTGTGCAATAAAGACACAACGAACATGAGTCTGCCAGGGTAGAAAATATCCTGTCGCGGAAGCATCACCAGAGGACACCCCTCGACGCCCACGCCGTAAACTCGTTTATAATAGTGCTCTTCTTCCTAGGCTCCAACTTTTTCTTCTTCAGATTCGTCACGTACTTTCAGTACTTCTTGTTCATCACAGTTTCATTTCATCCATACATTTCGTATTCGCTTCTCGGCATGTTACCGTAGACGTCGGAGTTACTGTGCAAAATCAAAAGACCACTACGGTCAACATGCCAGACTAGCTCTGAAGTACTTGAGTTCCATGATCGACTTCTTCCTAGGGTGGGTTTTAGGTTCTTTTGCCATGTTCATGTTCTACCTACTGCCTTTATCTTGTTTGTTGTTTGTTTGTAGTTATGCGGCAGGGTGGAAACGCGATTACTCACCTTTTTCCTTTAGCGCTTCATTTGTCGGTCGGATGGATGGTACATTTATTGTATTCAATGCTTTTGCTTTCGGAAGCTTCTTAGGCTTCATACTTCTTTTCGCCTCATCATACACGGGTGTTGCCAGTTCACATCTTACATTTTTCGCACGACAACACTGCGGATAGAGGCACAATTTGCTTTTCATATCCACAGGCGGTCATGTAAAAATCTCATCGATACAGCTTTTTTCAATTTCATGTGCAGCAAACGTCGGCCACAGGCCTTGGTCATCCTGCGAGGTTCGTAAAACAAAATGTTACATCCCAAAATTGTGCAAAAACAAAAACAAGCCTTTGCTCGCCTCTTATGGCCTGCGAGTAACTGTCTGCAAAAACAAAAACAAAAATCAAAGTGCTTTGTTGCAGACATCATCACACGTATTTTGCATCTTCATTTCAACGCCCTGCATTTCTCACATTGAATTTCATTATAATAAAATTCAAAATTTATTGAATTTTGATTCTTTTGTCTTGCCAAAGTGCATCAGCTCGATGCAGCTTCAGGCTCAGCTTCTTCGTCTGCTGGACTTCGACCTTGTTTACGGTTGCTAAAAGAGTGCGAATGTGCCACACGCCGAGCTTCCATAAACACAAAGTCAAAGGTAGAGCCCATCGCAAAAAATAAAGCGGGAGATGAAGATCTCAAAAATTTATTCTTTCAGATATATATTTGTAAACTTTTCTAGTGTATAGTCATGTCCCCATATGTCATTTCCATGTACTCTGCCGGAGTAACGATCGGCGGGAGCGGCATGGAAGCAACAGGTTCTTGGTCTTCTTCTTCGCTGTTTTTATCCTCGTCAACGTCATCAACATCATCATCCACCTCCGCAGTAGATTCTTTAACCTCATCAAGAAAGCCCTTCTTGTTTCCAGAAGTGCTGTTCCTTTTGCTATTGGCGAGAAGGTTCTCGACGTTGTCCTCACCGCGCGGTCGCTCCAGCTCAAATTCTTGTACGTTCTGCGTCTCAGAAGCAGGGACGCTTTTCTCTTCACCCTTCATCCCCACTTCAAGACTTGCTACACCAGCAGACAGGCTATCTTTCTTGCTGTTCTTTCCTCCTAACAAGGCCACCAACAGCGGTTCGTAAGTAGGCATCTGGTGTTCCTGTACTGCGTCCAGCAAGAATTCCTTTGGATACGGCGAGAGCATCTGGTCTAGACTCGACAAGACCGTCGCTTGCGCGTAAAGCGGAACCCGGAATACGGTAGCGACGCGGGTAAGAGTTTTGCTGCAGCTTTTCCCGCACTTGTCCAACTTTTCTTGCAGCCCCGCGGGCGCGGTGTCGCGAAGCCAGAAAACTTTCTCTACGGGCGGGAGGACAATTTGCTCCTTCTGCACGTTCATGAACGCGAGCCGGGGCACAAAGTCGAAATTGAAAAACAGGTTCGTGGAGTTCTTCCACAATATAGTCTCCTGTTTATTCAAGTCACCGTCCGGAAACTCCGTCGCGAGCTCCTCAAGCCAGGAGCAGCGGTAGTCGCCCGCAAGCACGCGGTTTACATCCAGCGCCCAGTTGGCGAGTTTCCCGGTGGCGAGGTACACAAAAGCCAGCTTTGCCTGCTCCGGCGACCCGGACGTGAACATTGGGGGCGCGGAGAACGCGTTCGTGTGGATCTTTTTCCCGGCAGAGTTGTTCGTCATCGCTTGCAATAGGTCGGACTTTTCCCTCAGACGGTGAATCACCAATGCCGCGGCGCCGCCCAACGAGTGGCCCTGGAGGAACAGCTTGTCGGAGATTTTAGTTGCGATGTTTTTTTTCAGATATTCGACAAAGCAGGTCGGCAATTTGGTTTGGCGCTTTTCCAGGTAAGTTTTTTCTTCCGCGAAATTCCGGAACACGTCGCTTTTGTGACTCTCTGTCCCCGCTTGCTTTTCGAAAGCGAGTACTTCCTCGTCGGCTGGATCGCAGTTGCTCGTGGAATCGCGGATCATCACAGGAGCCGTTTCGGTTTCCACCGTTTGTTCACGTTCACTACCACTAGTACCTGCTCCATCATCCTCATCACGACCTCCTTCGTCTTTGCTCATCTTCTCCTCGGCCACGCGCTGTTCTTGTTGCGCAATCTTCTTGCTCTGCTTCCACAACTCCACCTCCAGTTCCATGATTGCCGTGGCCGCGCGGTCGTAAAAACCTTTGTGCAGCATCAAAAAGGGTCCCAACTCCTTCTCCTCCTCTGGGTTCGTACCCATCGACAACGCGGACTTTGCGGCGGGCATAGAATGCTTGTATTCCGCGTACACCGGGCTGGCCCGATCCCCCGAGCTGTTGAAATTCGTATTCCAGTCGTCAAGGTAAACCGTACCCCGGATGGTCAGAAACCCCTGCTTGTTTTCACTGTCCAGAAAAAACATCCACTGCGGGCTCATCATGTCGGATCGGAATTCGATGCAGCCTTTAGCTTTCGCAGACGCCCGTTTCTGCGGACCTTTCACAAGGTTGAGGGCATCTGCAAGAGGAGTGGCAGCTGATCCTCGTGCAGGAGACCCAGGACCACGTGGTCCATCCTGTAGAACCCGACCTTCTTCACCTTCCGCCTCGACGGAGTCCGTCGAGCAGTTGTCAACATCACTGTCGGACTCTTCTTCAGAGCCGGCTGTTTCAACGTCCGCTGAACAAGAAGTCCTCCTGCCAACGTTAGAATCGAGCGCTTCTGCTTCTTCCTTAACATCCTCGTCGTCGTCCATTTTTTGATGATCACTCTGGCAAATTTCCGGTGCTACAAGCTCCATCTCGCAAATCTTCCTCGCTAGGTCCTCCGGCGGCAGAGCAGCACTGTCGTGCACCAACCCTGCATTTTTGAACGAGCGAAGCAGTTCCGCTTTCTTCGTTTCAACAGTTGTACTCGGCTTGTTGTTCAACACCGTGCTTGAGCTTGCAGTTGTTGCGCCAGAAGTTGTAGTTGTGCCACTGCTGCTGGCAACACCTGCCACGCCGGACGCGAGAATCTGGTCCACGCTGGTAATGTTGCGTAGTTCGTCCTCACCACCAGCCGACAGTCCTCCCTTAGAGATCCATCGTTCCGCCGCTTCCGCGTAGCATTTCGCGTCTTGCCAAGTGGCTTCCTGGTACACCTTGTAAATCTCCTTCGTGAAGTATCCTGTGTAAAAACGTCCCCACGCCAGAGTTGTCCCGCAAATCTGCGTGCCAAAAAGTTTCTCATGCGGAGCTGTATGAGACGCGTTTTCTCGTCGTGTTCTGGTATTTGTGATGCTAGAATCAGCATGATGTGCTAGGTAAGTGATGCTTCTGAACTAGCTAAACAGCACTACACTACGAGTACAAACGTGTCATGCGAAACAACCAAAGCTGGCTCCTTTGTCTAGCACATTTCCCATCTTGACTCTCGTATGGGGACGTTTTTACTCAGGATATGAAGCACTCCTGCCACCCCGAACTTCCCCGCACCAACTTCACCCACGCGCACTTGGCCGCCAGTTTCGTCACGTAGGCCCCGAGGTTGCCAAGGTCCGTTTTGCCGTTCGCTTTATCATCGTCTGCAGCTTTTCCCACCATGGCTTCGAACACGGCTCGGTCATGGTACTCCACATTCATGGACTTGGTCGAGAACTTCTGGAGCCTCTTCGCCAAGGCCTGCATCATTGCGTCGACCCCGCCCATTTTTAGCTGTCGCGCTTATCAAATGTAAAAATGTCTGGGTCTGGAAGAATCATGCTGCTTGTGCATGACACAGAAGGTCTAGCATGGAAGCTCTAGCATCACAGGTTTCGAGAAGCGTTCGCAATGCCGAATCCGCACGACAAATCCCTGATTTTTGTGACAGAAAGTGGGCGACTTTTGCTGCCTATGCATGAGAGATTTTTCTGCATTCTGAAATGCGCATCACAGGTTTCAACCTTGTTCCAGAGCTAGACACTTTTGCAATCCATAGCGCTAACATTTCCGCAATGTCCCTGACGGAAAATATCTCGTACGCAGGGTCCCAATCAATGGGACGAGGACACTGCTCGAGCTGCTTTGTCATCTCGCGTTTCTCAGCAAAACCTTCATCACCGGTCAGGTTGGTGTCCTTGTTGTTTCCGTTCTTGCGATCGAAATAATGACGGTGAGCGGTAGTGCCGAAGGGCTGGAGCTTCGCTTCTTCTAGCTGAAACCGGAAAGCACGCACGCCTGCAAGAGGAGAAGAAAACGCTAATGCCCAGACAATCATGGCTTGACAGGTCGTCGTTGAGCTTTTCCTTTTCATTGCCTGCGCCCGGAGACACATTCTTTGTTCTTTGCTCATGTCTTTTTTTTCTTTTTGTAAATAGAAGAAAACGGCTCGCAACAAGTTATTTCAGGTAAACACAATGATCAATACGTATTCTGGTTTTATTCCTTTTTCGTCTACTATTGCAAAAGTAGAAGGTAAATCTTACAGCGGTGTAGGAAAAATTACGATTGATTCCCAAATCTTACAGCGGATTGATGGAGAGAGTCGGGTGGCAACTCAATTTTTTTCTCAAGAGATTATTGTTGGTGGTTTTTGGTATTTATGTGGTACGACTTGAAGAGTGGAGTCTACTCTCCTAGTGAAGAAGCTTTTTGGTTTTTCACAAAACAAATGGAACAAAATCAAAATCCTACACCTACTTTGGTATAGTACTACAGTGAAGCTTATGTCTGCAAACAAGAAGACTATTTCAGCCTCTAAGTAGGGTGATAATTTGTGTAGCTGTGCTGGAGTGGTTTAGTTTATTCTGAATATTAATTGATTATTTCTGCATTTAGCACATGTTGGCCAAGAAGTGATCAACATGACGAGCAGATCAGGAAAGCGGGACTTTTCTGGAAACCCCCACCAGCAAAAGCATCGATGTGTTCGTGAGCTCGTCCGTAAATAGATCAACTTTGGCGAGGACCACAGGGTTCAGCTCGCGGCGATCGCTGGATCGTTCGTGTGCCGACAGTCCAGGAATACAGCAGAAGATTCTTCTGTGTAAAGATTTTTGACCTTGAGGTTGAGATCTGGGGACTTCATGAGATCCTTCATGATCTTGATTCTTGGAAGAAGAGCGAGAACTTGAACCTTTGCGATTTATGTAAAATACATGTTGACGACACAACTGTAGCGAGGCTACAGTGTCGATCATTCTCCCTACCATGTAAGGAGTTCTGTCACAATCATCCTCTACTTGATCCAACTGAAATGATGTACATGACGTTTGTGTCTAAAAAGTTCCATGACATGCATTGATTCTGGAGGTCTCTACACCTTTTCCTTTTTCCAGGAGGGCGTAGTTCTGGCGCGAGTTCGTTTACTTCCAGAAGTCAACATCTCTTCCCGAAAATGATCATGACACGAGCCTCTAGCCAAAAATAAAAAGTACAAGGTTATGAAATTCAAGTGCGAAAGCAGGCCGAAAGTAGTAGAGACAGAACTTGTCAAATAACGTGAATGATTTATTTCTACAGAATAACCACAATATCGGTTGTCCTTTATTTTGTCTCAAGGAAGTAGTTTCAAATTGCTAAAAAGAAAAAAAAAGCTTTTTTGTCGATAAACTTTGCTTTGGGGAAAAGTTGCAGAACGGGAGTAGAGTGGTAGGTTCATCAGTTCTTTCCGACTTCTTGTTTATTTCATCTTCCAGGAGGGGTACTTAACAGAGTTTGAGTTTCGCGGTTTTCCACCACTGAGTCAGAACGAAGTATGCCTGTGAAGACTTAGACTTTTGTGTTGAAAATAATACATAAATCAACATCTTCACATTCTCGGTGTGGAGGCGGACTTCCGCATGAAGTCGCCGGCCCTCGGTGTGGAGTGCGTTGTCGACGCGGTCCTTCCGCTGGACAGTGCCCTCCCGCCCCCGCTCCCCCGGTGGCTCCCGTACTGCGGTGCCCGGCGCACCTGCGCCAAAACCTCCTCCCGAACCCGGTTCTTCTGTGCGCGCAGGAGAGACGTGGGGTCCGAGTTCGCGATGGAGACCGGTTATTCACTGCAAACATGTTGTCTGCTGGGTCTGGGTAAAGGATGCAGCGTAGTTCTAGTTGTGTTGCTGTGCACAAGCTATTCAGAGTGGAAATATTCAAAGGCTTTCTGTGGTCCACGACCGCATGACAAGTTTGCGATTGTTTTGACAACTACAACTTCAGGGGTATCTTTATGTCGTCTGGAAAATTATTGCAATTGGTACAACGCCCAGCATGAGAAAACAAGAAGAAATAACCCTCAAAAATGCTCCTTGTCCTATCTATGTTCGTACCATCACAAAAGATAAAGATCCTGTTGAAGTTTCTGTAGTACTTTTACATAAACTCGCATGACCAGAAATAATCCCGACCCAAACACGACTGACAAATTGGTTTGCAGTGGCATAGCGGTGACATGTACTTCTGGACGTCGGCCAAGGCGAAGCTGGTCCGCGCGTCGTTGCCGTAGTAGGCCCGGGCCTGCATGGAGGGTTCTTTGGGATACCCCACGTACTTGTGGTTCTCGCTCCACGCCGAACTTCGCGCGGAATCGTTCACTTTTTCGACCTTGGGAAGAAACTCCCCGTTGATCATGCCGTATCTGACGCCCGGCTCCTCGTATTCGAGACCGAGGGCTTTCATGGTGTCCGGTCGCAGGTTGGCATACACGTTCATGTCGTTCACGGCGCGGTACCTGGTGGTTATTTTTTTTCAACAGATTCTCGCATGAGAACCCTGTAAGAACTTCTTCAGGATTAGCTTTAGCCCGAGGCCGAGGATCGCCGTCTCAATAAACGATTTTGCGACAACTTCTTCAAGTGCACTAATACCGAGGGCAACTATCAAGTTGCGGATCAACAACGTTTTTCGTTTGGAAGAGAAAGCAAGCGCAGAGGAAACAATATCAAATTTAAAGCACGCCGAAATAAGAAGTTGAGAATTTCATTCACACTATCAAGTACCACAACGGCGACCAGTTGCCGATCTCCTCTGACGTTGCCTTCATGTGGCCGTCGATGCCGAAGTTATCCCACACCTTGGTTCCGATGTCCGGCACCTTTCTTCTCGGTTCGCTGAAGTAGGAGTGGATGGGACGGTATCAAAAGTAAAAATGTGTGGGTCTGGAAGAATTGTTCATGTTTGTCATGCTTGTCTGGCATGACTCTTAAATGATCTGTCATGCACGTTACCCAAGAGCAGCTCCGCTTTTCCGTGATGCAGAAACTACGCAGTTTGTCATGCAGAATAGGCAACACCGAGGAGCTCAGAAACTTGTCATGCTGAGCCAGCATTTGTAGCCTCATCATGAGACGCTACCCAGCATCACAAGTTCCCAGAGGACCCAGACATTTTTACTTTTGATAGACTGGACCGCGACTGGGCTTGCAGGTGTTTGGCGCCGACCTTGTTGTAGTGGGACAAGGAGTTCATCGTGAGGCCGTCCTTGTTGTAGCTGGTGACGCAGTATCAACTGCAAATATATGTCTGGATCTTCTGGAGAATAGCGAGACTTGTGGTCATGCTGGTTTTATTTCATGGCCCATGAGCATGACAGAAGATTCTGTGAGATCTCTATCATGCCTCCCCTGCATGAGATGAATAAGCTGCCTCTAAACTTGTTTAATAAAAGTGGACAACGAACTACTTTTGGTAGCCATGCAACACAAATTGAAATTTTTATTTTGCACGATCCAACCGTACTAGCATGACAATTTGCAACGACCTTCCAGACCCAGATCGATATTTGCAATGCATAGGCAGGAGCGGTGAGAGTCCGGCTGCCCGTAGGTGTACATGGTACACTGGTCGACGACCCCGGACTTTGGGTCGTTCCACCGCAGCCGGCGAGAGGAGTCCAGCTTGAAGTCCGTGTTCACGCCCGTGATCACCGCTCGCGGGGGATTTCGCTCCTTCTTCAGCTGGTCGGCCAGCATGTCAGGCTGGTGGTACTGCTGCCCGAGCGGGTAAAAGGGACCCCCGTGCTCGCTGCCCGGACCCATGTTCGAACTGTAGGTGTAGGGCGTAATCACCGGTATAGACTTGAAGGAAGCCATTTTCGTGTGTCTTTCTTGCGCACGAAGAGGAGTGGAGGTGTGATGGTTTAAACTTTGACTGTTTAAACTTTGACTTGTCTGGGGGAATTTTAAGCGAACAGGATATGCCGGAAAGCTGCTACTGCTCTTTTGAGATGATCTTCGGGCTTTGCAATTTAGTGCGGGCCTTTCTTGCAATTTGTATTTTTTGATATTCTTTTTCAAAAAAAAACTACGAGGCAGGATATGCCTCGTAGTCCAAGAGACCGTAAATGAGCTTTTTGAGAGAAAAAACCGTCTTCTTTAATTCTATCCCGATTTTTGCGAAAAACGAAACAGAAAAAAAATTGGGTGGTGGCAGATGAATTAAGGGGAAAAAACGTCGTCTCAAGATAGTTCTGCCTGAAATCGTGTGGAAAAAAATCTGTTCGCACATTTGTTAGCATGAACGGAAGAAACATCCACGAAAAAAAGAACGAGTGAACGAACGTCAACTAAGCGGAACGTATGCAAACACGAAGGAGTGGACGAAAAACTTCGAACTGATATTACCGACCTTAAGCTAAAGCTGCACAACCAAGATATGCATAATCAAGTTTCGACTACCACAAGAACAGGGCAGCTCCGCCTCTGACGACAACCAGGGAAGGGGACGCACCACGAGACCGAAGTTTATTGATTCGTATATACCGAAACGGTACAGATGAAGTACGAGACCGACCTTTCTTCGTCTACTTTCACGCGATACGAAAAAACCGCGCTGTTTTTTTGAACGAGAAAGCGCGTGGATAAAACTACTTTAGCAAGCGGTTTATTTGGCGAGCCCTCTAGCAAGCACTCTCCAGGGGTCCGTGTCTTGCGGGTCGCTATTGACGACCTCCAGAAGCGAAGAGGGCTACCTATTATGATTTTTTCACTTCTGCATTGTACATTAAGCTAGCAGTTGTCTGTCCCGTCCCGGCATTAATAGCCTTGCCTGTTCTTTATTTCGGAGCTTCGTTCCAATTCTTATTAATTTGCAGTAAGTAGATATCAATTTGTCATGCCTAACTGCAGGAAAGTTGAAATTCAGATGCACCATAGTTGTGGGATACATTTAGTTTGATGCTACTTCCTGTCCTCTGTGTGGTCGTGCTCATCGTGCTAGTAAACATAAGAGATTTTTGATGACGGCCCACCATATCCACAGCACAAGGTTGTTACAATTTTAAATTCCATATCTTTACAGTATGCAATTATCATTTTGATGTTTGGATACACTTTGCTAGTGAATCAAGTCTGAATTACGTTCTCTCGGCTTGCAGAATGAGTCTCAGCCCGAGAAAAATCTGAAACGATCGGAGTGAAACGTTAAATTGATGAAAGTCAGTGGCACAAAATCCATATGCTCGAACATAAAGACAAATTTAATAAACAGGAAAGCTTAGAGAGTCATCTCCTTCTATTGGAATCTCTAGTACATTCATTTTGTTGATGCGCAACGATAAATTGTCGTGATGATACTTACTTTCGTTTCGCTTTTTTGAAAACTCGAGAGAGAGCATAATCATGGTATTGAAATTCAAATTGTATTGGTTGCTATAATTCAAGCTACTGCAATTGTTCTTCGACTTAAGCACTAGAAATCACCGGTGAGACTGCTGCATCAACCGAGTTTTAGTTTTTCACGTCCGGGTACTCGACTTTTCCCAAGAGCGGATGACTGGCTTTCACGTCCAGCTCCTGGTTGCGCCAGTGCCCCGGGTCGTCGCAGAAGCCGGCCAGGTCGAGCACCACATCCTGGCCCGGATAAAACTCGGACTTGGGATTCAAGGTGATGTCCAGCTGAACCACGCCGTCGGCGGAAACCGTGGCCCAGTCCATGTATGGCGCTCTCAACTGTTACATTCTCAATTGTTACATGAATCTGTGATGCGCGAATGACAAAAGTAAAAGGGATGACCTTGCACGTCTCGCATCACAGATTTGGCACAGAGAGATTCTCAGCCTGTTTGGCTCCTCTAGAATTTATCATGCAGCGCAGCAGCTTAATCACATCGATTCTGCTTGCAATTTAAATTTTGCATGACAAATCATGTAACAGTTGAGAATGTAACATTTGAGAACGCCATACCACCCTCGGCGCCAGTCTGGTTTCCATCAGCTTCTGCTGCAGCGGCAAGGGCACCGGGCCCTTGTAGTAGCCGGCCAGATTGTGCTTACTTTCGTCCACCACCCAGCCGTCCTGCTGAACCGTGACGTTCACGGGGCGCTGCAGGGTCCTGTTGCGATACGTCCGGTTGTACACGTCGCAGTAGGCAGGCGTGAACTTGTGCACTTTGAAGTACTTGCAACAGGAGATCCGCTTCTGGCTGTGCGACATTTGGCGGCCGTACCAGGCCATGACGCTGTCCACCTCCGGCCCGTCGATGTAGCCTTGCTCCTCCTGGCAGCTGCCTTTGTAGCAGCCGGAAAGCCCCGCGTCGATCAGGTCGAGCCAGCGGTTGCACTGCGACTTTTCGTTGCCGCAATTCGGGAAGAAAGTGCTGGTTGTCGTCCAATGGTACTCGTCTTCCAGGCCGAATAGGGCGTGGCCCAGCTCGTGGGCGACCGTGGAGGCCTATCAAATGTAAAAATGTCTGGGTCTGGAAGAGTCATGCTGTTTCTGCATGACACAGAAGGTCTGGCGTGGAAGCTGCATCACAGGTTTCGAGAAGCGTCCGCAATGCCGAATCCGCATGGCAAGTCCCCCACTTTGGTGACAGAAAGTGAGCAGCTTTTGCTGCCTATGCATCAGAGATTTTTGTGTGTTCTGAAATGCGCATCACAAGTTACATCGTTCCAGACCCAGACATTTTCACATTTGATAAGGCCGCGGTCTTGTAGCTCCACCCCGGAACCGCCGGGGTCAGCAGGGTGTATCCTGTGTGAAAACATCCCCGCCCCAGAGTTGCCATGCAGATCTGCAAGCACAAAAGCATTTGTAATGCGCATCCACATGATAGGGATTTCCGATCATGTTTTGGAACTTGTAATGCTGTAAACAGGATATTAAGCAGATGGATTTGTAATGCGACTTCCCTTGCTAAACTGAACTACTACACTAGAGCCTGCAATTTGTAATGCATGACTCCCAAAACTTCGAGGTTTGTGTTGCAAAGTCCCCATCTTGACTCTGGGGCGGGGACGTTTTTCCTTAGGATAGGGTGTTCCAGGACATCATGGCGAATCCGTACGCGTTGTCGCTCTCGGAACGGTGATCCATGCGTGCCTGGACGAGCACCGTCATGTGCGCCAATCCACCCTGGGCCTGGTACTCGCGATTGCACTGGTCGTTCGCGAAGCGTGCGATCCGGTACCAGTCGCGGTCCGCGTCGAAGAAGCAGTTGACGAAGTCCCATCCCGTGACGTTATCCAGGAAAAAACACCCATCCCCATCCATTTTTTGCATGACAAATAGTGTATTTTATGCATGTTTTGCATGACAAATTGGATGGGGATGGGTGTTTTTTCCTGGATAGACGTCGTTGCATTCGTAGTCGGAGACCCCCGAACCCACAAACCTCGGCCAGGCGTCGATCCGGTGCCAATTCAACCGGCCGCCCATCTCGCGCGCGTTCAGCGGCGGGTAGTCGTGCTCCAGCTGCTCGACCAGCCTCTCCGTGTGCTGCTTCCACAGCGCGCGGCTCTTCCAGCCGAACGGCACCAGGACCAGGTTGAAGCTCTTCTGCACGTTATCCTGAGTAAAAACGTCCCCACACTAGAGTCAAGTTGGGGACTTAGCACCACAAACCTAGGAGTTTTGTGAGTCACGCATGACAAGTTGCAGGCTGTATTGTAGTGCAGTTTAGCAAGGGAAGCCGCATAACAAATCCACCTCCTCATCCTGTTCACAGCATCACAAATTCCAAAACACGACTGGTATTGCCTCTCATGGAGATGCGCATTACAAGTCTTCCTGTCATCGCAAATCTGCATGACAACTCTGGGGTGGGGACATTTTTACTCAGGATACACGTCGGGCCTGCCGTTCTCCAGCAGGGCGGATCGGTCCGTGGTATCCAATAAAAAAACTGTGTTAGTGTAACTTTCTTTCCCTGACAGCATCACAAATTTGTTCTACATGACAGAGAAAATAACCTGTCATGGGTGCCTTATGAGGGGATAAAACACACATGAAACGAGGACTTCATGCTTGTCGTGTGGCATGACAGGTGTAACTCTACTGTTGCATGTTCTGCATTTTTACGGAGTTACACTTACACAGTTCCTTTCTTGCATACGTGGACACCAGGTTGCACTGCGGCTCGAACGCGTGATCGTAAAAACTATCAAATGTAAAAATGTCTGGGTCTGGAAGAATGCAACTTGTGATGGTGCTGCATTTGGATTCCAAAAAAAATTGTATTGCATGAGTACCAAAAGGAAGGCAATTTTTGCTACGCTGAGAAGGCATTTGTCATGCGGAATACGCATCAAGAAGCCCTCAAAAAAACTGTATTGCTAGGGGATGCATCACAGACATCATGGCTCATGCAAAACGTGCATGACAAGTGTCAGAATCTTCCAGACCCAGACATTTTTGCAGTCCATAAAAACTGTCGTAGGTTTTCTCAGACGTCTGCCGAAACAGGTTCTGCCAGGTGGCTTTCTGCTGCGGGCAGTCGGTCAGGTCCCACGCGACTACCTTCTCCACGTAGTATGCTATGTAAAAACGTCCCCACCCCATAGTTGTATATGCAGATGGATCTGCATGCTGAGAATATTTCTCATGCGGAGCCCCATGATGCTAGGAATTTTCGTACTCGTTTTTCGGAATTTGTGACGCTCCAATTAGAGCGATGCGCTAGACCTGTGACGCTGCTGAGCTAGCTATAATCGAGGCCAAACTTGTCATGCGCAACAACAAAGCTGGCTGCTTTCTCTAGCAGATTTCCCAACTTGACTATGGTGTGGGGACGACGTTTTTGCACAGGATACACAGCGCGCGATAGTCACGGAGATTGCGTTTGCATCCTTGTCGAAACGGCCACAAACCCGCACCGGCGCCTCGTTCATGTGCACTACGCTGCAAAATTGGTAGGCCGACGGGGCTGCAGCCCCTTCGCTGTCGTTCGAGGTCGTGGTGCTCGAAGCGACTTGCAGATCTTCGTGGTCAACATCTCCCGGGTTGCGATAGACCAAGTAGTCCAGCGCCATTCTGGCCTCTGCGGCCTGATTCCCCGCAAAAGCGCCGCTTTTTCTTCCGTAATAGTGCGCAAAAAAACGCCCCTGCATACCTTTCGGACAGCAGTGGCACAGGGCCATCAGTTCCTCCTCGGGAAGCGTTTCGAGGGCGGATTCCGGCACGCACACCGCATCGCACATAGTGTGCACTTCCTTCACCGTAAGTTGCCCATCGCCGTCGCCCCATTCGTGGTCGACTTTTCCCGCGTCGCACATTCCGTCATGGATCTCGTCTGCGATGAGCCGCCCGTCATCGTCAGCATCCATTTTCGCAAAATCGAGGTCCTCCTGCGCCTTCAAGTACTCACGGTTCGCATAGTACCAAGGGAAAAATGCTTCTTGCATTTCCGGCGGGCAGCAGTGGCAGATTTCCAAGAGCACGTCCTCGTCAAGATCCTCCACACCAGCCGCACCCGGGGTACAGTAATCGCTACAGGCGTAATCCAACTTCTTGAGTGAAATTTTCCTCTCACCGTCGCCAGACTGTTGATCGAGTTTTAGCACGTTGCACTGGTCGTCATTTATTTCTTCTGCGGACAGAAAGCCATCATGGTTCGTGTCCATAATGGCTACAAGATCTTCGTGGTTGTCTGATTGCACACCTGGCGCTCTGACAGTGTGTTTCGGAAAGCCCCCGTGCTGTTTGTTCAGAAAGCTTGATGGTGCTGCAGGCTCGTCTTCGTCTGATAGCACGACTGGCACAGCGGTGGTTGTAGAAGTTGTGGTCGTGCTCAGCCAGGCGTCGAAGTACGGAAAAAACGCTTCCTTTGTGTGCGGCGAGCAGCAGTGGCAGATAGCCCGAACGATCTGCGGATCCTCGGTTTTCGAAATAGACGAGTCCGGGACACAGATGTCGTGACAGGCGTCGTGTATTTCCTGGAGAGTAATTCTCCCATCATCGTTGCCATACTGGTGGTCGGCTTTCAGCAGGTCGCACTGCTCGTCATGGATTTCGTCTGCGGACAGAAACCCATCGTGATCCGTGTCCATGGCTGCGAGTTCATCGTCGTCGTCGGTGGTATCCTCTTTCTTGTTGTTCCGCTTAGCGTAATAGTCAGCAAAAAACTCTTCTTGCATGCTCGGCGGGCAACAGTGGCAGATGTGCAGGATCACGAGCTCGGGTTCCATCTGCGAAGCCTCCGAGCCCGGCACACAAATTTTGTGACAGGCTTCAGACATCTCCTTGAGTGTAATCCTCCCATCGTCGTCGCCATCGGCTTTTAGGAGGTCGCACTGATCGTCATGGATTTCTTCCGCGGACAGAAACCCATCGTGATCCGTGTCCATGGCGGCAAGCTCGTCTTCGTCTGATAGCACAACTGGCGCAGCGGTGGTTGTAGAAGTTGTGGTCGTGCTCAGCCAGGCGTCGAAGTACGGAAAAAACGCTTCCTTTGTGTGCGGCGAGCAGCAGTGGCAGATAGCCCGAACGATCTGCGGATCCTCGGTTTTCGAAATAGACGAGTCCGGGACACAGATGTCGTGACAGGCGTCGTGTATTTCCTGGAGAGTAATTCTCCCATCATCGTTGCCATACTGGTGGTCGGCTTTCAGCAGGTCGCACTGCTCGTCATGGATTTCGTCTGCGGACAGAAACCCATCGTGATCCGTGTCCATGGCTGCGAGTTCATCGTCGTCGTCGGTGGTATCCTCTTTCTTGTTGTTCCGCTTAGCGTAATAGTCAGCAAAAAACTCTTCTTGCATGCTCGGCGGGCAACAGTGGCAGATGTGCAGGATCACGAGCTCGGGTTCCATCTGCGAAGCCTCCGAGCCCGGCACACAAATTTTGTGACAGGCTTCAGACATCTCCTTGAGTGTAATCCTCCCATCGTCGTCGCCATCGGCTTTTAGGAGGTCGCACTGATCGTCATGGATTTCTTCCGCGGACAGAAACCCATCGTGATCCGTGTCCATGGCGGCAAGCTCGTCTTCGTCTGATAGCACAACTGGCGCAGCGGTGGTTGTAGAAGTTGTGGTCGTGCTCAGCCAGGCGTCGAAGTACGGAAAAAACGCTTCCTTTGTGTGCGGCGAGCAGCAGTGGCAGATAGCCCGAACGATCTGCGGATCCTCGGTTTTCGAAATAGACGAGTCCGGGACACAGATGTCGTGACAGGCGTCGTGTATTTCCTGGAGAGTAATTCTCCCATCATCGTTGCCATACTGGTGGTCGGCTTTCAGCAGGTCGCACTGCTCGTCATGGATTTCGTCTGCGGACAGAAACCCATCGTGATCCGTGTCCATGGCTGCGAGTTCATCGTCGTCGTCGGTGGTATCCTCTTTCTTGTTGTTCCGCTTAGCGTAATAGTCAGCAAAAAACTCTTCTTGCATGCTCGGCGGGCAACAGTGGCAGATGTGCAGGATCACGAGCTCGGGTTCCATCTGCGAAGCCTCCGAGCCCGGCACACAAATTTTGTGACAGGCTTCAGACATCTCCTTGAGTGTAATCCTCCCATCGTCGTCGCCATCGGCTTTTAGGAGGTCGCACTGATCGTCATGGATTTCTTCCGCGGACAGAAACCCATCGTGATCCGTGTCCATGGCGGCAAGCTCGTCTTCGTCGGATAGCACGACTGGCGCAGCGGTGGTTGTAGAAGTTGTGGTCGTGCTCAGCCAGGCGTCGAAGTACGGAAAAAAAGTGTCTTGGATGTGGGGCGGGCAGCAGTGGCAGACATGCCGAACGAACTCCTCCTCTTCGCCTTTCCAAACAGGCGAGTCCGGCATACAAATGTCGCGACAGGCCCTCTCCATTTCCTCGACCGTAAGTTTCCCGTCATCGTCGCCATATAGATGGTCGGCTTGCAGCAGTTCGCACTGTTCATCATTGATTTCTGCCGCGGACAGAAACCCATCGTGATCCGTGTCCATGGCTGCGACTTCCTTCCTGAGCTGGGTCCCGAAATACACTTTTGCCGCGTCACTGGTAAAGTGAAATTCGGCGATGTCGCAATGCACTTCCACGTCTTTGCGCACTCCGAAGTTGGTGGAATACACTTCGAGCGACTGGCCGTACGCACACGGAAGTGCGGCAACATCGGTTTCGGTCGACCCAGCTTCAAACTTGTCATGCATTTGCTCGTATCAACTGTAAAAATGTCTGGGTCTGGACGATTCTGGGATTTGTGATGCATATTTTGTATGATCCATGACGCATGCAATGTATGGTCTAGCATCACAGATTTTTAGAGGGCTTCCTGATGCCTATTCCGCATGAGAAATGCCCTCTCCGGCGCGTAACACAAACGGGAGTTCTGTTGCTGGTCACGCAATACAGATTGTTTTGAAATTCAAAGACAGCTTGACAAGTTGCAATCTTCCAGACCCAGACATTTTTGCAATGCATAGCTCGAGGATGGCCCGCCCGAGGGCGTTCCCCGAAAAGGTATATGGAATGCAAAAGTATCGCACTCGTATAAATGCATGACAAATTCCCTCAGCATGAGAAATAAAATTTGTAATGCGGATTTACATTGAGAACAGAATTTGTAATGCATGACTGCGATTAGTACGAATACGATACTTTTGCACAGGATAAGGTATTTTGCAAAAACTTCACCACGTCCGCGTGCGCTATGGAAGCGTCAGGTTTAAAATCAACAAAGTTGAAACGATTTGTCATGCATAGAATGGATACCAGTTGGAAGCCCAATAACCAAGCGGCGCATGACAAATTTTCGAAGCACCGGAATCCAATTTGTCATGCTGTTTGGGCACAGAAGACTGCTTTTGTCATGCTCCTTTAGCAGTTCTATCCCAAACCCTGCTCCGGCTCACAATCTGCCTCACTTGCCATCCCGGCAAGACAGGCACTTCATGTTCATGCCTTGCATTTTATGCATTACAAACTAATTTCAACTTGGGCGATTTCAAACCTGACGCTTCCATATGCGCCTGCGGCAGATTGCTCCTCGTCTGCTCCACCGCGGGGCCGTCCAGGTACTTGGCCACCAGGGAGCCGAACGCTATCGTATTTAAAAACGTTCGCACACCATAGCTGTATAATACGCAAATCTGCATGCTGAGCATGTTTCCCATGCGGAGCCTCATGAGAAGCATTTTCTAGTCGTGTTTTGGAATTTGTCATGCTCCAATCGGAGCGGTATACTAGATGCGTGATGCTGCTCAGCTATTTAAAACAGTACTACACTACGAGTCCAAGTTTGTCATGCAAAACAGCCAAACCTTGTGGATTTATCTAGCCGGTTCCCCATCTTGTTCTTGGCTATGTGGTGGGAACGTTTTTACATAGGATAAACACCGCATCGGGGTCAAAGCCGCCGGGTTCCAGGATATCCTGTGCAAAAGTATCGCACTCGTAGTACTAGTAAAAGTAATTGGAGGCATGCATTAGCGCTACAAATCCGCTTTTACAAATTACATTTTCCATGCTGAGAAAATTTGTATATGCATTTATACGGGTACGATACTTTTGCAATGCATACAGGAAGTTGTCCTGCAAAAAGGACGAGCCCGGCGCCGCGGCAAGCAGCTTTTTCCGTGTGTCTTCCATTTTCTTCTTCTGCGCGTTGGCTTTGCTCAGCGTTTTCACGATCAGCGGTTTCCGGGCGGGGACTTTTACCTTTTCCGCGCTCTCCACCAGCCGGGTCGTTTGTTTTTCACCGACTGCGACCTCCTCCACCGGACCGATCTTCACGGCTTCTTTTTGAGAAGTTTCGGCAGTTGTGCCAGACGTGGAATGCTTGGACGAAATTGCAGCAGCATCTGCAGGGGAAGATGACGGAGCAGTAGAACTCGCGCAAAAGCTCGGCTTGTCGTGATCCTCAGATGTGGATGCGGTCAAGAAGTGTTTCGTGACGAGTACCCCGGATAGGAAGGCGAGAACGACCGCGACGAACACCCCGCAGAGCGAAGTCCGCCGGCCCCATTTCGGCGGCCGGAATCCCCGAGAACCGCCAACGGAGGTGGAGCCCCCTCCGAACAGCAGCGCCGCCTGCTCGTCCTCGATCACGCCCGGCCCGATGGACGTCGACATGTTGGTAGATTTGTCTAGCCAAAAACTAGATATACCACCGTGAGCAGGGTCGTGAGCGAAGTTTACTTATCATGACTTCGATTCAAGAATTACGAGCTAGATCAATATCGGTGATCGATTGGAGGATGATTGTTCCACAAAAAAAAATTTTCTTTTTCCTTTTTCTATCCTCATTTGCATTGATTGTTTTCGAATTTGTTGCGTGTTTGCGGCTGTGCTGTTTTCGTCCGTGTGCTAAACTGATAGAATGTACCAAATATTTACCTTGCGGTCTTTCATCGCGACTGCTTTTACGAGAGGGCGAGACGAGTGTAGAATCACTATCATCGATTTTGTTTCTTTTCCGCACAACGACAAGAAACCCCGACGATTTGTCCAGTACTCCGTTACGGATCTCCACCAGAGTTTGCAACTGCAACAAACGCAGAAATAACCTCTTTTTTTTTCCCGACGAAGTTCGTTGCTTTAATTTTAATTATGCAGCGTGCTACTATACTTAGTTTTATCTTGAAGAACGCAAAGGAAAAGAACGCAAAAAAAGAACACTCACAAGAATGAATACAGTGTCAGATTTCGTGGCCATGCAACATCCAAATCTCAACGGCAGAGTACTAGAACAAGAGCTGCAAAAATTCACGAAGACTCGTGCGCTTCAGAGTCAACATTCGAAAATTTCATCATTTATTCTTCTGCTGGTGCTGGTTACGCTTTGGACGTACACCGAGCATACTTTTACTTTTTCAATGCCTGCATACTCGCAGTCAACATCTGATCGCCATATGTAGTTTTATTCGTCATTTGGATGTAGTAGCGTCGTGATATATATATTTCATCAATCTATCATTTCCTCACGTCTGTCGTCAGATTTCGTTGTCAGCAAGGTCTCGAACAAGTTCCCCACCAGCCGTCCTTCTCACTGCCCACCGCACAGCATCTGGGTGAACTTCGCCAAGCAGCCCATTTGTTCCTGCGAGGCTGGACGGATCGCGGCGGCTGGACTAGTACTCTGAAAGCTGGTCGGTGTCACTTTTACATCACTTGTTTGTTCTCCCTCAGGAACTACAAGCTGCGCCGGTTTCTTCAACAGCCCAACCTTCTTGCCAACAGCACCATCTTCTTGCACGACACCCATCTGCGACGTGGTAGTCGAGGGTCCTGGTCCTCCAGCGCAACAAGAGGCTCCCGCTGCGCAAGTCGTGTCCTTGATGTTATTCTGCGCAGCTGCCGTTGTTCCTAGTTCGTCTTCCTTTGCCAGGGAGGAGGTGTTGGTCACCAGGGAATCCGTTGCGGTCACTGCCGCGGTCGACGGCGTCGCCGATACGACGTCCCGCCCGTGCTCCAATTCCGCTGCAAACCGGCTGATTAAATCGCTGGCGCGGAATTTCTTCGCGTCGAGTGAGGAAGAGTTGCCGGTCGTATCCTCTGGCAAGCTATCCTCTGGGGAGGACCCAGGCGCGGTGGCGGTTTTGGAGGAACTCGACCCGCAGCACGTGTCCGCGCTCGCGGTTCCGTCTTCCGGAGCAGCTGATGATAGGACTTCTTCGATCGTGCACGTGTTTTCTATTGGAGGTGCGGCAGCACCAGCTAATTTGGCGGTCGTAGTGGAGGTGGAAGTAGAAAGCTGCTGTGGCGCTGATGTTCCTTCCTGCTTCCGCGCCGCGCTCTTCAAGTCGTCGAGACCCGGCCCGCTGTCTTTTATGCTCTCGAAAATCTTCCACTTTTCGCCCACCCGAGTTTTATCTTGCCGTATCGCGGAGAGAAACTTTTCGTAGTTTTCCCCACACCGCTCGCGGAGCTGTTTTTTTTGTTTGCAAAGCTTCTACAATCTTAATGAACTTTGGTTTCGTAATATGTTGATGCATCTATGAATTCAGAAACGCTACGCGTTGCGCAATTTCCATGGATCAATCGATCCTCCACTGGAGGCCGCATAATATTTCGCAAGCAAAACAATCGAATCCCGTTCAATATGCTTGAATCGATGTTCGCAAAAACAACCCAAAGCTTACGTGTCCCCACTTCGTGACCAGGTAAAGGTATGTGCTGAGTTCCGTGGCATTCGCCTCTGCTGGCTTGAGCGTTTTCAACCTTTCGACGGATGGGAGGAAGGCATCGACCGCAGCGAAAAACCTAATCATGTTTGCCAAGTGGTAGTTGGAGAAAAAGTCACAGGCTCGTTCGAGAATGCGGAATGGAAGGCGGACATCAACAATGCAATTGATTTTCATTTATTTTGATCCCAGACAGCATGACAAATAAATGGGCTTGTCAAACCAGTTTGTAAGGCAGTAGAACAACCCACAAAATAAACGTTACTCCTTAGTGTCGGCGAAGTTCGCCTCCTTGAACGTAGCGGACACGGGTTTCATCAGGAGCGCGGGCTTGCCGGGGGCTTCCAGCTTTAAATTGAACTTGAAAATAGTTGCACTACTGCCCGTTGTACTGCTTGTTCCGACGAGTGGTGATGGTATATTAGTATCCTTGTCCAGAAAGGCGTACTTAAACTCTGCTTTTGGCATTCGCGGATCTGGGGCGTGCAGGATGATTTTGCTCGTGCTCGGCGTCACTTCATACTTGCCCGGCGTGGGGGTTTTTATGCTGTGGTACATGGGATTCATTCTGCTGAATAAACTCTTGATTTTCACACTTCGGGTAGTTGCATCATAATTCATGCTTATCATGGTCCAAAGAGCTTTTTTCATTGACACAAAACAGACGTTCTTGTAAGCGAGTTTCAAGGCGTAGGCGCCTGAACGAAAGAGCAAAAGCCTATCTTAATGGCTTACCCTGGCACCACCATGTGCATGGTTCCATCCAGAGCGAACACGTAGCCGATGGGGTCTTGCTGCCACGTTACACACTCCGCGTAGTTCTCCACACTCAAATCCGCTATCCCGAACCCCTTGGCCAGTTTAAACTGCACCTCTTTGCCCTCCAAATTGGCCAGCACGTTTTTCAACGTACCGTTTGCCGGCTCCACCCGCAGGCCTTCGCGCAGGTACTGCGCGGCGAGGTCCGCGTGCGTTTTTATCTTCTCGATTTCGGAGTCCATGGAACAACTACTCAGCGCGTTCGTGGGTAGTAGAGTGGATGGTGTTGCAAGCGCCATTTTGTCGGCGGCATCTACGGCTCCTTCCGCTAATTTTTCTCCCTGCAAGAACTTGTCGAAGTTCACTAGCTTGACGCACGCCTGCGCCGCACGGAGCCAGGCTTTGGCGAAGAGCGGATCGATCGCGAAGGACTCCTGGGCGTCGGACAGACTGTCCTCGAAGCGGTCCAAGAGGTAAAAGCAATTCGATCGGTTCGAGAAGAGACGGGACATCAGGGTCTTGGCCTCCTGGTCCATCTGGGTTGGGTCGTAGGTCTCGCCATCCTGAAAAAAATATTTTTTGATGTTGCCTTGCGAATGCGCATCATTGTCGTTCGACCGACATCTCTGATGGTAAGAATGGGAGAACCACCAGGAACTTCATGGCCCCCCGACCACATGCGTATCATTCACAAGCCCATTCACAACACTCATCGATTATTATTACCGGGCTCTCCTTCCTGACAATCGTCTGCAATTTTTCTATCGCTGTGGAGTACGCCGTGCAGGCAATTTCCTGGACGCCGATCTTCCACATCTGATTGCCTTGCTCCTTCAAGGTGTTAACCTCGCTGTACTTTGGGTTCGCAGATAAGTCCGCAGATGAGGATTTCGGCGCGCCGCCCATCTCGGCCAAACTGCCCGGGGGCATACCTTGATATTTTTTTTGTGTCGTTTAGATGGTCTGATCCTGTTTCCTGCTTCATTAATATGGCTACTTGCTTCATCATAGGCAGCTGATCGCTTTGATCACCTCGATGATGCTTGTCGAAGTGAAGCTCCATATTGGAGGATCCAGATCCACTGACAGGAAAAAAGCATTTTAACCCATGTTCTTTGTCAACAAGCAATACCCGCCTTGAACTTGTCCATTTGTGCCTTGAATTGGAAGTAGCTGCTGGACAGATCCCCGTCCGCGCTGGCATCATCACGACCACCCTGTGAGAGCTGCATTACAGCTGGTGGTGGTGGACTCGGTGGGTTCACCAGGTTGATTGCAGCGGGAGTGCCGTTCTGCGCCGAGTTGCTGTTCGAGCTGGCAACCTGTAGTGTGACAGGCGAGGTTCGATAAAAATCTTCCTGCTCCTCAAAAGACTTTGGACTGTTCCACAGCCTATTCCTAGCGTACTACACAAACACTTCTTGACATGCAAATCCTGTGTGTGAAGATCATCATGATCATCATGCATGCCAAAGATACTATACCCTGCTCCCCTCCCCTTGAACGTGCCTCGGCGTGACATTTTCGCTGCTGGTGCCGCTCCCACCACCACCGGTTTTGTTTTTGTTCTTCTTACCCTTCTTTTTTGGCGGCATAGTGACAAGCCGTCAAACAAGTGAGGAAGCCGGGAAAATTTCAAAAAGTGCGCCAGGAAAAGAAAATCGTGATCCAAAGGTGGTCCAAGGTAGCTATCACTGGTCCTCGCAAGTCCACACGGTATGTACTAGGTTTTGATTCTTCAAGGGGATACAAGGATAGGCAAGCGGTCGGAAGGTCCGTAGTCACCGACTGCTCCTTGGTCGTAGGGAAGTGGTAGATCGGTGGGAAGAGAAAGACAGCATCTTCGCACAAACACAAGGTGCAGAAGCGGGGACTTCAAAAAGCGTTCATGATGTTCTCTCTTTTCTTCGAGGAGGGTACAAATCAGCGTGGGGCTTGACAATAACACCGGTTGATGAGGGGGTGAGGCTTTGTTCAGGACTTCTTGTTTACAACTTGTTTCACATTCGACACCAAAATCGTAGTGCCTACCTTATCTTAGAAAAGACAATTTTCAAGTGTTAAAAATCAAAATAATCACGAAGACCTTTCTTTTACCAGCCGAGGTGAAAAAAAGATTCTTCGTCAGCACACTTTTCCGGCTCAAGTAAAGAACCACGAAAGATCCACAAAGACCGGCGTAGTAGCGACACGATCTTCAGATGAAATAAAGGTGTTGATCTTCTCTGTACAAAACACTTCGAGCCAAAACTTGTACCAATTTTTGCACTCGGAGCGTTAGCTCAAAGCTCCTGTCGAATCCCAATGACTGTTTTTGCAGAAACATTGACATAGAGCGGTTAACATGATCCTTGTCCAACACCCCAAAAGTTTGAGTTTCTACTTTTTAGTTTCTTTCTTCCGGTGGCACGGAACTTTTCCTCTCACCAGGGTTATTGTCCTCTGTGTGGCAGAACTACTACGGAACCGATACCGATTGCCAGATCTTTGAGCTCATTTTGTGGATGCGAAGAACACTGGCGCGTTTATTTTCCTGTGACAAAAAACCGATCGACTCCTCTTCGCAGGAGGCACGGCTACGTACTTTCTTGTATGTATACGGAGATTCATCTCCATACTGCACATTGCAATGCCACCTCTTCAAACAGCACGCGGCTTTTTGTTGCATTTTTTTTACAGATAAAACAAAATGTATCGCACTTCGTGATGCCACTTCCTCTCAAAGCATACCTGACACAGAAGTGGTCATCCCATCTTCTTCAACAGTACAGCATTACCACTCTTCCATCCATTTTAGTCATCTTCCAGACGGATAAAGTTGAAGATCCGTTTTCTCGGTTCCTCCACCTGCCCCGTCTCGAAAGCCACATGGTGCTTGTACCAAAACGACTCTTCCATGCAGTCGAAGCTGTACTTTCTCAACTTCATCTCGTCCGTTTCCGTTTCGTAGCCGAACAGCGAGTAGATCCAGTTCTCGAACTTCTCGCTGGGGACCAGCGCGGATCCGCGGCCCCAGTCCAGTTCTCTTTGCGTGGGCGCCTTCACGTACTCGTAGCCGTTGCCGAAGGTCTCGGGCTGCATGGCGCGGAAGGGGCCGAGGAACATCAGCGCGTAGAAAAACCACGCTTGGTGGGAGTAGATCTGATAAAAATAATGTAGTTGCGGTTTGCTTGTTGACGTAGTTGATGCTCTACTTCCGTTATGCTGCACAAAAAGATAATCCTGTGGACAACACCAACCAATTTGAATACCCACCACCGCGCCTTCGCGCGCAAGGGCGATACAATCCGGTCCTGGTTCAGCGTCTTGATGTGCCAGGGTAACCTCGGGATGTAGGCGAACCAGGGGCGGCCGGGTAGGCCGTTGTCGGCGGGGCGTTTGTAATACCAGCTGATCGGTGAGTTGTCCACTTCGCCACTCACCGGGTGCTTCCACTGCGAACGGCCCGACGAGGTGTCAGGTTGAAAAATCAAAGACTTCTGGTGCAGCTTGTGATGCGGATCAATCTTGCATGTGCAAACGCAAAGAAACCACTTAAGATTTAGAATAAACCAAACTGTTTAACTTGTCCCTTTGTCAGCAACATCACAAGTTGTACAGAACTTCCCCTTGTCTTCCCTCTCCATAGCAAGGGTGCAGATACCACTTCCGCCCTTCTCGGTTTTCAAACTGGAACCAGCCCGGAGCGACCTTCGAGCATAGTTTTCTACTCATGCAGGACGAATTACTGGTATTCACTTTGTCGTGCTCGAGCTCACACAGACCTACAACTATACCAAGCACAACTCATTATTTTCAACAAACTAACCCTTCCTACCTCTGGATGTCCGTCCGCGACCCCGCCGCCGGGTCGGTCGATGCCCTTGAACTTCCGTGCGACGATCGAGCCCGTCACACCCGAAACTTCGAAGTCTTCCTCAATCAACTTGCCCTTGTACGCCGGCAGCGGGTCGTGGTCGTTTTTTGTGAATTGGTCCGCACCAATCACCATGCCGCCGTGCACCGTCCAGCACTCGTGGTAGGCGTCTTTCACATCGTCCTTCAGGAAGCGGCCGGAATTCTCGTTCACACCTTGGAAAGTAAAGAATGATCAATGTGTTTTTATTCTCTCTCATGCTGAACCCCCAAAAAAGAGTGATCTTGTCATGTTGATCCTGCAATACAACCAAAAAAAATGTAGCACGTCCCTCAATCCAGAAAATCAAAACCTGGCGGCAAAATTTCCTCGATCGGCTTGTCCACCTCCTTGTTGTAGCAGGGACTGCTCAAAACCGACGCCCCGGTTTCCGGTAGCCAGGGGCTTAACGGCACCCGGTGGTTCTGGTCTTGGCACGCGCTTTTCGGCTCCTCCTGCTTGAAATACCGGTCGTGCCCCCGCTTTTTCACGAACTGAAACTGCTGGATCACGTCCGCCAGTGCGGCGCCACTGTACCGCGGAAAGGCCCGCAGCTTCTGTGAAACTTTTAATCGCGCAACACATTCTTTGTTTTAAGCCTTCGAATGCTTAATCTAGGAAATCGCGTTCATAAGGTTTAAGCATTAAAATGCCTAAACTAAGAAGTCGCAATTTAAGCATTCGAGTGCTTAAATTCACGGAAACGCAGATTGCAATTTGCTTTAGCAAATTTCAAATTTGCTCACACAGCTTCAAAGATAACCAGTCAATTAGCCATTCGAATGCTTAAAATGATTGTTTATTTTCAAGCAGTTAAGCATTCGAATGGCTAAACTGATTGCTTGTCTGTGCAGCTGCGTGAGCAAATTTGAATTTGCCCAGAGCAAATTTCAAATTTGCTCACGCAGATTGCAGTCTGCGTTTCCGTGAATTTAAGCACTCGAAGGCCTAAACGCTATATCTACCGCGACCGAGCGCGAGTGTTGTTGGTGTTGCTCGAGAGACAAAGAGCTTTCGCACCCTGGGAAACAAAAGCTCCGCCGGTGCAAGAGCACAGAGCCAAAGCGTCCCGCGGCGCTTTTGTTAAGTGCCCACCCCGCGCAAAACCGCCGTGGGCGTCGTGATCCCTCCAGATCGCGACGCCTGGGGCAATTTGCCCGCAAAAGTGTATGTTAAGTGCCTGCGAGCCCGGCGTCGCGATCTGCTGAGATCACGACGCTAGCGACAGTTTTGCGCGGAGCTTGCAGGCACTTAACAAAAGCGCCCCGGAGCGTCTTGGCTCTGTCTGTGCTCTTTCCCTTTGCTTCGTCGCCCCCGATAAAACATTCGAATGACTCAAAGCAGCTTCACAAAGTTGGCAAATAACGGCTCGCAGGGTTAAAATAGGGAAGCAGCAGATTGAAATTTGCGTGAGCAAATTGGAATTTGCTCTGCGATTTTTTAAATTTGCTCGGGCGGTTGCAAAAATTCTCTTCATTTAAGCATCCGAATGGCTAAACGACTCCTTCTTTTTCGGTGACTTTAAGCGTTCGAGTCGCTATTTCTAGACTTCTTGCAGAAGCTCCGGAGCAAATTTCAAAAACCTGCGAGCAAATTCAAATTTGCTCGCGCAAATTTCAATCTGCTGTTTTCTTATTTTAAGCACTCGAACGCTTAAACTCAAAAATATCCGAGTTCTTAAATTAAGCACTCAAATGCTTAAACGCTAAAATCTCAAAGCATCCGATTTCTCAAATTAAGCCTTCTCACGCTTAAACCTCTAAACTCTGCTCTTCGATTAAAAGTTTCACGGAAGCTACTTTGACGGACCACATAACCGCTGTACCGCGGAAAGGCTTCGCCACTGGACCCGGGTAACGTGCCGGAGGGCGGCAGGAGTTTCTCCGGCGTGCCTTGGCCGGGCAGGTACCCGGTTTGGATGGCGTCATAGGCGGCAGTGTTGGTGCGCTGGTGTTGCGGACTGGAAGTGGAAGAGGAGGCAGGAGAGCAGCTACTTGAGGAACTAGAGGCTGCCCCACTCGTCGTGGAATCGATGGTGGCTGTAGAAAACGGACGGTGTTCTAGTACCTCCTGCGGTCGTCCAGCAGAATGTGCTCTTCGGGGCCAATGACGATGTAGCTGCTGCTGTATCGCCAGAGCAGAGGACGGCGCGGAATGCCGCTGAATCTTCAAACCACTGCAGGCGGCCGTCTTCATCGTGTTGCGTGGTGCGGGTGGGTAAGGTATTTGATGCCCGCCGAAACCGAATTTGAAAATGCAACAGACTCCGGCCGCTGATGTCAGAGCGACACGACGACAGGCGGCGATGAAGAACCCGGAAGCTTGGTCACAGGAAAAGACCCAACATTTTTTGCTGAAAACAACTTGTTGTTTCGGAAACGATAACGAAGGAAACGAAAAGGGAGATAGACAACAAAGCAGGACGACGTACTATACACCAGGAAAAACACTCGCTCCGCTCTTCTTACCGCTCCGTGTTCCTGTCTTCAACAGCATAATTCCCTCGCTTTCCTGTCCCTCCAATGTGTTTGAAAAAAAGACCAATGTGCGAACAAATCTGGAAATACACGGGCGCAGAGAACAACAGAAGCGCAAAGCAAAAGTTGCTCTTGCGCATCCGCCTACATGATAATTGATTCGTCTACTTTTTTTACTAGCTGTATCTTTCTTGGATCATAGCTAAAATTCCTTCCCGTCGCAAATCCGAAATCCTTCGCTTTTACGTTGTTTTTCCCCCCTTATTCCACCTCAATTTCTTCGCAATGGACAGATCCTCCCCCACCGCCTCACCCCCGCCGTCCTTGTTCGGCGAACCAGTAGTTGTACCGCCAGCACTCCGATTCGCCGGCAACTTCGACAAGTACTGCCGGTGTTTCTCGAACACCGCACTGGGCCGCGCGTCGATCGGTCCTTTCGCCGCGCCGGAAAACGCTGAATTCGACAGAGAGATCGACTCCTGCAACGTCTGTTCTTCCTTGGACCTCCTCTTGTTCTGCTTTTCCTGCTGGGCCAAAACCGCTTTTAAGATGATTTCCTCCTCTTTCTTGAACACGATTTTGTTCTCGGATTTCCAGACCGCGAACAGCCTCGCCAAGTGGTAGAAGGGATCCACGGGGACCGCCGGGGGCGTATCAAATGCAAAAATGTCTGGGTCTGGAAGAATGCACACTTGTCATGCATATTTTCCATGCCTCGTGAGGTCTGGAATGCAGGACCTAGCATGACAGATTCTGCGAATTCTCTATCATGCCTATCCTGCATGAGACACTCCCGCTCATGTTGGTCAAAAACGGACAACTTTTGGTGATCACGCAACACAGATTTTTGTGTGACCCACCGGACGCATCACAAGTTCCATCCTCCCAGACCCAGACATTTTTGCATTTCATAGGGCGGCTTCACGAGCGAATCCTCGTCCACCACGCCCGCGTCGTCCTCCTTTGCCGTGTTCAAACTCGTCTGCACGCGGAGCGTGTTCTTCAAGAAATTTTCCGTCGGGTCCACTTCGACGCCGGCAATCAGCTTGTTCAACTCCCGCTGGCTCGTGGCCGCGTTGGCCGCTTTGCTGGTCGTGGTCGCGGTGACGTAATAGCGGGATATTAGGCACGGACTCCGCCACACCACCTCGTCGATCCAGGACAGCTGCGGGGCCCCACTGCCGGAGTTCTTGTCACCACTTGCCTGCTTTTCCCCGCCCCGGGAAAGAATCACACTCGTGCCCCCGCGACTGAAGGGCGGCCCGGGGAAGGTCTCTCTCGCGACGATGGCGCCGTTCTCGAAAAAGAAGGCCGCGACGTTTTTCCGATCCTCGCGGAGAATCTTGGAAATGTCGGCGTGGGTGTTCTCCCATTCTTTTGTTGACCAATTGATCAGCGGCTTGAAGCGCAGCAGCATCTCGCCCTTTTCCAGGTGCAGCGGGTAGCCGGACCCGCGTCGCGTGTGCTGGTCCAGGCAGTAGAGCGGGACCTTCATCAGCCGCGCGTCGGCGTCGACGCGTTTGAGCTTCAGTGCGTCGAGGATTTTCAACCTTTCCGAGGGCGCATTTTTCGCCACGAAGTGCTCGATACTCGTGTCTTGTTTTCTCGACGGAGCTTGGCCGTCCGCGGATTGCATTTTGGACGGATCGCTGGTGCGTTTTGACGGGAGGAAAAGTGGTCTGGTGACGTGCAGCGCTGTTTGCTTGATTTTCAATCCATGTCGTCGTTTTAATTGTTCGATACCACAACTACTGAGTCACATGCACCGACGGACTACTGTAATCCGGGAACTACAACATGAAAACCTGCAAACTTTTCAACACCAGAACGCATTAACTCTGTGTTCACTGTCATACATTCAAGTTCAATTGCATTTCTCCATCCGCGTGCAGCAACTCCTGCAGCATGGTCCTCCCCGCGCCCTTCGCTTCCTCCACGTTGGTCTTCCCCCCGTCCGACGGTAATACCCACGGCCACCTGGTCGTAAACAGCAGTATTTGGTTCAAGCTCATCTTTGCGCACGTCTGCATCTCGCGCCGGGAGAGTCTCTGCAAGGTTTGCGCGTAGTTCCGCACCTTCGCTTTCGGGATGCTCCGGATCAGAACGGACATCAGCTGGTCGCGGTGCTCCGTATCATTTTCCGACGCTCCATTCCTCGCCAAGCACGTGTAGACGGAGAGAAAAATCACTTGTTCCCGTTGCAGAAACTCCCTTTCGATGTGCAATTCTTCCGGCGTGGGTGTGCCGCTCAGCCCGGAGCTCAGCATCGCGTTCCGCGGGACGTTGTCACGGAGCCACTTCTGAAAATTGGCCAGTCTCGTCGTCAGTGGCTGCAAGGGGTCGGGGCTGTGACAAGCCGCTTTCACCAGCGCGTCGTAGTTTTTGCGGAACTGCTCGGTGTGCTCAAACGCGAGTTGCTCGTCCGTTTTTTCGTTTTCCACCTGCTCGTCCACGTTGGCATTTACCGTCATGCGGTTCATCACCTCCGCGTCTTCGGAAATTACAGGCTGCTGCGGCTTACCATCTTTCATATTTTTTCCGCTGTTCATCACCTCCGCCCTCTGCCGATACCCCGCGTCTTTGTTGTCACAAAATCGATCGTACAGGCAGTGAAACGTGGCCTGCATCCAGCTGATTAAAATGCAGCTCGTCCTCGTCTTCGGCTTTTTCGCCAGAAACACGGCGCAAGCCATGCAGATCCGGCACGCGTCGTCATCTGCCGCCTGCTCGTCGTCCGCGGTTTTACTCGTCACCACTGCCTTCAAGTACTGGTTTCGCACAGTCGCCACCACTTCCACCGACTCCGGCGCGGCGATCCCGACGTCCTCGACCGCCATGATTTGCATCCGGTGCATCGCCGTTGCGCCAAGCCGGGATACGTGTAACTCACCCGCCCAGAACGCCGCGGCGTCCGCCTGGCCGCGGCGGACGGCCTTTTGGAGGCAAGAGAGGACCTCATCGACGGGGTAAAAGTGCTCCGTGTAGGAGAAGGGGTCGAAGGGAATCACGTTGCGCTTTTCCTCGTCGGTGCCCATGGTGGTGGTAGATGAGAAATCGTGTCGTGTGGCATAGGGTTTAGTGGTGGTTCAAAAGCAACGTAAACTTCGGAGACGGTAAGGTGCTCAAGACAAAGTCGAAGATGGAGATGCGCTATCGCTGCACTTGGGGAATAAAGCTATCAAAATAGTATAGCAAATCTACTTTCATTACCCCCGTACGAATTCTCACTCTAGTAAGAAATACCTTCACAGCCTGTCGGCGTCGAAAATAGTTGTATGAACACAATGGTAGAGGCAGTGAATCGCACTACAAGAATGAGCACGCAGGTACTTCTTTGAGTCCGGGCGTCGAGGGAGATCTTTGTGATTATTAGTATGTCGCTTGTCGTTCTTAGCATTGCGTTTTCCGACAGTCGTGAATTTTTCAGAGCGTTATCCTCAAAAGCACGTTTCTTCAACACACCAAACAGCGCTTCTGAAAAGAGAAACTATGGAACAAGTCAGATCCCATCAGTCGCCTCTGTGGCCGTTCCTTCTGCCACCAGCGCCCCCTCCGTAGCCGTTATATTGCCCAGCTCGGGCATTGTAATTGGGATCCCGTTGCAGGCGAAGCGCACGCGGGTTCCACCTCTCGGCTGTAATTGTAAGGGTTTTGAAACCATCAGCATGAACATCTTTGTATGCGTTTCACACCAGAAAGAGAGCTGTGAACACGTACACGTGAATACATTCGGAAAAGCAGCAACACAAAAATAATTTGTACTCCATGATTTCCCGTCCTGTTCCAAAATCGCGACTGACAGCATGTCGCCGATTTCGAAAATTCTACCCTGCCTGAGCAAGATCGGTCGGTAGTCCTCGCTCTTTTTGAAGACGGAATGAACCTCGCCGAGATTCAGGGAGTTGCTGCGACCATCGGGACCTGTTTTAATGATGATACTTTTCTTTTTCGTTGGTTCGGCCTACACTAGATGTGCTGACAGTTCGTTTTTGCGTATTCCCGACCATGGTCGACTCGGATAACACAAATCCTTGACACAGCTTTGTACTTCACTAGATGTTGAAACAAACCTCACTCTCACATTCGTTCTGTTATACCTGGATAGATCAACCTGACGTCGAGCATGCAGTTGCTTTTTCTCGTTTCGGGCACCACATCTTTGATCAAGTCGGACAACTCCCGCAACGTCACGTCCAACCAGGTGTACACCTGCAGCTCGTCGTCTTCTTTCATCACCTCCCTGGTGTTGAGCCTGTGGTGCTTGCCGTGCTGGTGCCATATCCTTAGCAGAAACGGCGGCGTGGTGTCGCGGTTGATCTCGGATAACGGACCACCAGCAGGCTGATCTCCAGTCTTGCCTCCTTGCTGCCCCCCTAACGCGTTGGTTACGGTTCCATTCGCGATAGGTTTGTTCGGTCGGTCGAGGTCGCCGTTTGCGCGTGCCGCTCTGTTATTTGCTGGTTGTTCCCCGCCTCTGGGTCGTGACCGGGATCGACTCCTCCCGCGAGCGCCGTCGCGCTGTCCTCTTGTGTCGGGGTAGTTGGTGCCGCCGCGTCTGCGGTCGCGGTCGTCGCTGACACCGTTCAGAGCTGCACGGTAGGCCATGGTGTTTGTGAAGCTGATGGAGATGGAAGTTAATCTTCGACTGTAATTCAACGTTCCAGAAGGAAATGAAGTATTCGCATGCGCAACGGCGAGTGCTCAATACGATCCACAAGCCATTTGCATTTCCGAAAAGAAGGTTACTATAAAAAGAGAAGTAGTAGCCGATAAACGACTGAATCAAATTTAAACCTGTCTATATCGCGACGATGAAACGAAGATTTGAATGAGGCACGAGAAGCGTCTTCAACGCGGATCTTTAGCACGTGATCTTGGTTTGTAGCGGCGCAGAGCCACGCTAGATCGTCAACCACGAACAGATACAAACCTCCTTCTAAACAACTCGTCCTTCTTGCGAGAGGGCCTTTTCCTTATACTTTGAGATTCGTTCAGATTTTTACTTTCTTCCCAATTCATGTATGTTACTGGTTTCATTTTTTGTTACGTAGAATTTGTAGCTCCTACTACACCTCTTCAGTAGGATCAGTGGGTCGCATTCTCGAAGTCTTGTCTACACCGTAGAGGCACTGTTGATGCTGGTATTGTTTTCTTGTTCATCCAACACAGGACCGCGTGTAGATTTTCTCTGAGCTGAAGAAAGTGCCGCACCACTGCCGAGCCGAAAAGCAGGGCAGCGCACAGCACCAATCAAGTTTCAACGAATAAATTTATTGTCCTGTTCACTATGACATTGAGTTTGAGGTCCATATTCGAGATGAGCTACAAATAGATACTTACTTTCCCAACTCTACCCTCCTTCAAATTTCGCTTGGTTTAATTACACGAGATTTGGTATTGATTTCCATCTTAGGTATAGGCGATAGGGTAGGAGGCTTTGATGATCTTCAAGAACTTCATAAGACAGACTTTGCAGTCTTACCCTTAGTGGTAGCAGTACTGCAGATTGTGATTTTGGTAAATTGGAAAGGAAAACGGAAAAAAACACAATCGAATATAGAGTAGATACGGAAAAGGAAAAAAAGCGATTAATGTAGGATTTTGTAGTAATTTCATCCTGAGAATATATCTTCAAAATGCACAAGTCTAAACAAAGTATTGAAAGAAATTTTTGTTCTCCAAATTTACAGGTTTTTTCATACTCAAATGGAAATGACTGCAATTCCTTTGTTAGTTTTCATACCTTTTCCTACAGGTAAATATGCCACTCCCGCCTTCTTCCCCTTGCAATTTGGTATGGCAACAACGAATAAAACTGAAGCGGGAATAGGAAAATGGTTGCAATTTCGGGAAGGGGTGACTTTATTTACCGCACTACGAGTTTAGTGCTTCTGCGACTTTAGAAGTCGGAGATGCTTTTTTTACTTCTTAGATATACGATTCCTTCGTAATTCGTCTGATTCCAAACATAAGCTGCTTGCACCTGCAGCTTTTGCTAATGACTGTTGCTATTCCTGATTCTAAATAAGATTCCCTGGTGTTCTTGCACGGATTGATTCATAGGTTCTTCTGATTCTGCTGTTAGTTTTCCTGATTCTGATTTTTCTGATTGTCAATCGTCTGTTTCGATTCGTAAAAATACCTGATTCTGATATCCCTCCTGTGTCCTCTTTGCTCTAGAATCTGCTCACATCTTCGCGCGAATCGCCTCGATGTTCGATTCCATGAGGTACTTGCAGGCGGACCGGCCCGCCACCCGGCCGTACACCACGCAGTCCAGCAGCGAGGACCCACCGAGCCGGTTCTCCCCGTGGATGCCGCCGTTGACCTCGCCCGCGCCGAACAGACCGGGGATCACCTTGTCGTCCTTGGCCTGGGCCTCGGCCGCCGGGGTCACCTTCATACCACCCATAGTGTAGTGGACCACGGGGCAGACGATGGCGACGTGGTAGCCATCCTCCACGGAGTTCGGACCGTTGTGGTAGAACTTCTTGCCCCACTTGTCCCACGACTTGCCGCCGCCGTAGGCATCGTACGGTCCGTTCTCCGGGTCCTTCAGCTGCTTGGCCTCGACACTGTGTAGAAAATTCGGGTGTTTCTTGTATTGTTTTGATTGTTGTAGTTCAAAATAAAAATGCAAAAATGCAAAAGCAAATACAATCGAGAAGCAAAATACTGAAACAAACATTTCCTATTGTACTCGTTGTGTTCGTCGAAGGTCTGCTGAATGGTTTTCACGTCAATATTCATTTCCTTGGCGAGATCGTGCATGTTTTTGTAGTGCTTCATCAATCCCCGGCCCATGTAGTGCTTGCAATGCCATGCGATCTCCTTGCTGGCCTTCGTGTTCAGGCAGAGGCGGAAGGGACCTGGAGAAATTATGAGGTAGCCACTTCTTCATGTACTTAAGTATTTGGTCAACACACTTTATCTTCAACCCGTTGATATTTACCCTACACAGTCGGGTCTCTTGCACATGTGAAACGCTCGAGAAATCCCATTTCAGAAAAAAAAAAAACGCAAACTCCAAACTCCTATACCCTTATTCTCGAACATTTTCCCAGAGACGTAGTCGCGTCGGCCGAGCTCGTTCGCGAACCGTTGCCCGTTGGCGTCCAACAGGAGCCCGCCGCAGCCGCGGAGGGCCTCGGCAGCGAGGAACAGGGTCTTCCCGGAGACGTCCATGCCCTCCTTCGGGTTGACTAACCCGGTGGGGTGGACCTGCACCCAGTTCAAATCCACGGCATCCGCGCCCGCGTCGCGCATGGCAAACTTGATCCCGTCCCCGGTGCAGTGGTCGCCACACGTGGTGGGCATGTTCTTCAGGTCGGGGCGGTACTGGTGCAGAATGCTGTCCTGATCGTGGTCCGCGCCGTACCCGCCGGTCGCGAGGATGACCGGGCCGAGCTCGTTGACGCGCTTGCCACCGACCTCGACCTCCACGCCGGACACGTTGCCCTTGGCATCTGAGAGAAGAGGGTTGTATGTCAGTATTGCGAGTACTTACTACTAAGGCTATCCCTATTCCTTTATCTGCATCACAAACTCCCACACGATGCGCTTTCGTGCAACACAAATCCTTTCCTTATTATTCACATTTACCTTTCAGCAACTTGGTCATCTTCGCCTTGAGCATGATGCGAGCCTTTTCCGGCTGCTTTTCCGCGATTTCCTCCAATTTCTCCATCAGGGCAAAAGTGATGGTCATACCCGGAAACTTCTGTCCGCCGCGGTGGGTTCGGGGCTGGGAGTGACCACCGAGCCGGGAGACGAGGGACAGGTCCAGACCAAAGTTGTCGATCAACCACTCGACGCCCGGACCAGATTCCCAGGTGAGGACCTTGTGATAAAGTATTTGATTTTTTGAGTTCATGTGCTTTGAGCTGCAAGCAGTATCGCTGGAGCTGGTGCAGTTTTACATGCATCACAAATGTTGAAGATTCCTCTCTCTTTTTAAAAGTACCTTCGCGTGCTCCTTGGACTTCGCCCCGCCACGGATCGTGTCCTCCTCAAAAGTTTCAGGAGCGTCCTGGACGCCCTTAGCGCGCTGGGTGCGGGTACCCGCCCCGTTGATACCGGATGTAGCCTTGGTGGAGTTTCCGCCCATGAACGGGTTCTTGTCGATCAGCAACACGCGGCTGCCACGCTCCATGGCCGTGTGTGCGGCCGAGAGACCGGCGAGACCGCCGCCAACCACAATGATTTGATCCATAGTTTTCCTTTATTGGGGGTGCTTTTTCACGGGTTTCAAAGGTTTTTCACTCGGAGTGGGTAGAAGATGTCGAACCTCGTTGGGTTTCTTGTTTTTTGTGAAGAGAAACTTCCCTTCACTGAAGAAAAAAGCTAGGCGTTTATTTGCAGAGTCAGTGTCAATACAACTGGTAGGTTTTAGTTACTTATGACTGTGAATCTCGGTGTAGCGATGGGGGCCTACAGAGGTGAGAAATCAAAATCGGGAAGATGAGGACAATCTTAGTTATGGTCAATCGAAAAAATCAGAATCACTCTTTCTTGGGACTCCCAGTCAGCAATCGAAAAAACGAAAGGCCGGACGAATCGGTGGTATAGATATTGGTATGCAGTGATGTCAAAAAATAAGTTGGCTTTACAGCATGCAAGTACAGCTACTAGCTTAGAAGTTACCGCACTTAAAAAATTTGCTACTTAATCACCACAATTATCGCCCTGGGAAAAAATTCGGATGAGAAACTGCTAACTCTGTGCAAGTAGAAATTTAGATTTACTCTACCCCTTAATTCGCCAATAATCGCATACTCAAAGTGCTCCACTATCCCATATTCTCTCTCAGACGCGCCATTCTTCACATCCACTATCAAAAAGAAACGTTCGCTCGAAGAAATATCGCTCCAGGCACGGAAAAACAGACCGATTATTTCCAGGTGACTTCGTATTCGTCTTTATCTATCAGAAGCTTGATGAACTCACTGTATGTAACCGCTGGCAAATCGAAGTTTTTGGAGAAAGAAAAGCGCAGATTTGTTTTTCCGAGAACCAAACTTCATGTTGCACACTAAGTCACTGTGTCGGGTTGCTGTGATTACAGTATTATGTAAGGCGACATGGACCGATATAGAAAAATGAAAGATACTCAAACCGATCTCTCGAGGATGGTAAAAGCAGAATACACGAAGAAAAGTGACAAAATGCAAAAATAGAGAAAAATGAGATACTAGAGTACATGATAAAGCATTTGTAAAACGTGAGCAGTTACTTAGGTCCGCCAAAATTCAATTAACAAATCCTGGTGAGGCGATTGCGCATCCAGATGATTCAGGCTGTAGATATTGGCTCATCTTGAGACTGACATCCCTGTAGCAAAAATAAACCGATAAACCTAAACCAATCTATCCAAAATGGAAAAAAAAATGTTCATAATTTCAGGTACACACACGACCAGCGTGTGCTTCCCCAACAACAATGTCCCACTCAACACTACCTTTTGTTGATGATATTTTTTGCCCGTTTCGCCCACTTCAGCGCGTTGACCGTTTCGTCCTGATTTGACGCCGCGGGGGAGCAGTTCACGAACATCAGGGTTTTCGCCGTCCCGCCCAACGAGTCCTGCATCAGCTGCGTCAGCTTGTGATTTCTGTAGGGGATCACCGACTGGGCCCCCTTCTTCGTTCCCACCTTGGTCAACGCCTCGATCACGTCACCGAGAGCGGTTAACGACTTGTTGATCTCAATCGCTTCCTTCTGCGCCTGCCCCTCCGCGCCCGACTTGGCCAACCGCTCGCTCCCGGCGAGATCGCAGAGCAACAGTTTCCCGACCGTGCGGACCTTGGTTTCCAGATTGACCGAAACGAGCTGCACGATCGTGATCAAGTGGGAACGACTCGACTCGCTGTTCATCTTTGTGGCAGCGACCGCCCGGTTCGAGAATCCCTGGTCGATGATCGACAGCATCTGCGCCGCCGTCTCGATCTGTTGTTCCCGGGCGTTTTCCACCCGCACCGCCCCGTCTTTCTCGATCCGCACGTTGATCTCCGGCTCCTTCTGCGCATCCTTGTCTTTCGCCGGCTTTACTGCCGCGGCGGGTTTCTTCCCCCCGCCGAGCGCGCTTTCCATCTTCCGGAACAAATCCGTGAATTTCGCACAGTACAGTTCGATCATGCTGATGGACACCGTCGTTCGGAACCTGCTCGCGTCGCGCTCCTTGATGCGGAAAATTTCATTGCAGGTCCTGGGGACAACCCCCGGGTGCTCGTTGGTCCCCGACATCGTGAACGTCTTCCCCGCGCCGGTTTGCCCATAGGCGAAAATGGTCACGTTGTACCCGTCGAAAGCAGACTGGATTAAATCCTGCGAGTCTTCAAACACGTCCGCTTGCGTGCTGGACGGGAAGAAGCAAGAGTCGAACGTAAATTGCCGTTCGGCGGCAGAACCCGCAGGATCCCCGACCGTCAAGGTACAAAGATCCAGTTGCGTCGTCACTTCCGTTTCGTTGTTCGACTTCTCTTTCCCCGTCAACGGCCGGACACGGACGAACACCCGGATCGACCCCTTCAAATCCTCGATGAAGTTGTGCAGTTTCTTCTTCCGCAGCTCAAAGCCCGTCAGAAACGACTCGGCGATTCCCGCTTGTTTGCACTCCGTGAAGCACTTTTGGATTCGTTCGCGCCACTGCTTCAGCATGTCACCGTGTTCCTCGTAATCGTTGAACTCCAGGAAATTTTCGGTTAGTTGCAACAACTCTTCCACCTCGCCCTTCAAACGCATGCGCTGCCGTTCCCGCTCCAGATACGCTGGGGCTTCGAGCAACACCGGGTACTGCTTCGCGGACGCTGTCATGTCCTCGAAGACCTGCTTGCAGCGCATTAACGCCAGTTCGATTTCCTCAATCACGCCCTTCGCCATCGCCTGCTTCAACGCGGACACCGCCTCCCTCCTGGGGACCTCCGCTTGGAGAATCGACTCCGCGAAAGCCACGTCGATCTGCAAGACCCGGGCGGTGGCCACCGCCGCTTGCAACGCTTCCACATCCACCGGCTTCTGATCCACTAACCGCAGTAAGTTCGCTTCCGCCTTCGCTTTCGATTTGAAGGCCGACAGCATTTCCGCGAACATCCGCAAGTCGTTCGCGGTCAGCACCACCTCGCACTCCGGCGCGAACCCCGGGGTCACGCGGCTGGTGAACTGCCGACTCACCGATTTCTTCACGGTCGTGGTCACCCGGTCCTTCTCGTCGCGAATCGATGCCAGCCGCCCGCTCGCGCCGCCCGTCACCTTCGCCCGGAAGGTCGCGCGCATCTCCGTCACTCGCTCGAAGGTCGAGAGTGCGCGGTTGGGTGTCGCGTGGCCGCTGAGCCGCACCTGGCGATACCGGTTCAAGATCATTTCGAAAGATTCGAAATCCCCTGCTTCCGCCAGTTTCCGCAGCTCTGCTCTTGCGTCACGCCGCCGTTTCGCTTTTTCCAACACCGTGTAACAACCAGAAACCACCTCGTCTTGCTCCTTCGAGCACCCGTACGCCTCGGCTTCCTTCAACACCCGCTCTAACGCCAGAATCTCCTCCGTCAGCTCGTCGCCCGACTTGTATTTCGCGGAGAAACTCGCGATCTGGATACCCAACCGGTTCAGCACCCCCGCTTTTAGGTGGAGTGCCTCAACAGCTTTCTCCGCCTTCAGGATCATCTCGTCCCAGTGCAGCATCGCTTTCTCCGCGTCCGAAACCTCGTCCGCCAGGCGGCCGCAGTGCGTCAGCGCGATCCGGAGGTTCTCCAGCGACTTCAACCCCATCGCGTTTTGCAATGCGTCCAGCGCCTGCTCCGGCGTCTCCTGCACTTGGATCATTTGCGCGCCGATCATCTGCGCTTCGAGCGCCGCGTCAATCGGCTCGTTCGCCTGGTAGAGCTTCATCAAGTAGAGGTTGCTCAGAGACGGGGACAAAATGTCCGCCATGGACAGAACCGACCGCTGCCTCCGCTCGTACATTTTCCGCATCATCTGCCCGGACTGGTGGCTGGCGAAGAGAAATGCGTCCTCCTGGTCCTGCAGAGGATCTAGTGGCGTGATAGTGAAGACATCGGGTTGATTTGCTCCAATCCCCATACCAGACCCGCTCCTTTCGAAGTCCGGACTCAAATCCACCTGCATGTGGCCCTCCTGACTGGTCCTTGACGCACGGTACAGACTACCTGCAAGGGTCTTCAACTGCATTTCCAAAGCCAGGAATTCGGGCGTAAGTTTTTTATCCTTGTCCGGTCCTGCGATCCCGGTTTTCGTCGTCAACAAACGTCGGGTCTTCTTAACATCGTTGTCCTGGTCTTGCTCTCCGTCATCTGCGTACATTTCGGGTTCCAGATCCGTGGTGTTCTCAATGTCCTCCGGAAACTCAAAGTCGTACCGCTTCACCGCTTTTGCGAACTCCGATTGCTCGTCCTCCTGAAATTCTAAACCGGCGCGGAGCAGCAAAACCCCCATCTTAATGTCCTCGTTCATGGCGGCAATGTCGAGGAGGCTGACCCCGTCGTAGTCCTTCTTCAGCAGCACATCCTCGTAGCCCTCGCTGAGGCAGTAGGTAAGTAACACGTCCACCACGTTGCGGTCTCCCTCGTTTTATCGAGAGAAAAGCTTGAGTGAAGTCGACAGAGTTTGTCATGCTTGCTGATACTCAGAAAACCAGAGTACTCTTTCACGTTATGCTTCATATCATACGGGAAACTTGCACTTTTCAAACCCCAGACTTGGCTCAAATCCTTTCCCTTCCATACGTCGACCGCGATGTGCAGCGCCGTTTCGCCGTACTGGTCCACGGCCCCGACGTCTGCGTCCTCGCCCAACAACATTTCCACGATGTCGGCGCGCTTGCTGTCGTGCTGCCGCTGCTTGATCGTAGTTTTGTCGGTCGCGGTATGACTTGTAGTTGACGTTCGGGCCTCGGGTGCGAAGACCTTGCGACAAGCGTACATCAACGCTGTTTTGTTGGTGTCGTCGCGGAGATTAACTTGCAACAACGGGTCGTCGATCAAGAACATTACTGCGTCGAAGCGTGCAGGTCATGGAAACGAAAAAATGCCTGGCAGCGGCGTGCGGCTGAGACAATATTCCAACACGAACAACAATATGCCTTCTCAGCTACAGCACAGAATTCCACACCAGTTTTCCAATTCCTCCGTCAACGAATTTGCGGGTAGGTACTTTTAGTGTACATGGAAAAGCCAAAAGCGAGCCTGCAGACAATGCGTGCTCTGTGTTGGAAAAGAAATACGTAACATCAGCCGCATGATACTGAAAGAAACACTTCTTTCTTTTACTTTTTCGTACAAACGCTGAGGCGTACATCAATGGCGTCCGCCAGCGCACGTCCTGGACATTCGGGGTAATGAACTCGCGGGCACGGGCGACCTCGTCCTCAATTTGGTCCAAATTGGAGAACTGCTCCGGAGTGCTGAAAATCGTTTTTAGTGAAGATTGATAAAATCAGAATGTTGCTACTGATCACGCATTTACTTTTACACCGACGATCTTCAGTTTTCAAACACTAGCGAAAATGACACAGGAGCAGAGCCAAAGCTTAAATCTTTACCCACACAGCTCGGTCAAGACGTCCACATTGCCCGCTCTTGCGGCTTCAAGCACTTTCGCAGCGGCGGCGATACCGGGCGCCGCTAGGCTCTTCCGGATCGCCGCATTTCCTCCACCTACGGCTGGTATGACAGCCGCTCCGCTCTTTCTGGCGATGATGTCGCTGATTCGGGTTTCCAGTTCGCTCACATTCAGTGTGACCATACCCTCCTCAAGCTTCGAATTCGCGCGGACGCTGGTCCGCGGCGTCGCGGATTTCCGGCCGCCTGGGCGGGTCCCCGTGAGCTGAGAGTCGTTTTCGTTTTCTTGAACGGCTGTAGAAGGATCACCGGTTGCACGTGCAGTTGTGCTCGTCTGAAACGAAGCTGACCGACGTGGGCTTGCGGAAGCCTTTGCGCCAGGAGGACCAGCGGCTTTGCCAGCTATACTTCCTCCAGCTTTCGCTTTGGCCCTCGGAGTCTCTCCCCTTAGTCCGGTGGTGGTACTAGGACTCGATGTTGGTCCTCCAGGCATCCGAGGCGTCGCTAGCGGTGCGCGCGGAGTAGTAGCCGGCTTTGCCGCCACCGCGTTCACACCTCGGACCGCAGTGACCGCTTGCTTCAACCCCGGAACGCTTTTTGCCGTGGCCTTTATCGGTCCTTTGCTCGGCACGCCGGCGCTCGCGGCGGCCTTGCCCGCGGGCTTCGCAGCGACCGGACCACCACGGAACATGTTTTGAGTGAAAACGCTGCGAAGTTTGGTCTTCAAGCAACTAATTACTTCACGCAGCGGAGATAACCAAAGGATAGGTTATTGAATGTTGCAATCACTTCGGTGTCATGCAACCTCAAAAAAAATGGGTAGTTATGGGATAGCATCACCAGCAACAGCGAAAGTCAGCACAATATTTCTGTACGTTTCGAAGACAGGAGATGAAAAAAGACGCCGTAGTAGAGCATGACCACGAGCGACCATATCACGAAATACACAAGATCTACAGAAATTATCGTTTTATTTGCACCGAAAATCAAGCACGCCAGTAGGAAGTTCTTGACCGAGCGAAAACTTAGGACGCCAGCAGATGAATAATGCATTCGAACCTTGGATGACAGGCACCGGCGGGCGAGGACATTCTTGACCGATACTGAAATCAGTCGAAAGCACTCGCACAGAGAGCCATCCCGGCAGAAAAAGTAAGTATTCTGAGTCGCAGAGAAATCGCGAGACCGACAGGAACATGAAGGTACAACCGATACAATTTTTTCATCCTTTTGTAAAACCTGCAACCGACCGCGAACAGGCAACAAACCGCGATTTGCATGTGCCGACAAAAAAATAATGATATTCGACTCGAACAAGCATCAAGAAGCAGGCCAAAAAACCACAGGCCCATCCTGCACTCTGTGTGCTGTTTCCGACAATTCTGATAAAAAGATGAGTATAAAAATGAAACCCCAGCTTCTTGGAAACTGTGTATAGTATACTAGGTACCATAATCTCATTCTTGTTCATGAAACCACTCTCCTGGTGTCTTTGCTCCTTTTCGAAGGGAGGCGAATTCTTTGATTACTTCTTCTGAACTACAAATTCATTTCGTAAAATACCCCAATCTCTTTAATTTTTTTCTAAACCCCTCGAACAAATCTGAATTCACATACCGAACGTAGCTATGCATTTGGATTCCACTTTTCAAATGACGACGCTTCCTTGTCGCAATATTACTCTATGCGACATTTCACTCTATAAATATTGCTGTGTAAAATCCCATAGGGTACCTGAGCGAAACATGGGTACCTGAGCGAAACGTAAAGCCCTGGTGAAAATTTGGTGATGGAACGTCATGCAACTGCAGCAGCCCAAATTTATCGAGCAAGACTACAGCTCTCGTTCCAACTAGTATTATTATGTAAAGGTGGACAGAGACGGAGCAAGAAAAAAATGTTGCCAACCATGGAGCTTTGACGTTTTGTTTCTGATTCGCAACAACATTTTCACGGACATAGAAGCAAGCCCTATGTATGCTTCTTGTTCTTCTTGGTGCTGTTGATTCGTTTCGAAAAGCAAAAATATAAGTTGGATGCCGTGTGGATTGCTTCGCTCTTTGGCAAAGCATTCACTTTCGTTTTTCTCTGCATGCTTCTTGGAAATTCATCCTAAATATCGTAACCAATGTTGGCAAGTCTTCATCTATTGAAATTACTATAAAATTGTTTCACTGACTTGAGAAGCAAACGAAAATATAAATAGGTAGAAGCAGTGGTGGATCAATGAATAGGAAGTCGCATTTTTTTACAGTGAATCGGGCTAATAAATAAGATGCGGCTATGCAAAAAATAATATATTCTCTAGTTTCAGGGCGCAAATGTCCCAAACTAGGCCGAAATGTGCGCATGTAGCCAAAAAAAAAATCATGCGTCAAATCGTAAAAATTGAGAACGGTGCTGCCACAGTGCACTGTTGTTGCTTGAGTACACCGCTTGCTCAGGGTCAAGCAGCAGCTGGCGATGCAAGCAGACCATGAGTAGCGGAAACGTTTCAACCTACTTATTTATGGAAAGAGGAAATTATAAATTGATTTAAAAATCCGACGGGACATCGTATCCCAATATTCCCGGCATTCAAAGTATGTGGGAACAAGATGTAAAGGGGACGAAACAACGCCATCGAGAATCTAACTTTGGTGGCTGCTATGGAAATGTGAACTACGCTATGCAATACCGTCGCGTTGCGGATGCGGCGAAAAGATATTTAGTTTTTCCGTTCGAAGTCCGCAGACCAATAAGCACAAGCTGCAGTACCCTACGTACTTTAGGCTCGCTTGGTCTTCCAAGCGGAGCGATTGACTGTTAGTCACAGCATTGACCGGCTGCAAATCTTCACTTCGAAACCGGGATGAAAAATCACTGGATTATTCGGTCTCTTCTCTTAAATGACCATGCATTGTGGGGGAGGACATCTCTGCAACTGTACTCAGCTTCTATGCAAACTACTCAACACCTTTGTCTTTCTTGAGCTAACCATGGCTATGCGCATGCGCACCACATTCAGAAGATCCTCGTGCTGGTCGCGTACTGCAGTAGCCCAAATTTATCGAGCAGGACCACAGATTTCGCGCCAAGTACGAATAGGATCGAAATCGAATCAAATCGAAGTTTTACAGTCATGGTATGCTCGCAGTGGTGCGGCGGTAGCGAGGAATTCAACAAAAAGAATTATAGGCGAATCGATTTTCCCAAGAGCGAAATTACAAGCGTGTCGAGCCATCGCTCCAAATTTTCCTCCAGTGTATACGCGTGCGGACAAAGTACGAGTAGGAAACTTGTGACGACAGTGACAGAATCAGAAATGCATCTTAAAGCTGGTGTTAGTTGAAACTTGTTAAATTGGGAAGCAAAACTCAAAAACCTATGACATTGTGGTCGGAATCTGTACACTTACAACCCATGCGTAAAAAGAAGTGCGATGGTCAAAAATATACTTTATTTATAATATTCATATTTCTTCATGATATCTTTGTTGCCCGGGAGCAAAAATATTCTGAATCGATCAAAAGCTTTTTGGAAACATCAGCTTCACGCAGATTTCCTTGGTCTACCTGTGGCACATGCTCGGCGTCGTCGTTCGAAGATCTTAATTTACGAGTTGCTGAGACTTGAGCTGGCCCTGGCTCCTCAAGTACAATCGCAGATAGCCCTGTTGTCAATACCAACATCGGTGTGTGAACTGAAGGTGCGTGGGGCACAGCCAATGTATTGCTTCGGGAAATCCCTCTGGCAGTGGGACTGGGTTTGGCTTTGGGAAGTAGAAATAATACAAAAGGAGCAGCATTTGCTACAACAACTTTCTTTTCACATGGAGCGGGTTACCACGCGCGAGCATGCATACTAGCGAGGGCAATTGTGGTGTGATATACGTTCCTCGTTGGCCAATCTTCCTATTCTATGATTAAGTTCAATCATTAAACTTATAGAAAGACTGCACGAAGGACGGTAAATCAAAGGCGACATACTATAAAGCTAAACTGGACTCGAATCGGATCAAACAGAAGGGAAACTGAAAAGTGAAACAGTAAAAAGCTAAATTCCGAAAGAATTGATAGAAAAAAGGATGTGTGAAGATCCAGTTCGGCCAGAATATCGCAAAACCATGGCCCGGTTGAACAGTTAGCTCCTCATATGAAATATTGCTGCCGCTGTGATCCTCTGCAACTCAATATTTGACAGGGCAATATCTCTCGACAATAGGCTTTGAAACCACACAGCCTAGGGCCTTTTGTCCGAGAAAACTTAAATAATAAACGCTTGTAAGTTCAGCTGCAGGAGCCTTCTTCCCATTGAAAGTGAGAAGGACCAGTCGGTGTACTTACGTTCAAGTAGGAAAAAACGCAGCGAGTATTGCACCAGGCAGCAGATACAAGGGCTCAGTAATACGTAAATTGGAAAAAAAATTGCTTCGACTGGCACTATAGTGTGCTAGTTCTGAAAGAAGACAGTCGTGGTTTTGTTTGACACGAATCTCGCGCAACTTTCATCCAATCTTGCTACGAGGCCGGGGAAAGCGACACCGACAGCATCAAGAAATAAAAATATCTAATAGTACTGTGCAAACCCTTCAATCCCTCTTCGTTCTCGCAAGTTGAGTGGACGTCTTGCTGACCGAGAGTCTACTACTTCTGAGCCCGGTTGAATACAGAAACATCGTGTAGCAGATCTTTCTATCTTTAGCACTCTACTTTCCTTAAAAAATAACTCGGCGCGTCGAGCTCCAGGCATGTCTGAGTCTGTTCAAAAACTGCATAAACACTTCCGCACTCCCCTGCAAGTTGTACAAGTTGCGCAACGTGAACTTTGTGCATGCAGCAACGTTTATCTGAATCGTAAGAGAGTGCTTGGGGGAAATGTAACGAGGAAGATCGGAAAATGAAACCACTTCTTTCATCTGGCTTCAGGAGCGTCGGAACCCCTTCGACATGTCCCGCGTCTTCGGCAGTTTGGTTGTTGGTCCGACGAATCGAAACTCACGTGGATCCATGGTAGGCTGGTGTGCTGGTCGGACATGCGGCACAGACCCGGCAGCAACCTCCGCTTTTCTCCGGGTGGAAGAACTCGGCACGAACAGCTCCGACTTCTTGGTAGCCACTGCTGCGCGCCGGGGCTTCAACAGCTTCTTCGCCACTTTCCGGAAATCGAAGAGCGTTTTCCCCTGGGCCACAATTTTCTTGCGGAGCGGGTCGATGGTGGTCTTCTTGATGTGACGTTGCATTCGTCCCGAGCGGCCAGGGTGATCCACGCGCTCCATTTTCGCCTGTCTCCATCGCGCCATGAGCTGTAAGTTTTTTTTTTTCCAAATTTCATTAAACGTTTTTGGCCTTTACTGCTGTTGAGTGAGTCAATTTATCTAGAAGACAACACGCGGCAATATGTAGTCATAGTCTTGCACAGACATACAAAATTTATATATCGTTGCGAACAATAGCTTACCTGAATTATGCCTGCCTTCTGAGCCTTCGTTCTACACTTTCGCTGCTTTTGCCAATTTTTCATTGGCTGTTTGGTGTTCATGTTCACCTTGTACCTTCTGAGGATCGCCTTTTTCATTCGTTTGAACGCTCCTACGATTGCTCCTCGATTACGTTTTCTTTTTTGCTTCATCGAAAACTGGGTTACCCCGGACACGCCGGTGTTGGACTTGGTATGCGCGTGTTTCGATTTCCCTGGCTGCGCTGCTCCCGACACGTTCAACGCAAGCCGTCGAAACACTGTGGTGTATTAGTATTTGTGTAAGTAGAGGAGGAGGAGGAAACCTCTATGGTCAGCTTGTATCTTCTACTAAGATACTCCTGTCTTAAGCTAACCATAGGACTTAGTTCTGGCGCCGTCTAGCCGAGCGGGTGTATTTGTGTAGATGGAGTGATCACCTTGTAGAACTCTGTTTCCGGAGCACAGGGACCATTTGTTTCTCATCTCATCAATGCATGACAGGCTCAACTATCCGCTCCTTCGACTGCAGAGCAAATTAATATAATACGCTTTGCGTCTTCTAATGCAGCTGCTTTTGCGTCGCATCGGGTCGGTGCTGGAAGTCCCTTTTCCGAGGCTGCAGCACGAAGCTTGCGGAACTTCGGCGCGACGAAAAAAAACCTTTTGTTTTTATGTCCTCTAGCGCTAGCTTGCTTCATGAGCATGTATTCTTGGGAAAAAGGCCTAAACATTCATCAAATGCACACTTCGATCATGTGCATGTCCCTTGCACCCAAGGAAGCGCATGCAAATATGCGGCGTAAATCAAACTCCTTTTGTTTGTTCGAGTCATCTTTTATACCGCTTCATCCTCCGCGTTGTCTTCTTTCCCACTTCCCTGTGCTTAAACTGCACACGCCAGCAATCGTATTCCGCTGGGTCCTTTGATGGTACTGGGACCTTACGCGTGCCGAACACTTTCTTCTTCATCACGTAGACATTATCTTGGTCTTCGTAGCTCACCAACCCTCTTCGTGCGTGTTCATCGTCAAGCTTATCCTTCGAACTCGCCTTCTCGAGCAAGAACAACTTCATATACTTCCAGCCGGGAACATAAGTAATTCCCTGATGTGCGGTAGTAATTAACAGTTTGTTTCCGGATTTATTTTCAGCATGCAACGACGAACACGACAAATCCAAATGCAAATCCAAAAAGGTATTATAAATATCGAAAAAATCGACAAAGAGCATAATAGTTGATCAAACCTGATGAAGTAAGTATGACACAACCTCCGTCAACAAATGAAAGTACACCAAAGCGCACAGAATACCCGCATATCTGGACGGATGGGCTTGCCGCGACTGCGAAGATTCGGAATAGCATGGGGCAGGGGTCGCGGCAGCGGTACGCTGGGCGACCACACGACATCGCTCTTGGAGGATGGAGAAGAATCATTGGTACTGTCCACACTGGAGGCCGGCGAAGAATCTGGTGATTTGAAAAATTCGTGGACATTGAAAGTCCGATCTATGTATTGAATCAATATGTATTCCTGGTGCTTGTTCCCATACATGAACAGCACCTCATTTACCGGATGAGCACTCCCTGCTTCGCGCGAACCGTTTTCCCAAGTCCTTCTCGAACGCTCTCCGGAGAGCGCCAAGCGTTGGCGGGAAGGCCGCTCCAGATCCGCAACCAATAGTATGGAACTTGGAAAATATCCTAACGCGCTTGCCATCGCGTCGCAACTTGTGAAGTAGTAAGAGTCTGTCTTCATCTTCTCACTAGGCATTACAACAGCAGCTCAAACAGGAATGAGAGGGCAGCGATCCTTCCAAATGCATCTTCTATTTTTTCACATGATGGCGCACTGACAATGCAAGTAGTTCTCTTGTGGAACAGTTGTCAACGCTGGCAATGGCAAACGATCATTTTCCGTCTGGATATGGCAAGAAGGCTGGCTCGAGCTTGAAAGGCACTGGAAACCATTTGCTAGTTGTTGTTGAGCAGTGATTTGAGTTGGGGTCCACTGAATGCAAGCCGTTCTCCTGCACTTCGCTACTCCAATGCTGCTCGTACTCCAATCTCGCCAAAAACTCCTGGTACATGGACAGCTTGATACCGCAATTTTGGAATTTTGGACTGGCGGACTGCTTGTCCTGTTCACCGACTTCAACGCCAATCTGCAGTCGCATTCTCCTGTACTCGGCGTCCAGAAAGTTCTCCGCAGCCTCCACCTCCTCCAGATCCAGGAAATTGTAGCAGTGCATACCCTGGGGCAACTTTCCGGAATTTCCGAAGCAGGCACGGTGCAGATCGCCATGGGCCGCAGTTTTCGTATCCGTGCGTCGAAAGAATGCGCAGCAGAGGCAGCAGGAAGCGCCTGTGGTTACTGCCGGCTTAGCGCGATGAAAACGTTCCTGGTACGCGTCTTCGAAAAATCTGCGGCAGCAGATACCTGGTGATATACCGTTTCGTCCGTTTGAATTTGTAGTGAACGATGCGCAAGCTCCAAAGTAACTACCATCATCAAGAAATCACAAGCTCCAAAGTAAACCACTACAAAGCCACATACTTTGTTTCTTCAGAAACGCGGACAAGAGTCCCTTCGGCATGCCAATCTGTTGATCCGCAGTCGCCGGAGGAATTTCCACTTTTCCTTGCTGCCCCGGAGTGTGACCAAAAACGGGAAACGTGGAAATCTCGAGTGCAGTGGGCGACGAAACGCCCACGACACACGCGTAGCTTTCGGTCACTATCTCGCTGCCGGTCGACCAAGTCCACGCCGCGTTGACAAGGTGAGCAGGCGACACGGACCCGGCACGCGCATTACAGCGGCCCTCTAGCTTATCCAGGAGACAAACCGACTTATCCAAAAGCCATAATGATACGATACAACAGTTTAAAACCCTGCATGGCTTTTTTTCGGCCACCTCCGCCGAAAAAAAATTGTTGTCGGCGGGGGCGTGCGACTCTCGGCGACGGCGCTGACGTTTTTTGTGCTCGTCTGCATGCTTGCTCTGATGATCTTTCAACTTCTTGGACAAGAGGTCCTGTCTCTTTGGATACAGCGTTTTCGTGCCGAGTGGCCCACAAATCCCCCATTGAACCAGGTCCACGCCGGCTGCGTCGTCCCGCCCCGTTTGCGTTGCGCCAAGCGTAAAAACCGGCTTGCCACTGCTGGCAAGATCCGATTTGTACATCGGGTAGATCTGACCCCCGACCTGCGTCACGGTATGCGTCAGGAAATACCATCCGCTCACCTCCGGGTAGTTGTCGCTTTGCAGAAAAACCTTCGCGGGTGGGTGCTTGGTGTCGTGGATGCAGGAGGTAAGCCGCTGATCAGCTTGTTTTTCTTGGGCCTTATCTGTTACCGCGGAAGAGTTGCGGGGTCGTGGCTCAGCTATGTTGCTCAGCTGGCGGCAAGCTATGATCTTTCTCTCTTCTAGTACTTTCGCTGGAAGATGAAAAGTTGAAGCGCCTTGATCGCTGCTGGTATCTTCGTGCTCGGTTTCCAGTGGACGTTCACGCTTAGCTGCGGTCGCGCAGAAGGGAAGCGACGAATCTGATTGCTTTTTTTCGCTTTTCTCGTCAACAACCAAATGCCCGCCTCCGTTTTGTTGTGTTTCACCTGTCGCTTTGTTTGCAGACCTACTGACGGGAACGGGCGCTGCACTCTCCTCCTTCACTCGTCGCAGTGGACGACCAAAAAAGCCGATACTTTCTGCCTGCGTGTTAGTTGAGGCGGCTGGTAAATGACTCAACAAAGCAGGCGATTGCTGCTCCTTCTTGATGCGTACTGCTCCTGCTTTCTCGGGAGTGTTGTGGAACATGAGATTTTCGTTGGCCCGAAAGCGTGGCGACTCCGGCGGTGTTGGTGAAGTGAGTTCTTTCTTAATGCGCACAGGACCGCATCCGCATCTGCTCGTGTACTCAGGCTCGCACTTCGTGGGGCTGCGGCGGCGATCAGCGGCCCCGGGTGAAGTGGGCTCGCACTTGATTCGGATCGTGTGAGCGGAGTTATCTCGCTCTTCGGCCGAACTCGTGGCGATCAGGTCTGGGTCCCGCTTGATGGATCTTTCACTCTTCACGTATTCAAAGGGAGATGCCTCTGCCTTGAATCGAACGTCCGGAGAACTCGAAGATTTAGCTTTCAACACATCACGAGCTTCGCCAGCGATGCTGGTTGACACTGACAAGGTTTCCTCTTGCTTGATGCTGGTTTTTCCGTTTTTGTAAAAATCAGGAAGAGAAGACGCTGCTGAATAATGCTGGCTTAACGCAGCCTGCCTGGACAGGGACGCCGATGCACCGTCGTCATCAGGCTTTTGCTTTTGTTCTCTCTTGATCCTTGAGCGGTCGTCTGCTAGTCGTGGCGAGTCCAGCTCGTGTCGTTCCTTGACTCGGGAAACACATGCTGCCGCTGCTGCTTCTGATTCGGCAGCGCAGGTAACTTGTGCATCGTTGTGATGGTCGCTTCTGGTGCTTCCAGTCTTGATTCCCGAATCAAGATGCGGTTCGACTATCGTCAAACGAGCTGCGCGTTGATTCTCCAATCGTTCTGCTCCTTTTTCACTCAGCAAACGCATGGCGTAGCCGTTCTCGAGCAGAGTCCTTGCACTAGAGCTTGTCCACTGGTTCCCATTCGCGTTATCCGCAGCAGCGGTACTGTTTCTGGTGCTGCCCTGCTCTGCATCTCGAATTCGTCGTAACAACCACACCAAGACGGCGCGCTCTTTGAAATAGGTAAAAATCTCGTTGAACAAAATGTCTTCGCGCGATAGTTCGCTCTCTCCCGAATCCCGGAGGGCATATGCGGCAAGTAGGTCTCGTTCTCGGTCGAAGTAATTTCGTACCTCGGAAAAACTTCTGCACAACCAAGGCGATTCTGACTGGTTGTGTGCTGTTTTATGAAAAAGGACCGTTTGCGTTGCTGTTTTCAAAGAACATTAGAATAGATATCGGTATCGTAGGTGAGAATGTTTTTCGTGCTCGTAGATAGGCTCCAAGAAATTCATACATCTTTGAATATTCGGGTGTTCGCTTGAAAATGCTACAACAGCACCATCAACGATCAAAAAAAATCTCAAAAAGCAAAACACACGAAAGTGATACCGGATGGATTGCAGATGTTCGCGAATGTCTGTGTCGCACTGTGACTCCCTCTGTACCATTTCAACGATTTTAGCAATCCCTTGTGGGACCGGTGCGGCTTGTGAAGTTTCGCGACGAATTTAGGAGGCAAGAGGTGGGTTTCTATATCGATGTCTTGACTCACTTATCCCTGTGCAGTTGTTTTCTTTCCGTCGGCTTGTTCTACTTTTATACCTCACTTGTACCTGCTCTTTATCTTTTACACCTCTTTTATCCCTTATATTCAAATTCAACGATCTACACTTACAAAAAAAGAGCGCTGAAAGCAATACAAGTCAGTCTAAACGGAACGGCCACCCTAGTCCAACCTTGGATTATGGGCCCATAAAACTACACATAGTGCCTGCCATTTTCATTCCGGTTATATGGTGGCAGAAACTATGGCAAGGAAAGAAACTTCTTGACACGGCATACTATTTCGATGAGCTCGATGCAATGAACGTCATCCGGGATGTCGTTGCTCGTCGGTGCTGGCACATTCGCCGGCAGCACGAGATCTTCCACCGATAGAGCCGCTTCCGCTGCCGCCCGCGATATCGTATTTGCTGTGCGTTGGGCGTACGTAGCAGATGACTTCAACCCGTCCTCGATCGTCCACAACGGTGGCTTTTCGCCGCTTGGTGCTTTTGCTGTGAAGGCCGAAGAAGAACACGTCGACGGTTCGGCTGCGTCTTCACGGGTGTAGAAATGGGCAGGGACTTGCAGGCGGCGCCTACTCGTCGACGAAGAGGAAGATGAAGACGACGCCGATGATGATGCGGAAGCCCTGCAATTCTGCAGCTGTAGCTGGTATTGGTAGTTTTCTGCCTTCGCGGCTAGTTCTCTCCGCTCCCGATTGTTTTCGGCAAGGAGGTGGTTCCGAAGTAGTTTTCCTCTTTCCGCAGATTTCGGCACAGCGAGCGGCACTGCATGCCGCGAATCGATGGAAACGACGCCTCTACACGTATAGCTCCCTTTTTTTTCTGCCGCCTCTAGCGTTTTTGGTGGCATCCTCCACCACATTTTTTTTCCGTCCTTTTCCGCCACCCCCTTCCCCCAGTCCGCCAACTTGCGTGCGTAGCCATACCAGGGGTGTCTGGTATTCCTTATAGCACCGACGTCCACCCATTTGCTCGGGGGAAGAAGCCGCGCGGCGCTGTTTGATCGCGGAGGCGACCTCGAGGCCGAGGGGCCATCGTTCTTCGTCTCCGCCATCGCTTGTTTTATTTCTCCGAACAGACTAGTCTTCGTAGAGCCAGCATAGCATTGCAACAGATTATGCATTACAAATTGAACTCAATAATGCTAACTGTAGGGTAAAACAGACTTCTTGCATCGGTTTTTGAGGTCGAAAAATGAGGAAGAGTTTGGCGGAACTAGATACGAACGGAGAGACGAGCAGCGAAGGAGTAGTTCATTGGCATTTTGGTACCATTGGTCTGCTGGTAAATCATGTGCACGACTCTGCTAAGAATGGCAAGCACCCACTAGCCTAAAACTACACCCCGTTTGCTGAGGAGATGCAGATCGATCATGATCTGCGTCACCAGCCCCGTCTTTAGCTTCCTCAGAAGAAACATGAACCTTTGGGCGCAAGGCGAAGGCGCGCGCTAGCCTGGCTACCAAAGTTGCTATGAGTATGAATCAGGATGCTGCTCTGACTTTTGTTTCCAAAATATCTTGCTGCCTCTTTGCTTCGTAACTGAAGCCACTTTGTGTATGAAGCCAGCACTTTGAGAAGAGTAATGGCCTCACAACAATCATAACTTGAAAATGTAGTTTTGGATTCGGTCCGCACCCACTCTCGCTCAGCTGATTATGCAGCTCAAACAGCTCTTTTGTTTGGTTCCACTAACATTTTGAGACGTCTATATTGAATTCAAACCATGATGTCACTGAAGATCAATCAAACGCGAACATCTCTTGTTGTCGACAGCGACACTTCATGGTGGATCCACAACCAACTTTGAACTGGAGTAGGGACAACACTCCGCTTCTAATTTTTCTTTTTCTTACTCGGGAGCATTTAAAAGTTTTTTCATCTTCTCTGAATCTGAAGTAACTGACTCGAGTTACTCATGCCGCATACTGTAGCGACGCAAAGAGCGCGCAAGTTACAATAGAGACGAAGAGCAGAAACGACCACGCAAAGACTGCAATCGCACCTGCCATGAAAACTAACCACAATCCGACGTGCAACGATTTCAGGAGAATCAACTCCCTCTGCTCCTTTCCCGCTTTTTCTACTACGCAAATGGCGCTCGCCGCCTCTGGGACTTCCAGAAGCAGAGTTTGTGCTCCCAGCAGAGCAAATGCACACATAGCCCACCACGTCCCCCGATGCCAGAAAAGCGTCGCCAGCAGCGTCAAGTTCGCCACTACCGGGTACCATCTCCCAACATTCTCCTTCATTCGCGATCCGAACTCCGGATCGACTAAAATTGCACCTTTCTCAGCGGCTTTTCTCGCTTGCGATTTTGTCGACGCGTTCGCCAAGCCGATCGGGAAGCTGAACTTCCAACCCGTGAAGAACTGAATGTACGCGTCCGTAGTCGTTGCCTTCTGCGGTCCAAGACCCAAAGGGTTTCGCACGCCGACAGCCGTCCGCATCGCGTCTGCATCTATCACAGGTGAATTCTGCAGCAAAAGATACAGAATCGAATTTTCGCAAAACTCCTTCCGCGCAGCTTGGTAAGCGGTGTAGAAAAATGACGGTCCCTTTTTCGCAGTACTCTTTGTCTTCGCTTTGGCCTGCTCTCGTAGCAGTCTCGCGAGTTCCGCTTCATCTGCCCTTTGATCCGAAGATCCTTTCTTATTTTTACTTCGCGATTTCTTCGCTGTTGATGTAGTCTTGCTTTCCGGTGCCTGTTGGGCGTCATCGTGAACGTCGACTGTGTCGGAGTCATCGTCAGATTGAGAATCCTTTTTACCCGCTTGCAAAACCGCTCCAACGCCTGTGGCCTTCCTGCCGCACGTGTGGTCTTTACTTGGGACCTGTTTCCAAACTTCTTCTTCCCGCTGCATTTCCTCCCAAAAGTCGTCCTCCTCCCCCTCGTCCCAATCCTGCTCTTTGTCTGTGGTCGCTTGTTGTGACACTTGCGACTGCGCAGCAGTGGCAACTGTCTTTCCTCCCGCGGTCGTGTCGCCATCCTCCTCCGCTCTCGACGCCGGCTGTTCTTGAGCCTTCAGATCAGCAACCATCCGCATTTGCAGCTGCTGCGCTAATGTCATCTCGTTCGACCGCCACTGGTTCCCTCCCCCACGATTTGCGATAGTGGCCTTATTCGCCGACGCACTCTTGCTTTTACTCGTCGCTGGATTCTTCGCTGCGGGGTTGGGAACGACGTGCTTCACGCTGGTCCAGGTCGTTGGTCGCGCACGGTCGAAATCGTCGTCGCTGTCCGTCGCACCGAAGTTCTGACGGGTCTGTTTCAGATGGGCATGCGTGAGGGTGAACAAGAACAAGCAAAGGCTTTATCCATACGCGGATAGACAGGTCCACCGCTAATCTAGCATCCGAAACAAACAAATCATCGTTAGGAATACCTGTCGCAATTTCTCCAACTTTTCCCCTAACTGCCGCACTTCTTTCCCCAAATCCCGCTCCTTCCTCTGCAACGCGTCCGCCTCCGCAACGTTTTTCAACTTGTGCTTGCCGTCCCGCCACTTCTGCAGCGTTTCCGCTGCTTTTTCGTGCTCGGTTTCGACTTTCTTCGATTCAAAAATCAGCTTCCGAATCGCCCGCGGCTCCTTCAAAGTACTGGTCTTGCTGACCTTTGCCAGCAGCTCCTGCAGCTTCTCCTCCTTCTTCCCGTTCCCCTCCGCCTTTGCCTGGGCAAGAAGCTTCTGGACGTATTGCGAGACGAGCTTTTTCTCCACCGCGGTGAATTCCAAGTCGTCTTGGGTCAGTAAGCGGGTTTGGAGTTCGGTTTTGAGTTCCTTCTCGTCGAAATCTTTCTCCTCCTGCTCCAACTTGGCCAGGAGGCCGTACAGGGAATACTGGTCGAGGGACATGGTAAAAGAGTGTGGGTAATGGTTACTTGCGATGTGTAGTTACTCGGGGGATGGTGGACTCAGAGAACTTCAATTTATTTTGGTACTCCTACTTGTTTGGTTGTACAGAAGAATACTTCCATTGAGAATTGACTACGGTTTATATAGGGTCGACGTCCTCGATTACGCAATCAAAGACATTCGGGATTTTCTTTCGGGGGGATCTTGGGAGGTCGTTAGTGCGGAAACTTCAACACACAGAATATCAGGAACAGGATTGGTTTTGGTACTACCGGTTTCATGGGACTGATAAGACTGACTGAATGTTAGTGCTGAAAAAAGTGAGGTCAGTGTGACTAGCGATTGACATCCAAAACCAAATCGTAGTGCTCCTATGAAGAATCAGAACCAGCGGTCAAAGGCAGTAGATCTTTTTCTGCGGCAACCTGTTCGTTGTACCGTACGAATGTGAACTTGGTCGGTGATGTTAAGATTTTGAACTGTCGATGCAGTGCGAGGCCTCGTGTTTTCTAACACTGCAGAAACGACTGATAAAGCGGCCATTTTCTTGTTCACGTTTCTTTTTGTTTTTATTGGTTGGCGCAAAAAATTTTTGCAGCTGCATAGCTCCTAACCTAACATCAAATCGCGCAACTGAAGTCAAACTCATGTTTGCAGCATGTTACTTTCAGCAGCCCCTTCATCAACTTCCTCCGCAGACTCGCCTGCGCCATCTTGTAATGCAGTGGCATCCTCGTCCCGGTCAACAATCTCCAGGCCGCCTTCTTCATCTTCGACTTCGTCCTCTTCTAGCATCCTCTGCTCCGCGGCTGGTGGAAGCAACGGCACGCGCCCGCTTATCCTCTGTCTCAAAACATTCTGATTTTCCAAATTTTCCTCCCCCTCTCCCTCTTCACCGTCTGCTCCTATTGTTCCCTTCGCCATCTCTTCCGCCTCTTTCTGCACCCTTTCCGCCTCCTTTTTCAACCCTTTTAAAATCTGCTCCTGCGAAAACTTCCCCCTCAGCCGGTCCCCGTCGTAGTTGTGTTTGTGCCGTTGTTTCATGACGGTGTAGGAGCAAAGTGCGGCAATGAGGAGGAACATGATAATCCCCTTCGGTAAGTAGATCTTGTCCCAGACCCGGCGCCACCAGGGCTTACGCGCCAGGTGCTCATCGGCAACGTCGCGTAATCCACCCGCATCCTCGTCGCTGAAGAGAGAAGTGGTTTGTTTCGAATTCTTGCCCGAAGCGGCTCGTTTCTTTGCGATCAGCTCGTCCCGTTCGGTTGTGCGGTATACCCTAGGGGGTCGTCCGCGACGGCCTAGGATCGTTTCGTGAAGATCTGCTGGTGGAACTGCCCTGTTGCTGCCTGTGCCACTCCTTCCGGATTTCCCCAGTGCTCCATTTTCCTTCTCATCGGCTGTAGCAGCGGCAACCAGTTTCGAGATCTGGAATTGGTACAGGACTTCTTCATCAGATGGAGCCACTTTTGCTTGATTTGGTCCAGCACGACCTGACGAAGAAGCTTTCAAAGCAGTCGCCCGGCTCCTCGCATTCACCACCAGCAGCTGCGGATTGGTGGCCCCGTGAAAAGGTGAAATCGCGAAGTCTGAGATTGCCAGGTCCGGCAGCAAGTCGTCGAAGAAAAAAACCTTCCCTTGCGGATGGTGCGACTGCGTGCCGCCGTAAATCCCGATCGGGTCGTTCGTACCCGGTTCAAACTCAGAACCGAAGAAAACGAGCCTTTTACCACCTGGCGATTCTTGCGCACTATTTCGTCCCGCAACAGTTGCACTGCCTCCTTCTTGCCGCAGCTCCTGCAACGCAAATACGTACCGGTCGGCGATCACGTGCAAATTTGTCAACTTTCCTCCGACTTCCGGGAACCGGTTTTCCAGTAAGCACAACTTCTCCGCCCCCTGCCGCTTCTTCACGCCAGAGAACGGGTCCGGCGTGCGGTCGGATAGGTAGACGAGAATCCGGCTGCGCTTCGCTCTGTCGTTCGTCAGCAAGACGAAGATGCGCAGCCCGTTCTGCGCAGGCACGACTTGCGAAATCCGCCAGGCGTCCGTCCAGCCGCCGCAGAGGGGCTGCATCACCTCTGCTTGCTTCGCGGCAAAGTAGCCGAAGTAGGATTTCGTGAAAAACAAGGAGCGCTCCGCGACACTAGTACCCGCGACAGACATAATTCCCAGAACAGGAGTATCCGCGACGCGAACGGAGAGCTTCTCGGAAATCTCGTGGAACATGATTTTGTTCGACCCGCGGCCGCGATTTGATCCTCCACTAGTACCGGTTGTTTCAGTGCCGTTTGGCGAAGGTGTCCACGTCAGCGTGCTGGTGGTAACAGCGGAGGACAGCAGGAAAATCCGGCCTGCGTCGTCAGCAGTGAGGAATTCCCGGCCGCCAGAGAGGATCTGAAGGGTAGACAACGAGGTTGGGAAACTGCTGGTGCTTGAGGGGCTTTTTGTATTCTCCGTCTGAAGATTTCGCCCAGCAGTAGCTGTGCTCTTAAACGGCATTCTCGTCGTGTAGGCCAGTAATTTCGGGGTTGCAGTACACGCCCATTGCTCGGCCTGCCAGGTGCGATCTGCCGGGAAGCCACGGATCAACCAGACGGCCCGGCGGTTTACCGGCTGGATGGAGAGGATGGTTGATGTTTCTGCTGTTGAAAGCGATTGTTCCGTAGCCGTTTCGTTCGTGGCTCCCTGCTTCCGCACCGTCTGATGCGCAATCGGCTGTACTGGCCCGCTTTTCAAGAACGCCATCGACTCTATACCGGGTGGAAACAGTTGCGAGAACGACAGAGTCGTATCAGCCGCTGTAGTACTGCTAGCCGCACGGCCGTCGGACGCGGCCGACACGGGCGTTCCAATTTCCACATTGGTCCCGTCGATCGGCACCCGCAAAACCCGCAGCTCCTTACTGAGCGACCTTGGTGGTTCCACTTTTTGCTTCCCATTCCCCTTTTTCCCAGCTGAGTTTTTCGCTTTCTTTGCCGCAGGCAGGGCCGTGATAGCTCCCCATATCCGTGTCAACAAGCTGGAGCTGGTGCCGTCGTGCTCGGACGAATGCGCAGGGGCACCGAGAAAGTGAATCGCCCGGAAGGCCGGCTGGACAAACGCGTTCCTCGCGTTTGCACTTCGAGTGGTGGAGGTCGTCAGGACCTTCTTAAACAAAATCTTTGGAGGCCTCAGTTCTCTTTCTACTTCTGCAACGCGTGTTTGATTATGTTCTGCTGCAGCCGATTCTCCCAAAAGTTCCTTCTCCTTATTGCCTACACCGCTCCGATACCGTCCGTCGTACGTTTCTTGCACGCCAATCGAGCTCTTAAACCAGTCTTGCAGTCGCGGCGTCACCGCTAGGGGGCGGTCAGCTGCGCTGTTTCGGCTGCGCGAAAGGGTAGAGAGCAAGTCCGCAATTTCCTGCTGGCGTGAAATCAACTGGGCCTCGCGAGCAAAGTCAAACGTTGCTACCGCGACTCCGGGAAGTAGGAACGCAAGCGACGCGAGGAGCGGAGAGCAAAAGCAACCCGCCGTGCGGAGGCGAGACAAGGTTGCCCGCGATCGGGACCGCATCGTTTCGAGTTACGAGCTACACCTACCACTTTACAAGACTGCTCTTCGGTCCAGACTGTCCAGAAAGAAACGCACTACCGCCCGAACCCAGAAACAGATGGTGCTAGAAGATGCATCTTCCGGCGCTCACATTTGAACAAAGGCAGCACAAAACGCGCCGTGTCTCTTCTAGAAAAATTTTCTTTTTGTTTTCAATCATCGAACTCATCTACCATGTATTCAATCAGTTCACAGGCTATTCTTGTGATGTCGTTGTCATCCCGTGTCACATCTTCCACAAAGTACACCCGCGTCCTCACACCCACCGCCGCGAGCGCGCCGCGCACCGCGCCAGCCAGGATGTTGCTGTACCAGAGGCCGCCAGACTGAAGCTCTGCGGGTATTTCCACGAACTCCGATAACGGATTTTCTCGCAAAATGAAGTCGCAGGACTTCTCGGACACGTTAGCAACCTGAAGTTAGAGGGTGGAACGAAAAGTGCAATGTGAGGCCCTTGAAGAAAGCCGGTAGTCGGAAGAAAATTTGTTTTTGTGATGATTGAAAGTTCTTTACCCTTAGCCTTACCTCAGCTGCCACCCCGAGGTACATTTTAAACCCGACCGTCGCTATTATTTCGCACAAGTCCGGGAAGTCCTGGCAGCAGAGTGGAAAACTCGTCACGATGTTTTGCGTTTTTGCCAAAAATTCGTCCACCAACCTCGCTCCCATCTGCTCTCCCATCCGGTCGAGGGCGTCGTTCATTTGTTGCGTGTCGCTGTGCAGATCCTCCATCAGTTGCGTGATCAGTGAGCCATAAGTCAATGCGAGCAGCTCGCTGGGCACTTTCTCCATCCGGCTCAACACATCCGCACCGAACCGCGCGTACTGGGAACTCCGGGCGGACTGCTGGGAGCCACCTCCAGGGTTGCCGAGTTGTTGGGGATCCATGGCTGTGGCACGATCTTTATTTACTGAGGAGAAGATGTTTGGTTCTTCTCATTTATGCGTCTTTGTTTTGTAGAAATCGGTAGACGTGACTATTGATCTTGTTCGCCGTCACCTACATACAGAAAACACATGAAGAGCAGGCGAGAAAAATCTGCAACCAACTGAGTCCAAAAGGAACCCGAAAATCTAGAAAGACATCGCGAGTCAGAAAACAGGAACGAACTGGGGCAAAAATGGTTATGGTTTCTTGAAGGCGACGACGACGACGACGACCAAAGAAACGACGGGGTCGTCAGCACCTTTGGCAACTGTTCAGGATCCGGTACTGGGGAACAAGTTCGAGATCGAACGCAGAAAGAACTCCAAAGTGAGATGCATTGCTTGCGCACGGGACAGTGGCGTGCCTTGTTTGTATTTGTTCTTCCCATGGGTGTGATTGTAAATCTAAATGAGCGATGAATTCCTTTGACACACGGTGGTAAAAATATCAGTCGTCGCGTTTAGTTTTTCCAAGCTTGAGTTCTTTGGGAGCATGAGCATGACAGCCTCAACTCCTTCATCGGGAAAACAAATTTCCGTCCATCTGCTTCAGCTTCATCGCGGCTTCGCTAGTCTGCGTCTCCAAGTGGTTCAAGGTATCTGCCTGGGCGCACAAGACTCGCGCGATACCGCCTAGCGGGGTAGCGTACCTGAAAAATGAATTCAATGTGTGTCGATTTGTATAGCTGCATTTTCTAGACAAGAATAGCTGTCATTCCAAATACACGTTGCCAAGCAAAAGCAATAGCAAAAATCATTTCAATACTGTTTTTCGTGCACGTTGTCGATTTCCGACGTCAGGTCGTTCACTTGTCGTTCCAAATCGTCGAGATGCAGAGCGAGCGTGTTCGCTTTTTGGTGACACTTCGTACTCGCAGCCGGGGCGGACTGGAGACTCGCTTGCAGGGCACCCATTAGGCGGGAGAGAGATTCCTGTTTATTGATTTTTGCATTGCAGATTTTCGATCCAGAGTACTTTCTTACAGAGAGAAGAAAAGCGCCAGCGCTTTGATTAACTAACACACAAACTCGCGTGGGTGCCGTATTGCGAAAAAATTTGTACCTGCTGTTCAGCAATGTGCTTCAGGCACTCGGCAACGGTGTTCTGCTTTGTTCGCAAAGTTTCGTACTCCAGGTTTATTTCTCGGACCTTTAGACTGTTTGAAATCAGTGCCGTGTCCATCTCGACGCACTGTGCGGCGGCTTGCTGGAACGTTGCGGCTTGCTTGAAAATTCGTTCTTCGTATTGTCGCAGAAGTTCGCCAACTTTCCGGTGCTCGTTGACCTGAGTAGAGAGAAGAAGAAGTGACAGTGAGTCGCTATGTTGACGAATTGCTTTTGATCTATTTGACAGGCAGTAACAAGTAGAAGCAGAATCAGTCGTACGACTACACTCAAATTCAATTTCAAACTCTCACTTTTCGAAAAAAGTCTTCCGTTCTATGTATAGATACCGACATCCTTAGCGCATTCTGGTCTGGCTCCTTCTTTGCTCCGCCGACAGTTGCGAGTGCGTTCTTATCCGCGTCATTTGCCGGAGCTGCTGTTGCACCGCCACCTCCGAACAACCCCCCTGCTTTGTTATCCCCACCCGCTGCTGGTGCAGCTGCTGCTGCACCGCCGAAAATTGATCCTGCTTTGCTTTCCGCGGGTTTACTCTGGTCTCCTGCCGGTGCTGCGCTGGCTCCGAATACCGAACTAGCTTTGTTGTCCGCGGCGGGCGCCGCTGCAGGAGCAGCGGCAGGTGCGCCGAACAAAGATCCGCCTGCTGGTGCTGCTGCCTTCGCATCCGGAGCTGCTGCTGGTGCTGCCGCGCCGAAAATTGACCCGGCCTTCGATTCCGCTGCTGCCGCGGGTGCTGGTGCAGCAGTGCCGAAAAGCGATGAACCTGAAGCGGCCGGTGCCGGGGTTTGCGCTGCGCCGCCTCCGAAAAGACTCGATCCACCAGCCGCTGGCGCAGCGGGAGTTGCACTCGCTCCACCGCCGAACAAGCCGCCCGCGGCCGGCGCCGGAGCAGCCGCCGCGCCACCGCCACCGAAAAGGGAGGAACCACCGGCGGTGGCACCGGCTGCAGGTGCCGCACCACCGAAAATAGAGCCTGCTGGTTTGTTGTCGCCGCCGCCGAACAAAGAGCCGCCACCGGCTGGTGCGCTGTTGCCGCCGCCACCAAAGATTGACATGTCGTTGTCGGTCGTTTGAGTGGGGATAATCGGAGAACAAGAAGTGTCTTTCAAGAAATCAGGTATTGCCGTAGCGCTACTATGAATCCATCGTTTGTCGCTTGCGTTCGTAAAATCTGACTCCTGTCGAGCGTGAGAGTGAAGATATTCGATCGCCAATAAAATTGCTTCATGCAGTATGACTTTCGATTTGGAAGATCAGCGAGTTCAGATCTTTCAACAAGCACCATTTCCGACTGGAATGTTTTGATCCAAGTGTTGGATCGCAACTGTTTCGTCTCAGAAGAAATAATTGGATCACGCAAGCCTGCTGCTATGAGATGATTGTTTTTTCCGTGATCCCCATAGTTTCGCATAGACATATCCAAATTCGCACACGTCACTGACCTTAAGGGTGGATCAGATCTAGTTCATACTTGGACTCTGTTTCGAAACACAGACTCTCGCGAGTTCTTTCGGAGCAATTGTATGCTTGTTTTCTGACCTCGCGTTTCAACTTTTTCCCTTGTTCCACGGGTGCAGTACAGCATCGCGCCATCTATTTCTCGATTTGACTTTGTGCCATGGTGCATATTTCCGTCAGGAGATTTTGAATCCTGATCGCGTCTGTCTTTGGCTTCAGCAGGTTCACGTGCAGTTCTAGGGGATATTCCGAGTGTTTCCTGCACCACTCCTGCCAGTCGACCGCGCCGGACCGGAGCTGCTCCCAGACGACGAGCAAATGGCTACCCTCCTCCTGCCCGGCAGAGGAGGACTGTTGCTCTTTTCTAAGTGTGATCGCGGCGGTGGGAAGAAGCAATTCCAACTTCTGCTGCGGGCCGCTACGAACCTCGTCGAGGACGGTCACGAGGTTGGTGAACCTGGTGACAGAATGCAATGAAAATGACGTTAAACTCTCGATTTCTATGCAGGTCATGATGTCTAAACATACGCAAAGAGTTGTGACGATGCACCAAAACAAGCAAACTCACTACCCGTTCGTCAGCCAGTTTCTCTTCTTCGCGTCCTCCTCCCGCGCCAGTACGTCGGTGCACGCGAGCAAAAAATGGTAGTACACCCAGGTCCAGACCGCCGATTGTACGAACTGCGGCAAACTTCCGCCCCCGCAACACGGAATCCTCCTTCCAAAATCCTGGAACTGCGCCCGCATTTGGTCGAAGAAGATCGTCGTCGTCGCACTCGAATCCAGCTGCGCCAGCTCCTGGCAAAACGAATCCAACGGCATTTCGTCCGTCACGTAGAGCAGATCCCGGGCTGCGCAGTAGTATACGATCGTCCGTAATTCCTGCACGCACCGGTCTGCCTGTTCCAAGAACTGCCGCTGCGGCTCCGCCGCGTGCATTTCCGGTTGCGCGGAGAGGGTGCGGAGGAGGCCGATGCAGCTCTCCACCGCGACGCACTTCTCCGCGAGGAGGGTGACCGGGCTGGCGGTCTGCTTTTGCTTGGCTGCCATTGATGTTGTGTTGTTACTCACGTCAAGTAGATTCACGTCGACTTGGCCAAAATTTTCGTTCTCGATGATGTAATCTTGCACATGCAGCATTCGCTGCCTCAGCTCCAACCCGTGCCGTTGCAGTAGGAAACTCCGGTACCGGGCGAAAACTTTGGGCCAGGGGACCGAAACGCCGGTGGACGCGCCGTTATTTTCCGTCGCTCCCGCGCTGTGGTCGCTGCTCCCGTCAGGCTTGACACTTTCAATGATCCGAAGGTTCGCAAGGAAGTTTTTCAGATCCGCTTTCGACAGGGCGATGCAGCAAACCCCGTAAGCGTAATACTCGAAAAGCTGCGCGAGAGACAGGAAAACTTCGCTTGCTAACGCCGTATCTTCCAGCTTCAACAGCCGCAATAGCCGGTGAAGGACGTGTTGCGACACTTGCATCGTCGCGGCGGCCAGAACCGGACTGGTTTCCAACAAGGCGGCGATCTTTTCCGGCGTCGGGTTGTCTTCCTCCAGGCTGTCGTCGCCATCTAGGTTGGAGGAGGAATTTGTCCTCGTCGTGAACCCGCTGGCGAATGACGCGGTCGAGAGAATAGGGTCCACCTGACTGGTAGTTCCCGGTGGATCCAGTGGCGTCCCGGTCGTTGTCGTCGTACCGGTAACAACTGCGTCGTTCGGTCCTGGCGTCATCAAGACCTTTTTCGTTACCAGCAAGTTCGCGCCCGTGTCGTACTTTGCGAAGAGGTTCACCCAGGCCCAGTCGTCGCCCGAGGCGGGGAGAGCAGCTTGGGCGAAGGAGGGCGTCGTAGCGGAGCTGAGTGGGGAGGATCGACTTGTTGTACTAGAGTTGGTGTTGTTTAATTCGAAGTAGAGCATCCGTTTCATCTGTGCGAAGGATAGACCTGAGTCACTACATGCGGTCTTCAGAATCTGAAACCGTTTCGCCAACCCCGGGATGGAAACCGCGGAGCTCACGACCGGAACTCTTTGCCAAGAGTCTTGGAGCAGAAAACTGTGCATCACACTCCAAGCGTTCCGGTGGACACCTTCGAGGTACTGATGGCAGATCGTTTTCACCGTGTTCCGCAAAGACCGGGAGACGTTCGCAGTGTTGACATTATTCGCTGCAGTGGAAGTGCTGGGTCTGCCGGTAGCGCTCTCCGCAAGCTTCACTCTGGAGAGGAACTGGGAGAAGAGGTAGTCCCCCTCTGTGATGAAAAGCAGGACGAGGAAAACACAGTGGTAAAACTCGTTATCCGTGACATCGTCCACCCGCCAGGACAAAACGAGGAGCGAAACCTGGTACTGCATCTTGTCCCACAATGACCGTTGCGCGTCCTTCAACTCCTGAAGGACGTCGTGGATTAGGCGGGCCTTGTTCTGCGTTGACGTCGCGGTTTCTGTTGCTGTAACTGCATCTCCAGCCACCTCTTCTTCTGCTCCTTTACCTGCTTCCAATGGAGTCCTTCCATTTGCTGTTACAGCTTCGGCAACATCACTCTCACTCGCCTGCAGCAGCTTGTGATCTGAATGATATCTGCACAGTGTGTCAAACCTGTACAGCACAAACAGCAGCTTCTCCAGCAGGTGCGACAAACATATCGCGTAGCAGCTCGGATCCACCTCGTTTTCGCCGTCGCGCTTGAACCTCCTCTGCGTTTCGTTCGCCAGGGACACCACCGCATCGAGGAAAAACTCTACAACCAGATTCCCCGGGTTGTTCGCAAGCTGGTTCTGCTGCGACACTGCACTCGACGCACCGGGTGGATTGCTGTTGTAGCCCCTGGCACTGCTCGCGGTGGAGGACGCTGTGGAGGACTGCGCCGAAGTCAGACCTCCTCGGAAATTCTGCTGCTGGCTGCTTGCACAGGAAGTGGAGGAGGAACTTGACGCAGCCATTGCTCCACCGGCAGACGATGACGCCGCTGTTCCGTACATCCCAGATATATCAGCAGCAGCGAGCAGTATCTCTTCGTACTTCTCTTCATCAAATGCTACGGCCAAAACCACCGCCCGCAATCCCTCGTGGATGCTGTGTCTGACGATCTGCTGCTTGTCCGAAAACCGCTTTCTCGCGTCCTCCACGCAGAGCAGCTGCTGGTCTTTTCGCCTCGTTCCCTGCATCGTCGTGGAGCTCGATCTCGGTCTTCTCGGAGAATCTTCATCCTCATCGACATCATCCGCAGGAGCACCGTTTCTACCACCACCGCCCTGATTCAACGTTACATACCGTTTTGTCACATCCTCTACCGTGAACTTCTGCAAAGCCGTTTCCAACTTCCGTAAAGCCCCGACCGCGGATATGTAATCCACGTTTTCCAGGCACTTCTGCACTTCCTTGTTCCACTTCATGAAGAGCGAAAACTGCTCCAGCGTGTCCTGCAACCACGCTAACCGCTGCCGTTTCTTCTGCTTCCGGACGATCTTCTCCTGGAATTCGTTCAGGTCTTCCCTGGCGAGATGGAGTTTCCTGCGCCCATTTTTCACCAAAATCTGCACCAGATCCATCTCCGTGGAAATCTGGTGCACGAGTGACATCCCAGTCGCGAAGGCGTTGTAGTTCTTCAAAACCCGTTCGGACAGCGTCTCCGCGAGAATCGCGCCCGACTGCTCGTAGTGCGTGATCCGGTCTTCCAGAGATTTCAGCTGGTGGTCGGAAAGCTTCAGAATCGCTTTGGAGGATGACGATGTAGCTGCCGTGGCTCTCGCACGAGAGGAGCTGCTTGAAGATGAACTCCCGCCCGAAACCGCAGTGAGCCCAAGCCCACCGGCTGGCTCATGCAAATCCGTCGGAGAACTTTTGGCATGATGATCTAACTGATCAAATTCCCACGCCAAAACCTTGTCGCAGATCGGCTCCACGTAGTAAAGATGCGGCAGATTCAGCTGCTTCAACAGCTCTTCCGCGTCGGCGGGGATGCGAACCTTTAATTGGGAGGTGGAGAACAGACGCTCACGGGGGGTCGTGGCGGCTGACGAGCAGCTGCTCGACGAAGAGGAGGTGGAGTCGGAATGGTTCATGTTTGTCGCGCTGTGGCTGCTACATAAGTTCAAAGCTGTTCTATCGTGGAGAAGACCACGTGGGTTAGTACCACGACATGTCTCGTCGGGCCCTAAATTAGGGACGGAAAACATACAAGCAACACAAAAAACGACATCATGATCGCTTTCCCGCGCAGCAGCCGAACAAATCGCAACACAGGAACAAAACTTGATCAACCGTTCCGGGCAAATTGATCTTGCTCTTCGGATCATCAGAATGCGGAGCGACATCCATGCTCAGATCACAAAAAGACTTTTGAGTTGTTGACCGGAAACGGCTGTTAAGCCGAGGAAACACAAAGACCAGGTGACGGTGATTGTGATAACCGAAGCAATACAACAAGCTCTAGTTTCTTTCTCGACGAAAAACAGTATGTAGTGTACGCAGTTTTATCCAATTTTTTGCATTCACCCTGTACAGTTACGTTGATGCATCTCTGTGCTCGATGCTGATGTCTATCGACGGTTGGTAGACATCGTGAAACCAAATTAGATGTGGTAAGTACGTCTTCTATGCAACGTAGAAATTTATCCATGTTTGTAGCGCGTTGGCGCAACGGCAGAACTGTTGAATTGATGTGTGGAAAACATGAAACTATTGCCCAGTTGCAGGACAGAAACGCGATACGTCATGTCAAAACGCGATGGATATGGAAGCTTTCCTGAGAAGATCAAACTTTGGACGAGCTGGTTTCTTAAATCACAATAAGCAAAATTTAACGAAAGAATCGCTCAGCTCTTGCGGTAGTTCTAGCCGAGTTTTTGCAGGTGGCTTCAACGGATACTTTTACTTTGTTTCTTGGTGATAATGCATTTAGACGTCGTTCTTCTTGGAAATCTGTCTGTAATTGTAATCCACAGGCTCGGGTGATAGTTGTATGAAAATGAATCTCAACTTCATATTAAAAACAATTGTGCTTTACGCTTCGCCCGGGACCACGCCCGACATAACCGGTTTCACTTTACTCCCCGTACTGCTGCTCAAAGCCTTGTCCATACCCGCCTTTGCGAGCATAAAGCACGTCGGTAGGAAGACAAACGCGTTCAACGCTGTCAAAACCGCGTTGCATGTCAGAACCAGGTAGAACCCCCGGATCACCTCGCTGTTCGCCACGCCGAGGAAGATGAGAAAAGATAAAACGGTGACTACCAGAATCGCCACCGGAAACGACGCGGCATTCCCAAACTGAAAACACAATCTGCAGTCCAACGGAAGGCGTTTTACAGAAAACAGCGGCAGTGACGCCGTCGTGTTCTCTTTCTTCGCCGGGCTTCGGGCGTCATTATCACCACCATTCCGGTTGGACGTTGTTTCTCCGCCACAGCCAGCTTCTTCATTCACGAAACTTTCCGCAATGGGCAAACAGTAGATCAACTGAATTCCAAAACTTAAAAACAGCGCTGCGAGAGTGACCATGTTGATCTGCAAGTCCAACAACTCCATCAACCCGACAAGTTCTGCCATGGACATGGCGATGACGCAGCCGAGAATCGCCCCGAAAGCCGGGTGGAGGAAGAAAAAAAGCGTGATTCCGAGCACCAGGGAAGCGACGAGAAATGCGTCGTCGGCGGAGTGTTTCAGCCCGAGATCCCTTTCTGCGTCGATAAGGAAATCAGCGTGGAAAAACGAATCCTGACTGCTCCGTCCCCAGTGATTCGGGTAAGCACGTCGTTCTGCTTCGAGAATCCACTCGATGTCGTTTTTCAACTCGACTCGGTTCTGCGGGTTTAGCATGTCGACGCGGAGGTAGAGGTGCACCGGGATTTGTGTCACGCCCCGGATGATCGGAGATGCGGACGCGGAATCAGCTGTTACTACTGACGCTGAAGTACCGTTGGTACTACCTTGAGTAGTGGCAGTAGCACCCTCACTGCCAAGCACATCGTAGAACACTTCCTCCCGCCGTTCACTAAGCAGCCGTAGCTTCCCGACCGGCTCGTTGTCGACGCGGCGATCTATTAACGAATCCGGAATCGTTTCAGAGTTGTCCGCGCAAACGCCGCCTTTAAACTCCTCAAACACCGTGTGAAGGTAGTCATAGAAGAAAAACGGGTCACTGGTGTCAAAATACTCGACGCGTTCCTGGTAGAGATTGGGTTGCAACTCGCAAGTTTGTCTCTGCTGCTTCAAAAAGTTATCCCGCAGCGTTTGCGACAGCAAGCTACCGCCTTTGATTCTAGGGGTGGTTTTTTCCAAAAACCGGAAGGAAACGTCGAATTCGGTTTCTGGCCAAGTTTGCGCGACTGCTTGGAGGAACTCATCGACGGTGGTTTTATCGCGAAATTCTTCGGATTGTGATTTTGGTAGTTGGGAAAAGAGAACTTTTTCCGTCGGTAAAAGCGGATTAGCCGTCTTCCGTTTAAGAACAACTTCGAACAGATTCCAGGAAGACAACTGTTTTGCTACCTTGTTTTTGCAGTACGCGCTCCGGAAAGGGTTAGCCGGGTCTTCCGCTGGGGGAGAAGCCGTGTTGACTGCGGCGCCGAAAACCGCTTGCTCTTCTGAAGTCGGAATTTCCATCTTCAACCCAATCAACTGGGAGGAGGAAGTTGTGGCGTTGGTGTTAGCGGCAGAAGACGATGAAGTTAATGCTCCCCTATTGCTGGAAACCTTCCCCAAATTTTCTAGCACCAAAACTGACTGCAGCCGTGTCCGCAACGCCGCCAACTTCCCGGCGTTGGACCCTGACGTGATCAACACTTCCTGAAACTCATTCGTCTTTTCCAGAATCAGCGGACAGGTCGAAATGGGGTACGCCTGCGCCGCGCTGGACCAGTCATTGGGACTGAAGTCCCTTCCTCGCTGCATTGCCTCGAAATCAAACAGCCACGAGTGGATTTGCGTTTGAGAGAACCACCGGGAGACCTTCTCGTGTTTCAGCAGCTTCTCCCTCACGAAGTTCATAAAATACTCGCGATTGGCTTGCTTGTGGTACGCACCGATGGAGGAAGGGGGAAGGTACAGCGTCAGCTTCGACGGAATACCACTGACGCGCTGAGCACTAGTACTTGTACCACGACCTACGTCAACCGCCAATCCCTCGGACGCGGCCCGCAAAAACCGGCGAGTGGTGCCGTCCACCAGGTCTAGCCGCAACATTTCCGCGGGGCAGTCGGCCGCGAAGGGGAGGAAGACGGAGAGGAGCACGATCCTCGCGACGATCGCGCAGGTGAACCCGAGTTTCTTCGTGCTCGAAGTCCCGATCGTCGATTCGTTGTCGTCGTCGAGCAGCGCGTTCGGGAACATGGACAACGAACTCTTCACGTTCATCAGCTTCGTGTTGTACTCGACATCAACGGAAGACGAGGAAGGAGCCGGGTTTCTACCATTGGAAACCTCTCCTGCACCCCAAGCCTGCTTCGGCGAGCAAGCAGAGCGGCTACTGATCGCAGCAGTTGTTTTGTTAACGCCCTTCTTCACGGCCGGCGTTCCGCCCGGTCGACTTTCCAGCAAGTCAGCTCGCTGTGGCTGGTGCTGCTGGTTCGTCCCTTGTTGCTGTTCTTCGATTGAACCAAATGTCGGCAAGTCGTACTGGTCCTCGAGTTCGTCTGCAGCAGTACTTTGTTTGCCTCCTCTATTCGAATTCTCAGATGACCCTGAACTGCAGCTCGCGAGATACCGCGCAAGCAGATTGGCGGTGATGTGAAGAAAAGCAGCGGCAAGCGTTGTCTGGAACAAGATCAGGAACACAGTTTGCAACGCGGCAAAACGCAGGATCAGTGGCAATTCGGTGTGCAGGCTGACTCCGATAGAGCAAGAAACGAACGCAAGAAAAGTCCTCGCGTACCGCAACAAAGACGGCTTCGGAACAGCATCAACGAGCATTTTGCTGTTACTCGGCACCTTCACAATGGTGCCTTTCTTCACTTCGATCGTCCTTCTGCTTTCGTTAACCGCTGCGAGGTAGATCTGCCCGCTCCAGAGTAGGTTCACAACGAGCACGAGGCGGACCAGCATCAACGTCAGAAAAGTCAAGGGCAACATCGTCTCCGCCTCCCCGTCGACGTCCCCGTCGAGTATTCCGATAGGGGACAAATCGTCGAACTCGAACATCGGGATCGCGGAAACACCCAACATCGCGAGAAACACACCTGCAGAGGTTACGTACGCGAAAAACGGAACTAAAACCGGGCCAACGAGCGTCGGTCCGAGTGGCGCTCTTTGCGATTGCTCTTGCTGGTGGCCTGCTTCACCATTCTCACACGCCGCCCAGCACGAAGCGGCGCCGTTCGGGTTGGCGTAGACCCAGAGGAGCACACTCGTCAACAGCCACACGATGCAGATTTCCACGGCGATCCGCCACGAGGCTAGATCGCCAAGTAACGCGGTTTGCAAATCCCGTTTCTGCAAGTCAGTGTTCGTCATCAAAACTTCCACGTCGTACTTCCCGTTTTGAATTTGCAGGCGGAAATGCTGGTCCCGGGTTTCCTCCTTTTCATACAAGTCGCTCAACTCCTCCAGCCATTCCGCTTCGTCCTTTTCCTTCAAAGTTATCGTGTTGTTCGTGATCTTTTGAAAGTCCACGGAATTGGCCTCGCATTTAGACCGTAGCTGCATCCACCCGAGCCAGAAGCTGCAGTTCTTCACGGCGTACGCCTTTTTCGCGGCCATGATGTGCGTTTTGCGGCCAAGAGTGTCGGCCTGGTTCGTCGGGTTCTGCATGTTTAGCGTACAGCAGTCGCAAACGTTGGAGGTGCTCGTGGTTGTAGATGTCTTGCGGACGAGATTTTTTTCTCGTGCTTCAAAAACCGAACCTGCATTCTCGGCCCGTCGCGGTCCGAGTAACCGTGTACGGGCGAGTTGCAAAGAGATGCGACTCGCTGCTGGCTCTCGCTTTGAAGAGGATCCCGCTTCGTGCGTCTGCAGCGACCGCTGTAGCAATGACGTTGTACTGAAATTCGGTTCAACATACGCCGTTGTCGCTGCTTGGTTCGCGCAACTCAACGGACTTGCAGCGCAGGTTACCGGGCAGAGTCGTGGCCCGGTGGTGCTGCTCGTGCAGCCGCCGTTTTGCTGCAGCATTGCACAGCAGGCGCTCGCAGCGCAGTCGAAGCCCATGCCTTTCGCCGCTATCTGCGCGAGGTCGCCGCGGTCCATACAGGTGCTGCACTTCCCAGTCAAATGCCCACCACGGGTGTTGTCCAGACCGAGGGCTGTGAACTGCCCAATTTCCGGCGCAGCGACGTAGGTGCACCCATTGAGCAGGCAAAGTCCGATCGCGTTCTGAATCATGGTCATGTCGGTCAGTGGCCCGGCGAGAGCGGCAGCCGCGGCGGACGTGGTGGCAGACAGGACGTTGCCGCAGTGGACGGGCGATTGCGATCCGGGGACCGCAAGTTCCGGCCTCGGTAGCTCTTCAAAACCCGTACTTTGCACGTTCGCACACGACGTCGCGTGTTGCGGACACAAATGTGGACACATCCACCAGGACTGTACTTGCGTCATGGCGCACACGCTACTCGCGAGCGGCGCGAGACACGCACACGGGTCGGGACTCGTTGCGCAGGGAGTGACAGCGAGGCCTGCGAAGTCTTTTAGATAAGGTTCTTTCTGCAAGTTTTCGCAGGGAAAGCACCGCTTCGTGGCACCGGAAGCAGCGAAATCGTGTCCGCCGGCGTCTAGATTCCCGCGGTCCCAGGTCGACTGCCACGAACAGCCCGCTTTCTTACAATTCGTTTCGCTCGCGTGGTACAGATCGCAGGTCTTCTTGTGCTGATTCCCAGCGAGCTCCTGCTCCTTCGCCACCTCGACGAACCCAGAAGCAGCGACGTTGGCACAGGAGTTTGGACGAGCAGCGCAGAGTTGCGGACAGAAGTCCACCGCAGCGTAAGGCATGCCACAGAAATCCACACCTGGGAGAGACGCAACGCACGCACAGGGGTCGGCGTGCGCGGCGCAGGACGAGGCAGGTGCCGGTAAGAGGCTAGCGACGATCTGAAAGTAGTTGTTGTGATTCTTACAGGCAACGCACTTTGCTTGCTCCGTCCCTGCACGGCCGATCTCCGTCAGCATCTGCGTTGAGACCCACTGGCAGCCGCTGGCCGAACAGGATTGCTGGTTTGTCAGCGATTCACAAAGTGTTTTGTCCTGGCTTCCCGGGTCAGCTTCGTTCGAAAATTGGCCGCAGAAGGAATCCGGCGCAGCAGAACAGGTTTGCGCGAGCAGATCGTCGCAGTGCTTCCTGCAGGAACTTGAGACAAAATCACAACTGGTTCCCGTGTTGCGTAGACAATGTTCCACCGTGACGTTTGCGCAGGAACTGATCCCGTGCACGCCCAGATCCGCCACAGAGACCGCGCTGCCTGAAGCCGCGATGGTGCAACTGTCGGAAGATGATAATTGCCGCCTGCTCGACGTCGCCGCAGTAGCACTAGCAGGACACTTTGCAGCGGCAGCCCCGAAGCCATTCACAGTAATTTCCCCAGTTGCGTTCGGAAATTTCCGCAAAACCAGCGCTGCAGTTGGACACTGGTTCGCGTGTTTGAGACACGCTTTGTCCTTGAAGCAACTTGGCCTTTCGTCCACTCGGTCCGCCTTCAGCATGATGTCGGGCACGAGCTGCGAAACAAACACCTTCGCTTCCGCGTACTGCACCATGGCAGGCGGGCTCGAGGATGGCAACCCCCGATCTAGCACTTGCGAGTACGCTGCGCTGTCGATCACGGACCTGTAGGTGCTCCAGTAGTCCGACGTTGCGTCTAATTCGATCAAGGGCCGCTTGTGGAACGCGACCGGCGAAATGAACGCCCTTTTACCGCACCAGTACCCTGGTCCGACTTGGTCCACCGGCTCCCCTTGCTTCGCTCCAACGGCCGGGCTACAGGGAAGGGATGAATAGAGTTTCCCGTCCCGCGGATCCCTGACGCGATCCGTGCACTCCAGATTCGCGATGGCGGTCGGGTCGATTTCGCAGTATTGCCGGCTTGGGAGGAACGCGTTCCGGAGCATCTCGAGGTCTTTGGTATCAGTGCGGGAAGCAGTGCCTGTAGTCGTGCTCTGCGACGTTGCGCCAATCGACGTACTTGAAGAACCTACATCCGCTGACAAGATCGTATCGACAGACCTGCAAGTGTTTGCTGCTGTGCTCGTCGCCGCTTTGCAGTGACACTGGTGCGTCGTGAAGCCGCTTTTGCAGACTTCGTGCGCCACCGTTTTATCCGTTCCCGGTTTGTACGCGCCACAGGTTTGTTTGTAGTCGGCGAGGCAAGATTCGCGCTTAAATTTCGCATCTGTTGCTGTCGGACAGAAATCCGGGTTCCACTGAAAATTCTTCGACGACCGCCAATTCCGCAGCCAGTCGTCGAACCGCCAGATCTCCTCTAGCGCAGCGTCGCTACAAAGCGACGCAGGTTCGTTTTGAACTGTTGCACTCGACGCCGAACTGCTGGCACCAGACGACGCAGAACTTGATGTTGTCGCCTGTGCGGAGGATGTGGCGACGGTGGTGCGGTACGCCAGCTTGATAGACGACCGCTTCCGCAGCGCGCGGGCGGTCTTTACCGTTGGTGTGCTACTTCTGTGTGAAGTAGAGCTTGCGGCTGAGGCACTCGCACTCCCCGCCACAGTCTTGCACTCGTTAAACTCCACACCATCACGTCGTAGAGCACCCTGGTAGGTTTCGTTCTGGAACGATTGCTCGTACGCATCCCGCTGCTCCTCCAGCAGGTAAGTTTTCTCCGAAGTGTAGTGAGAATAGAACGCGTCCGGCCGATCGTACAGTTCGAAACCGAAAAAGACGAAGAGCCCGTCGGGGTTTTCGCGGCTCAAGGTCCCCTTTGACACTCGGAGGATGAAGGGGAGCGAGAAGAGAAAGAGGACGACAAGCAGAGAAACCGCGGTGAACACGGTCGGCTTGCTCGTCCCGTTCAAAGCAGTAGCTGTGACCTTGGCCCACCTTTGCCGCGTCGCGTCCGCTGCGCTTGGTAGCCACTTCCACGGCCACAGCATGTTTAGAGAAGAGGAAAGATCTCGTTCCAGCGATGTGCTGCTCGGACTCATTTTTAACGGACGTGGATTATCAGAAGAAAAAAACCTTCCATTGGCCGAGCGCACCTGCCGCTTTTGAGGCAGAATTGGCGCCATACGTGAACGATGTGGAAACGAGCTTCACGGCCCGCTAGTGTGGGCCTGACTCGCTCGTCGGAGGGAATCTAGTACAACTGGCCGCGCCTTTTTGAAGTTGGTGGATATTCTTTCGTCACCTCGATTGCGTTTTGTGTAGGTAGCTCTCATGCCGTGCGCGCAGCTCCGTTTTGCCTCTTTTTCTCCTTGTGCTTCTAGCACTGACACAAATTGTATCTAATCGTGTGAACATGGGTGGGAACGCAAAAGTCGTTGGCCTTTGTCCGATGGCGATAACGACACTGCAATGAGCATGGCGTTAGAAGATTTCTTGACTCATAAATATCAAAAGCACGTTTACTCTTTTCCTTAGCCTTACGAAAAAAACATTTTTAGTACACAACGCTCGCTTTCGGTTACTGTTCACTCTGTCTGAAGCAGCACGTTAGATGCATTCGCATTTGTGATCATACTGGAATGATTGAGATAAAAACTGACTCTATTTGACAATAGCAGTCGAGCAAAGAAGTTCATTGAAGCTCATCATGATAAATATTAAGGGTCGACTGCGTAATTTCAACATTCACGACAACTCAAAGTAGATTTCATCAATTGTACAAGATAGAAACAAAGAAACGTGAAAAAGCGCAGCATTGTGGTGTAAACCTACTTTTTAATTCCCACCGCATTCCGTCCCCGTCGTCATGCACAGACAACAAGAATCTCTAGTGAATCTCGTTACTGGTGCTGTTCCCGATAAAACTTTTGCAGCAGTCCGGCCGCTATCAAATGTAAAAATGTCTGGGTCTGGATGAATGCGAGGTTTGTCATGCACGTTTTGCATGAGCCATGATGTCTGTCTCTGCGATGCATACCCTAGTAATACAGATTTTTTGAACGCTTCTGGATGCCTATTCCGCATGACAGATGCCTTCTCAGCGTAGCAAAAATTGCATTCCCTTTGGTACTCATGTAATACAGATTTTTTTGGAATCCAAATGCAGCATCACAAGTTGCATTCTTCCAGACCCAGACGTTTTTACATTTGATAGCCGCCCAAGCCCTATCTTCCTGTTCCACAACCGATTTGTCCTGAGGTGAAAATTCCTCCTTGTCGTCGACCGAAGTCATCTCGATCAGCTCCCTTCCAAAATCCGCTCCATGATTGCGTACAGCTCGGCTTTCCTTTTCCGGCGATATCCTGAGTAAAAACGTACCCACACCAGAGTCAGGATGGGGATTTTGCAGCACAAACCTAGGAGTTTTGTGAGTCACGCATGACAAGTTGCACTCTGCAGTGTAGTGCAGGTTAGCAAGTGCAGCCGCATCACAGATTCATCGGCTCATCCTGTTCACAGCATCACAAATTCCAAAACACGATTGAAAATGGCTCTCATGGTGATGCGCATTACAAGTCTTCCTGTCTTTGCAAATCTACATTACAACTCTGGTGCGGGTACGTTTTTACTCAGGATAGGCGATAGCGAGTGTTCTCCCTCGACAAACGTGGACTTCGCAAACTGCGCCTCAAAATCGGCGTGGATCTGCTCTGTTGTTAACTGAACTTTCACATTCTTGTTCCCCTGCGGCCGGGATGTGGTCGCCGGTGGTGCTACGAAGCTCGGCTTTGAAGCCACGTGCTGTGCTTTCACGGTTGCGGCAGAAGGTCCTGCTGCAGCAGCAGCAGCTCCAACGACATGATCGTAGTCTTGATCTACTCCTCCCGCTCCACCGGATCCAGTTCCAAACCAGCGTCTCTGCAGCTCATCGTTGACGAAAAAGTGCGACTCGACGTTTTCTTCGTCTTCCATTTCCCCCTGAATTCGCCGTCTCGCGTTCTTCAAAATTGTCCCGATCTCCCGGTTCTCCCGGATGAAGTTTCGGTTTCCGAAGGCGGACTGCGGCCGTGGTCGAGTCGCGTGTGGGGTACTGCTACCGGTTGTAGAGGGGTTCGGATTCAGGTTCGCATTCGCCCTCGCCCCGGAAATCGGCGCGTACGGATTTCCGGGCGTTTGATGTGCCTGTTCTACTACATTGCTGCCCGCAGCGGCTTTCGCATGGTTCTGTCTTTCCTTCTCCTCCTTCTCCTTTTCGTACTGCTGCATCAGCTCATCCCGGATTTGCCGGTGGGTGTATCGCAATTTCGCTCGCATATTGCTTCCGGCGGACCCTGGTCGCTCGCGCGGCCTGGTTTCCTGCCCAAATGGAGGGGCGTCAAAGCGTCTCGCCGCAGACTGCGGCACAAACTTGCACTGCTTCGCAGAGGGAGAGGTACTGAGCTCCTCGTTAAACGGACGTGCCTCTCTTCGGACGCCCGCCGCGGAACTCGGACGCGAGGTAGAGGTCGCGGTTGTGTTCCAATTGCTGCTGTAACTGTGAAATCCCGCCGCAGATCCCGGTCGCGGTGCACCTGGTTGGCTTTGGTGCTGTTGAAGTGGAATCCTTTGCGTGTTTTGCTTTTCCATGCCCTCCTTCCGCTCAGAATCTGCTACCACAGGCATCTGCTTCCCGGGCGACGACGCCGGTTCCGAGCTTTCATCAATCACGCCTGCTTCCTGCTGATTGAAACTGTTCCGCACCCGGAACACCGTCTGCGCGAACGGATCGGTAAAAACCAACGCCGTTTCCGTCTCCGCGAGTAACTGCTTCTTCTCCTTCTGCCATGCCTTCATGATCTTGATCTTTTCCGCATTCGCCGCCTGCGCCGCGGCGCGCTGCTGCGTCTGCTTACCGTGCATCCGTTGCCACCAAGGCACGGTGATAAAGTCGCCGTCATCGTCGTCGTTGGTGGAAGATCCGCCAGGCCTCGCGGATTGCGGTCGCGCGGTGTTGCTCCCAACACCGAAAAGGTGGTAAAAGGGTTTGGCTCTTGGCGGATTTATCTGTCTCGCCGTCATGCTGCCGCTCATCGCGGAAGTCGGTCGCGGCGGAGGGGCTGGGGGTGCTGTTGTGGTTGCGGATTTTACGGTCTTGTAGCTTGCAGTTTCGCTGTAAACTGGAGGAGAATCGTCCATCACGAAAACGTGGCCACTGGGGGGACCCTTGTCTTCTTTCGGGAGCGGCAGGGTTAAAGGAGGTTTTACGCTTTCACCTGCTTGTGGTGCATGATCCGCAGGTTCCTTACTCGCGGTCTTCTTCGCGATACCATTATCAACGTCATTTCCATCAACAGCTACATCCTCGGTCTTCGGCTCCTCAACTTTCGCTTTCGCTGCTGGCACCGGCGAGCTGCTGCTCCGGAGCCCGTTCTCCCACGGACCCAAACCCCCACAGTGCACCGTCGGCCCGTCCTTCGGCGCGGCCCACTGCCCGGCCTGCTCCCGTGGCGTTTGCTGCGCGCGTTTCGCATCAGCTTCCGTGTTGTATTCCTTCCGTTGTTCCACTCGCTGGTCCGAGTGAAACTTCAACTTCGCGCTCGAAGCACCGGACGCCCCGCGCGGAGTCCCGGCTTTTCCTGTGGAGGAGGACGAACCTCCTTGTTCTCCTGTCGAAGATCTAGTCCCGCGCGAGCTGACGGGCCGCGCGGCCCTACTGCGACCAGGGTGGTTCCTTGATGTCGTCGCAGTACTTGTACCACTGCTCGCTACTGTACTGGAAGCAGAGCTCGTCCCTGCACCTGTCCTAGTTGTACCACGCGCAGCAGCTCCTCCTGCAGTCGGACTCGCATTCGGTCTTCCTGATCGTCGGCGGTGGTCCCTGGTTGCGCCACTACTTCCTGTCGCTCGCGGCGTACTGTTTCTCCTCGCCGCACTTGCGGGTCGTCGCGGTCTCGCTTTCGCGGCGGCTGACCGCGCGGTCTGCGTTTGGGAAGAGGTGGTAGCACCAGCAACAGCAGCAGCAGCAGTTGTACTACTACCACTACTGCTGCTCGTACTCCCACCGGTGGTGAAAGCCCCACGGTGAAGTAAATTTGTGCTGGGAAAATTCGCGTTTTGGTGGTGTTTCTGGTCCGTGATGCTGGTTTCGGATTTCAACTCTTCTTCTAGACCCGCAATCAGCGTCGCCTCCGAGTACAAAACTGGGTCCGGCTCATCTGCGTGTACTTTTACATCTTCATCTTCACTGTTTTCACGACCATCATCTTCTCCTGCTCGCAAAAGCTCCTGCTCGACGTCCTCCCCGTCTGAATCAGAGTCGACACTGTTCAATTCGACAGAGTCTGGCTCCTGCACGCTCCGGCCGAAAAGCGGCGTGTCCGCCTGCTTGTAGCGGTTGGCTGTTGTCTCTACCGTGTTCGTTCCGGTTGCAGGTATCGTACCAGCGGGATGAATCGAGCCACTGGATGCTGTGTGCGATGTGAAAGTAGCGGGAAAAGTGCTTGTGTTGCCAGGGAGCAAGCTCACTGGCTTTATTTTCTCGCCCCCTACTTCAAACGGCTCGTCATGCGCGAACGGGAAAGGTGGCGGACTCATTTCGAGTCGTGAGCCGGATTTCTTCATTCCTCTCTGTCTCGAAATCACATCCGCATCTGAGTCGGTGTCGGAAGACTCAGGAGGCTCCTGCGGTGGTTCTTCACTGTCCCGCACCACCGACGCATTGCCCACGCTAGACTCGGGTGCGTGAAAATCATTCTGCGAGTACGTGACGCTTTCCTTCGACTTCGACCGTTCTTGTGACTGTTTTGAAGAAGATGAAACAGAACTTTTCGACAAATGTTCCTTCAGCTCGTTGAAGGACGACGCAATATCCGCCATGAGAACAGCGGAGGTTTTCTCCTCCGCAAACGGATCCTGATCTTGATCTCCCCCTTGTTCATCTTCCAAGATCGATATCGGCGAATCGTCCGGCTGGCGTGCTGCGACTTTGTTCACGGAGGCTCCGCCTCGACCAGCGGTTGTACAACTTGCAGCAAAACTACCCGAACTCTTCGTACTAGCAAATCCGCCAATCTGCTGCTGTTCTGCCATCTCGCGGGCGTTTCTCAACGGTGAGGCAGAGGGCACCGGCGCTGCCGCTTCCTCGGTAAAAATGTAGTCGACTTCACCGTCACTTTCGTCGTTGTAATCGAGCAGATCATCCTGGTCACTGTCGATGTTCCGAAGAAGTGGAGAGTTGTTCCGGGTGGGTTGCGCTTCTTCTTTTCCCTTTTTTCCAAGTGGCTCGGCTGCTGGTTCTTGCTCTTGCCCGCTAGGAGTCGTAGTCCTGCCTTGAAGCTTCGTATTGCTTGCGGACGGCACTGCCTTCGCTCTACCGACGTCCTTCTGTTCTGCTCCACCGCTCTTCGATGCGAACTTGCGCAGTCTGCTCCTAGAGTGTTTGTTTGCAGCCCCGGCCTTGATCTCGAGTCCGTCAATGTAACGGTCTAACGGAGTAGCACCCCCACGGCTTAGACCGGTTGCTTTCCCGTCTGCAGGCTGGCTGTCCTGTGCTGCAGTCTCAAGAACAACTTCTCCATCGCTCATTCGTCTTTGCGCGGCAACCCCGCGACTGGCCGGCGCAGACATCGGCCGCAGAGAACTGAAACTGTGTCGCCGCTGCGGTGGCGAAATCTGCTCCGCGGATGTGTAGTCCTCCGTAGTAGAATACGCTCTTGAAGATCGCATACCACTGCCACCCGCGTTCTTCCGCACCGGCGAAGTATGCTGCCTTGCCGACATGGGCACTTGTGGTCTTTGGGGAGACGACTGCACCGACGGAATAGACTGCTCCTTAGAGGCTGAGGGGGCACCACCACCAGCACTAGTCGTACTCGTACCGCCTTCTTCCGCTTCCCGCGCCGCTTTGAAGTCGTTGAACTGGTCCACCGTCATGACCTTCGGCCGCATTTTCAACTCCCGCTGGATGTCCATTTTCAAAGCCTCCGCTGCCTTCAGCCACGGCGTCGCCCGCGAGTTCAACCCGGTCTGCGGTAGTTGCTGCGATGTCGAGGTTGTCGCAGACGGCGTCCGTTCCCGCTTTCGGTTGCTAAAGTTGAAATCCTTAGTGACCGTCGTGTTGGAATAGGATTTTTTCGGACTGGCGTCACTACTCGTGACATCGTCATCCTCGATGATATCCAGATCCGGGGTCGGGTCTGGCGGGTTACTCGTATTTTCACCTCCGCCGGTCGGAGTAGGTGGCTCCGCGGAACTCTTTTCGGGTGATTCCTCGGGGATCTTCGGCGCTGCACTAGACGATTTGGCATCATTTGAAGAGGCGCCTGGCTGCTGCTGCATCGGTCTTGCCCTCATCGGCCGTGTGCTGCGCGCACTCGCCGGCCGCATCCTCCCCGCGCTGGCGGGTCGGGGTACCGCCGAGAGCGGGCGGTGGTCCGGCCGGGGACCCGCGGCAGAAACCGGGCGCTCCGCGTTGCTCCAGCGGTTGTAACCCGGGAAGTCAGCGGGGCTGTGCAGTTTTGTTTGGGAAGCACGTACCAGTACCTTTAACTATACTACGGTTACAGGAGGAACAGCAAGAAAAATGATTAGCTCTCTTCTATCGCGTTTTTCATTTTCTGCCGAAAATCAAATCCAAAATAGGTACGAATTCGACTCTTTATTGTTCCCCGTCCTTGGCGTTTGGTCCTTGTACAGCCTCGCGCCCGCCGTTTTTGGTCTCCATACCCGCGGCACCGCGGCCTTCCCGCCCGTCGTCGGGTCCCGGCCGGCCGCGCGGTTCGGCTCGGTCCACTCCCCTAGCGTTTCCTTCAGAAAGCTCTGAAACAGTTCCGACGTCTCGGGGTCTTGCCGCGTGCGGGCAGACCGAAGCGTACTGTCCTCCGGCGCGGCGAACAAATCTTCAAAGTCATCCACGACTTTGTCTGCCGCAGTCCTCGGCGCGCCAACCGTTTTTTTCGCCGTGCCGTAGTGCTCCTTAAGGAAAGAAGCTGCTGCGGACTGCGGCCTCTTCACATCTTGTTCTCCCGGCGCTCCAGGGCCGGTAGAGGCCGTTTTCATTCTCTGCGTCGCTGCATTGGATGACGAATTGGCTGTACTGGTCCTTTTTGACGATGCTGTAGTCCCCGCCGCACTGTACGTTGCTTTGCCTCCACCCGCCTCCTCGACGGTGACCTCTTTGGTCTCGATCACGGTGGAGTGGCACGCCTGCGCGTGACCGCAGGTCGGACATGGAGTTAGGTCGGTGGAATTCGGTAAGACGTATTCGAAGTTTTCGCAGCCACTGTCCGCACAGGTGTAACGTTTGGTTCTGGTTGGTGTTTGGTGTATAGCTTTTGAGGTTGGCTTTCATTCTAGAAAGACACATCACTCACTCTGACTCTATGCTATCAACACATTGCATTTACATGACAAACTTTTAGCTAACAGAAGAACTATACCGCTTCGAATCCTGCCCCGTTGTCAATCGGTGCGACGAAAACGGGTACCCGCAGGCGCAGATGTGAGCGTGGTTAATTTCGATGCAGTGCTTCTTCACCCGGTAGGATAGTCCCGCCATCTCGTTCACCTTGCACGCCGAGCACTCCCAATAGACTTTGTGCTTCGTGAGGTTTTCGGACCTTGAGGATGAATGACCAGTAGCGGAGGAAGCCGATGCTGCCGATGCCCCTGGCGCTTCAGACCACGTCGTCGTCCCCCTGGTTGTGCTAGATGCGGTTGTGGAATACTCCGAAAACCTCGTCCCCTCCGGAAAAAATTCCTTTCTACCCGACCACGTCCCGCCCGCCGGCACCGCGGACCCCGGTCGCGGCCGGTCCGGGTGGTGGCTCGGTCTTGTGGAGAACTTGCTCTGCGACGCTGGACCTGCGGCTCCTCCGGGCATCTGCGAAGAAGCACTCCCGTTCGGCGGGTGGATATCGGAAAACGCGGTCCAGGGGGCGCGGGGGTTCGTCCCGTTCGGATTTCCACTGTACGCGTGTCTCGCACTCTGCGGCGCCCCGGTCGCGGCACTAGCGGTCCTCTGCTGCTCGGCTTGTTTCTTCTCCGCCCTCCCGGTCGTCGCTTCGTAAACCACCCGGTGCAGAACGGATTTGCTGCTGCGGCACCAGTCGACGAGCAGGTCGCGCGCGGCGACGATTTGCTGGAATTTGGACTTGCTGTTCTCATCCTTGCTCTTGTCCGGGTGGAAGACTAACGCGAGACGTTTGAAGGCTTTCTGGACGCTGTTTTCCGTGACGTCGTCTTCCGCGGGGAACCCCAGGATAAACTGGGCTTGCTTGCGGGACAGCGAAGACACATTCGACGCGCCGGCTGACATGGTAGTCGCGTAGGACGATCTTTCATCAACCAGGATGTTACATTTCGAAAACAGAAAGCGAAACTAGTGCTTGTGGAAAAGGAAAAAGTGGATCACAAGAAGCACAAGCAAGGCGATCAAATCGATCGCAGTAGTATAAAGTTCTGAATGTCGAGCGATCGGCAACCAAGGACGACGCTCATGTGCTGCACCTGCACTCCGTTCAGACGATGGCTCCCCCTCAACTTCTCTCCGAACCGCCGACCTCGACGAAAAAAAGTGTGCAGCTGCTGAAAAAGACAAAAAAAACCAAGCGAGCAAAAAGAAAAACGACACCGCCGCTGGAACATGTGATGAGGTAAATTTTTGCTCTCCGTCGGGAGATCCGAAGCGTAAAAGGACAAGTGGATTTTTCGCAACCATAGATTCTGTCCATAATGTCAAGTCTAGCTTGGTTCGAAAGCATCTATTAAGCCCCTCTGCTTCCTAAAGTATTAAGATTTCGTTGCATTAACTAGAGATAAAGTTTTTGGAAACACGATCTGTAATCTTACTTGAATAAAATTTTGGTTCTAAAAAGACCAACCATCTCTGATTCTGTGCAATTGACATCACCTCTTTGTGCGAGCACAAACTGGACGTCAAGAAATTAATTTTGAATCGAAACAATTTTTTGTTGAGTTGAAATCGCTAAAACGGTCTGTTAAGCAAATAGTAGTCCGAAACAGTTGAATCGAGCTCAAACCAGCTACCGGGACGGTGCTGGAGTGTGACGAGTGAAGTATCAGTATTACAATTGAAGTTAAAGTTGAGTTTCTTGTAAACCTAAAGTTGAAGTTAGTAAACGGGTGGTTCGTACAATAGTGTAATCAGTGTTGACAAAATTTTCGTAATCGTATTTCCTGTTGCACATAAATCAGTCCTGCGACACCCGCCTCATAATCGCGAAGACGACGATGCTTGCAATTGAGTAAAGTTGATGTTTGTATCAGGCACATCGGAATCTTAAATGGGTAGCTCAAAGTTACAGCGAAAAGTCAAAGATAGTTACTTGAGGAAATTTCCGTTGAGAGGAGGTTTTTGGTACTAGGGAATTCATTAGCGTCATTTTCGTTGCTTATTTTTTTCTCTTAAATCCCTGTTCATCTGTTTCTGTGCTATTGTTTTATATTAGTTTGAGGAGGAAGCTCAAGTTGCTGTTGCAGCTTGCATCGTTGGTTTTTGAAAGTGGAAATTCGGAAGTCAAAATCGTAGAACTAGCATGAATTTGTCCTGTCGTCGACGTCGATGTTGTACGTTGTCTTAGCTAGTCTAATTCAGTTGTGTTTTTTTTTCGGTGTTCTAGAATCGCTGTTGTTCTTCATGTGACTTCTTCACATTTATTTTTCCATTGCCATCGGCAAAATCGAGTGATTTTTTTGAAAACCTGGAGTTCCGATCCACGACCGCTTACTGCCAGTACTGGTTGTCATACTGCTGCTGGTTCCAGGCACCCTGGTCGTACTGCTGGTAGCCCTGGTACTGCTGCTCGTACTGCGGGACCGCCGCCGGGGCGGCCGGGGCCTCCGGGACCACGGGTTCCTCCACGACCGGGGCAGCCGCGGGTTCCTCCACGACCGGGGCAGCGGGTTCCTCAACGACCGGAGCCTCTTCCATCTCCACCTCCGCTGGCGCAGCCTCAGCGGCCTGTTTTTGCGTTATTTTTTGACGTTGGCCCGAGGCAGTTGAAGAGGATTGCGTACTTAACGAGCTATTGAAATTCAAAATCGGAAAAATGCATATCCAGCCGGTGAAACCCATAGAAATGCGGTCATGAGCCCTTTTTCATTTTTACGCAATGGTACTAAGTACCTCCTCCTCCTCCATCGGGGCCTCTTCCTCGGCCGGGGCGGCCTCCTCCTCACCAGCATCTTCCATCTCGACATCCTCCGCACCGGTGGCACTGGAGTCCACCACGGCCTCCGCCTCGATACCGCTCTCCATGGTGTCCGTGTCGACCACGGCCGTGCGGGCCTTCAATTCGCCGAACACGCCCAACACGGTGGCAAACTCCTCCTCCGCGGCCAGAGCCTCCTTCTTCGCCTCAGCAGCATTCTCCACCTTGGTGTCGTGGGTCTTCAACGCGGCCTGCAGCAGGTTATTAGTGATTTTCGAATTGGAAATAATGACATCAAAATGCAGAAGTCTTTAATCTTGGCATGGGTGCGAAAGACATCACATATAAATTGCTCGTCTGTGTTGACAACAGCATTTTCTCACCGTGCAAGTCTTCTTGGCCTTCTTCAACTCCGCGATAGCCGCGGTCGCATCCTCGACACTCTTCATGGCCTCGTCCATGGCCGCTTTGGCGGAGCTGACGGTCTCCTCGAGCTGAAATTGCGTATTTTTTTGGTGATTATTCACGTCCCGGATGAAAAAGACAAAATTCTTAGCACACATTAAAAACCTACGTGTATCTTGATGCACGCTTTCAACCATATAGAAGTCATAGAACTGTACTCCGACGAGGCTTTCGGTGACTTCCGAGATCTTGGCATCGAAACTCGCAATTTCCTCTTCCGTCGTGGTCGTGAACTTCGTGAAGAAGTCGCCCGCACGGGTCAGCATCATGGTGGTGAACTCCGCATCGTCTTCCGGCGAGATGATGACCTGCACCACGGACGTCTCGAAGGCTCCGACAATTCCCGCCTGCTTCAAGAACCCCTTCAGCTTCTCGATGTCGCGCTTTCCCTCTTTACCCGAGGCGGGTTTCTCGCTCACCAACTTGTCGAAGATGTCCGTCTTGCCAGTCGTCACCTTCCCCAGGGCGTCGGTCTTGGCCGACTTTTCCTTCTCGAACCCCTTCAGCTCCTTCTTCCAGGCCGCAACGGCTTTTTCCGCGTCGGAAAACGCGACCGAAGCTTTCTCCTCCTCGCCTTCCAATGCCTCCTTCGCCTCGGTCTTTGCCGTGATGTCAGCCTCGGTCTTCTCGAGGTCCGCAGCTAACCCGGAGCGCACCTGAAGGGAGAACATCATATCCATTTTTGTTTTTCGTGCGCTCAAAATCAATCTGCAAATTCATTATCTACTCTCAAAAAAATCAAGTAAGTACATCGTCCGCAGAGGCGGTGATGTTTTCGAATTCCGCAGTAGCGCTCTTCAACCGGGACTCGATTTCCTCCAAAGCCTTTCCGATTTGCTCCGTAGCGGCTGTTGTGGTTTTGATGTCAAGAACATTTTTTTGATGAAACATATGATGAATGTTGAAGATGAAGGTACCTGTACGCAAGCAATTTTGATGCACGACGTCGACATCACACTGCTGATCAAAGAACATTTCAATACCGGTCTGGCACTCATGGCGGTCCTCGACATTGTCAGAAAAAGCCGGGGTGCAGCAGCGCACCAAAATATCCGTCGCGTTTGGGGGCAGTTCGCACTTGGTCAGCAACGCCTCCTCCACTTTCGTGATTTTTTCCACCCAGGGGTCGATCACAGCGACCTTCGCCTCCTTCTTCTTCTTCTCCACGGAAACAACCTGTTGAGCCACAATTTCACAGGCGGGTTCGTGTCCAGAAATCACGGCATAAACTTATTATCGTCTCGCGTCTAGGACTACATGCAGAACAGGCATGACAACTCCAAAAATTGCGGGCGCCTTGCATCACATTTCCTTACAATGTAAAAGCACGAAGTACCTTCTTTCCCTTTCCCTTGCCGGAGGATTTCTTCGCCGGGGCCGGCTTCTCGGCCTTCTTCATGGCCACGACCTTCATCGCCTGAGCCTTAGTCTTCGGCATTTTGGATTGTTGGTGCGTTGTGAATACGTTGAAACTTCCTTTTCTCTCTCCCTCTCGGCGAGTACTTTTTCGTACTTCCTCTTGCTATTATTTTTTTGGAAATCAAGGAAAAAATCGGATTGGTTTTCTTTGGGCTAGACGAGCATGACCTAGAAGAGCGTTAGTAACTTGCTCTCATTCTTAAACAATTAGTCGTTTTTACGGACAATGGTCGAGCAGGCTAACGTACTTTCGTCCTTAAAATGCTCCCTGTAATAAAGCTAGGTCGACGAAAAGTTGTGGCCAAAGCTATTCGTGAGAGTGGAAACGTACTACATTCAAATTTTGAAAAATGAAAATCTATGGACTTCTATAAGCAAGCAGGAGAAAACAGGACCAGGTTGACTAACAGAAACAGGATTACGACGACCCACGTGAAGAGGTTTTTCTTCTGTTTCTCTTATGTTTGCCGTGCCACGAAACGGATCTTTTTAACCTTCAAGTTCTACGGATTTCTTCGGTCTACCTGTCGACGACAAAGCAAAAGCTAAAGTTAAAGAAGCAAAAGTTACTGAATAGACGCTTTCTACGAGCTCGAACTAGTACGGGATTTTGCAAGACTTCTGCGTCTCTGTAAATTCACAGTGTGAATAATGACGAATAGCTGGCTTTTTGCGCTCTGGAACAGGAACACTCTTTGTCTGTACTAACACGACGATGAGAGTGGATAATTCGACCACGAGAACGAAGATAAAGCTTGTCACTGTCTTTCGATTCCACACTACAACTTCATTCTCATACATCAGTCCTATTCCATTGCCACGACGAGCTCGAGTTTCTACTCAGTTCTTTCCTCTCGCATTTTTCACAACTACATGATCTCCAAAGCCTTTTTCAATTCTCTCTCTTCCAGAAACATTTGCAACGCGGTCGAATCTTTCAAAATTGCCTCTAGCCTGTTTGAACGAGCCAAGTCCTTTACCACGTCCAGCCCACCGACACAAAACCCGTCAACAAACAGGACCGGAAACGTCGGCCAGCCGTCCTCCCGTGTCTTCAACTCCGACCGAAGCCACTGAAGGTCAGGAAGGAGGATATTGTATACCGTCGTGGGAACTCCTTCTCTGTGCAGTAGTTCAAAGTCATCGGCTACGGAATCACTTTTGTTCGTTTTAGTGCCCTTGTGCTGCGTCGAAAGACCGGGTGAGACCTGCTTCAAAATTTTCACGAATTGCGCACTGAAGTGACACTGCGGCTTTTCCAGCGTGCCTTTCAGGAAAACAACAACGTGGCCGCTGTGAATGAAATCGTCGGCAGACTGGAAGTCCGGGTCGTAACAGAGCCCGTCCTCCGGAGCACCGTCTGCGGCAGCCGCACTAGCCACATTATCGTTAGTTCTGCAAAATTTATTACCCGCTGCCGTCGAGGAACTGCAGGCTGATGAGACTCCGTCCTGCGCTGTGGGATTTATGGATCGGAGTTGGTGGCTTCCAAATTTTTTTCCATCCTCTTTACGAAGATAGAGACCACCAAAACCAGCGTCGCGCTTCTCTTCACAGAAAATCGTCGCCGCCCGTACTCTTTCCACGTTCCAGGTCGGTCTGACGCGCGGCTTCACGGAACCCCGGTCCTGCTGCGAAGCAGAACAAGAACGCGGGGATCTCGGTAGCGCAAACACAACCAACGCCGAACGAAGTGTGTCTGACACGGAGAGCATGTTCTGCTAACTAACTCACGCACTGTTTTTCTTGGGTAACTTTCGGACCCGGAGACGCAAACAAAACTCATGCAACGGGCTTTCACGACGCGGAATGCTACTCAACCTTAACGTCCTACGTCGTGGTCCAAACCTTTCAAGACGCGCTATCGCGTTACACGCTCCAGAAGAAGAACACCAACAAGCTCAGGAACATCAACTGTTTGCAAGAGTAAGACTCCAGCACCGTCGAACTGCAACCCATTTTTTTCCAGTACAGGGTCCGTTTCCGTGGTGAGTGACGTATTTTCTTTTCGCATTTTATCGTACAAGCGCAGTGGCTGCAAATTGCTCACGTACATTCAGGATCAGGCCAATTCAGGGGTACTAGGGTTCTTCAGGGTACAGATACAGTCACTGGGTAGTAGTCAAAGTCAATCTTACATGTACATTTCAGAAGTTCATGTATACCTTTTTGATTCATATCGAAACCGTTCTCTGCGACAGGGCAACGCTGTCTGCGATTCACAGTTTTACCATATTTCATCTATATCGTATCGAATTCGAAACCATATTCTACCATAACCATTTTCACAGTGTCATAGCTGCGTACTAAAATTGCGTTGACCATCAGTAACCATGCCTGCATTGTTTGTTTGTACATCGAGCCATCGGTCGTCGCTTCAACCCCGCGTCCTTACCGTCGCCGCGTCAAGCTCGCTTCCAGCTTTGCCTGGTCGTTTTCGAATTCCTCCCGCGACATTTGCAGCACCGCCTCCATCTTCCGGGTTTCTGGGTCGCCGTACTTGACTGCGCGCTGCTGCTCGTCGTAGAGTTTCTTCACCCCCTCCATCTCCTTCCGCTGCTGCATCAGCGCGACCAGACGCATTTCCCTGTTATTTGGTATAGTAGCATGATCTTCAGGGATTTGGATTTCTATCTTGCGCACGACCTACTTCTTTTGTTGTTTCTTTGTCTTTCGGTATTACATTCCAGAACATGAGCACTCATTGAGCGCCTTCGCTGTGATTTAGTGCAGAAGCAGAAAGATGAATGTGTATTGTATGCTGTTGACCCCAAAGAGAACGAGTGCTCCACAAATTGGATCGAAGAAGCACCCGCTGAGTACAGGGTCAGAATTGTTTCGCTTTTGCGTCCACTAGATGAGCCAGGGCGTATTTTTTGAAAAGAAATCCTCACAAGAATGTGCGGACACGCGCCCCGCTCTTGCAAATGGCGCGTAGAAATTTGGATCAAAGGAGGTTCTGATCGTAGACATAGCGACTGCTGCTGTTGATGCATAGTGGCGGCGGGCGATTCAAATTTATTCAAAATATGTTATTTCGGATCCGTACGCTCTCATGTCATGACATCTGCTTCTGGACCACGACAGAACGAAAAAAAAAGCGATTCTGACGTTAATAGATACCTTGTCGTGTGTTGTTGCTCGTGCCGTATCTTTTTTGCCTTGTCCGTCTCCTCCTTGTCCGTGGCTCGCTGCGCGTCCGCCAACCGACTGCGGTACACCTCCGCCAGCGCGTTCTCGTCTTCGAACGAATCCACGTTGACCGGCACCTGGGCCGCCAACTCCACCCGCTGCCTTCCCCCCGGTATGATCCCCGCGATGGCCGGCGCCGCGCCCTCCGGGCCGACGAGCACCTCGGCCGGCGCCACGGCGGGCTGCGCGAGCAGGTCCTTCAGGGCCTGCATCTTCTTGCCTTGATCCGCGGCGGTCGTCGTGCCGAACCGGCTCGCCCCTTTTACCGTGGAGGACATCGCGATTGACCGCCCCGGCCCCGCGGTGAAGGAGCTGGCCATCGCGCGGCGGTCGTGTCTCCGGACCTTTTCCAGCTGTGCCTCCTCCTGTTGCGTATGCAATGCAAAAGCATCGCACTAGTATAAATTGCATTACAGACTCGCCCAGCATTACAAGAATTGCATTTGTAATGCTGACTTACCTTGAAACAAAGACTTGTAATGCATAAATGCAATTACTACGAGTACGATACTTTTGCACAGGATATTGCGCGATCTCCAACAGCTTCTTGTTGTACAGATCTTCGTTTTATGGATTGCAAAAATGTCTGGGTCTGGAACTTTGTGATGCTAAAATGTGCATGATGAAAAGACACCTTTATGCTAGAACGCATGACAAGTGTACAGAACGCTTTCTCATACGAACTCCGCATGAGAGACTGCGTTTTTGTATGACGTGAGAGGCTGCCACTTTTGTTGGTCACGCAATACAGATTTCGCAGGAATGTAACGCCAGCATTACAAGTTCCAACTTTCCAGACCCAGACATATTTGCATTTGATACGTTTTCCCGTTCCAAGATCGCCAGGTTCTTCGCCGACAAGTCCACGGAGTACTTCACCGCGCGTTGCCGCTCCTTTTTCTCCTCCGCCTCGGCGTCCAGCCCGCCCACGGCCATTTTCCGCATGATCTCGTTCTGCCGTTCCTCCATCCGGAGCTTGCGCAGCGGGTTGATCTCCTTCCCGATCAACACCGGCCGCTTGTTCGGGTCGGGCAGGCCCACCTGCGCCTTCCGCATTTTCGCGAGACTGGCCAGTTCGCCAAAGCAGTTGTACCCCAGTTCCTCGGGCCGGTTCACGATCGCGTCCATTTCGCGGATCAACCCGAAGTTCACCGTGGACTCCTGTTTCCGGGCGTCCTCCGCCGCGAGCCTTCGCAATTCGGCCTTCGCCTCCTCGGCCTTTGCTTCAAACTCCTTCTTCGACTGCTCCTCCTCCGCCGCGGTGGGCATTATTGTCGACGTCGTGTTCTTCGCGGTTTGCGACTGGGAGGACCCCGGGCGGTCCTTTTGTGATTGTGCACTGCCCGGTCTTTGCTGGGATTGAGAACTGCCGGGACGCTGCTGGGATTGGGAACTACCGGGTCGCTGGTGGCCTGGGGAATTTTCTCCGATCGCGGGAAGGGAGGACTGAAGTGATGTAATGATATACTTACGTCGTGTTGGAACAAATGAAACTCGCTCTTGTTCAACAAGTTGATGTACACACTGGAGAGGAAATGGTACTATGACCGATCACGAAAAACCTAAATCAGTACCTGCAGCTTGTTCGGAACGTCATCCGACTGCTGAGACAATCCTGGCTCCCCGCCAAACAGGGACATCAGCGTATCCGCCTCCCCGGCAGCCGCCGCTTGCTGGCTCTGCAACTCCGCCAACGAAATCGTCCCCCCGCCCTCCAGAGGTATCAACTCACTGCCCTCGTCTATCAAACCCAAGCCCCCCGCGGGTGTTGCTTCTTTAACTTTTGGTGACTCCCCCACGGGCGGGAGCAGGGTTTCCTTGGCCGGTGCGGATGCAGCTGGGTCTCCCTCTGCTGGCTGGGTTGGCTGTTGCGCCTCTGTTAAACTGGTACTACCTTCCGCGGCTTTGCTATTTTCACCCGCCGCTTGTGCGTCCCCCGCGGCATTGGATGTTGCGGCCTCACCAGCTTTTATCTCCTTTTTCAGATTATTTTCAAAACCCGAACCGCTGCTGGCGGTTATGTTTTGTCCATCCTGACCCTTGACAAGACTCATTGCGGGGGAAGAGACGGACGGTGAGCTGTTTGAAATTGTGAGCATCAGAAAGAATTCTACTTGCCATGCAGATCATGATCCACCAGATTCTGATTCACAGTGACATTAAGGGCACCAAAAAAAAGCCACGACAGTACCCCGCACTGGTCGTGCCGGCCGCCCCGACCCCGATCCCCATCTCTCGCAAGGATGCGTTCGCGTTTTTGCGCTTCTTCTTTCCCTTCTTTTGTCCGGGGCTGTCCTCCTCCTCCTCCGCCTCCTGTGCCTTCTTGTCCTGCACCGCCGCGAGCTCCGACCCCGGCATGGGGATCACCTCGTGCTGGAAGGGAAACCGTTGCGCGACAAAGTAGGTGATCAGGCACTTGGTCATTTTTCGGGAAAAGAGGATCAACAACGTCTGGGGGTCGTGGGGGAACATCCGGAACCAGTGCATGTTTTTGTAGTGGATGTCCTGGGAAAAAATTACCTCGTCGAAAAAAGCTCCATTTTTCGTCCTCACCTCGTCGGGGGAGCGCTTCTTCAACCCCTTGATCTCCTGCATAACGCGCTGAAGCAGGCTCTGGAAACTGTCTTCGAGAATCTGTTGTTTGAATCAATTGACGACGTTTTTGTGGTCCTTCGAATTTTTCCACTGCTGAAAGCAGTACTAGAGATCATCAAAAGCAAGTGTAAGACAAACGAGCTGCCATGGTGGAAACTAATGCAAATCATAGTGATGTCCACGTTCACCTGTATGTTGACTAGTCCGTAGCTACTTATCCATAGATACTACGGCTCTTTCTCACCTTGTCCGATATCTTTCTTTTTTCGTGCGTTATTCTGGTGGATTTTATCGGTAGCCCGTCCTGATCGAGTTTCCGCTGCAACCGGATCAGCCAAAACTGGCTGGGTTCGAACCCGACCCGCTTCATCGTTTTCACGATGTCGAACCGCTCCGGGAGCTCCACGCCCTCTGGGAACTATCCTGTGTAAAAACGTCCCCACACCATAGTTGTCATGCAGATTTGCCATGACAGGAACATTTGTGATGCGCAACCCCATGACAGGCATTTTCAATCGTGTTTGGGAACTTGTAATGCTGTAAACAGGATCAGCAGGTCGATTTGTGATGCGGCTTTCCTTGCTAACTTGCACTACCTTACGGACTGAAACTTGTCATGCGTGACTCACAAAACTCCTAGTTTTGTGTTGCAAAATCCCCATCCTGACTCTGGTGTGGGTACGTTTTTACTCAAGATAGGAACCTGGGGTTGATCATCACGTGTGCCTGGGAGGAAAACCGAACCGGGGCCAGCATGTACAGCCGAAACGCCACTGCGCCCCCGTACCCGAGGCCGAACGCGGCAAATTTGTGGATGCGGTAGAAATCCAGGATCTTCAGGATGATGGAGGGCATAATCTCCACGTAGTCCCGCACATTCCGCTCGAATTCCGGTGGAGATTCGAACATCAGCACGTTGGCGCCCAGCTGCGTATGCAACGCAATCGCTATCTGGAAAAACTCGTGGGCGCTGCGGTGAAGTGAATTTTTGTCTTTAGGAAACGAAGCGAAAATGTTAAAAGAGGCAGGAAAAATGACACCGCGCCATTTGGAGAAAAAGGAGTCACGGATCCATGCAATCGGATCCCTAACCCTATGCGAGAGAAAGTCAAAGTGCATGAAAAAACAGGTACTCTGCTGTACCCATGACCCCGGAACCCGTGGTCGGCGATTATCACTATGATTTTCCGGCCGCTCCACCTGTTGACCAACTGCAGGTGGTCGGCCGCCACCTTCTGCGAGTGCGACAGGCCCATGACGCTGACGAAAAAGGACCACTCCTTGGCCACCTCGTGGCGCACTTGAAACGTGTTGATCTCCATGTTCCACAGGATTTCCTTGTCCCGGGTCTGGAACCCCTTCTGCTCCCCCGTATCCAAGAAAAAAACATTGTAGGTGTAACTTCTTTGGAGGAACAGCATTACAAATTTGTCTGGCATGACAGCAAAAACCTGTCATGCGCAGATAGTACGTGAAAACGCCCTTTAATGGACCCTACGATGCATGCCAAGCATGACAGACGCAATTACTTTGCATGTTGCGCATCACAAATTTACACTAACAACGTTTTTTTCTTGGATACCCCGACTGCAGAATGTATTGTTCCACCATCTTCGCGTTTGTGGAGGTGTGAAACTTGTTGTCGCTGTACACCTCGCGGATGCTGGGGTCGATCACCGCCTCGAACGCATTCACATTATGGACCTGTCAGGATTGAAATCGTCAAAGTTGAAATGCTTTCTCATGCCTAAAATGCAAGGCATGGAATGCCTGTCTTGCCGGGATGGCAAATGAGGCAGATTGTGAGCCTATTTAGGGTTTGGGATAGAGCTGCTAGAGGAGCATGACAAAAGCAGTCTTCTGTGCCCAAACAGCATGACAAATTGGATTCCAGAGCTCCGAAAATTTGTCATGCGCCGCTTGGAAATTGGGCTTCCAACTGGTATCCATTGTATGCATGACAAATCATTTCAACTTTGTCGATTTCAAACCTGACGCTTCCATACACATCCGCCCGCACGTACACCGACCGCAAGGGTTGCGCTTTCACCAGATTCAACTCCATCTTGCTTCGATACTAAGGGGGGGAGGGAGAAGTGTGGGGTGGGGGGGAGGGAAGTGGTTGTTCGCAGTAGGTTGTTCACTGCGAAAGCGACCTCGGGGGGCTGGTGAGGGGATGGGGTTAAGACAGACGGCAGAGAGGCTGGGGCGAGGAGCAGCTGTCCATAATTGTATACAGTACTAGGAACAATGGAACGAGTAAAGGATCTCTGGAGGGTTAGTAGTTAGAGTATATATCCATATGTTTTGATAATGAGGACCTGCAAGTAAGTGCAGTAAGTGCTTTTTCCGCCTACGTGTATGTCAATACTTCTTTCCCACTCCGTGAAAGTGAAACTTTTCCTCCTTATTGAACCTGATTCGAATCGGTCCACGTCAGAAGCTAGTTGCGTGCTAGATACACACGTGAGAGACTAAGTGTCGCAGAAGAAGCGCTCTTAACAAATGTCGAAGACCTACATGTGCTTCTCGTTACTTAGACCGATGTACACACGAGTACCACCTTAGGCTGACGTGTCCGGCTAGTCAATTGGGTTCTCAAAAAGGGTGTATCTATGATACGGTTGGAAGTCGGAACACGACTCGACGGCATGAAACAAAGTAGTAGAACCGCAAAGACCGATGCGCAGCGAGGACAGCATTTTTTTTACACTTTGCAGGATATTGTTATTGCCGGCCTTTCCATACAGAGAAGTAAAAGAGCCAGCCGCACTGGCATCGCCATGCAATTTTGGTCTCGTCCTTCTCTTCCGTCAACTCTTTGCGTTTATCAAACAAAACTGTATTTCAGTGCATTTTTTCTTGGCGATTTGCAAACTACAATGAATGAGATTTATGTGACTGTGACGACCTGACTACGGCAAGACACACGACGACACGCAGAAACGCGACGACCATGTGCTGTGCCTTCTTTCATTTCAACTACAGTATTCTCGTGCAAAATGATCCTCACAAAATGCGTGGCATGGCATTCGGAATAGCAATGGAGCAACACATCAATGCAGCACAGACAAGTCGGTGGACCCACTGTCTCTGTGTCTCTAAAAGAGACAAAGCTGGTGATCAGTTGAGGAAAAAAAGGGAGAGATGCACTGCGCAAGGGCTTTTAGAACCTATGTCCCTCCCTTCCTCCCGCCTTCTTCGGTTACGACTTCCGTCCAGTGAGCTTGCTCCTGCAACTGCTTCTTTATCGCCTCAAACTCCTTCCGGTGCCCCAGTTCCGTGGGAGGCTTCAGAGCGAACTTGACGAAGGCGCTCATGCGGTCGTCCATGCGCCAGCCCGGCCGGCCGTCCTCGTGCTCAGCCCAAATCATTTCGTAGGAAAACTCGACGAAGCGCCGCGGCTCGTCCTTCCATGTCAGAGACTTACGCACGGTCCAGAGCCCAGACATGTCTTTCGGAGCCCCCATCGTGGGCTGCACCCAGGGGTTGTAGCGCGACACCGAGTAGGGAAGAAACTGATGCTCCTTCGCGCCGTACCGGTGGAGGTCCTCGAACTCTGCTTCCACCGGCGGCAAGCCCTTAAAGTCCACCGGCGCACGTCCGCGGCCGCGCACGTGCCGCTGCTCCGGGGTGGAGGACACAACTTCCGAACTGATCAACGTGCTCCGCCCCAGCAACCACAAAGGCGATTTCAACTTCGCGGTTTGCGAATGCAGAAGCTCGTGTGTTTTTCTTTTGTAGATGTAATCATCCTCTCCTTCTTGCTGCCCGCTGAGGAGAGGACTTACCAAAGTCTGCAAGTCCTGCGCAACTTGTTCTGCGGACATCTTTGACAGGTCAAAAACCGCCTGCCACCGCACCCCATTCCGGAAGTCTACGCGCTCCGGGTAGGACAGGCTGTGCTTGCTGCTGGAGGTGCTGCCCCGGCGGCCCTTCCCCGACGGCGTGTCCAGCTTCGCGTGGAAGAGATACCACTCCACTTTCTTCCGGCCTAAATCAGCGGCGGAATTATGATCTGGCGGAACACTGCTGCCTGTGGAAAACCAAAACGCGGAATCTGGTGGCGGAAGATCATCTTTCTTCCAGCCTTCTGGAAGCATGAGTCTGTCGGAGCCGGTGCCCGATTTGGGCGGAAGTGAAGATGTTCCTGTACCTTTCAACTTCTCCTGCGCTCCTGAGCGCAAATGCTGCTCCGCGGAGGCCGCTCTCCCCACTTCGGCCGCCACGTGGCTTTGCAGCGCTTCGAATTCCAGCTGCTCCGCGTCTTGCGCCAGTGCGTGCAGTGCCTTCGGAATTCCGGTGTCCGTCGGCTCCCAGAACACAAGATAGCGGATCCAAACCCGTGTCACCGGGGGTCGGCGGCGCAGATGTGGTTGCTGGCGGCCGAGACCCAGAGGTTCCTCCGGCTGTTGCACTCCCACGCCGCTGTTCTCGTAGATTCGCAAAGAGCGCCACGCGGCGTGCTTTGGAGGTTCCAAAAAGTCTGCGCCGACAAATTCAGGAACACTGCCGGCGTCGAGGTTTGGGTGAGGATTTTCTTTCCCCGCTACGCTGGGAGAGCCGACGCAGTGCTGTGGTTCCTCTCCACCACCGAATGAAGGGGCACAAAAAGCAGAGTCAGATGTGCAGCTCATGTCTACCGACGAGCCGGGAGTCGAGCCCGGGGTCGTCGAGCCGGGAGATGTAGAACAACCAAAATTAGGAACAGTAGAACAACTGGACGACGCAGAAGTGGCAGACTTTGTCGTCGAGGGGACGACGCTTCCTTTCTTGCAACTCTTTGGCGTCGACGCGGCGCCGGGAAACAAGCTGCAGCCGAGGACTCGGACGTCGAGGTACGATCGTAGTTCCACCAATTTGCGACTGCCGTTTTCCGCGCCGCGCACGAGCGCATGGCGATCCTCGAAGTCGGTGTACGTGGGCAGGACTCCGCCATACAGCTTTTTTACGTTGCCCGTCACTACCCGCAGGAAGCCATTCTGTAGTGGACGGAAATGTTGAGCCATTTTTCCGCTTGCCGTGCTTCCGTAGAAATCCACCAGATCAACATGGTCATGAGATGAATTATTCTTGTCAGTTTCTATGCTTCGTCTACTTTGCAACAGGTTTAGAACTTCCTTCCTCGGGGCATCAACAAAACGAGTTCGTGTGCCAATGGTCTCCGCAGGGGCGGCCCGCTTGCAGCTGTTGTGGTAGATCGTGTTCGTTACCTGCAGGCGAGAGCAGTAGTCTCCTGCCACAATACGGTGGACTGGCTGCACTTCTGTCTCCTGAACTTGGTCCTGTCTGTTATCTACTCTCCGCATCTTCTGCATTGGCGGCGGCGGCATCGGTCTGCTGGACGTCGAGTCCTCTTGCGGTTCAACTTGTTCTCCACCCAAGTGCCTGCTTCGGGAAGAACGACGCTTGTCACACAGAATGCTTCGACGAAGGATGACGTCGTCAGCATTGTCGTGCGTCGGAAATAAACTCGAACACGGCGGCGCGTGGTCTACAACAGTAAGGTTTTCGTCTTCCACCGCCCAACCACCACCTCCCGCTATTCGCGTCCAGAAGTCCGCTGGCAGGCTGTTTTTCGAGTACACACTGCCGGTCCACTCAAAACCACGATTTTCGGCAAGAGCGGTTTCCGCTCGTGCGATCCAATCCTCAGCTGCGTGTCGCTGCAGAAGAGCTTCTGAGGCCCTTTCGGTTTTGCGTTGTTCGTCCTCCGAGGGTGTTCCATCCGCGCGGGCTACTGTCTCCCCACTTGCTCCAGACTGGCCTCCATTGCGACGCGCGCACTGGAACGGCCGAAGAAAGAATCTCCGCCACGATTTCGAGATTGTAGGGGGGGCCGTTCCGCGCCGGCCTGGAGCTGGGTGGAAAGCGACGTCCTGGTGGCTTCCTATGTTTCTATCCGGAAGCAGTGGCGCTGTTGCCGCGGAAGTCAAGGTGAAAGTCGCGCAGTGTTCTCGCAGTGACAAGTGGAAGAACAGACAGCTTAGAAAGTTGAAGACAAGAAAACCACGGCGGTTCGCGCACCAGTACCGCTCCGCAATCTTCAACATGATCGATTCGCTTATTTCTTCCGTGGCTTCCGTCGTACTACCCTCTCTACTTCTTCTTGTACTGGCAAGGCGTAGAAGCGCGCTCCACCAGCATCTCTTGCCGTCCGGCAAATCTACGTAGTAAAAATCACGCCAAAAAACACGCGGGCGTTGGAGTTCTGACATGACACAGAACTGGGAGGATCTGCCACGTCTTTCTCGGCGCTCACGTTCGTATTATGATTTCAAGAACTTGTAGCCACTGTGATCTGACTCTTTGGACCAAAAGCTTCCTTAGTAGTACTAACCTTTTCGAGATGTAACAACTGTGAACTGATGACCACAGATGATTGATCATGGATGTAGAACAGCATTTTCCACGGCACGATAAAGTTACACATTGACATGCATTTCTGTATTTATCGTAGCTTTCATCTCAATCGCCTACTTATTCTCAAGTAAAACGAAATATGCGACAACAAGAAGCGCAGTACAGAGCTCGTCTTCCTGTGGCACTTCATCTCGTCTGCCAAAGCGGATGGTGCCTTCGTCCATCTCAAAACGCCCCTGCACCTCTGCCGCCCTGTTGAACGAGGTAGAAGTACAATGTTCGTGCTCAGTTGCAATGTTCGTGCTAAAGACGGTGCGCTGGCACAAACACATCAATCTTCATCCGATAGCATCGTTGAAGCAGTTCAAATTCAATCAAAACGGTGGACAAAAAATAGATACACAGAAAGAGCTTCAATTGACCAGGTGATTCGATTTGCGACCCAAAACTGGTGCAAAGCCCACACAATCCGCAGGTTTACGATGCTTCTTCCCGCAGTCGCCGCGGAAAAACCCCGTGGGCATACCTTTTGGGCGGAATCTCGTGAAAAACCAACCGGAGTTCGATGGCGTGGTCTTCACTTGAAGGAAATACGCCATCGTTTTCCCGTCGGTGTCGAACGACAGCACTCAAAACGTCGGACAGTGGTAGCCCCTCTAGTTCGCCCAACTCCGTTGCTTCGTCGCAGAAAATCAGCACTGCGAAGCGGAGTGGTCGCATCCCGGCGTCCATGATTTGCGAGACAATTTCTTCCGGGAGTGGTTGCTTCCGATCCCCCATCCAGCCATTCGACGGGCGAACCGCACTCGACACGAGCTGCCCAAACCACTGCGGGATTGCTCGCTCTTCTACCGCGGCGATGCTCGTCCCGTTGTCGTCAAACCGCGAAAACGGGTGCCATTTGGAAGTTATTTCCAAAAATTCTTCGAGGGTGAATTTCTCGATTGTCCAGCCAAACACGGAGTCGGCAAAGGAACCCATGCTTTCGGCACTGAATCCGTGCAGCAGCTTGAAGTAGATGGGGGCCGAAGCGGCGTCAAACCGCTTTACAGAGGGCCTCTGTACTAGATGGAGGAAGTAGTCCTCCATCTCATCCTCCACGTCCAAATCCAGCTCGGACTTCACCGCCTGCGTCGACTCCACCGCCTCCGTCGAACCCGGTTCACCAACAAGGTCTGCCAGCCTGTTTTCGACAATGGACTCTTCAATCTGGGTCCGAACTTTGTCGCCAAGCTTGACAATCTTGTCTAGCACCTCGTCGTAGTTATCGAGGGAGGGCGCCCCGAGATCGCCCTTCAGTAAGGTGGTCGCTGTCTCCAACATCTCATCCTCGATCGGATCCAGCACCCGCTTCAGGAGCTCAATGTAAGTAGGTCGCCCGGTAGAGTCAGGCATTTTACCAATGCGAACCTCAATGATGCATGTTCCAAAGGGAAAAAAATACGACAGTGTCAACAGTTCTGCTTTTAATTGGTACTACTAAACTAAATTTCATCAGAACTATTCCTCGACGCAAGTTTCGCTAGCAAAACAACCGCATGCCGGAAGATAAACGAAGCAAATGTACTGGCACTTCATTCTCCCTTCGTAAGTAAGAATACATCTGCGGCTTGAGCAAAAATATCAGACAGTTCGGGTTCCTAGAGTTCACAAACAAGTACTAAAGCAAGGTCTTTTCTCATTCCCCGGGATGGCAGTCGCAGTATCCTTCTTCGCCAACAACCGATCCCTGCAAGAGAAGCAAACACGCAAAAACCCCCTTCGACCTAGCGAGTTTCAAGATATCTCCTCCACGAAAACCGAAACCCACGACCAGTGCGAATAAATATAATATTACACCCGTAGCGTTTTTCCTATGGCATCTCATTCCTGGAAGCAGAACTACTTGCGCTCCAGAAACAAGGCAAAGGCCACTACACTGCCTCAGATCAATTATTCCACTGTCTCGGGCGTTGCAGTTGAGCAGTAGTGAACATTTCCGGAGCTGCCCGGCAAACTCTTTCTCAAATGGAAATGCCTAACTCAGTACGCTAAGCGTAATAAAAACAAGAATCACAGTACAGAGTTCTTTGTTCTACCTGGTTGTGGTGCGGTAATTCTATACCAAAACGGATGTTGTTTTGTTCCTCCACCTCAGAACGCCCCTGCACCTCCGTCGGCTTCTTGGCCGAGGTAGAAGTACAATCCTCCCCCAAAGGCCAGAGCTCCGCCGCCTAGTAGCATAATGTTGGTGGTGCCGCCTCCCGTTCCGGCGGCCGCTGCTTTCTCGTCCGCACCGTTGCCTCCGCCCTTCTCTTCGGCGGTCGCGTTGTCTTGGGCAGTTTCGTTCACGGAAATGCTGGTTGTGGTGGATGTCGTCGTGGTCGTCGTCGAGGTAGTGGTGGTCGTGGAGGTGGTGGTTGTCGTCGTTGTCTTGCAGCGATAGGTATGGAATGCAAATATGTCTGGGTCTGGAAGAATGCGCGTTTGTCATGCTTGTCTGGTATGACTAGCCGGAAAAGGGCCTCTTGCCTGTCGTCATCATCATCATCATCATCATTGAGACGGGCCCCCTGTGGTCGTCCTCACGGTGTTTGTGGTGTCATGCAAATGTCATGCGGAAAACGCAACACTAAGCAGCGCAGACCTTTCTCATGCAAGGCGGCGCATTACAGTGGCAGGGCATTCACTCTTCCCTAGCAAGCATTACAAGTTTCCAGACCCAGACATATTTGCATTTGCTAATAGGTCACAAAGCCAGCTGAGTCCGACCTGGCGGTGGGGCAAGCGTCAAATACCCTGCACCAATAAACATAACCGCCTCCTTCCTTTGGAGTTTTCTTCCACGAGAAGAAGGCTGCGTGCGCACGGTCGGCCTCCGCGGCGCAGACGTCCGTCGAGGTACAGAAATCGTCGTCAAACGTGGGACTGGTTTTGTTCACGTCAAATGGGCATTTTTTCCCCCACATCAGCTTGCACGTGCCCGAGACCGGCGGGTCGAACGGCAAAAAAAACCATACCCGGTTTGTGCACATACGAACCTCCGGACTCCCTGCAATGCAAAATGCTCGTGTAGTCTCCGCACCAGACTCTCCAGGTGCACTCTTCACCGTCCGCTCGTCCACATATTTTACCGGAGGGAACCGCGTCGTAGACATCATATCCAGCGTCACAGAACCCCTGTCCGGCACGGGTCGCAAATTTAAACTGCTCACCTTTTTGTTCATGTTCATCTTCCCTTGATGTTGTGTGGATTGCTACTACACGACCACCACTCGCAGATCCCTGTATACTACTACCTTCATCAAGCAGCGCACTTGCACTTCCTGGGCGCCACACTCCTTCATCTTCTACTCCGGAGGTCGTGTAATTATTCTTCACGATTCCCCCCGTAGTTCGGATGATTCCTATGCCTGCTCGATCCTTGGCACTAGCATTCAAAAACTCCCGCCCTTGCGTATGCTGTTCTGTTTGTGGACGCAGCACCGCTGAAGTTTCGTTTCTGAACAACGTTTGAGCTTCTACGCGAGCTGCAAGACGGTGCGCTTCATCTACAGCTACTTCTTCGCCGCGGTCCCGTTGCTGGTCTGTCGGTGCTAATGCTTCTTGCACGTCTTCTTTACCTCGTGCACTACTACTTTTCTCAGAAACTACATTTTTCGTATCAGCACTGGACGGTGAAGCTGCCGTGACGTCGACCTCTAGTACACTTTCCTGCTGCCCTCGTTCCGGTCGATTCTCCACGTGCTCGCTTCTGAGCAAAAGGCCGCTCGCTGGTAGTTCATCGGTCTCCCCCGTGTCGGAAATTATGCTCTGGGCAGGCTGCTCCTGCTTCTCGTTGTGCTGGTCTACCAACAAGTGTTGACTCGGGTCGACTGCAACGCCCTGGATCCTCGTTGCAGCACAGGCATAAACCCACGCTGCGAAGCGTATCCGCTCGTGGCGCGCGAGTGCCGGGCGGCCGGATCGCAGAGATGCCGAACTACGGGAAGACGTTTTTCCAAGACCTAACTGCATTCGGTTTGTTTTTCGTGGCCCCGCTGTCGTTGCATCATGTTGTGCACTTGCTGTTGCTCTTCAAGTCTCGCATGATCCGCTGGCAGCGAATCACGCCCTGACACGCCCTGAATTACGCCCTGCTATTGAAAGGACACGGAACATGGTCGCAAAACAAAGAAATAACCAATTTCAAATTACTTATACAAATTCTACTCTGGTCCATCACTCTGTCATACCAAGGGCAAGGAAAACTTCTAACTATGATGTAAAAAGTCCAACTCGTCTCGTCAGTAGTATCCTCCTCATTGTTGTTTTCCCTTGCTTGACAGACTGCCGCTCCACGCACGTCTTCTTCAACCACCGCGCAAGAGGTACTCAAAGCTCGGCGCCGTCGCACACATGCTGACGCCAAGACTCGCAGATCACATGCGAATGATCGTTTTGCCAGTGCTCGTTAGTGAAGACGGCACATGTGCGCTTGACTCCGTTTCAAATGCAACATCGTGTTCAACCAGCCCGATGAATTCTCCGTTATTATTCACGAATGCGTCCCATGAAAATCATGCGTGTGGTCCTTACGACCGCATCACTTCATCTATGTTCATCGGCACTATAATGCACAAGACCGCAATCTCGAATCAAAAAAGTAGGAAACAAAGCGTTTTTTATTACACCTCCTGCTCTACGTGTTGAGGTTGACATATGTCTGACATAGCTTCTTACAACCAGCCACTACTCCGCAACAATGAAGGAGAGATGATGTGCTTCCTCTACGAACTGCTCATGTGAAAACGCTAAAACAGTGGCTTCACATTTATGTGGTAGTACAGCAGTCCCCCGACAACCGCTGCACCCGCCCCACCGGCAGCTATCAGCATCATGTGATCTTCCGCAGTCTCCGCTTCTGCTGTACCATCGTCTTGACCTTTCCCGGAGTCTTCTGTAGAGGTGTCGTTTTCGGTCGCGTTTTTGCCTCCGTCTACCTTCTCGGTTTCGATGCACTTGTAGGTCTTGTACTCGTGGGCTGTGGTCCAGCTCTCCTTGTACGCCGCGGAGGATATGACAGTGAAGATGAAGAAAACCCGTGCACTGATATTTTCTCCTGCTGCAATATGTTTCACTTTCACCTTATATTTTCTCTTCTGCAAAAATGAAGGAAACTGCCCTGAAAAAAAGGTTCTCCGAAAGAAATAAATCGAGGCCACCTCACAGCACGAACGGTGCAAAAAATAACATGCCACAACAGAGACACTTTATTGCAGTTCGTAAAAAAGGCGGTCGATCAGTTGACAACTTAGTTTCCCCGTATTTATTCCGCTGTCCTAGGGCAAACGTCGTAGATTTTGCACCAGTAGTCGTTTGCGCCGGTCCCGTAGGCGAAAAACTTGGCCTTGCCCCGGTCGGCCGCCGCCGCGCAGTCGTCTATCGTTTCGCACTTGGTCCCCTCCGTGCCGAAGGGGCAGTCGGTGGACCCGATCTCCCAGCACTGGCCGTCGATCGGGTCCTCAAGCTCTGCGTCATCGGCTTCCGGCGTTTTTATGGAGCATCGCGTGTCGGTCGTCAGCGCACACAGGCTCCCGTCGGAAATATCGCTATGCCGCTCGTACTTTTCGCACAGCGCCTTGATCGTATCACCCTTTGCACGACCAGCGCGTTTATTTCTCCCCGCAGCTCCTCTGCCAACCTTCGCGACGCTTTGTTGGCCTTGATGTTCTTGTGCCAGCGAAGCAGTGCTAGCAGTACTGTTCAGCAAAAACTCGTGCTTGTCCTGCATCTTCAAGTTCTTGTCCCGTGTCGGAATCGCGTTTGGGTTTTTCGTCCTATCTTCCGGCGGTTCTTCTTGTGCTGCAGCTACTGCTGCTTCGTCCCTCAGCTGCTTCCCTGGCTTCGGCTTTTGCGTTGGATGGACTTTTCCTTCGTTCTGGCTGGAACGAAAGGAAGATGTTGACACTCTTCCCGCAGAATGGTCATGATGTCGGTCTTCTGTTTCTCTCCTCTGCAAATCCTTGCCGTTTTGCAAATGCTCGCTTCGAAGCAAGACACTGGTTTCCCCAGCGTCAGAAATTGAGGATTCCGATTTGCGTTCTTGCGCACCGTGCTCGTCCGCGACGACGCCCCACACCGAAACAAGAGTATGCGACTCAGGATCTTGCAGCTGCGGGCCACGCAAATAAAGTTCGCGTAAGCTTGCTGCGAGAAAAACCCACGCTGCAGTAGAGCAGCGGCCACGGCTGCGGGGAGCCGTGGAGGGCGCCGATGCCGAACGGTGCGGAGATGGAGACTGCTGCATCATCTTCGACGAAGGTGTTTGATATCAGAAAGGTACTTACTGGTTCCTTCGAATACTTAGTAGATTGCGAAACATTTCCTCATAATTCTTCATCGAGACTTCTCAACTCGTTGTTTATACGAATGTTTTCCCTCTTGATTGATATTTTTTTCTGACGCAGCCATCTCGGGTTGAGAGATTTTGATGTTGCTCTGCTCTCTCCAATAACTTTAACCTTCCATGCGGCTTCTCGACCTTGTAAGCGCATTATCGCAAAAACACGGCCCTTGTAACTGGCATCTTCAAGCGAGCCGGCCACAACAAGGGAGGCAGAACTGCCGAATTTTAAACTGTTCACCTCTGATCTACCTACTTACACAGCGATAGCCTTCTGCTCACCGGGATACGACTGATGATGGGTGCTCAATCCAACTTCCAATCTTTGCAAGAAAAGCAGAACTTACCATTGATGCTCGTTTCAAAAAAACCGAAGCACTACGCTAGCATGCTTGTTTTCAAGGGCGGAAAAAAGAAAGCGTTTCCCTTCCCGAGCAACCGCTAAGCCAAAGGATTGTTTGCCGCCTCCAGAATCCTGGACGACGATGAGGAAGACGCAGCTGAGCCTCCGTTTTTCCCTTTCTTCTTCTTCCCTTTCGAGGCCTTCTTTCCCGTAGTTGCTTCAGTCACCACCGCGCCCGGCAATTGGTCTTGTCCCCCTGCAGCACTGCCTCGTTCCGGTTCCGCGACGACAATCTCCTCTTCGGAAGTACTTTTCGTCTCTTGCGCAACAGCAGCTGGTGCTGGTGGTGGCGGTGCCGGGGGTTCATACACCACAGCGGACGTAGCCGCTGTTGAGGTGCTCACGGTCGCGGCTACGCTGGGTGTGACAGACGTGGTTTCGCTTACACCTTCTTCTTTCGATATCTCTTTCTCGGTCGTCGGTGGTGGCGCGCCCGGCCGCTTTGGGGTTTCCACATTCGCCGCGGCTGCGACCGGGGGAGCCGCGGGTTTGTCTGCCTCAGCAGCGGGACCAGTCCTGCTCGGAAACGCCACCGGGCGCTTCGCACTTTCCGCATCCGCAGCTCCTGCGCTCGGATGAAAACTACTCGGGGGCGCCTCCGGTTTTCCTTTTCCAAAGCCTTTCAACATACTGGTAGAACCAGGAGGTTTTCCACCCTTATTGGCACTTCCATCCACATCTTTTCTACTGGTTTGCTCCTTTGAAGACACATCATTTTCGTTCTCCGCGTGGTGCTCAGCTGGAACCGCCACTTCATCCGCCATGCGCACGTTGTCTACCGGCGTCACTTTACTCGCCTGCTTCACGTTCATACCTTTTTCGTCGCTAGCACTGAGCGACTGCTTGGACGACAGCGGCGGACCCAACTCATCCGCCGAAAAACCTGCTGTGCCGGCACTTCCTCCGGCCGCGGTTTTGTCTTCCCCGAGCGTGGTTTTCCGGAACTCCTTCGGGTCCGTCTTGTAGCCGACGACGAAGTTCGCTTTGAGAAACAGGTCGTCCACCGCCTGCAAAATCTCCTTCCGCTTCTTCTCCAGGTCTTCATGGACCTGCGGAATCAACTTCGATTTCACCGTTTCCAGACTCTCCTGCTGCTCCTCAAAATCCGCGATGGCCTGCTGGTGTCGATGCTGGTCCTCAGCGAGCTTTTCAAGCGACTTCCCCTTCCGCGAAAACCAAGACGGCTTCTGCTCCTCCCCGATAAGGAGCATCTGCTGCCTGATATTGCCGTGGAGGTCGGTGTTTTAAGTGGTCTCATAGGCAGCTTTATTGTGCCATGCACGAACTACAACGCATTTTTACTTCGTAAAAATTACAGAGAAGAACTTATTCTACAACTTCGAAATTCTGCCATTTTTATCCAAAGAACGTGTACCATCATGGAAGCACAAAAACTACATTCATTTATACTTGACTCGATTGTTGTTCGCCTGGGCGATGGCCTGTTTGTGCCGCAAGTCGCTGCTTTTCATGTTCAACGTCTGCACGTGCTTGGTCCAGCCGTACTCCGCCGCGCACCAGTTGGTCACGTTTTCCGCGAGAGCCATGGAGGTTTGCGAGACTTGCGACGCGATGAACTCCAGTTGCTGCCCCACTAAGTGGAAAGAATCCAAGAACTCAAACACGGGAACCAAATCTTTTTCCAGTTGTTCCTGCTGCTTTTTCGTCCAAGCCTCCTGCAAATGCTGGTTCAAATGCTGGCGGTAGTCGTAAAACGCCTCGTTTTATCCCACGAAAAAAGTGTTACAGTTACACATTTGTAGTGAATTCAGCAACGCAAATTTCTTTGCATGAGAGAGAAAATTTGCAATGCAGAAATCCTACGGGAAAACACCTATGAAACGAGGCTCCTATGCATATCCGGCATGACAGAGCTTGTCTGTCTTGCGTGGCCTGCAACACAATGTGTAACTGTAACACTTTTTTCTTGCGATACGTTTTCATCGTCCTCGCTGTCCGTGTCCGCGTCGGACACCTGTCGCCTCCGGTGGATCACGTGTTCCTGCAGGCGAACCCGGCACTGCGCCATCTGCTTCCGGATTTCCCGCCCAGCCCAGTCCGTGTTGTAGCTGATTTTTTGCGAGGCTTCTTCCAAAATCGCGTAGGGCTCCATTGCGATCGGGATCGCGTAGTAGTTGTGCTCCCCGGAAGCACTGGTCGGCGGGTAGTAATTGTTGTAGTCGTGGTAGGACGTGGAAGACGCCACGTTGCTGTTGCTGTAGTCCTGGCTGTAGTCGTAGTTGGGGTCGTAGGCCTCGTCGTGCTGCTGGTCGTGTGCCGGACCAGCAGCCCCTGCTCCTGCTTGTCCGTGATAGTCGTAGTTGTAATCATGATCTCCGCCCGTGTTGTAGTCGTAAAAGTCCTGCTCCTGACCATACGCCCCGTAGTAGTCTTTGCTGTCCGACTTCGATGAACCCCCGGACGGAGCTGCGGCAGCGGATGGCGCCTGGAAAGGAACGATGTCGATGGAAAGACCAAACTTGAGATGAAAACGATTTATTCGACCACCTTCACTTGAACAAGACATCGACAATGCAATATGAAAATTGAATAGAATGTTAGGTAGCGTGGCAAGCAAAGTGAGAAAAGTCTAAAGAACAGTATACCGCAGCGACGTCCGTGGAAGACGAGGCAGCTCCTTGCGCTTTCTTTTCCAACACACCGCTACTGGCATTTCCCTGACCGGAAGATGTAGGGGACGACACGGGGGACGTCATCTTCGGTTTTGCTTTTCGATTTTTATTTACACGAGGAAGACGTTGATCTGAGATTTGGATTCTAATCGCCTTTATTGGAAGAACCGAAGTAGAGTCGTGCCTCTCGTCGTATTTGTGAGAAAGCTGTTAAGTACGCCAGAAGTTTCTCCACCGGACATTAGATGCTACGTTGAGTAGCCAGTCATCAGTCGGTGAAGACTCCGGGTATTCGGGATGGAGGCATGAACACGCCCCGCGGTACAAAAACACGCTGAAACGACGACAGCTAAAAGTCGCAACAAATAGACTTTTTCTTGCTAGTTCCGATTGCTGTTCACAAAAAATTCTCTTGAAGACGAATAAATGAGCGTCAATTATAGCAGGGTAATTGATGTTGACTTTCGATGCCAAAAGGGGTTGTATGGTCATGCTTGGAATCCTGTGCGTGTCATGGTCACATCATCGCCGTTTGCGATTTTTGTAGTTAGTGCCAAGTAAATTAATACCTCTGCAAGGGCATGCTCGTTCATGAAAAAGTGCTGTGCTCGCCTTCTTGAAACTAAATCATCAAAATTCATTTGCATCTGAAGTAGCCCTTCCGCTACTAGTACGCGAAACCATCCTACAAACACTTCATGACAAAACGACAATGTGGTGAAATATAATTTTGTAAATCAAAAACCTGTTTTTTACATGGCATTTCATGAAAAATCTTCGCTTGTAATCTTTCTTCCAAAATTTCAGTTATGGTAGACTCTGGTAGAGGTACTCTCTCTTTGCTAGTAAAAGGTAATCTCTCGACTTTGTGATATGCGCATGTCATATCGAAAAACTTTCTTTTTGTCATCTCTGGACCAATTCCAATGTATCCGTAGTCGGTGCATGATTAGGTTAAAGGTTTTCTTTGAAAAATTGAAAGAATTTCGAAATTGTGGGCGCGCAACAACTAAAAATAGCAGGGATGCTTCTCCGGAAACCCACCTGGCACACAAGATTCACCCACCTTTCTCACCGGTGCATGTTGACGCTCCTGGTGCGGCGGTTATTCTGGTCGCGCACGCGGCTAATCGACTCTTCCTGCCCGTTATCACTTGCAAATAAACTACAGATCGTGTACGCACAACCTGTTGCAGGTCCAGTGCAGGAGCACGCAGCTCCCCTACTGTAACTAAACTGCTCTGAATCACTGCTCGCATGACAAGTTAAATCCACCGCGTTCCAACACTGCAAATATGGATCCTTTACTGCGATGCTTGCCTCCTGTGCGTTCCACGAAATTTAGTCTCACTTCCAATCCGTACACGTAGTACTGGCGCAACTCCGGTTCATTCATCTCCAGGTGGTTATCAAATGCAAATATGTCTGGGTCTGGAAACTTGTGATGCGACTGTATCAGTAATGAGCTCACTGATATAGGTGACCAAGCATGACAAGTTTTTGAGCTCCTGTATGTTGCGTATTCCGCATGACAGGCTCCATTTTTGCATGACACGCAAGAGGATCTTTTTACGCCTAAGCATCACAGAGTTAACAGTCATGCCAGACAAGCATGATAAATCTTTCATTCTTCCAGACCCAGACATTTTTGCATTTGATAGTGGTCCGGAAACGGCAACTTGATGCTTTCCACGATGCAGTTCCCGTTCATGTCCATCATATCGACGTCCTCCCCCCGGTGCGGCCCCCGGCCCGGCAAAAAGTTCCCTCGGGCCTCCTCTTCGCGGACCGTTTTCGCGAGAAAATCGTGGTGCATGCAATCCATCAGGGACATGCGTTTCTGCGGGTTGAACACGAGCAACCTGGCGGAGTTATTGGGTTTTTCTGGAAGTAGAAGTGTTTGATCTACTCCTGCATGAACAGCTACACCAGATTTCGTTTCGTTCCTCATTCTACTTCTGTAGGCAAACTTTGTATAACAACTATAATTCGTCAATTACAACTTACTATCCTTTCTACCTGGACAGCAGATCGTGCAGCTTCGGTTCAATGCCGTTTAAGCGGTGGTAAAACCAGATCGGCTTCTTCGCCGTCTCTGAGGGAAAGTGCTTCTTCAAGTAGTGCTTAGCGTCGGGATTGCTCAAAAACTCGTAGTCGGCTTTGCTGGGCGTCCCAGTGTGCTCAAAAATCACGCGCAGCTGGTCCACGTGCTTGCGGTCGACCTGAGATGAATTTTTCCGTATGCTACTTTAACTTTATGCACAACAAAAAATAAATGTACAACGGTTTAAATGCAGCAACTGCAAAAATCGCTCCTGATCTCCATTATACCTCGATCGGATTGTCGTTCTTGTCCTTCCGCGGACTGAGTGGGTAGCAGCAGGCCCCCGGGAACAGGGGCACGCGCTTCTTCGGAATGTCTGCCTTCTCGCAGTATCTCTTTTCCATGAGCATCACCTCGAACAGGATGCACCCGAGACTCCACACGTCAATCGCTTCCGTGTAGTTTTCGTGCAGCAGAATCAGCTCCGGCGCGCGGTACCACCGGGTGACCACGTGGGCGGTGAGGTCGCGCTTCACGTGTGCATCCTGAGCCCCCTGCTCCAGCATCTGCAGGGACATGTTGTCCTGACCAACCGCGCGGGCCAGCCCGAAGTCGCACATATCCCAGGAAAAAACTGTCTCAGTCTCAAACCTTTGCAGAATCGGCAATACAAATTCGCTCAGGACGAAATGATGCGCCAGAAGCAAGAGAAAACACGAATGAAAGATGACTTAGGTTGCACTTGCATGTCGAGCATGTTATGACAAAAGCCTGTGGTCTCAAGGAAAAAAGAATGTCCGCGGCATTACAAGTTGAGACTAAGACAGTTTTTTTCTTGCGATAGCACACTTTCACCGTGCAGTCCGTGTTGAGAAGGATCTGTAGGTTTTCGACATGCGTTTTATCTTTATGCACGATACAGTACCCTTTTCAAGCGGAAAATAAAAATGATAGTGTGTGATGCAATCAGAATATGTCACGCAAAAATCGTTCAATGATACATTTGCTGGTTTCAGGTCGCGGTGCCAGACGCCCTGTGAGTGGAGGTAGTTGACGCCGCAGCAAATCCGGTAGAACAAGGTCCTTGATTCTGCTTCATTCAGCTGCTCCGTCGATTTGAATCTGATTCAAAATCCAGTGCATTTTGGTGAAACAGGCTCGTAACGCTTCAGTTTCTCTAATCAAGAAAGATGCTCCCGAAGGTGGACATGCACATGGCACAATCACAGCATGCGAAAGAACCGAAAAAAGCATACATGAAACAGAATTATCATTATAGCAGCAAAAAAATAAGTACAGCTTCTTTAGATCAAACTGACACTGCTCCAAGACCAGGGCGATCTCTGTGAAATTTGCAGGGTTCGGCAGCAGATACAGCTCGTGCAGGTGCACGACGTTTTTGTGCTCGATCCGGTTCAGTATGGCGATTTCCCTCAGCATTCGCTTGCAGTCCGTCAGTTCACCAAACACGTCCTTCGACCGCTTTATCGCGACCTTCTTCCCCGTAAACTTGTCCTGTGCACCGTACACTTGACCTGTTGTGGATGTGGGAAAAAATATGCTCTTGGCAGTGGTCTGTGGCTTACTTCCATCCACTGTTCTTGGTGCACGGTCCTGTAGTACGACAGAGGAATGTCTCGCATAGAAATTCTATCTTGCGATCTTCATCCAGGATCCATAAACTTCCACTTACCATAGGACCCCGTCCCGATGACCGTATCGATGTCGTAGCGGTCCGGATTCAGAGACCACAATTGCTTCTTCATCGGCTTCGGGGCGGGAGGCTTGCTCCCCGTCACCTCAAATTGCACGTTCTTTGTGGCCATAGTTTTGTGCAAGACAGTAGATGAGATTTTCTTCACAAACGAAATCTACTTACAAGGCGGCAAGCGTAAGTAGACCCATTGACTTATGCACCGAAAGACGCAGGAAAATCAAGGGTCTTCTTGTACAACCCGGTTTGACGCAAATGAACCGGTTTGACTTGAAGCGCTTTTTTCTTTTTCTTTTTAGCTGAATTTTCGCTCATATTTTGTCTCTCCACTTTCCCTTCCATGTGTTTGTTCGTCTAGAATAGAAGCGGGTAAAAATCACTCTCTGCTCGACAGCACAGTAACACAAACGAAAGGTGCACTTTGTGTCCGCCAACAACCTAAGGGTTGCGTCTCAGCTAAGCCTTTTGATGATGGACAAGCAACAGAATCAAGTTTCACAATACTGCAGAGAACTTTCTTAGCTGTACAGGTTTGGAATGTGACAACGTCGTCAATGCGCAAGTATGGTATTATAAACAAGGTGATGTAAAACTCTGTGACGGTACTACTGCCATACGAACTGGTAAAAATGGAAGAAACAAAGGGAAAGAGAGTCCAGGAGAGTGCTCACTAATTAGAAATACGGTCTAAAAGGTACTGTTACGATTTGCCGCTTGCCAACTTTTTGTCTCAACGCTCCCCCGCGGGAAGTACCGCCTGGCTCAACGACTTTTCCGTTTCCGAGCTGCATTTTTCTTGCATTAACCCTTCTCTTGGCAACAGCTACAGCAGCGTAAAGATTGCAAATCAGTGTTGTGCGAAGAATATCTAAAACCCACGATCATAAGTTCTTGTATTTCTATTCCAAGTTGAAGTGATAAACCGATCCTGTTCATCATGCGTCTGATTGACCTGAATGATAGTACGATACCTGCTTAAGTTGAAAAGTCATCATTAAAAATATTTCTACTCACATTTTCAAATCATTGCTCAAATCAATTCCTTTCCATCCTCTAATACGTTCCCGCGGCGTACATATTGCCCTCAGGGTCGTAGTAGTTCCCCGCGGCGTCGTAGTACCCGCCCTCCGCATCGTAGTACCCTCCTTCCTCGTCATACTGCACTGCCGGTGCCGCAGCTTGTTCCGCTTCACCGCCCCAGTCGTCCTCGCCCGCGCCGGCGGCACTTTGTTCCCAGTTCTCGTCCGCCGGCCATTCCCCTTCAGCGGCTGCGTTTTCATCCCACTCCCCGTCGGCTGGGTTCCACTCTGCTTCCTCGCCTGGCTCCGCCCAAGTCTCACCTTGCTCCGCCCAGGTATCCTCCTCCGCGACTGATTGGAAAATTTTGGAAACACTGCTATTTATGTTAACACGCATCATGTTCGTCACACGCCTCGTTTAGCTTTCGATGCAGCAATACATCTAATTCATGGAATACATCAAATTTCAGCAACTTCCTTATGTATGACCCACTATACGTTTGGCACCTGCATCACCCGCGTCCCCCTCCTCTCCGCGCAATCTTGCGGGCACATCACTCGTTTCTACGTACACTGACTCGCCGGTATTCACATCGTAGTAGTACCAATAGCCGTCTTCTCCTACGAAGTAATTCTCGTCATCCGGGTCATACGCTGCTTCATCGTCTACTCCCGCTCCAGTTCCAGGTCCTACTTGCTCTTCGGCCTTGTTCTCCGCAACTACAGATACCGGAGCACCAGCTCCTGCACTCACGACCACACTCGGCGTGGCGTTTATTCCCGCTGGGGCGGCCGTTGTGGTCCCTGATGATGGGATGTTCACTCCGCTGGCTGTTGGTTTGGGAATCAGAAAACTCGCGTCCTCCTTCGTGGCTTTCGGATCAAGGTCGAGCTGCACCGCGGAGTTTTTGCTTTGTACCGCGGACAGCGGGTTGGATAAGCTCACAATGCCGCCGGACAACGCGTTCGCCGCTTTGGGGGACAACGAAGCGGCCTGCTGCTGCGCCAGCGCGACGATTTGCCGTTGCTGGAGAATCAGGTTGTTCATGATTTGCTCCTGCTGCAGGGAATACAGCTGTTGCATCTGCGGAGAAACGATCGGCGGCAGGGTGGTCTCCGCGCCGGGCGAGGCCGAGGTTTGCTGCTGTTGCACGACCGACGGTTGCTGCAGCATGCTGTGGTGCTGCTGAGGAAAATTCAAATTGTTGTGCGAATAGTTGGATTTTTTCGAAGAACCGCTCACGAGGACTTGTGGCTGCTGTAGTTGCGACGTCGGGGCGGGCTGCATCATGTTCATATTACGCTGGTGCATCATCGACGGCGACATTCCCGCCGGCGCGCCCGGCTGGTGCATCGGCATCTGCGGCGGGTGCACGAACGTTCCGATGCTGCTGACGTCGAAATCTCGATCCAAAGCCGAACTGGCGTTAGACTGATCCCCCCGGGCGGCTAGATACGCCCGCCCTCTGTGCTGCGCTAGGTGCTTGTGCGCGTGCTTCGGCCGGGTGTCCTGCGCCGGTGGTCTTGGGGGCAACGTCGGCGGAAAGACGTTGGGGTCCCGCGGGGACGCCTTCTTCTTCGCGACCGAAATGGGGACTTGGGAGCCGGGCGGGACCGGGCCCTCGGACGTCGCGGGGGATTTGCCCTTTGTGCGGCTCTTCGTCCGGATTTTCTCCCTGCCACGGAGGAATTGCCGAAACGAATTTTTCGCGTCGTGGAAACCGAAAACCTTGTATTTTAACAAGATGAGTCTGTATATGCGTGATAACTACGTGAAAACAGGAGGGCGCAGTTGTTTTAGTACTGCACCATGGATTCATCGCATACAGAAACAAAAGCAGAACATGAACAGTTTAATGGAAATGCACCGCAATAAAACGCTCGAAAAAAAACAAATAATACCTCCGTGAACCGGTACAGTGCACAGGTCTTGGGCTCTTCATGGTAGATGTTCAACTCGTCAAAGGATTTCCGATGCAGCAACTCCATGGTTTTTCGTCCAATGTCGCTGACCATCTGCATGAAGTCGACGAATTCGATGGGCTCCTTCCGCGGCCCAAATTTCTCGCACAAATCCTCGTGCGAGATCCCGGTGATCGCGGAGACTTCGAAGCAGCGAACAAACATCACCCACTGCCGGGCGGAAATCCACTTTGCCGGGGAATACGGGTCGTAGTTCACGTCTGACGGTATGCAGTGCAGAAGAAAAAGCATCGTACTAGTAAGAATTTTTGCAGCAAAAATTTCAATTTCAGGACGAACCAAACTGAAAATTGTAGCAGGTAGGACCGAATAAGTATTCATACAGGTAGGACCGTTGCACTGCAAATTTCGACTCCTTACCACTGCCACATCCTTCATTTTGCACAGGATAGACCTTGCGAAGTAGCAAAAGGTTTCCGTTAACCCCCTTCGGATCCGCTCGTAGATCTTCGGTTCCATTCTTTTCATGGGTTTTCGCAAGCACTGGATGATTTCGCGGGACGCGATTTTTTGCGACAGTTCCTCTTTCCGCTTCTCGATCTCCCCGTTGTTCGTGCCCAGCGGCGGGAGCAACTTCTTGCCGTTCGCCGCGACCGTCGGTGCCGTGATGCCGACGCCCATGCCGGCGGGGACGCCGCCGACCGTACCCATGACCGCCGACACGTGGTTGAGTTGGGCCTTCTTGTCGGAGATTGGTTCAAACTCCACCTGGGTCAGCTTCATCGACAACCCTTTCACGATCGACTCGACGACTTTTTCCTCCGCGCGGGTGAGCTTTTGGTCGTTCAACCGCAGCCAGTTTTTGAACTGCCGGATGACACTGTCGATCATGTCGCCCAGCGGCAAAAACGCCGGGTTCAGCACGTACTTCGTCGGGGCTTCGGCGCCGCTCGCGGCCCCCGGGGCGAGCAGAAGTTGTGTCGGCGACTTCGCGTGGTGCATCGCACTGGAGGACGCAGCCGCTGCGCCCGCCACGCCGGTGGGAAGGGGTTTTATCCTATGTAAAAACGTCCCCACCCCAAAGTCAAGATGGGGAATCGGCTAGACAAATCCACAAGGTTTGGCTGTTTTGCATGACAAATTTGGACTCGTAGTGTAGTGCTGTTTGACCTAGCGCAGCAGCATCACAGATCTAGTACATCATGCTGCTTGGAGCATGACAAATTCCAAAACACGACTGGAAAATGCTTCTCATAGGGCTCCGCATGAGAAACATTTTCAGCATGCAGATTTGCATTACAACTATGGTGTGGGGACATTTTTAAATACGATAGGTTTCAGCAGGTCCTCGTCGGATTTTCGCAGGTTGTTCACGAATTGCTGGGACCAGTGCGCCTTCTCCGGAGCGTGCTTCTGCGGCGAATAATCGTGGTCGTACACCCGGGGCTCGACCTGGTCGTACCGCTGTCCGGGAACCAGATTGTGCGGCATCGCGACCTCGACGTCTGCGAACTTGTTTGACCGCGCGGACGTGATCACGGGTTGCGCGCCGGCGGCAGCGAGATAGTTTGGAACAAAGCCAGGGACGAGCGCCCCGGCTGGTGCTGGGTTGCTGTTCCGCAAAAAGTCCATCATCGGCGGCTCGCCGCTGGACTTGCTGTTTATCCCCCCGCCGCTGCCCATGAAGGCGCTGCTGGGCTCCACGTTCACGGTCTTGTCGGTGAAATTGATTTCGGCGCTGACGCCCTCGAGGAACTTCGCGACCTCCGGGTCTTGGGTGGTGCTCCCGCCGAGAATCGGGTCTTCCAGATCCGGGTCCTTGCCGGTAATCGCGGCAACCCTCGACCGGTAGCCAACGCCACCGGCTTCCGGGTCGCGGCTGTAGCGGCCGGGTGACATGGGTCGCGGGGACCCGCGCTCGACAGCGACCGGCTTCGGGGACCGCGGGCTGAAGGAGGGCTTCTCTTCCAGGTCTTCTTCCTTAACATTGTCGGGCAGAACGTTCCCGAATTTGTCTCGTCGCTGAATCGGCTCGTCGTCGGATTTCGTCGTCTCTTCAGCGACTACATTCGTGGAGTTCAACGGCGCTTCTGATTCTATTTTTGCCGCTTCAGCATCCTTGTCGCCCGGATTGGTTTGTCCCTCTGTGTCGTCTTTTTTCATCTCGTCGGCTCCTGAGCTGGATTCTGCATTCTTTTTCTCGTCGTCCGATCCAGGTGGCTTTTCCCCGCACGGCTTGTCGTCGTCGTTGGTCTCAGCATCGTTTCCCCCACCATCTGCAGGCTTTGCTTCTGCGGTCCCAGCTTCTCCTTCCTCTTTCTTCCCTGCGGAATCTGCTCCTGCCACTGCGGCATCATCCCCAGCCTGATCTGCTCCTGCTTTACTACCATCTTCTGCTCCCTCCGCCTTAGCATCCCCGTCAGCGGGTGGTTCCTCTGGTCCACCGTCCTCTTTCGCGGCGCCTTCTTGTAGTTCCCCGGCTGCTTCGTTCTTCTCCGCTTCTCCCGCATCCGCTGCTGCCTCCTTCTCCCCTGCTGCCCCCGCCTGATCCTCCCCTGCTGCCGCGGGTGTCGCGTCGTCCGCCGCCGCCCCGTCTTCCGCGTCGTCGGCTTTATGGTCGCCCTCTTTGCCGTATGCAAGTGGACAACTCCGGCATGCAGCTCCAACTTGTTTGTATAATGCGAAGTACCAAACTCACGTCTTGCGTTTAAGCACTCTGCGCATGACGAATTTCGAATGAATCCCAAGAAACAATAAAAAAATTGTGTGCGGATTTGTCATGCTTAACAGACTGCGCTACTAAAGCCCGGGGGGGTGCGGGGTCCGAGGGGTGCACTATGCACTGCCCGGAACACCCGAACATGCCCCTGCGGATTTGTCATGCGGATACTACACTTAAGGCGTTCCTTGTGTTCGCTGCGCATGCGATTGAAATGAGGATGAGAAAAGGGAATCGTCCACGAGCATATAGCAACCGCGTCCTCCGACTTGTCCTTGGACTTCTTCTTTTTTTTCTTCTTCTTGTCGTCCGCGCCCTCGTTGTCCGTGCTGCTCTTGTTGTTGGCGTCCTCGCTGGAGGAGTTGGACTTTTCCTTTTTGTCCTTCTTCTTCTTCTTTTTCTTGTCCTCCTCCTCGTCGGAGCCCATCTTGTCGCAGGAGGTTGTGTTTTATTTGTGAATTATCATCTCGATGGGCTGAGGCTGACTCATGACTCTAACTGCTTCCTACAATTCTGACAAGCAACGCGGACAGCGCCTTTGAGGGCGTAAGAGTCCTCGTCGCAACGGTATAAAAGTCAAAAAATCAAACTACCCATCTCCGCCCTCACACCAACTCTCAAGAATTAGAATACCTTAAGCCTCGCAGGACAAAAAAACTAGGTACGTCATTCCCCCTTTAAAAAACTGCGAAATCACGAGAAGCCACACCCGGCAAAGAAATATTACGTTAGAAAGAAGCACTCACTCGCGGCCATTACATGAACCCTGTAGCTGTAGCTTCACTCCGGCGCATTACCAAAAAAGAAGACCCAGCAGAAAACAATAATTCAAGACGCAAACTTCTATTCAGTATCCTCGCTTCCGTTCTAGATTTTGAATACTGCGAAGCAGTCCGTCCTGCGGACCTCCAAACATCTACTGGTCTACCCGTATTGCTATCATTCGACGGCACAAAATATCACATGGCCCTCTGGGAGCTAAAATCCAGTTATCTGCTCCATCTCACAGGCACCAACTCCCGCACCTCCAGTGTTTTCCAATAGGAGGAATTGAATTGCTTCACTGAATCAGGATCGAACACATGAGCTACGGCAGGCAAAAGATAGTTTGCCGCACATGTCCCGGACATCACTGTCGAGGACGAATTTAAAGTTGATTCTGCAAACAGTTGGAGCTGCAACCATCTTGGCCTTCGGCGAGCATGCAACAGACAGTCATCTGCTCATCTTCTATGTTGTTGTACTTTATCACACATTCACCGCGCTCACCAAGCAAGCAACGCCGTAGATGAGCCGAGTCAAATTTATTGGCAAAGCATTTATTTCAAAAAAAAAACGAACGAAGTGTCGACAACCATTGAGAGAGGGCAAAAAAACGAATAAAGAACGGAAACGGATACGGAACGATAAAAGAACAGGGCCAGCACATATAATTTGATAAACCTCAAACGTCTTCGGCCTCATTTTCGGGAATTGTCGGTAGGGATCGCCGCAGCCTTAGCGGCTCCTCCATCGATTCTTCTTGATTCGCGGCTACTTTACCCATGTTTCTTAGATTTTCCACTGACTTATCATCCGTGGGCCGCCACGCGCTGCTCAAGTGGTTGATGATCGCGTTTCGAAAAGCGACCTCTACAAAAGGATATTGTTCATCAAGAAACCGTTTCACTCTTTTCTTCCAGCCTGACACGAGCGTCTGCGAAGGGAAATGATACACTTCTTCTCGGCACTCCCAAATGAAGGGCCGGTCACAAAGAGCAATCGGCCGCTCCACTCTTATTATTCTTCTCCCTCTCCGCCACTGGAAAATTGCGATATAGAATTTTCTATATCACTTCAGCAAGAAATTAATTCCTTGGTTGTCCAGTTTGTTCTCTACTGACCAACATGACCTTTCTCCTTCGAACAATATGGTTTTCAGTGTGTATAAATTATCAAACAAGATTACAGTGCAATATATGAATTACCTCGTCTGGCGCTTTCCGTACCGGTATGCCAAGGTGCACCAACATCGTCAGACCGGCGGCGAACCAGTCGGACTTCGGGCCATAGAAATATCCCAAAGGCAACCAGCCTCGCATCAATGCTGGGCTCATATACGCTGGCGTTCCCGCTTTTTGTCTCTTGTTCAAGCTTTGCCAATAACCGAAAAGAGATGTCCGGGTTGGATTGAGACCGAGGGCGACTCGTTTGTCATCGCGAAGAATTGTCGATATACCGAAGTCAAAGAACTTCACGCTTTTGGTTTTCATCCCCCAGCCCATGTTCTCCGGCTTCAAATCATTCAAAACAACGCCCGCCTTATCCAGTTGGTCCAAACAGTAGTGGAAGCTGGCCAAATATGCATTCGGGTGTACTTCCCTGTCGCGGATTAGCTTCGTGACGTCGGTCTCTACCTTCTCGACGAAAAGACCGACGCTATGAGATCCAGATTCGTCAAAAAAGAACACGACATGCGGCACCTGCGCAACACAGGGCTCCAAACCCCCGGCGTCTCCGTGTGACAGGAACAGGTTGATCACAATTTCATCAAGCGCCATGGCATCAGTGCCCGGCTTCGAAATTTTGATGACCTGGTCGAACCGATCTTTGTCGCCATCAAATCGCGAATTTTTAACTTCTTCTACTTCCGATTCTGCTTTTTCGCCGCTGCCCTGGTCGACTGTCTGGCGCTTGCGCAGGACCTTGCTTTTAAAATTCTTGTGAACTGCTCCAAAACTCCCCGCGGCGTCGGGCTCCTGCTTATACGAAATTGTCCGGCCTGTAGGATCGGAGCGGTAAGCATTCTTGCTGCCCCAAGGGAAGAAGCTGGAGTCGTACGGCTGCGGCTGCTCGAGTAATTCCAGTGTATCTGTGGGCGTTCCGATTACCTGGGAACCACTCGTCCGTCTCGCGAAGTGGGTGTATTTCCCTATCCATTTTGAGTGGTCGGTAGGCTCGCGGAAAAATCGATCGTAAGCCGTTTTATGTTTTTTTTTCATTTCATCAAGCTTTTTTCTCAGTCTCTGCTTGTACTGTTTTTCCCACTGGACAACGTGTGCTGGAACGTCAACCTTCCGTCTCCACTTTTCCCAATCAGCTCGCTTTTCCTTATACTTTTTGCCAACATAATTTTTAATTGCCTTTGCAGCAAACTCAGCATGTGTTTGTGTGTTCGCCTCTAGGTGGGCGAGAAACTCTGCAGCCAAATCAAAATTGTCAGCATCAAACGCAAATATGTCTGGGTTTGGCAAGTTACAAGACTTGTCACGCAGGTTTTTCATGACGCATGAGGTCAATTTGCTCAAAAGTGGACCCCTTTTGCTGATCATAAAACACAGATTTCTGATTCTGCACTATCCAGAATTAGCATGACAAGTTCCACGTTCCAGTGTACCAGACCCAGACATATTTGCAATGCATAGTCAGGGGACCGACGCTTTGCAGACATTGTGTTCTCCTGCAAGAGGCTTTGCCTTCCGATTTCAACTGCCGAAGGGGCCCGGGAAGCGTTACGGCCGCTGGTAAAAGGAGCCGGCACATGCACTACCCTGTCGGAATCCTCGGTGATAGCAAGGAAGGATGGATCTGTCGTCCGGCCGTCGTGGTCGTGACCCGCAACTCTTCCGCTCGCTGCTTCCCTGTGTGCGCTCCCTCGAAGGTAATACTTCTTGCGCGGGGAGGCTGAAGCACTACGAGATCTCGAAGCCTCGCTGGCTCGAGACGGCAGGAAGACGTTTGCCATCGCCGCCCACACATCCGGAAACCACAATCCGCCCGATAAACCGAAATGTCCAGCCTCTTCTTCATGTCGCTGGTCAGTCACATTCGTCGTTAGCCCATGTTCCGTCACATTCCCCCCTGCCAGCGGAGCCGTAACATTCCTCGCTGCCTGCAGGCGCGAAAGAACCGCCGCCGGCTGAGTGCTATTTTGCACTGGCTGCTCCGTAGCATCCTTCGCTGGCTCCGGGAGAACAATCTCTACGCCCAGTGGAGGTTGTGCTCCGGAAACACCAACGTCACTCCCATTCGCGTGCACGGCAACGGCCAGGTTTCTGGTACTGCAGAGCGCCACGAAGCCCTCCGCTTTATTACTGAAGCGTCGCTTCACTGCTCTCATCTTGTGCGCCCTTGCGTCGGTTTTCATGGGGAAACGAACGTAGCTCCTGCTCCTGCTTATGGCGCGACGTTTTTCTCTCCCGCGACGATAGACGACACCTTAGATCGCTGCGGTTTTGTTGTGTAATGTGATGTCGAGGCAAAAGAAACAACGGCCTCGTCAGTTGTAATAACAAAAAAATTATACTTACGGAACTGAAATCGTAGTCAGTGATGGTTACAACAAATGAAAAGCGTGACAAAAGAAAAATCCTTAGTTAGAGTACAGGTTCAGTCGTCGTCAATTGCAAATTTGTGAGTCGGGGCTGAAAGGTTTAGTACTTTGGTTGAACTTGAAAAACTTGATGGGTCTTCATAAAATCTTTAGGACAAAAACGTGGGCAAACCCCGATTGCGTAATGACGGGCACAAAGCAAAGATGGGGCTGCTGCGATTGATGTTGGAGCAGTGCGTCAAAACTTGCGTCAAATTGTCTGCATCGCAGGGCTTTTATGCTCAGGCCTCCATGGTTACAATGCGGAAAAGAGAAAGACGAAGCAAGCACTACGCCATTCTCATCTGCTTGCGACGGACACGGACTTTTTGCACGGTAGAAAAGGACGATCACGACAGAACGATGCAATCGAAATACCGAGGTTGTGCTCTGTTGAAAATGCAACACCGATGAAGAGAGAAAAGACAATTGCACGAAGTACCACAGGTGATTCTTTTTATGCACACTTAGCACAAGGACTGAGCCAGAGCTTTTGTTGCGGACACAATCACGAATTTACGTCACTTCAGATACCGAGAGTGATAAGCAAAAAAAAACCTAACCAGGAACCGAAAGCGGTGCGCATCAGCACCGTGGAAGGAAAAACGGCATTGGTGCCAAGCGCTCAGGCAGAGAATTAACACGGACGCCCAGAGTACCGACGAAAAACGTTTCTATAAACTAACAGACCAAGATTGCATTCATAACATCCGGTCCCAACTCAACATGCTGGCCAAAGCTAGCATTGTGTAGCCAGATGCCACTTTATGTTATGATTGAAATTGCGCGCGCTCGAGATATCTCAGAGTAGAACTGAGTACGAATACATAGTGTTCTGCCCCGCTCTCCTGCTTTATGGCGGTGAGTACTTGCATATCAACGCAACAAATTCACCATCCAGGAGTTTTGTTCGAGCCCTCGTAACTGGTGGTTCAGAAGTTCAGCCGAAGAGGCTCTGTGTTTCTGGTGGTGTTTTGCCGAAGGCGAAGGCTCCTCAGTGGAAAAATTCACCCGAGCAAGCATCTTCTCCACCCGGCCATACACGATAAGAAACACCAAAAACCCCGCGACAAGCTTCAAAGGCGCCGGCACGCTGGCATAGAATTTTCGGCTCTGGCGCTGGAATTCTTGGAAGTACGTTTTTTCGAAGAGTTTTGGCCTCGGTGGTGCAGCAGAGGGTGATTTTTGTAGTCCTTCTTGCTCAGTGAGCCGAGCATCTTGAAGAACTTCTCCTGTGCTATTCTCATTCGCCGCACCTCCCTGCCTTGCCCCTCGTCTTTGCGTCAGCACGGACCCCTGACTTAGGTGTGGTTGTTCCACCGCAACAACGTCACGCGGCTCAGCGCGTATCTCTCCAGAGGCCCCACCGATTGCAGAAAACCCAGCAGCATTCACCCGTGCTGGTGCCGCCGGTGTGACAGCAGCTGCTTCATCATACCTGACAAAAACACCTGCTCTATCCACCTCGGGCGTCAAAAATTCCGCACTCAAGCCCTTTCTCGACCGCGTTGCTTGAGGGTTTTCCTGCAGCATCTTCGCCCGCACCCACTCTCTGTAGAGAACCGGGCCCCAGTTTGCCAAAGTTTCCAAGTCACATCTTTTCCAGTCAAACCTCTCGAACCGCAAAAACGTGTTGTGCACTTTCTGCAGCTGATTCTCCACCTCCTGCCGTGCCTCCACGCTTTTCGCGTCCGGAAAATCGAAGTTTTCGCCCTTATCTTGCTCGAGTAGCTGGTCGTGAAGCTGCTGGTCAAAATAGACACCAGGGGTGACAGGCTCGGAATTATCTTGTTCCCGTTCTGTGGATATTATAGCAGGTGTTCTTGTTCTCCCCGCTATCCCGTCACGAGAGAAAAATTGCCTCTTCCCCGCGTTCACTACCAGCTCCCGGTATAATCGAATCGCGTAGCCATTCAGTCCGTGATCCTCGTTCGGCGTCTGCAGTAGCGACGTGATGGCCAATTTCGTTGTCAGCAGCGTTAGCACTGGCGACCACAGGCTGCCGGCGTTCAGCAGATCCATGCAAATCGACCCGGTGGAGGGGCAAATGTTTGGGTGGTAGGGGATCACCGTTTGAACAGCAGGGCGGGGTCGCTCGAGTAGAAACGTTGTCTTCACGAAACACACAAACGGCGCGGTGTGCGGGTAGGCGAAGGGGACGATGAAGCGGAGGGCGTACCTGAAATTGTCGTAGGGATGGGTCGTAATGTCGTGCTCTTCCTCCAATAGAAATTCCAGCATGTAGGCGTGCGTCGCGCTGGGTACGCTTGCAAGATTCCCCGTCGTAGTTGGATCATGAACTACACCATGGCCGCCCTCGTCCCCACGACCACCTTTCGCCTGCACCCAGAGCCGGTTCTCGTTCCCCTCGTCCCGCTTCACCGACAGCGTCACACTCGGGCTCGCGATCGCGTTGCTCAATCGCACTGCGTCGACATCAGCTGACCCCGACTTATTTCCATCCGCCGTGACGGTATCGACTGGGAAGTTTTGACTTCTTAAATCGAGGGCCATCAAGGTAAACAGGTTTTTCCTGTCCTTGAAATCCAGCACGACGTCGCTCTGGAGCTCCAAGGCCACCGCACGACAGGCAGAGATGGACTTGGAAGCCCACAGTTCGTGCGCTTCTTTCCGCCATCGCTTGTCGGGGGGCATGGCGTGGATTTTTGTTTTATCTTTATTTTGGGCGTGGGGCGTGGGAGATCTTCTGCGCAGAGTAAGTAGCTTGATTGTTGAGCCAGAGGGGTTTCTCGCTGTCGTTCTTGTCTTGGGAAATACAGTGCGCGGGTAAAGAGAACAAGGAAAAACACTACATGCCTAAGCCTTCAAAAAAAAGGTGGGGTCATAATAAATTGAGATCTAACTCTAAGGGGTGAGGCGGAGGACCTGTTTGTACAAAAAGCGAGCAAAACGAAGATCGTGCGCACTCGTGCTAAGCTAGCGCCTCACAACACAGTTAGAGCCACTGTTCACATCTCGAACACTTGAGCGGTGCACCAAAAGATTAGAAGTGTCCATAGAATTCTGACTGTATCTACTTTTTCTACCTGTTGACGTTTTGCACTCTGAGTGAGAAATTACCTTTCCTCATTACGCTATCCTATTGACACACCGTTCGGAGCCCGTACCTGACTGCGAGCCTATACGACACACTCGAATTCCCTCTTGCAGCGGCAAAGGACGCAAACCCATGCAGCAACGCAAACGTGTTTGGCGCGTGTCGTGGCAGCCGCACGTGCACGTGCAGATTGGTGCGATTATTCTGGAAAATCGCGTCGCTGACCGAACATAACGCCGGAGGTTCGGTATCGCCTTTGACTTTCCCAGAGAACAAACTCCCGTCCTCGCCTCTCTCTGCAAGATCGGACGAAACCGTCCCGAACGGCACGCACAACAGCGTCCTTGGTCCGTTCCGCCAGTAGATCGGGCGGTAGTCCATCGGCGGCGACATCTCGACGTATTGTTTGCACAAAGGCCGCATGGAGTCTTCCCACGGGTACACGTGCCCTTCGTCCGTGTCGTGCATCACGAGCAGCTTGCATTTGTCGTGCCGCAGAAGAGCGATAGCGGATCGGATATGGGAGCGAGAATACTGTTTCCTATGTGAGAATTCTGCAGAATTTTTTGCATCGTACATTTGGTGTGTCTTCATATGCCAACAACAAAATCTGCACGCCTACGCTTAGCCTCTCTCCTCACATAATTCCTGAGAAGTTCCTTCCTGTGCCAGACCATCTGCTATGCAAGCCCATGCAGCAATGAGAGAACCCAGCTTTCTTTTTCTTGGTGGATACTGAAGCCTCGCCGTGTAATTGTACTGGTCCACGAAGCACAGGTCCCAGCTCGGTTCGTAGCTCGCAGGTGCGCCACTACCTGCCTCTACTGCAGAGACAGAACTACCAGAAGAACTATCATTCAACGCCACTTTATGCTGATCCGCATTCACCGCCGCGTCGATCCACTCTTCCAGTGACGGCCGCCACGTGGAGTTGTCCGGCCCGCTGCCGATCCACCGAACTTCGTGCTGGTTGATGGTTGATGTTGTATCACCAGAGGTCGTTACAGCGGCTGTAACTGTGCTTGTGTTTCTGCTGTCAGCATTATGACTTTTCGCCGTTGCCGAAGTTGTGAAATTGTGCTCTCCCTTAGGAGGTAATGGCTGGAGCATCCGTGCCCAGGTAGCGTTCCCCTCGAGCGACACCACTCTGGCTGCAAACCGGAGCGACTGCAGGTACTTGGTGGAGAAGCCGCCTACGCCGAGCTCCAGGATCTGCATCGTTTGTTCCCTTTTTCTCCTTTTCCGTTTCAAGTACCGAAGCGCGGCGTGGAGGGCGGGCAGATGCGACCCCCCGGGCTCCTTCAGCGTTCGGAAGGACATAGCGAAGCGCGGATCTTCTTGGTACTGAGAATCCATGGTACCTCTAGGTGCGGGGTGTTCTGCCGCGATCGTCGTTTCGGCCACAGCATCCGTCAAAACGTCGGCGTGTCTCTCCGGTTCCCAATCGTGCCACTTGTGAAAACGAATCGCGGATTCCGCTCCGAGGATGCTCATCACGTGCCGGTCCTGCCGGCTGGTCCGCGCGCTTCGCGGAGGACCTCTCGCGGCGCGGGCAAGCGGCACAGCGCCATCGAGGAAGGCGGCGAGAAGCAAGAGCTCGCAGTACAGTGCAGTAAGCTTTCCTGTTGTAGATGAAACTACGCTTGAGCGACGTGGCAAGGACGACGAGGGGGCTCCGAGGAAAGCCCACTGCAGGTCCATCTTGATTGGACGCGACGTGTTCTATCACGCCTACCCATGACTGCTCATGTGCAAGCAGCTCTGCGATCCTCCGCGGTGAGCCTGCAATGAAAAAACCACTTCACTCATGTTGGTGTTCTTTCGTGGAGCCAGAGCTACAGATCAGACCCGGGTACAAACATCAAGGACGCGTCCAGAGTAAAAGCTATTCATACTCTCACCCGAGCCGGCCAGAACCAGAACAGGAAGGACCACAGGGAGCCGAAGTCCACAGCATCCTGTGGCGCGGTCACAATGACGCAGAGATTTTCTGTTCACCGCACAGACTTCCTTTCAGCAAAACCACTCAAATTGGCTTCGCAAAGCAGTACGTACGACTGCTGATTCGCCTTTCACGCAAATTGTGATTGCTCGCAAAACGGCAGTAGAGAGGAAAATTTTTGCAATTTGCAGCAGAATGTTTTCGACATCCCTAGCAGAGGTGGAAAGTCATTCCGTATGTCAAGCCGTGCGGCTCAATCAAGCGACTGCTTACACATCGCTTGGTCCACCCGCTTCCCATACAAAGGTAGTTCCGGGTGCGTGCTGTCTCATAGCGTCCAGAACAGCTTCGCTACTGGGAGAAACCCCATCCTCCTCGACCAGCAGCCGCCGTCTTCCCCCCCGCATGCTCAGCGGTCGGTTCGAGGGGTGTCGGTGGTCCAACCCGGCAAAGATGTTGGTCCTATGCCGATACCGTGCGTAGCTGTCGGGGCTGCTGTGACGGTTCGTGTTCTGCCCGAACGGCACGGCCTGCGGTCGGGGCCGAAACTCGGTCCGCGGGATTTGCGGAGGAGGCACGTAGGGCGCACCTGGTTCCCAGACGACGTCGCCCACGCCGTCCCACCTCGTGGGCACCTGCGGGTTCAGCCGGTGCCCGCTGATTGTGGAGGGGACGAGACCTTTGGAACAATTTTACGTGATGTTTGTTACGGCCCTGGATCATTTTGGGCTCTACCACCTGCATGCATCCATCGAACATTTATGTGACTTCAACTTCATCTTCAAGAAATCTCTGTCACAGCAGAACCAGGAAAAAAACCGAATTGTTTCTTTTCACCTTTCTGCAGAAAGGCGTCCACCAGCTGCTTGATGCTCGGACAGAATCTGTCTAGGTGGTGCAGGGCCATTTTTGCCGCGTCGCCGTACATCTGCCCCCATTCCATGAGCACGAACTTCAGGCTGAACCGCTGGATGGTCTTCAGCATCCCTTCCACCGCCTGGCACTCGTGTCCCTCAATGTCCATCTTCATGACCATATCCGACCTCTCCGGGATTTCGTAGTGGGAAAACACGTCGCCGTAGTCGTCAAGACGAATCTGAATTTGTGGATATTAAAGCGCATTTTGGTTTTTGCAGAAAGAAAAAGCACAAAAGCACCATATCTTGTTCCACGCTTCTGAAAAAAAACGCCATCATTCTATCTTCACTTCACAAAAACAAACCTCCCTACCGACTCCGCCCACGTCACCCCCTCGTCTTGCGCGCGGAACGAACTCCTCGCTTTCGCTTCATTGATCGACACGCCCCCCGGGTTTTTGTTCGTGATCCCGCGGAACTCGAACTTCATGTTGGGCGTCTTTGACAACCCTTTCCGGAATAAGTGCACATTGCGCATCAAATTGTTTCTCTGCACCGACTTACACAGTCGTATTCGGGTGGTGAAAAACGGCTCGAACGCGAACACCTGGCGCCCCATCTTCGCAACCGTCAGAGTGTACATGCCGAGGTTCGCGCCCGCGTCCAGGAAGAAAGCCTGGTTGTGCTTCGTGACGGCGTTGACGATCAAGGATACCAGTCCGCACTCCCAACACCCGTCGCGGATGATGCCGGACGACACAAAGTTGTCGTCGATGCCGGGCACGTAGACCGTCATCTCCACGGGCGGGTGCACTGAGGTACGCGCGAAGGATACCGGGCCGATCACGTGCTGGCTCGCGCGCAAGTCGTGGTCCTCGGAAAGCTGAATCTGCTTGTCCTGCCCGACGGAGTGGTTGTCGCAGCGCTCCTCCTTCAAGACCCCATCCGCGCTAGCGTAGAGCGCCCGCTCGTAGACCGGTGGCGGAATCGTTGAAGTGGCCGGGGGCGGGGTGGTCAGGATCGAGGCCTGTAGGTCGGAAGCTGAGGAAGTTTGCATCAGGCTGCTGGTCGTCGCGGTTGCTGAACTGATGTCGACAGAATGCTCCGCAGGATGGCTGTGTGCCTTTTCGGCTGCCTGCTCCGATGCTGGCGCTAGTGCTGCAGGCGGTGCGGTCGGGGCGTTTTCTGAGGAGAGAGCAGTTGCAGGGGCCGCTGTTGAGGATGCAGCACTGGTGGAGGCGGCATCAGGTGTACTATGAACACGTGGAACAGCAGCATTTGTCTTCACGAGATTGCTGCTCAGATCCTGTGCAATCGTGCTACCGAGAATGGAAGATGGCGACGCCGTGAGCACGGAGGGGGCCCCATTGATATCAGCCACTGGTTCCGGAGACACCGCCGTGGGAAACTTCGCTGCCGGTGGTGCAGCTCCTTCGGGTGGCACTGAACTTGTGTTGCTTTCCTTCTTGTTTTCCTGAATATTCACGTGGTCAGTCTCCATCCGAGTCGCTGGTGCAGCGGAGGAGCCACCCGCAGGCGTCGCAGTCTGCCCCGTGCTCGAAGCACTGCTTTTCGCTTCGGTAGAAGAGCTACTCGCTCCTACTTCTTTCCTCTCCTCCCTACTGCTGCTCCGCATGCCGAAAGACTCCTCCCCAGGGAGGAGCGTCGGCCCGGAGTCCGGCACCTTGTCGTTTCCAACTTCATCTGGATGTGGAGTTGTCGTTGCACTCGTCGTGCTGAACCTATGGTTCCTCCCCGATGCTGTTGTGGCGCCATGGCCAAACGCCCTTTCCTTGCTTTCCTGGTAAGAAACGTTTCTTTTCCGAATTTTCCTGGTCTTCAGCGGCCCCCGGAAATGCGGGTGCAGGGTGACGAGAAGGGCAACGAAAAGCAACAACCAAATCTTGTCCCAGGAGGAGGCCATGGTTTTTCGCGTCCTGTCAAAAATGCAAAACCGAGCAATTTACCAATACACCAGAGGACTCAAACTTGCACGGACGACACGACAAAAACGAAGGACGACACGACCTTCTGACACGTGCCTGGCCCCTCGACATAGACTGAAAATGTAAAAGTGACTTAATCTTGTCGTGGAAAGATGATAGAAGTTGGGTGCTGTTGCACTATACTCAAAAAGAGGACTGCTCCATCTTCGACCAAATTCTAGATCTGAAATTTCAATACATAAAAGGGCGAACGCAAAAATCGCAAGCAGTGTCGCACAGAATGTTCAATGCGCCAGCAACTACTGCGCCCAGGGTGTCCCGCTATAATTTTCTTCCCGAAATTTTTCCATTCCATTGCATTCGAAGGAGCTGCACGAGGTGCTCCAGCAATTTCTTTACTTGAAGATTTCGTATCGTACAAAATGCTTAGCGCGGAAAGACGAAGAAGTACAACTCCGACCGGCCATTCTTCCGTCTGCAAGCAGCTCTTGTACATTTTTTCCTAGTCGAAACATGCTGGGGATACTGGTAAGTAAATCAATCATACGAGGCGAAGCTCAGGTGTATATCGGAAAGAACTTCCTGCACAATCACAAGATCACGAAATCAGAAAGTAAATAAACTGTGGCTGGCTAGTTAGTTTTTGTTGTTGTCCGGCATCATGTGTATAATAGCACAGCAATACAGCAGCCGGTCTAATCACAGTTCCTTCTTCGGTATTAACTGTAACACAGTATATCCATGTAGTTCTGTTAGAAACACTAGAAATGAAGTTGTTCACTCGGCGTTCAAAAAGTCGCTGCTGCAATGCTTTGCTTTACTTTGTCTTTCGTTGGTCGCTTTAGATTTTTTTTCATTGCTTGTCCCCGCAGCATCCCTTGCTACAGCCATCGTCGGACTGTGCCGGTGCGGGAGCTGCCGTCCCGGTTATCGCTGCCGTGCTTGGACTGCTCGTAGTTCCCCCGGCACACAGTTGCTTGAGAATAGCACCGTTGAAAATACCCGTGAAGCACTCCCCTAGCGTCATGCCGCCGTCCTTTTCCTTTGCGGTTTCGCGGTCCATATCGCGCTGCACGTTGGCCCAGTATGGATCCGGCTGAAAAGTAATCCCGGCTGGAAGTGGTTCACCTGATCAGGAGCAGTGTTTTTATTGTCTACTACGACGTTTGAAGTAGACTCATAATGTTCATGTTGATTTAACAGTTCATCTTCGCACACGCAGCCTGGTTTGATTGTCTTGATTTGCAGAACAAAAACGCGAGAAGGACTTCCGCTTTGCGAAGTCCATCACGAATATTTATATTGTTGCAAGTAAACAGTATCTGCATTGATGATACCTCTCTCCTGCAAAACTTTCAAAAACGGACACGCCCCGTCCGACGGGTCGCCATTGACGCCCGCACCGTCAAAGTGAGACAGAGGCGGAAGGTGCACACCCTCGGGCGCCTGCATCTGCCCCGACATCACCGGACACCTAGCTGCGTCCTGCTTCTCCAAAAGAGGCGCCATGCTCTGATTTTCAAAGTGCAACTGGAACTAACTACTTAGTTGACAGAACACCGTTCTTGTGTGTGTCGGCCGCAATGATAATGTTCTTGTTTCGACGATGATATATATCGAATATCTGATACACAGAATACACTCAAGAAAGGGATGTATGTTTTTACATTTTTTCGCATTGAGGGGCCTTTAGGTTCTTACTTCCCACTGTCACTGCGCAATTGAATATTGGAAATGATGGTGATGATAAAGACGGAAAGAGAACGTCTTTTCACCGTTGTGCTGTGTTCCCTCTCTTCGCGGTGAAAGGCCACATTAGGGTGTCAAAGAATTTTTCACATTTGGACGCTCCTTGAGTGCAGATCTCTTCTGGATTCTACCCTCTACACTTCGCTCCCATCGTTACAAACTTTCCTCTGTTTGCCTTTGGAATTTCATTCCCTCAGTAGAACACCAAGCATTTGACAACATGCCGCAAATTCGAAAACCAGCGGAGTGCTCGGCTTTGCGTTTGCTAACTTTTTTTGTTGTGATTTCAAGCCTCGTCCTACGTAAACTAATTTTGATTTTCTTATCTCATCTTCTTCGTGGGCTCCACAGCAGCTCGCTACCACCGCTTTTACTTTCCAGTAACAGAAGCAAATTTCACTCCGGGACTCGTCGTTCCTTACAGTTCCAGTGGAAAATGGTCGCTTAGGCCTAGGTCAAATTAATACGTTACCCAAATAAATGTCTTCGTAGCGCAACATTGACTTTCAGAAGACAACACAACTGCCATCGCAGCTAGTAGAGCGAGAATCGCACTCGCCAGACCAGTGGTGGTACTAGAATTGGAATTACGTGCACTTTCACTTTCACGTTCACAGGTAGGCCGTAAATAAAAGCTACGTGGAATGCTGACGGCAAGTACAATCCCCGGCGCTTGGCACAGAAAAAGATCCGAAGCGAAGCACCAAGTTGGTTCCCCGAATTCAAGTTTAAGTGTAACGCCGTTCGTGCTCCTGGAATAAAAACGCGACGAGTCTTGCTGAAAAGCGTTCTGCACTGCGAAAAATGCTTTGAATCGTGTCGCATTGTAGCTTTGGCTGCTGCATCATACAAAGCGGTGGAGAGATCGATCATACAAAGGTACAACATCTTTTTTTGGTATAATTTACGTAAGTACATTGTGTTTACTTGGTAGCGAGAGACTTTTCTTTCAAAAAATCCTGGAAACGTCGTAGTTGGGAATGATAAACAGCTCACTGCACACGCTACTTCCGCCTTTCCAGTAGCGCTTGGACTTTTTTGTAATCTTCGTAATAAACTGACATAAAGAACCATAGGCGGGCGGCCACATGCGCGGCCGACGTGTCTTGCCTCAGGACTTTAATTTTTGATGATTGAATCATATTCGTGTAAAAACAATAAGAAATGTGTAACAAAGCAACTACGCGCCATGCCGGGTAGGCACGGTCGGTAGCGCAGCTTGAAAAAAAAATAAAATGTGTCAATTCAATAAAAAGCCATGAAAAAATAGAAAAACGAAAGAGCAAGTAATTTAAAGCAAGTAACAAAGCAAGAAACAAAAAATTAATAGTCACCACCTCACGCATTTCTACCATGTCACCAGTCATAGCCAGACGTGTTGCCTTTTCTCTCGGGGAAAAAAAAAGGCACTTCACAACCTGCTCTCAACATGATGGATAGCACACAGTATTAACGCGTATGCAGTTGTACCTCTGCCACCTCATCTGACTATAAATTTTCGCATACGTACTTTGAATTTGAAATAATTGAGTGTCAACATGAATAATTCGATAACCATGAAAAAAAAAAGCACAACATAAAGAAAAAGCCAACACAACTACAACCCAACATCCAAAACTTTCCGCGCTCATCTGCTCGATCCTCACGACGGCGCCCCGCTGGGACTGCTTCCGCTCCCCCCAAGCTTGTTCTTTTCCTTGTCCTTCTTGAGCCCCAGCTCCTTCACCAGCTGCTTGTGCTGTTTGCGCATCAGCTCCATGAGGTCTAGGATCATCTGCTTGGTCTCGTCGATTTCGCCGCGGAATTCTTGTCGTAGCTCCGTGATCGCGTCAAAGGCCTGCTTATCGTAGGGGTCTGGTTGGTCGTCTAGCTCCATTTTTAGCAACTTCTCGTTCAGGGACTGGTAGTTTCCCATCTGCCCCGCCTTGCTGGCCAGCTGCATCTCCGCGGCGAGGGCCGGGTCGAGCGAGGAGGCGAGAGCTTTGTTGTTCGTGTCCAAATCCCCGGGCTTCGGCTTGACCTTGGTGTGCTCGGCGGTCTGCCATGGGTAATCGAATTCCATCATGGCGTTCCAGACCGGATTCAAGGTCGCGTACATGGTTTTCGTTCTCGACGTCTTCACGGTCAGCGCGCCCGTGGGGGCGGGGAGAGTGGTCCACGCCGTTATCGTTGCATACGGGTCGGAGGAGCCACCTGTAAGTGGAGGTGGTGATTTTCTTTTTTCGATGATTTTCTTTTTCGCGTAACTTCATGTCTTCGGGGAACTATCCATATCAATCAATCTACGCATGAAAAGTAATAGGCCAAAAAAAGTGCTATACCTGTTTTGAAGATGCTAAAATCCGCTGCTGCCACCTCCGTCGCACTGTGGACGATTACGGTCAAGGAGCCCGGCCAAAGTTCTAAGCCGGAGAACTGGATATGGGTTCGCTTTGGCGGCTCTGCGCGCAGCTTTTTCTTGTATTTCTCGGTTGGGTCGTCCGCGTCGTCGTCCTTCTTCTTCGCGGCCGTCGCCGTGTCCTCGTCGAAGGGCAACGGCGTCCAGGAAACGAGCAACTTCACACTCCCACGGACTACTACTTTGTCGTTGGTGTGCTTCAGCTCGTTGGGGCACAGAGGGGCCTGAGCGATTGGAGTTGCAGTCTCTATTTCTAACGGTTCTTGCGAATTATCTACCAATTGACCGTCTATTTCTTTGCACGTCAACAAATGTCGTATCGTAAGTGTAATTTGTTTTTGGCTGTACTGTCCTCGTCGCTGTCATTCATGAATAAAAGGATCCGAAATTTTCTGAAAATTTTATCCCATACCTCTATTGTATCGAATTTGATCTCGCCGCACAAATCCGGACTGAGGCCTATTTTCTCGTATTCGATCTGGCACTCGCCCAGGAAGTCGCGTTCGCCCAGTGCGTCCTCATCGTAGAGCTCGATCAATACCCTCTTCAGCTGCTCTGCGGGGTCCTTGATGGCCAACGCAGATTCCACTGCCTCCCGTTCCTGTTTTAGTTTACATTTTTCTTGATTGACATTAATAGTTTTTGTTTTCTGCATACGTGGACATCACGGTCACTTTATACGACAGGCCATCGCCATGCAAATCGAATTCAGCACTACAGGCAAAAAAGTGGAATGAAATAAGGTGAAGTGTCACTAATGATGTTTTCTCATGTTAATAATATAGAATATGCAATACAATCTCGTCGCTTTTCGCCTGCAATCTCATTTCTTCCTGGTTTTCTCGCCACACCTCGCCGAAGTTACTTGACAACACCGAAATGGGCATGGCCAGCACGAGCAGGCCGACTAAAATGGTTGCGACACCGAACATCTGTCCGAGCGAAGAGTACGGCACCATATCACCGTACCCGACCGTCGTGTACGTCACGAAGCACCACCAGAAACTATGCGGAATGGACTTGAACGGAGTAGGCTCGCGTCCATTGTTGATCCAGTTGGTTCGCATCCACCTGGGGAAAGGATTTTGGAAGACAGTAACAAGCTCTAGTAGTTTTATTTTTGTTATACGTTCAGTCATGCAGATCATCTTCGGTGGTACAACAGCAACGAACACACTTCCTTGTCATGACTTCTTGCGCTAGTACCGCTACAGAACAAAGCAATCAAAAGTTTTTACTCCTCCTGTGCTGGATCCCAGTCGCCGCTCTCCGCAAAGTAAAGCAAGGACGCGGAGAAGCAGACGCACAGGGTTAGGTAGAACAGCAGCACCGTTAACGCCTGCATACTTCTCCGCAGCACACGCCCGATGATCTGCAGCGTTTCGAAATACTTCACGGCCTTCATCAACCGGAACAACCTGGTATCACATGCAAAAATGTCTGGGTCTGGAAGATTGCGAGATTTGTCATGCTGATCTAGCATGGCCCTTAAATCTGTATTGTGTGGCCACAGAATGAATGAATGAATGAATGAATGAATGAGTGACGCCCCCTGACGCACCTCGTCGATCCGATCGCTTCACTAGTTCTTTCTCTTTCCTGGACTGCCACGAATGCAAAACGCAGCCAGCTTGTCACGCATACATATTAACCAGCAAGCGATTCCCCGGTCCGACGGCCCCTCTTACTCCGGTTTTCGACTCCGGTTTCGACGACACAGACAGCCTCTCTCGCCTGTCATGCAAAAACGCAGTTTCTCATGCGGAATACGCAGCACACAAGCACGAGGCAACTTGTCATCGTCATGCTTGGCGGCGCATTACAGTGCATTTGTTATTGACTGACTTGCATCACAAGTTTCCAGACCCAGACATTTTTGGATTTCATATCTGGTCAACCGGATGACCCGCAACACCGCCGTTCCCTGGATTTCCATCACACCCTCCAATATCACCTCGAAGTAGAAGGGCACGATGGCGAAGAAATCGACGAGATTCGGTGGGGAAAAGAAGAAATTGAACAGCCGCTGCCTGGAGGACTGGAAAGCGATGGGTAAATCTCCGAGGCACATGTCGAGGAGGATATCCGAGGAGAACAATTCCGCTCGCGCAAACGGGAAGCAGCATATTCTGACGCCGTACTCCACGGTGAAGATCACCACGCAAATCAGCTCCAGCGTCCAGAAGATGTCCGCCTGCTGCGGCTCGCACTCCCGCTTGCACCACTCGAACTCCTCGTAGGCGGTGCTGGTGTCGATGTTGTCGCACCGGGGGGTACACTGCCCGGGGGACTTCTTCAAGTCCGGGAGGGTGGCAATCATAAAACAGGTGGAGGAAACGATAATCATGATCATCACCGTCGTCTGCACCCACTGAGCGATCCGGCACGATGAGGAATCCTGTTTAGTGGGTATGGCAATTATCGGTTGACTTTCGCATTATCTTCATCCATAGATTGTTCAACCCTACTAGGTGGAAGTCAAGCATGACAAAGGGCAAGAGAAATTTGCAACTACTAGCAACAAAAATTTATAGAATCCTTCCCTTAATGAAATACCTCTATCGACAGCCAGATCCTTTCCGACCAGGTACAGGTGATGTGGAAGTCATTGCTTTTCCAGCAGGAAACGAACTCCCACCAGCCCACGGCGCCTGTTTTATTTTGGGTGATTGGCATGTAGTTGCCGTATCGCAAATCGGTGGAAAACCATTCCACCCAATTTGCACTGCGCGCAAACCGCATCGGAATCACAAACTGAACATCAACATCGCAAGTTTCAACTATCAAGAATAAATTTCAGGTTGTAAAAATACGGCAAACAGCATGACAACTTCTACAATCGGTCTGTAGTGCAAAAAATCATCATACCACTGCCATCCACGTCGTACTCCTCGGCGTTGAACGTCTTTCCTTCTCTCTCCTCGCCGGTGGACCCGATGATTTTGAACATGCGCAACATGGTCCGCTCGAAGTGCGCGGTCGACAATTCGCCCTGCGCATCGCCGAACCGGGAGTTCAGAATGGAGAATAACCTTCGGAAAAACCCGAGTTCCAGGGAGATCTTTCTCGGCGCGAAAATGTTTTTTGGTTTCTGCAGCCCGGACCGGTCCTTGGCGGCATCCGCTTCTTCGGACACGTCTGGCGGGACGAACCGCAATATCTCCGGGTCGGAGCTCTGCCACTGGTCGTCGAAGGGCAAATTCGGGTCGATCTTTATCCCGCTCCCCGGCTGCGAGCCGGCCGGGGCCTTGGCCTCCACATTCTCCGGGGCCTCCTTGCTGTCCACCCGCTCCTCGGTGGCTGCCCCCGCCATTCCTGCGGACACGTCGAGGTAGCAGGTTTTCACCGAGAAGAAGTCGTCGCGAACGAACGGAGTCCAGGCTCAGCTTCTGCTGCACGATAAAGGTGGCTTATTCACGGAAATAAAGTGTGGTAAATAGACCAGTGTTGGAGTGATAGGAAGATAATCAAGGTCGTGGTTTATAGGAATAAAACCGGGGGAAATTTCTGAGTGACACTTGGAGGTTCTTGCAAGAACAAGAGTGGAACAAATCAGGTCGAGTAACCTAGTTCGCTAATCGCCTCGTCCGCCCGCCTCTGGCGCTCGACCTCCGTCAGACGTGTGACACATAGAACAATAAATGCGGTAAACTAATCGAAAGAATTGGTAAGGTTGAGGGGCGAATGAAAATCATTCAAAATTGGTATCAAAGAAATATTGGGGGTGAAAAGCCATGAGCTGGTAGCGTTTTGGAGAAGAGAGTAAACATGGAAAAAATTTTGCTGCGTACTACCGAGCCGGCAATGGTGGACGTTAGATTCCTGCGGAAGCTGGAGCTACCAAATGTCGAGGACGACATCTACAGGCACGTATAGTCTTCAGAGTTCTGTCTTTCGTGTACGATGTGACCGACTGGTACGATTAGTCTGACTACTGTTCTTATCAACGCGCACGATGGATGTTCTCCTCGCAGCTGCTCCGCGGCACACGAATTAATACTGCCACGGAGCTCTGCCTGTCAAGTTTCTTCTGCGTCCATGGTTTTCTTGCACGAGACCGAAGTGGTGAAACTGTTACTCGGTGTAATTTGCACGATGGTACAGCACCGATGCTCACTTCTAAGTACTTTCACTACAGTTACAATTTGATTGCGTGTTCTTTTAGGAGCTTAGTCAACATCGAGGTAGCAACGGCGGAAGAAGAATGCAAGTTTCTTTTGCAAAAAAATATATCATCCAGATGAATAAACCCGCACTATGAATAATTTCCTTTCCATGCGCGTTATCACACACGAATGCTCAACAGCTCTGTCGGACCTCCTTGCAGAATCTTGTTCACTGAACGGACCGAAATTTTCTTTTCGCGTATATTTCAGTACTAACTGGTGTCACTCAGGGTGTAGACTTTCAAAAACCGACTGCTCTGTCTCGTTTTCGCGAACAACATGAATCTAAACTGCGTGTTTGCAGGCAGCGCACGACAGGAAAATTTCCGCTAGCCTTGTAGTACGAAGATGCTTTTGTTCATACAGGGACAAATGAAATGGGTAGACTCAACTCATTTATTTCGCATTAAAAACTGTTTCACGTTTTCCGCAAGCGCTCTGTCTTGTGCGTTCTGCGCCAGTTGCGTTTCCAGGGGGTCTTCCTGTGGTTCAGGAAGCATGCCGTGAAAATTGTGCTCATAGCCACTCCCAGCGGAGTCATCCTCGGGATTTTGCAGCTGAGTCCCAGACGTATTCAGCGTCGTCTGCACCTGCCTCGGAACCACTTTCGGTTTTGCCACGGACTTCGCAAAGGCGAGGGCTCTCGCCCGGTTGCTGTGCTCGATCCTGGAGTTCCCGCCTTGGGCACACGCGCCACAGGAGCCTGTATGATTGTATTTTTCGCATCTTTATCCGTACCTGTTTTCTGGTTTCATAGAAATTTTGAGGCGGTGCTGGTCACCATGAAGACAAAATTGTCACTGCTGGAAATTCAAAATCTGAATCAATGGTTAAGACAAATTACTGCTTCTCTTCCGTTTCTCCGTGTCAATTCGCTTTCGGTTGATGTTCCGCAACTGGTCGGAGAAGTCCTTCATTCGGTGCGCCACCGCCTTCTTGTACAGGAGCGCATCGGAGTCCAGATCCGGCCCGAGACTGCCTAATTGCTGCGGAACCGCGGACAAAGGCTCGGTGCGCGGGGAGTACTTCACGGGTCGCGGTTTTTTCGAGAACAAAAGTAAATCCTCCGTTTTGCGCACCATGCGCGCGTTGTCCTTTTTCTTCTTTTCTGCAGCTTCTGCCTGCGAAGGATTGGAATCGAGAGGTTTTTTGCAACAAGAACAACTTTCAGTTTTCGGAGGCAACCTTTTCAGCCCATCAATTTGTGCAATTTCTAAATTTATGAATATGATTCACGCACCCTGACATGAAAAGCAACCCACAACTTCTTTACCTCTTCCGCCTTGGTCGGCATTTTTGCTTTTTTCCTCTTTGGTACGTAGGGTATCTGCGGCTTCGGCGGATTCCGCCCCGCCGCCGGCTCGCGCAACTGCGATATGGGCGGCCCGGTGCCGGCGCCAAAAGCGGTTCCTGTTGTCGTAGTTGTGTTCGCGGACTTGCTTGTCTGCTGCACTGTAACCATCTCTTCCATCACCGGCGCCATTCCGGTAGACTGCGCCCGCGTCCGGACCATGGGTCCTCTGGTACTGCGACTTGACGTGACTTCTGTCGGCGTGAAATTCGAGGACGTCCCGGTGGTCGATAGGTTGGACTGCTGCGCCGGAGGATTGTTGTGACACGCGCCGGCGTCCCTTATTCGCGTTACAGCCTTACCACCACCCGTGCTGCGGCTCGCAGAGGACATGGTCGTGGCGTTTGTTGGTCCTGGAAGATCTCCTGCGACGGACCCTACTTCTCCACCTCCAGGTGCAGAAACTCCTATCGTAGCAGCACCGCCAGCGTGGACAGAGCTCGATCTCACTGCGGCGGGCTTCGCGGCATGGTGAGCCTCACCTTGCTGCTCGAGTGGCAGCACTGAACTCGGGTTGTTCATCCCCGCTCTCCCACGACTCGACCCGCCGTGGTTGCTACTGTATTCCGCGTGGATCATGCCCGGACTGTTTGGCGTGTCATCGCGGTAGTCGGGGATAGATTCCTCGCCGTCCGAACTGGAATCATCTAATACCAGTTTTCCTTCCGGAAGAGACGCGGATTTCCGCATCTGCATCGCGGGCGGGCGGGGAGGACGGCCCATTGGAGTAGGTATTTGCGGTTTCATATTCATGGTTGGAGCCGGACGCAGCTTTGGACCTCCCGACGACACTGGATGCAACTGTGTAGCGTCGCTGGTGTTCGCAGCTCTTTGTCTAGCCTCTTCTGCGTCAGGTCCACTTCCACCTGGGGTTGGCGTTCTCAGCTCTAGTTTTGGCACCACCGGGGGAGCCACGCTGGCACTACTCGTAACCTTTGCCGGCGCGGGAACTACACGCGGAACGACATTTTCCACCTCTCCACCTTGAAAAATGTTCAACACTGAAGTAGCTACAGACGACGCCTGCTGCTCCCTCCGCAACCGCTGCTTCAGTTCCTGCACGTAGCGCTGCGCATCCGTGGCGCCAGGTGCTGAGCTTGCTGAAGTACATGGTAGTATACAGGTTGGTTTGGTCGTGAGTGGTGCGAGATCTACTGCTGGGTGGGACGGAACTGCCGCAGGGCCGCCACTTACCATACTCCGTGCAGCCTGCACTGGCACGCCCGCACTTGCCGCCGCAATGGCGGCCTGCTGGAAATTCGCAAGCAAACCCCCGCCGGCGCCACCCGGGACTCCTGCGCCGAACTCCGAAAGAGGGTCGTGGACCAGATGGTGATTTCTATTTCCGGTCGATGATGTCGCCGGGAAAAACTGGCTGTCGTCCTCCTCTTGGAAATCCAAAGCCGAAACCAGCTGCTTCTGCTCCTCCTCGTTCCACTGATTATTCTGCGCTTCGTAATCGTCGCACACAGTACTCGTACTCCCCCCTACTCGTGCCAGCACCGCGTTGATGTCGTTTTTCCTCAGGCCGCCTCCAAGCGGTTTCGTCGAGACGCTAGTCGTGGTCCCTGCGATATCAACTCGCGATACAACCGGGAACTGTTGCACATCGCCACGACCGTCGCCTGGATTGATGCTTTGTACTACTTCCCTCACCACAGGTGGTTGCGAAGATGGACCAGACGTCGCAGTAGAACGAGGCTGCACAACAGCTTGCGGGGCAGCAGCTCCCGGTCGAATGATATGAGCCGGGACATGTTGGTCTTGTCGCCCGATCACCTGCTGGTCCCTCCGCGGCGTCGCCTTCCGTCTTTGCCACTGCTCCGCGTACGAGCCCCGCGGCGTCGTGCTCGCCGATGTGTTCTGTTCCACCACGCGACGCAGCGTGCCCTTCGCAGGCGGCTTGGTCGGGACAACAGTAGCCGCGTTGGCAATCTGTGTTGCACTTCCTGCACTAGCTCCGCCACGCTGCTCTATCGCGTTGATCGCTACTCCGTAGGCATTCTGTATCGTGGACGTCGTGGTTTGGGGGTTTTGCAATGTGGTGCCTTGCAAGTGCTTCCGCGGGGACACCTTCCGCACATTTGTCGATGCGCTTGCGGCGGCGATTTGAATGCGGCTCTGCACGCTTGTTGGATTTACGCCTTGCTGCTGCTGCTGCATTACAGCATTGTTGTACTGTTCCCGCGGGAGCCCCGACCCTGTGGAGGATGTCGTAGATTCGTTCGCGTCGGAGAGAGACCTACCATTCCGCGCAGCAGCTCCTGCAAGAACCTGCACCACCACAGGGTCTCCTCCTGCTTGCTGCTGCATGGCGAGGTTCGGGTTCGCGGTGATCCGCGGTGCGGTGTTGGCGGAAACGACGGCGGTCCCGCGGTTCAACCCCGCGACAGGCTGGATCTTCGATTGCACCATGATGGGCCGGGGGGTCGGGTCCTTCTCCAAGAAGTTCTCATCCTCGTTCACGAAAGAATCGTCCCAGTTATCGGGGGGCGGCATGACGGACGACATGGTTTCGATGCGGGAGATTTCGTCCATGTGCTCGGCGCGGATCTGCGGGACAGTATTGACCTGTTTCGACTGCATATTCACATTCGGATTCATGTTGTGCGTAATCCCTGTAGAAGAAGTAGTACCCCGCACGCTCGAAGAGCTGGAACTGGAACCTCCCGTTGCACCACCGCCTCCAGGCTGCACCTGATGAACGGCTCGTGTCCGCTGTTTCGGCGACGTTCTGGCTTCGGACTTCTGGAGAACTCTTGCTCTGGTAGTAGCTGCGATCGACGTTGTTCCAGAAGTTTGGCTGACTGGTGCCCCCGCACCGCTGCCGCCGCCACCAGAAGCGGACATCTGAAATTATTCAATTTGACACGATGAGACTACTTCGGGCATAAGAACAAGCCAAAAATTTTACTGCAAAATAGGCCATCAAAATCATATACTCTAAAAAGTTGTTTCCTCTTTTTAATACCCCAGCCTCTTTCATCATCTTCTGCAACAGCCCGCGGTTTGTCTGCACCTTTTCCGGCACCACTGGGGCAGACGACGCGTCCGAGTTCACGGAATTGTCCTGTAGTTCGATCCTCCCATTGGCGGAAAAAGCTCCCATTTTACCCTGAAAACGGGTGGCAAAATCGGTCTTCTTATCCGGCATCTTGACAGTCGGCAAAAACCAAAACGTAGACGTGTAGAAAGAGTACTTAATCCCGCAGAAAAAATCTTGAGTGCCAACAAAACCAAAAAATATTATGGTGGATACCAATACGTTCTTGACTTCTACCGATAAGAAGTAGGGTTAAAATTCGCATGGAACGAACCAAAAGTAAATGAGGATGCAAGAGAAGAAACCAACGCCAGTTTGCTTCTTGTCAACTTCACCTCTCTGTCCCTCGATTCATTGTCATCGCACACCGCTCGGCTCCCACGAGTTAAAGGTCTCATCACGAAAAACTATCGCTCCTTACCGGCAACACCTGTGGTCGCACGCACGCAGACAAAAGCAAAACGAAGCTCTTTCCAGTAGAAAAAACAGACAAGCCAGCGCGCTGCAACAAGCGTCTGCTTTCTCATAAAAGATTTTTTTGGTACTGACTCGCTTAGGACATTCTGTGAAAAAATGTTTTCGTAAACTCCAAGAAGTCATTTTGAGATGCAGAGAAAAAAGATCATTCTCCGTCTCTTGTCGTGGTGAAAGCAAAAGCAGATAAGCAGACTCTTTGATAGAATATTCCCTAAAATCAGTCACAATTGCGCTACTACAGATGTTGTAGTCGTTAAGTTTTTTCGTCAAAATACCAGTTCACTAAGCAGGTTCAGAAGATTTTTAATATTCCTCCTACGTGCATTGCTCGTTAAAAGCTAGTCGTGTGAAACAGTTGCAAGTAAGAAAGACTGCATTCTTTCGTCCGAAGCAATCCCTTTATTTTTCGTGGGGACGCGGTGGAGGTAGTTCTAGTGAATCGCGTTACATTTGTTCTTCCGTGTCTACTTACTTTCATCTTCCCCACGATCCTGAGGGATAATGAAGCTTGCTGAAAATGAAAGGCAGTTTTCTGGCTTGCAGGAATCCCTCTAGCCAAAGCCACCTGCTCCGGCGCTTCATGTTTCTTCTTGCAATTCTGATGTACAAAAAAACGAGTGTTCCTCGAGCTCTGCAAAAGCTCTGGGCGAGAGTTGTGCAGCTTTTAGTTCCTAAATAGTACACACCTGCTCGCTCAGATCGCCGGTGTAGTCGCTCTTTTGTGTCTAAATTTCAAATTAAAACTGTCTGATGGATTGTCGCGTCTAGATTGAGTTTGTCTGAACTTGTCTGTGTTCGATGCTGCGTCAGATCGATATTCACGACTAGTGTGAAATGAACTGCACTAGCTGCTTGATTGTATTTGGAAAGTTGTTAGTAGTTCTGTGCTGGTTAATACGTGATATTATGGTCCGCTCCCGCGATTTTCAGCAGCACTCCAGCACACGACCCGTTCTTTATTTCCCAGAAGTCGTGCACTAGTGCCGATTTTTCAAGAAAATCTGTCGCAAGAAACAGAAACTCACGCCTGCAGGCTGCTGTTGACCGTGATCTTGTCCGGGATGTCGGTGAGCATAGCCGCGAGCGCCTTCGCCACGTTCTGCCCGTCGTCCACCCGCGGCACGCCCTCGAATTCCATGCAGATCTGACGCAGCATATCCTCCAACGTCGGCGCGGACTTTTTGTAGTTTTCCTCGTAGACCTTCCGCAAATCGCACCACTTTTTCCACACGTTGGCGTGCGGGATCTGTTTTCTCTTGCACTCTTTGGTGAAGGAGGATTGCAGCGGTTCCGCACCGTAGGTGACAAAAACGAACTCGCACAGATTCGACTGGATCTGGGAAAGCGGCTTCTTCTTGTTACGCAGCGCGGAGACCTGAGAATGTCATAGTGATAGAAATCGTAGTTGTGAATTTACTCACTTTAGTGAGGAAAATAACTTACTAGGCTGTTTCGTGCAAAACATGCAAAAATGGAGCAAAAATTTGTGATGAAATTGAAGCGTATCAATCATTATACCAGGTTGTTCTCCTTGAAAAAGCGTTCCAGTTCCCGCAAAACTTCATCCAGTGGCTGCGCGTGGCTCTTGTCCAGATCTTCATTGGAAATGCTCGTTTGTTCTGTCGTCTGCGGGCTCAGCACCGGGAACACGGTCGGTCGCACGAGTTTTTTGAACGAAAAGTCGGTCTTCTTTGTTTTGCTATTGAAAAAGGAAATGTTGACGGACACGACTTCAGACACGAAGGGCTTCTTCAGTTCCTCCACCGGGTCGCGCTGTTGTTGGAATGTCATACAGAAATGTTGCCTTGTGTGTGTGTGTGTGTGTGTGTGTGTGTGTGTGCAAATTATTTATGCAAAACTTTATTTTCGACGTCAGGGTCAGGCATGGCAATAAAAATGCGTCATGCACAACTGCGAATCAACAAAGCAATAATACCTCGGGCTTGACCGTGGATTCCATGTGGACGATAGCGAAATAATCCGGTTGTGCGCTCTGGTTCAGCAATCCAATGTGCTTTGGGAGGACCGCTGTTTTGGATAATTTGTATTTTTGCAGGAAGTGGTCACAGTCAAAAGAGGTGTTCGTCGAGAGCACCAGTAATAGAGAAAAAGAAAAAGCGATGTTATTCTTATTCACAGGAGTATGAGTACTACGCATGACAAAGCAAATGACACCAAGTTCAGTACGTGCGATGTGGCTGGCTATTGGTGTGACGTCATCTGCCTCCTCTTCCTCGGAGGAATCTTCTCCCTTCTCTTCATCGCTGTCCACGAAGCATGCAAATCGGTTGTTGGCAGCCTTCTTTTTGGCCTTCTTCATAGCCTGTGGTGAGTTGATTTTTCGAAATTATTGACAATGCATCTCATAGAAAAAACGCACGATAAAGACTTACTGGTTGATGATGTGCATGACAAAAATAAAATAGCTTTCACTATGAGTAGTACCTTCTTGTCCAGTGGTGACTGCGTTTGCAGCGCCGACGGATCCATTGCGACCGCAGCGGCGTTTTTTGGTGTGGACTTCTGCACCGGGGAGATAACGAGGTGCGCTGGAGAGATCCCCTGACCCGCAGCATGACCACCGTTCGCGTAAACTGCAATGGTATTTTTGCATTGCAAATTTCACACCACAAATCGAGCCACCAACCAATCGTGAATAAAACAGCATCAGAAATTTTCATCGTGGCAGCAAAACAAAATGAAAGTCGTCCCACATTATACATACCTGGTGTGGTCGTGCTGTTGTCCAGCTGCTGGATGTGTTCCTGTACCATTTTTGCATCTGCCTTCATGTGGTGAGCCTTCTTTTTCGGTACCGCTCGGAAATCGCCCGCATCTTCCGCGAAGGAAGTAACCGGAGCTGCCATACCACCGGCCTGATCGAGTAACTTCATTTGTTTCCCGTAGGCAAAAATCTACTTATCTGCATCACAAAGAACATACCTTTCTTTGCGCACTGAAAAAGTTTCGCATGCAAGAAGCGCAAAATGAGGAAACGTTGTCTCATGCGTATTCAATCCGTACAATTATACCTGTGGCATTGGCTTTTCCACAATCTTCGGGGCTTGCTCCGTCTCGCTATCGGACGAGTCATCGGATTGAAGGAAGGCAAATCGCGACATTTTCGGCAGGGGGGTTTCCGTGGCGCTTATTCGAAGCTAATAATAAAACACCTGCAGCTACTAAGGGCCGTATACTAATACAAGTATCTACTTAGCAAAAAGAAAGTGCAGTTGTCGAACTGAAAGCCAGAAAACTTTTTGCGTATGAAAAGTACTCATCTAGCACCCCTGATAAGAAATTTTTGCAATGCAGGGTTTCTTGCGGTACTGTGCGGCCAAGGATCGTCGCTTTACAGAACTTTTGTGTTAAGCGATAAAGATTGAGTGAAGTACCCAAACGGGCAAAAAGCTTTGAGATCGAATTTATCCGTCGTCGCTTTTTAGCTGTGGATCTTCGTGCATTTTTCTTTGTTCGTTATTGATCCCAACATCCTGCTCAGCAACGTAGATCAGAGTTAGGGCGATCTTTTCTACTATCGTTCTTCCCATCTGTCATCTACTCAGCGATCTTTCGAGCGTGGATGCTTGCTTACGTCCGAGGGCGGGAAGCTGTAGATGCACCAGGAGGACCCTTTCGTCCTACATCTCTACGTCTACCTCAAGAACGCCGCAGTATATTCAAAAACAAAATTACCTGCAAAATTTCGCTTGCTAAAAAATTCAGTATGCTAGTGTACTACGTGTCTTTGATAGAGATACATCAGCTTTGCACTGGCATGTATATCAATTGCGCACCATTCCAAGGTTTGCATCAACGCGTCTTATGCCTTGTGGGAAGAACCAGTCGTAAGTATGCATTTTCGCAAAGCTGCATTTCTACCCCCCGACAGCTGCCCGACTCTGCCAGCTTCACTAGGTCTAGGAAGTAGAAGCACAGTAACCATACTCGTCTCAGCTGCCGTCGGATATTCTGACATTGTCGGCGTTGTTCGCTATCTCCCTTTTTCTCAGCCCTTCGCTCTCCACGACCTGGTCGGATTGCAATTTTTTCTTTGTCTCCCACTCCTGGTCGGATTGCTCGTGGTGCTGCGGCTCCAACCGTGGCCTGCCGGTGTGCTCCAAGTAGAGTTCGTAGTCATCGGGGTAGAGTTCGACCATTTCCCGTTCGATTTCGTCGCGCACCATCTCCTGCTCCTTCTCCCACTTCGCGCGCTGGTTGTCCACGTCCTTCTCGAAGGCTTCCACCAGCTGTAAAAGTTTTTTATTTGAATCAATCATCGCGAAAGACGAACATTATCCCCCGAACGTCAACTTTTAATTGCGTTGCAAAACAAAAGAATTCTCTCGTTCAATGTCGTGTAAAACCCACCAAGAGCTGACACAAGTCTCAACCACCAAAATAGTACCGGCGCCGCCAAGTGCTGCAGGACTTTCCCGTAGGCCCAGAAGATCAAAGTTCCGAGGAATAGACTGAGTAGCGCGTACTGCCCGACTCGCTTCACCACTTGTATTTTGTACTCACTCAGCAGCCCTTCCGGCGCGTCGAGCTTCCACCACAGCGTGTAGAGAGGTACGCCAGCTGGCCTCACCGCGTCTTTGTCCTGCGTCAGAACGGCATCCAAGTTTCCGAAGCAGTCGGCGTCCATCCAGAAGAAGACGTACGCCTGCGCGGACATGAGAAGGAAGCCGAAGAGCATCGCAAATTTCGTCGGCAGTCCGAGCTTGCTCCACTGGGTCGCTTGGGTGTAGAACTTGTTCCTTTGCTCAGCCTTGTAGTCGAGCCAGTGCAGCTCCTTGTTCACCTCTAAGGGAACAGTCATGAGCGGACCGTGCGAGTCCAGCACTTCCTGTATTGCGTAGCACGCGGCGACACCCATGGCGCATGCGAGGAGGACACTGAAAAAGAGCAACAACGCCGTGAGCGTGACGAAGATTTTGTCCGTTTTTCTCTTAAACGCGCCCGTCATCACAGTGGGGGTGACGAAGATGAAGATCGGACACGTGCCCAGCAACATCTGGCTGAGCCGGCACCGAAGGATGCCTTGATAGTTATTTTGGTCTGGTGATGAGGCTGCTGCAGCGAAAATCTTCAATCTCCTCATGCTCCTGCGCGCCCACGCAGTCACAGGAGGGCAAAAAGATGTATCATAGTTACAGATACAGGCTTCAACTAAGTACAATGCATCAGAGAACAAGCAGTTTGTTTGGCCGGAGTACTAGAACTCCCATAAGTAGTAAGTACCTGTCAGCACACTAACCGGCCAGTCCGGGCCTCCACAAAGGATCGCGCACTTCCCGAACGTGAGCCCCGGCTGCCGCAAGACCACTTCTATCGCCCGAATGGTCGGTGTGTGCACCCCGACCAAGGCCCGGATGAACTTGTAGGACCCGAGGGGCTGCCCGATACACTTCTGCTGCATCGCGCAGGCGTTCAATTTTAGAATCAACGCGACGACGGAGGTGATTGCCAACCCGAGCCAAAACCCCGTATCCGGGTCCTCAAATTCCTTCTCAAACGCGCCAACGACGACCAAGCCGCCGAAGAGATAAACCGGTGGGCCGGGGACTGGGGGGAGCAAGAACCCGACCAACCCGGCGATGTACCACACAATCAGGATCTGGTACGCCGGCTTCCCGCTGAGAACCTCGCCCAGACCGATCAGACCGAGGTTCAGTCCCTTGGTACAGCCGACGTTGAGGGTGAACACGGCGAGCGCCCAGACGTAGGCCCTGATCGAAGTAGTACAGGCGTTATTTTTGTCCACTGTTTTGATTTTTATCAATGTACCGTCGTGAAAGGGTCAGGCTCATGCCAAACTATCACGAGAGGCAGCAGGTGCAAGGCAAAATAGAACCACACGAAAAGAAAACTAGCATGAAAAACATTATTTCCATTTGTTAAATACTTCGATATCACGCTCGTTTTGTTCCACTGCGCGACATGCCCGAGCTGCGCGCTGCAGGCTTTCGTGCACCTGCTGTGCCACGGGTCCGGGAGGAAAAACGTCTTCTCAGGGTCGTAGTACTGTTGATCCGACACCCCTCGGCAATCCCGCTATCCTGAGTAAAAACATCCCCACAGCATAGTCAAGATGGGGAATCGGCTACACAAATCCACAAGCTTTGGCTGTTTTGCATGACAAATTTGGACTCGTAGTGTAGTGCTGTTTGAGCTATCTAAGCAGCATCACAGATCTAACATACCATGCTGGTTGGAGCATGACAAATTGCAAAACACGATTAGAAAATGCTTCTCATGGGGCTCCGCATAAGAAACATTTTCAGCATGCAGATTTGCATTACAACTATGGGGTGGGGACGTTTTCAAATAGGATACCCGCACCAGCTTGTTCAGCGCGCTGATTAAGTAGTAAAATGGCAGCATCCACCAGAATATCAAATGCAAAGATGTCTGGGCCTGGAAATTTGTGATGCTGGGTGGCGTATCATGAGGAGGCCACAAGAGCTGGCCCAGCATGACAAGTTTTTGAGCTTCTTGGTGTTGCCTGTTTCTGCATGACAAACTGCGTTTCTGCATGACAGAAAAGTGGGGCTCTTGGGTAACATGCATGACAGATTTAAGAGTCATGCCAGACAAGCATGACAAACATACATTCTTCCAGACCCAGACATTTTTGCATTTGATACAGAACAAAAGCAAGAACAACGCTTTCAGCCAGTCGGACTGCAGCGCGGAGATCGTGATCTTCAGAAAGGGGTTCTTCCACATGTGCTCCAGCATCTGGGCGTACAATCTTCGCATGGTCGCGGCGATGATGACCACGAAAGCGAAGAGCAACGCGGCGATGAACGTCCGGACCGTGGTGGAAATGTCCAAGGCCGAGCTGCTCGCCCCGACCCCCACCTCCGCCGCCACCCAAAACGTCAACGCGGTGGCGAACAACCCGCAGACGCAAATTTTCACCGTCTCCACCAACGCGTCCATGTTTCCGACGCCCAGAATGCTGTCCCCGAGCTCGTGGTCCACGGAGGCGACCGACCGGGAAATCTCCGTGAGCAGGTCGTCTGTCTTCGTGTACCGGATGTGCAGATACGCCCGCAGGGACAGCAACCCGAACAGCAGCGCCAGGCCGACGCAGAACAGGACCGGCGCCGCCCAGATGTTGAACTGCATGTTAAACGCCTGATTCTCCGTCACATCGTACTCTTCCTCCGGCTGCACGCCGTCTGCGACCATTTCCTCCCGCACCTCCGCGCCCCAGTACTTCTTCTCGCCGATAAACGCCCAATGGAGCCAAATGTTAAAAACCAGCATGGCGGTGAGAAGCGTGGAGATCGCGAAAGCCTTGTAGTACAAAAGTTTGTCGTGCGCCACGAGCAAATGCCTGGTTAACACCTCCATCACCGCCTCGTACCTTCGGTGCGGGTCGTGGATGGACGAGGCAATGACGCGGATCACCGACTGCCCCTTGTGCCGTTTCGCAAAGTCGTGCTGCTTGGTCTGCTTCGGTCGGAACTTGTACCTGGCCATGACCTGCAGCAACGCGAGCATGATGAGCATGATCATGACCGGGTAGTGCGGATACCTGGCTGTTGCCGTGACGCCCCAACACAACGCCATGCAGCCGGTTATGATGAACACAAACCGCAGGAAAAACGTCCCGTACTCGTTCACCTCGCCGGGTCTGTTCCCCCAGACCAGATGCCGGACGGTCGAAGTGGACTCGGAATTCGGAAGGGCGGGGGGCTCCTCCCGGGGGGCGAGCGTGACCATCTTCGGCGTTGCGATAGACGGCAGGGGACTAGTTGCGGGCGCTGCAGCGGGAACCGCCGGAACGGAGCTGTCGGGTGGTGCCTCCGACTTGTGCTCGCCCTCGACCACCACTTCTGGAATTGGTGGCGCCGCGCTGGGTAATATTTGCGGTGAAGCAGCAGGAGCTTCTTGTTTGTTCTTTTCCGCTAGCTCCGCCGCTTGTTTCAGTGCCTCTTCATCCAGTATGCTGCTCGTCCCGGTTGCTCGCTCCTCCGCGATGAGAGCTTGCACCTCGGACCGGCTGGGTTTCGTCACGTAAGGCGCTGTGAAGAAGTCCAACAGGTAGAGTAGAAATAACACGAAAAACCCGCCGTACCACAAGAAAAACCCAACCGTCGTTTGCTTCATCGCCCACCGGTAGCTGCTGGCACCGTAGCCGATGTGGGACCAGATTAAAAGCGTGAAAATCGCAACGGAAAGGTTTACCGCGAAGGTGGCGCAAAACCAAAAAACGAACCGATGGTGGAGGGATTTCAGCCGGTTCACGAGGTTCCGCTTCTCGTCCTGCATCTTCGCTTCCAGCGATTTTCTGACAGGCGACTCCTCGGGTTGGGATATCCGTTGTTCGACATCCTGCTCCTGCTGTCCTCCAGGATCCTCCTGGACGGTATGCCGGTCGTATTCGTCCGCCATGTTCTTGACGGCGCGATGTTTGTACTTCTTGTGAAGAACGCAACTTACTTCTACCAAAGGTGCCGAGCACTTGGTTCTACCGGGCCGAATGCAGAACTTGCTTCTCTCTTCACAGCATCGTCGTCACCTTTATTTCCGTGCAAGACCTGTCGGAGACGGAAACGCACAGAGCGCCAGCACAGAGAAACCAGTGACAAGAACCAAGAACTCTCGTGCTGTCATTTCACCTCCGTGTTCGCAGTCGTGCATGATGGCGGCCGAAAAACCAAATCGGTCGTCGTGTCACGGAAAAGAAAACGAAGGGATTTTTACAGGCAAACAGTGCATCAAACTTCCGGAGCGGCTAATAAGAAAATAGAAGAGCGTATGGAATTCAAGTCAGGTTCTCGCGAACGCCTGTGCCATAAAGACGAAAAAACTTTTTTTCCGCTCCGAGGAAAACTCCGCCTCCTCTCCCCGCCCGCAAGTTTGCCCCTAAAATGATCTCTCTGCAACTCCACTGGCGTCGTCCCTGCTCTTCACACACAACATGTAGATCTTCCACTATTCGAGCAAGGTGCGTTTACTGGTCGCCACAGCACAAACAAACAACAGCGTGCCGGTTGTATTGTACAACCCGCATTAAAAATGAGTACAAGTTCTTTTACGTGTTTTCTTATGACAGCGAGCAGCTCGCTTTTCCAAATGAGTGGTGCAAACCATAAGTTGCAAAAAAGTTGTTCGACGTCGTTTTTACAGTTCGTACAAAGGTCGAGTTTATCTTGTGGTCGAACAGAGAAGAGGGAGTGTGCAAAAAACTACTTCCAGCTTCTGCTCAAAAACTGTCCCCGTTCCCGATACAACTGCAAGCGACAGGAGCCCGTAGTCACAACAAAGGTAGCTATACAGGGTGTTGAATCGAAAAAAGCAACAACATACAAGTCTCTTTTTATGTATTGTGGTTTATTTTCATGTGATCAAATTTTCAAAAAGCAATGGCGTATTTGGAAAAACTTTTGACGATTTCTTTGGAATGTATTGAAGGTTTTAATATTTCGAAGTTCATTGTTGATGGAACTACAAAAAGGCTTTTATTGGAAGTAGAGTTGTACATTCGATAAAGCTGCTGCTCCAGGTGGTCGTCCCTATCCTGGAGGGCCGCGACGAGGATCGAGTAGCTCGGGGAAGCTCAGCAGTAGGTTGAGATGACAGCTCGAGGCTGGTCCTCGAGGACCAGCAAAACCCCAGCCACGTCACGCCCTCGGCACCACCGGTTTCGTGTATTGCCCCGTCTGCACCCGGACAAGCACTTCCGCGGTGATGTGCTTGGCATGGATGGTCGCGAACCCGTACTCCGCAGCCTGCGCAATGTTGCTGGCGCTGTCGTCGATGAGCAACCCCGTCCGGGCCCCGGGAATGTTACTCATCAGCGTGCCCATCCGAGCGGCCTTGCTACTGTTGAAGGGCGGCACGTCCGAGCCGAACACTTTGTCGAACAGAGAGTCCATCTCCCACTGCTTCAGCGCGGCCACGACTCGCTCCGTCTGGTTCAAAGTCATCACGCAGATCTTGATACCTGGGATGAGTTCTTGTTGTTTTCAGGAGTGATATCGGATTTTCAAATTTTAGTTGATGAAGTCATAGTCTAGTTGTATCCCAATTATGCTTCACGTCGAAATGAATCACTAAGCAACACAAATTTATACTCGGTTTCGTCAGACGTATCCTTCTGAGGTGGAACTTCAAATAATCCACCCGGGTTTCATCCCCAAAATTGTTTTTCGCCCACTCCGCGGGATCTGGCTCCTCGCGGTACAGGTGGCCCATAGCGAGGCAGTCGTCGAAGTCTATGCATAAGAGATCCGGTATCGGGCTCTCGTCGATTTCCGCCCCTGCTGCACCCCCATTTGCAGCAGCCGGCGCACCAGCTGCTTTCGGTGGTGGCACAGCGCTCGCGGTCGGCTGTATGAGCGGCGTCCGTGCTGGGGGCTGGAAGTTTGATCTTTGCAGAACGAATCCTTGCCCACCCGGTGGCTGCAGGAATGACGGAGACGCGGCGGCAAACTGCGGCTGATTCGAATACATCGGTGACTTCGCGATGAATGATGAGGTAGCGGAAGGATTCTGCGGCATCGGTATGTTCGCTTGGAATGTCGAGCTCGACGCTGGCGCTAGTCCCGTTGGTGGTCTGTTCATCTGGAGCTGATGCGGAAGTTGCTGCGTCTGCTGCTGCTGCGCTAGAACCTGCTGCTGCTGCTGCGCCACCGAGAGATCCACGTTCTGTTGCTCGCCGGTAGTGCCTCTAGATGCTGCCATCCTCGAAGCAGCACTTCCTAATGGTTGAACATCCCCGACTGCCTGCGGTTGCTGCGTAGAACCTGCTGTTGAACCGGAACTGCTACTACTCCCCTGCGGCCGCACCAGCCCGCCGTTGCTCGTTTCCATCGTGGGGGTTGCGGCGTACTGCCTTGTTTGCTCTGGAACCAGCCCGGGTATTCTCCGCGCGTTCAGCTGCTGCGACCTACTTCTCACCGTTCCCGAGGAACTACCTCCCCCGATCTTCGGTGCGCGGTTCAGCATCGGCATATTCAGCTGCGGCCGCTGGAGTCTCCCGCGCTCCACAATTTCTGTCGGTACACTCTGGCAACTGTCGTCATCGGACCCGAGCGGCGGGCGGAGAGCGGGATCGGCCGCTGTCGCGGGCACGGGGTCGGGAGTGAAAGATTTCTTCGGTGCTGGGGTCACACCAGTTGCGGTTTGATTGTTGTTGGCCACCACGACTTGTGGCGTGACAGCAGCAACGGATTGCTGTTGCTGCACCTGATCCATCCTCGGTCGCAGACTTGCCGAGCCGTTGGCGGCGTTGGACCGGAGGGAAAAATTCGTCGGTGGTAATTGCTGGGCTGCAGCGGGCATCGGTGCGCCGTGCATGGCGAGCGCAGCGGTCCGGTTGGAAATCGCCGTGGATTGGGAGGGAATCCCTGCCACCCGCTCGCTCATGTCGTCGGTGTTGTATTCCTGATAGACGGAAAAAGCAAATTTTCCACTGATGTTCGATGTTGTGTATGCTTCCTCAACTTGTACGATCTAAGCGTCTGCACTGTGGTGGCATGCTGCTTAATCCGGAGCAGCAACATCACAAAAATTCATACCTTCGAAAACTCCCGAGCTTCCAAGCTCTGGACGTACTGGACGGCATCCTCTTCTTTCGTCCCTGGGGGACGCCTTCCGCTCGAAATCTTCTTTGGTCCCTGGACAATTGATATCGAGGTTTGGTTTCTAACGTGACAACGTGGGATTACAACATGACCACCAAATTGCAAGATCACAAATCAGAATTCCAATTTCCTTTCCGCATCAGAAAACTCACGAACGATCGAAAATCATCCATAAGTACCTCCGAAAGTTTCGCGTCCACATTTTTCGCGAACGTCGACAGGATCTCCTGCCCCGCGCTGCCGGCGCTTCCCGCGAGCGAATCCCGGTCTTTTTCCTTCGTTTTCGAAGCCGACGAGGTCCTGTTCGTGGGCCGCTGCTCGCGCTCCACGCTGCTGGCTGCACTGGATTTCTGCTTGCTGCTAACCGACGAGCCTGCCTTCGCCGAAGTTCCGGAACTCCGCCCCCGCGTTGGCGTTGGATTTGCGGGCTTGGCTTCCACTTTTGAGGGGGTGATGCTCGGTCGCTCCCTGGATGAGGAGTCTCGTACGCCTACTGGCAGTTGATGTCCCCCTGCTGTTTGTAGTTCCGCACTAGGCGGTCCTCCGGGTACCCCCGACCTTCCGCTGCTCGCCCGCGCCTTACTCGTGGAAGAGAGCACCGGCGTGGGCGCTTTTCTGCTCGGTGCGGCGCGCTTTGCCTCGACCGCGGAGGACGATATTTCGACATCCCGGGGCGCTCGGCGAAACTGGATTTCCGTCTGCTTCTCCGTCTCAAAATGTTCGCGTTCGCGGATTGAGGTCTGGTGCTGACTAGTCATGGTGGCCATTTTTATTGAGCTTGTTGTAGTTATATCTTCTCGTTGAAAAAATCTCTACGATCAACGGTTCCTGCAATTTCTATCGATGGTAGGATCCAAGTGCTGACCTTGCCTTTTTGCTTGTTTTCTTCCAGAAAAAAATCTGCTTTCCGCTATAGAGGAACTTGCAGCTACGAAAAATCTACAACTTACTATAAGCTTCATCTATGCGCGCAAAAATTCCTTTTGTCTTCCAAGAGTCAAAGAAGACACAACTAATAAACGGACGCCTTTTACTTCCCAAAACGAGATCAGAAAGTGAAACTCACAGCTGCTGACGACGCTTTACGACTTTTGGAACGAAAAATGACTTGTTCTTGGCACCTACGTGAATAAGTACTTCTGCATTCGACGGATGAAGCAGGCAATACTATGAATTTCAACTTTTTTTCGAACCGCTCTACTTATTTTTGACCCTTTTACTAATAGCCCGACGCGCACGTTCTTCCAACAGAATCTTCCCCCAGTTACATTCACGAGACCACGGATGAAGAACAGGAGATCTTCACAAATAAAACTTGGCAGCAGCGACAGGCTTGCGCCGTCCACGCACTACGACATGATGTGTACTTTTTCATTTTCGCTTCATATGGTGTGGTCGATGAATATACTTTCGTTGATTTACTGTCGTCCGTCTATGAAATCATGATCTTTTGTACATCCCGCGCTCCACGCATCTGTTTTCCATCATTTTTGCGTGGAGCCGCTTTGTCTGCTTCCATTTTTCTTTTATATCCTTCTCCCTCGCCGGTTGCAAAAGCCGCCATCGGTCCCACATTTCCTTGCTCGATTCGGTTCGGCAGAAAGGCAATATTGGCTTTTTGAAAGGCTTGTCGACATCTTGCACTTTCGGCCAGCTGAGCCAGGGCTTGAGCAGGAGCTCTCTTTCCTCGGGGGTGAGTTCTCGTTTTGTCGCTCTCGTCGAACCGTCGGCAGAGGTGTGCTTGGTTCCGTCAGTGGATGATGAAGCAGCATCAAAGGTAGTTTTTCCTGCCGCTAGAGTTCCAGGTTGCTTTGCTGCGGCGCCCAACGAGGCCAGCCAGTCGTTCACATCGGGAACGAATGCAGGTTGTTGCTCTACTTCCTCGAAAATATTTTCATCATCTTCAACTCCAGGTGCGGGCGCATCTGCGTCTGCGTCTGCTTCCGCTTCGTCCTTGGCGGCCGCATTAGAATCATCCTCCTCTGCTGCTGCTGCTGCTGCTGCTGTTGAGACGGCATCTTTTGTTCCATGAGCCTCAGCATTATTTTTCCTTTTTTCTTCTTCTACTGTCGCTGGCAACGCCGCAGTAGATTCGTTCTTGCGGTAGGAGAACGCGAATTTGGGGTTCACTTTCCACCGGTTCAACTTCGGCTTGACATCTTGTTCACTTGGGCCTGCATATCCCACAGAAAAAGACCGACAGGTCATATTTGTAATGCAAAAATAAATACACAGGAAAATCTGTCATGGGCGAGGCCATAACATCCTGTTTAGGGCACGCAATACATATTTTTTTGTCTATTTATTTTTGCATTACAAATATGACCTGTCGGTCTTTTTCTGGGGGATACTGCAGGTCCAGCTGAAGTTTTACTAGCTGATGCGGAAATTTTTTTCTTCTCCTTCGCGAAGCCTGGTTCTATTGTACTCGCAGAATTTATTTTATCGTCTACTGTCGCTTTATTTCCCGGTCGTGTTGTACCTGCTTCGGCTTTTTCCAGTGATGGTGCTTCGACAGCATGATCCACAACTCCGAGGACAGTAGATTCTTCTACTTCAGTTTTTCGCTTCTTCTTTTTTTTCTTCTTCTCGAAACCGGGTTCCGGATTATCCGCTCCGATAGCAGGTTCTTTTATTGGAACAGCAGCAGCAGCCACGAACTGTTCTGCTGCAGCGCTGTCAACGTCAAGTTTATTTTCATCCCGCTTTCGCTTCTTCTTGCCAAGCGCCGCTGGGTCGAACCGCGGCACGACGACCATTCTGTTTTCTTTTCACGTGAAAGAAACCGCTCACTAGAACGAGAGACCAATCTGACTTCACGCGCCAGAGGACCTACACACGACCATACGTTTTATCTTTACCTGCGGCAAAGTCTAGCTTCGTACACCTGAACAAGAGATGGAAGAATTGATCATTTGATGGCAAGACAATGACAATCTCCACGATTTCTCTTTGATTTGAGGAGCACACCTTGGTGGATTCGTTCTGAACAAACTTTGTGGATCTGCTTCTGCCGTGATCTTGTACCCTTAACATTAACGGATCCGCCTTTCATCTGTGCTTCTGATCATGATCTCAAATTATCCTATGAAACTGCTTTGTCTGGATCTGCATTTAGTTCCAATCGGATCTTTGACTTATGAATGTAGTATCGGGAAGATCTTCTAGGGATTGTCAAGAGTTTCGCAGACACTTGCACGATAGCCGATCAAAACGCGCGAGCAGCAAGAGGGAGCCACGCGCGGCCTCGGCACCGAAAGACAAACTCGACTTCATCTTGCTCACTCACAACCATCTAAGGCAACGATAAATCTTCTGCTATGACCTCGCGGCATCGGAGCTGCTCATCGCGACTTGGATGGACTCTTCGTTCACTGCAGGGTGCGAGGAGTCTTGTATGTGAAATGTACCTACACGACGAGGCGCCACCGTCTCAACAACAACCTCCTGTTCTTCTCTGGCTCTACCGCGGCGCGTAGATGAGAAGCATGGTTACCAAAAACATCCACAGCCCCCCAATCACCAGCGACTTCGTGAACAAAGGAAACTCGCCACACAACACGTAATCGGTCCAGCCAAGCTTGTGAAACAGCGCGTCCTCGCTGTTATGCATTACAAATATGCCTGGGTCTGGAAAGTTCGGACTTGTGATGCTAGCTTTGGATTCTAAAAACATTTGCATCGCATGACCAGCAAGAGGAGTCCAGTTTGTGCTACGCGGGGATGGCATTTGTCACGCGGAATAGGCATTAGGAAGCCCTGTAAAAATTTCTGATGCAGCTAGGGCATGCATTACAGACATCCTTGGTCATGCCGAATATGCATGACAAGCGTGGCGATCTTCCAGACCCAGACATGTTTGCAGTTGATAGCTGTCCCGCCGGGACAAGATGGAGGTCACCGTCGACTGCTGGTTTACCGTTGTGGGCGGCGGCACATTGATCGACAACGATGACGCATTCGCAGGACTCCCAGATTGCTGACTCAGCCGCACTCCTGGGTTCGGAGAACTCGCTTGGCCAATGACCACGTCCGGGGCCGCGGCAACGGACAGGATTCGGAAGTTCTGCGCGCGCAGAGCAATGTTCGAATCGTCCTCGACGTGGACTTATCCTGTGCAAAAGTATCGCACTCGTATAACTGCAAGTCTTGCATTACAAATATTTTTCTTAAGGTAAATCAGCATGACAAATTTGATTTCCCATGCTGAGAAAATTTGTAATGCATTTATACGAGTACGATACTTTTGCAGTTCATAGGACTTTGTACCGGTTATTGTCCTGGTCGTATTCCACCACAATCGCCTTCAACCCGCTCATATGCATTGCAAATATATCTGGGTCTGGAAAGTCATGCTCTGCTAGCATGACTGTCATGCAAGGTACCCAAAAGCGCCGCTTTTGTGGGAGGCAAAAACCCAGTTTCTCATGCAGAATAGGCAACACCTAGCGAATCAAAAACCTGTCATGCTAAGCCGTCATTTCTGGCGTTCTCTTGAGTTGCCATGCGGCATCACAAGTTTCCAGACCCAGACATTTTTGCATTTGATAGTTCAAGTGCGCCGCGTTTTGCAACCCCTCGATCTGCACCTCGGTCCCGGGCGAGATGACGCCGACCACGTCACTGCCGAGTGTGCCGACGGTGGCGGCCATGGGTTCCACGCTGGATGAGTACTGAATCTTTGAAGAAGTTGTAGAAGGCTCGAGAATCTACCCTACTGTTGTCCTCTCGGTCAGAACTGCTGGATGTACCGCTCCAAAAGTCAGTTCTTGTTGCCCCTCTCTTGTGTTCTCTCAAGGGTATTGATTGTGATTGATCTATTGTTCTATCTTGGAACAATCGTTCTTAGGCAAAGTACACTACGGATCTTTTTTGAGCAAACCACCAACAAGAACCACTTACGAAGCACGCAGAAGACGAAACGCAACAGAACCTGAGCAGTCGTGACGCCGCGAACACTGATGCGCGTTTGGAAAAATCATGTGCAGCGATTCAATCATTGTTGGGAAGATGAAGCACGTTGCTCGTGTGAAAAGTTTTCCTTGCAGCAGAAGCTCGGCGATTTTCGGATTTGGAATGGGAATTTTCATCTTTCCTGCGGTGGTTGTGGTTCTCGTTCTTCGAAACAAATAGTAAATCTTTCAAATCAATGTTCATGTTTTCGCTACCAAATTCCCTAAATGCTGGGACCATGACCGCCCCCTTTCGCCTCCACTGTCCTCTATCAAAACGAAAAGATGCCGGTCGCGTAACCGACCCCATGCATCACCACCGCCGCGACTAGCTGCACGAGAGCACGCTGCACCCGACGAGCAGGTAGCTTGCATCCACGAAAATAAAAGGCCTCCTCGCCCTTCACACAAAGGCACTGCCGGGTTCTTCCGCCGAGTCGTCCTCTGCCATGGCGATAAAATTTGGATCGTCCCGACACGCCTGTAATTCTGCTTGCAGTTTTGCCTTCTCCGCGATTTCCCAGTTCCGTATTAGAGCGTCGTCCGGTAGAGCCTGCCCGGCTTGGAACCGCAGATTCGTAAGTCGGTCTTCCAGTTCCATGGTTTCAGGATCTGAGATTTTGGTTTCTGGCATAACAAAGCAAATTTTGATCTGCTCGCATCAGATTCCTGATCAGTAGTCACTGCGATCTTCTTGCATGAGACAGCACAAATACAAATTGTTGCGTGGTTATGACTCGAGACCGCACCTACTAGACCGACGGCGTCTAACCGGCAGGAAGACGAGGAAAGAAATTCCTCGTCTTCAAGGTGGGTGACTTAAGGGCCGCGCAGATTGAGTGCCGACAAAATCGGAATCCAGATTGGTCTCACAAAACGCAAAACCAAAACGGATTTACTAAAACACTCTGTTTCTTCTTCCACACAGTTGGTCCCGGAGAGACGAGTAGTTTCGAAAACGCATTGTGACAAGTCTACTCGCAAGGGGCAATTCTTCGGGAAGAACCGCCACCGAGCTTCGTCAAGCACGCTGCAGAGATCGAGCGTCGAAACCGGAATTTTGGAGTGCGGGTACTTAGTCTGACCCTCTGCATTTTTGTCTCAGAAGATCCATTGTCATAGCGTCACGCTTGCGAATTTGATCTCGCTATTTCTGCCATATGGAAAACTAGTAGGCGATATTCAAGGAACATTGTAGCGTGGTTATGACTCGAAACCACATCCATTAGGCCGACGGCGTCTAACCGGCGGAAGAGCAAGGATTTTGTCAAGACAAAAATCCCCGACTGCTCTTGGGACGGGTGACTTAAGGACCGCGCAGATTTACACCCAAGTAGCGACTGAAGGCAGAAAAAAGCAGCTCGAAAAACTCGAACCACCGAAGGTTATCTGCCAATGATCCGGGCGACAAAATCGAAAAACTCGAAGCTGTCTAGGAGGATCGCACTACGGACGAGCGTAAGGTTTCTTTTGGGCACCGTAGAGTATTGTAGAGCGATGTCCAGCGCAGCGTATGGAATTTTTGGAAAGGCTGAGGGTTTACCCAAACAGCCAAACCACGCTGATGGACTCTTGCTGGCACCAGAAAGGTTAGCGTACTCTACTTGTGGTGCCGGAGTTTTGAAAGAATCCTATTAGATCTTCATCTGCTGGACTGCATCAAACATGTAGTCGTAGCACTAGGAACTTCCAACGGGGCGATCGAGTCATACAAGCAACTAGAAGAGAAGTACTTACACACGACAAACAACACGAACAAAAGACCCACCTGGTTCCGCGAGCCTGCCGAGGTACCGGAAGAATTGTCTCGCTCGTAGCTTCTCCCATACCGCTTGTGGCGGCACGATCGGTGGACACGCTCCAGTTTGGGCTAGCAGTGGTGATGTCGTAGCAGGGGCTGTTTTTGGATGTTTTTGCGGATTATGTCACTACACAACAATTTGACCTGAGCAACCAAACACAGACCCACACGAAGAAAAGAAACGACTTATCATGTGATCCTTGAATCATTGACGTGTCACTGTAGCGTACTGGACACTCCCCACTGCTTCACAGAAAATACCAGAAGCAGCGATAGAGAGCATCGCACAAAGTAGCTGCTAGTTTCTTTTGGGAGACTTGATGACTCGAATGGCGACTGAAAATTCACACCACGCGAGAGATACTGACTCCGGCGGATAAATTTCATTTAGCAAGCTGAAATTAGACCATGATCTTCTTCTGATGCCAAGACAACCAGAACCAACTACACGCAAACATGGCAAGTACCACAGTACCTGTACTATCGTTTCCAATCCCCCCTCCCCCGTCTCGTTCCAAGGCCCCGAAAAATTCCTCGCTTTCCGCAGCTAAATCCTCGAGCTCTTGGTGCATATTCACCACCTCGAACTCGGGCTCCATGAGATCCGCGAGTTCCGGAATGTCCCGCGTGATGCGCCCGCAGGACTTTACCAAATTTGTCAGCCCGCGTATCTTCTCGTCCATGGCCTCGGGGGAGCGGCAGTTCTCGTTTTCCGCCTTTACGGACGCTATCTTGTCGTCGATGCGCGATAAGTCGGATGTGAGGAGATCCGCCATCTGATGTGAAGATGGAGGAACGAAGATTGTTTTATTGTTCTTGGGGCGGTAGCCGGTAGGAAGCGCTTCTCAACGGCTTGGAGCTCGACCCCGGCGGGAGAAAGTAACGCAGCAACGAACGGTCAAGTAGTTCTATCTTGCTGGAAAAGCATATAGCAAGACAGACGGTTGACAGTAGCCCTCTGCATGGTATCGCAGGGTATGGAAAGACAGCCGGGAGGTGGCGAAAGAGTAGATATTTGTCTACAACTTATGGATCTGAGCGCCACCAATCCGAAGCGCAAAGGTCTCGGAGTTGCGGTGGTTTTTGTGGCTCCTCAGCGAAAGTGAGGAAGACACGAAAAACGTCTTCTCACTGCTCATATACGGGAGCGAAATGTTTTTACGAAGCGCGGGAAGGAGTGGAAGGGAATCAGGCAAGAGAAGAGGCAAGGCAACAATGCCAGCAGCGCACGACAAAGTTGGAATATTAGAGCGTAAAATTGTCTACAACTTATGGATCTGAGCGCCACCAATCCGAAGCGCAAAGGTCTCGGAGTTGCGGTGGCTGCTGTAGCTCCTCAGCGAAAGTGAGGAAAACACGAAAAACGTTTTCTCACTGCTCATATACGGGAGCGCAATCTATTGCCATGCGCGAGAGTTCCGATTGGAAAAGAGGGAGACAAAAGGGAAGAAAAAAGGCGTCAAAGGTGAGACCAAGACTCACGCAAGCGCCGCCGGACAAGATGCTATTGCCGTGCGGAAACCAGTACAAACAAGAATTTGTCTACGACTTATGGATCTGAGCGCCACCAATTCGAAGCGCAAAGGTCTCGGAGTCGCGGTGGCTTTTGTGGCTCGCACGCGAAAATCACCGGACAGGATGCGCACGCCGACAACTTCTCATTTGGAGCGAATTTCTACCGTGGCATGCCATCCCAAAGCGTAGTATCGAAGATCTGTCCTTCCACAAGAGAACGATCAGCGCACAAGAAAAAGCACTAACCGTTGAGTATTGAAAGCTTTTTCTTTGGCGCCCGTTTGGGCGACACGTCCCTACAGGAAAATTCTTTTCGGCTTGGAGCTGGAGAAACGACAAGGGACGTCGCTTTGCACAGGACGCGGACACTTCTGCGTGTCCTGATTGAGATCGCTTCTTTTTCAGCACAGGATCTGTCCTTCCACAAGAGAACGGTCACCGCACAAGAAAAAGCACTGACCGTTGAGTATTGAAAGCTGTTCCTTTGGCGCCCGTTTAGGCGACACTTCCCTACAGGAAAATTCTTTTCGACTTGGAGCTGGAAAAACGGCAAGGGACGTCGCTTTGCACAGGACGCGGACATTTTTGCGTGTCCTGATTAAGATCAGTTCTCTTTTTCAGCACAGGATCTGTCCTTCCACAAGAGAACGGTCACCACACAAGGGAAAGTAATGACCGTTGAGTATTGAAAGTTTTTACTGTAGCGCCAGTTTAGAACGGCTCCACTACACGACGGCTGCCACAAGCAACCGCCGCAGCAAGGGAAGCCGCTTTGCACGAGACGCGAATTCGCGATGCCAGCAAATGCCAAAAATCATGCTGAAGAGCGTTGCGAAAGAATAGTTTGTTTGTTTGTCCACTAGAGAACGAGTCCTCCACCAGTGTGTAAGGAAAACCCGCTGAGTAACGGACTGAATCAATTTCGCGCCACTTAGATGAACCGCACCTACACATGAAAGGTCCGACTCTTGCAACGAAGCGCGTGAAAAATTTTGTCATGTGAGATAAACTGCGTATGTTCATGCTGCACTGCAACCTAGTCAGGTGAAACACAGACCAGTTAGGTAGCTTTCATTCTAACGAAATCAAGCCCAACGAAAAAAGTGTCATCAGTTAGGTTGCAAGTGCGCTTCTCTAGAAATTTTCATGCGAATTTATCACGCGAACGGTAGTGATGTATTCCTTGCAGCGAAGCCTCCGAAAAATCCAATCAGGTGAAACACAGACCTTGTGGTAGCCCTCATTCTGACGAGATCAGGCCATCAACAAAAAATGTCATCATGTGGATTTTTCGGAGGCTCGGACAATATGGACCAATGTGAAGAACTAACTTCGATTTAAAGGCATTGACTACATCAATGACATGCATTATCACATTCGTGTAGCCGTTAAGTAAGTACCTCTCTGTACGCGTCCCGCTCCTCTCTGATGTGCGTCTTCCAATCTAACGGCGTCGGTTTACGCTCCGCCTCCCATCGCAGCGCAGCATGCAGAACTTTTTCGTCCGACGTCATGTTTTCTTCGCTATACCACACACGTTCTAAATGAGTCTGTTTCTTTCAGTACCTACCTAGATCTACTATTCAGAAGACGATTTTGTAAAAAATCAACTGTCGTTTGAAGACGAAATGACGACACGGCACTCCTGTATCGTCGCTCCACTCTGCCGCAGCAACGAAGAAAAGCGCCAGACTTTTTGTAGCAGACCCTCCTCTCATGCTCTCATTTCGATGACTCTTCAAAACCTAACCGAGAGCTACGCACAGAAAAGGTTGCGATTTTTTTTGAATCCTGTCCATCGCCGATACAACAGACGACTCGCCACGCGCAGAAGCAACTAACTACAAGCAGGCTCAGCTGCTCGCCCCGCGTGGTCTTCCGTTTTTTTTTCCTCATGCCTTCCCGTAGTAGTAGTTTAAGTTCAGTCACATCTTCTTCCCTGGGACGTCGTCGTCGTGTCATTTTGAATCAGCACGATTTTTTGTCATGGTAACACAGAATTGGTGCACCAACAACAGTTTAATCGAACAAATCGAACTCCATCTCCTCCTCTTCCTCTTCCGGAGGAGCCTCCTCCTTCTTCTCCTCGGCACCGCCCGCGGCCGCACCACCGGCGGATCCGCCGGCAGCAGCACCGCCACCGCCGCCTCCACCGCAAGCCTCCAGGTTGCCCAGACCTGTGATTGTGAATTTAAGAATTCGATATTTTCGTTTAGAGTCTTTAAACGACAGCAAGCATGAAGTAATATGTGAATGCAAATATGAAACAACAAGTCATGGCATGGAACACACAGAAACAGCGGCACTTCGTCTAGACGAGAAAAAACGTTTATACCTGCGCTCAACACTTCGGAGACCGACTTGCCGGACATCTTCTCGACGACCAGGTTGATGTATTCCATTTCGTACTCGACGCCGCCAGCCTCAAAGATGGACTTGATCATGTCAGCCGTGACCTCGTCGCCCTTCATGGCCGCCAGCAAGTACCCGGAGGTGTACTTGAGGCCAGCCTTGTTGCCACCTCCCATGGTGTGGTTTGTGGGTGAAACTTTATAGGACAGCAGAACCTATTCTACTACCGTGAGAGGAAACACGGTCCCTGTGTCGTGAATCATGTGATAAAAAAATTTTTTAGTGGGATGCGAAGATGAAAAAGAGCCCAGCAGAATTTTTATGTGGCCGTAGAACTTCTTTTACTTCATCTTTAGAGAACAATGTAGGACGTCGTCGACGTGTGGGAAAAATTTGGTATAATTACGAACTCTCCGTACAAGCAGCAGAGATCTTTAGATCGCCAATTTAGATCCTCGCTTGCATCAGGACCTAGAGTTGTTCTTTTATTTAGAACGCGATAACGCGGATCTTTAGAAATGTGAAAACGCACTCTTCCTCAAGATCTTCTCGAGGACCAGACCACTAGACCATGATCCTCGTGTCGATTGGTTTAGATCTACTTACGAGGACATCACTGGAGCCGCACACTGTTGACACGCGATCACAATTTCACAGATCACAGGTAGAAGCAGCGGATCTTGGCAGAAGCTTGCTTGCTCAGCCTTAGACTGAGCAGACCTCTGTGACGCAACAATACTACGTACGTCAATTGCAGCTGCAGCCAGCAATAAGTACCAAGCACGATTCGTAGTGCGTCATAGTGCAGGCAGTGCCAGTGGCGGTAGCATCACATCATTTAGAATCTTCAGAGCGACGTAATTTAGATTTCTATACTATCATATTTTCACGGTTCATTTGCAAAATGCTATGCACTACTTCCCTTGTTTCTCAACCCCTTCCGCGCTTGTTTGGCCTTAAGCTCTCCAGCTCCCCCGACTCCAGTGCGCCCGACCGATCGACGTCGAACATGTCAAACACCAGCTGTGCCTCTTCCTCTGACACCGGTATATCCGGCCTGGCCTGCTGAAAGATTTCTCGGAAATCCGCGACGGATAATTGCTGATTCGACGTAACAGGCGGTGCCCCCGATAGCTTTGACTGCATAGAACTTTGCGCCGCCATACCGGCATCTAATCTTGGTAGAATGCCGTGTAGAAAAGCCCGGTCCAAGGCGTCCAAGTCCTCCAAGAGTCTGCCGTAGGATTTCAACTGCCGTATCCGGTCCTGGTTGTTGCGCCCCTGGTGGGACCGCTTCAAATACCGAAAACAGTAGAGCGCTGCAAGTAACCCAATTCCTGAGCTCGAGACAGTGACAATTTCGAAAATGTACGGGACCAGGTGGAAATCGATCCCGTTGTCCAAATTCATCCCGAAAAACCCGGCGATCGTTGTTGGGACCATGCAAGCCAACCCTGCGATGGACAAGTAGAGATTTAACCGCAAAATTTGATTTCGGGAACTGCTCATGGACACCGTGACCAGTTCCTGCTTCGCGTCCAGCCGCTTTTGCATGTACAAGACCTCGGACAACACTCCGTTCAGCTGCCGGGCGAACTCCTCCAGCATAATTTCAATCGTCGTGTGGTACCGCGCGTCAATCATCGCGAGATCGTCTTCTACGGTAGAAACCTTTCTTGCAACGGCCAACGCCATGTTCCTCTGGATCGTGTTTAAATTGTCAGGGTCGACGGCGGGGGTTGCGGCCGAAGACAGAGGCGGACCTGATGTCGCTGATTTAGAAGATGAACCCGCCTTATAATTCGCCGTTGTCTTCTTGCTCCCGCCCACGCCCTTGCTCGCCAGCACTTCGTCGCCTAGGACATTCGATTTGCTCTTCGTCCGCGTGACGGTCGTCGTCGGAGCAGCATTTATTTCCGCACCCGTCGCCGCGTCGTCCGCGAACCGGCCTTCCCCCTCCTTCCACCCATACTGGGCGCTTTTCATGCGCTGCACGTGCAGCTGCCGTCGTTCCGCCCCGAGTAAGGACTTCTCGGTGAGCAACATCGAAAGCATGGCCTCGTCGCTCGAGACGGTCGTCTCCAGCGCCCCAATCGCGTCCTGCAGTTGCATCGTGAAGGAACCGAGGGAATCGCGGAGGGGAAGGAGATTCGACACTCGGAACAGCAAGTCGTCCCCGTCCTCGCTGTGGACGATCCCGGCCAGCGACTTGCTGATCTGGGACAGAATCGGTCGGTAGAACAGCAAACGCCTCTCCCAGGCGTTGCACACGTGATCCAGCAGGTGCTGCACCACGACGACTTCGAAATCTCTCTCCACCCGCTCGGCCCGAAACGTCGAACTTCGCCCGCCCTCCGCGGATTGATGATTGCCATTTCCGTTTGCACCACCGAATAAAGCGCCTCCTCCAGAAGGGTCCGATGAGCCACCGCTACCAGAAAAAACCGCCAGCTCGTTTTGCGGCGCGCGGTATCGATACCTGGATTCTACAGAAGCTTTCAGATCCAGCGCGAGCTGCCGCATCTCCGGCTGCTCGGCGCCGAAGAGCAACGCTTCGGACCGCCAAATCACCGCTCGGTACTGTCCGAACACCATCACCAAACAGTGCTGCCGAGGTAGAAGCTTTGGCTGCAAGCGGCGTTGCTGCGCGAAGCGGTGCGCCTTCTGCTCCAACGATTGCGTGGTTTCCGGAATGCTGGTTGTTGTGTCATCGTCTTCATCCGGCGGTGTCGGAGGATTGTCCTTGCCGTGTCCAGCTGTACTACTCCCTTCGTCTGCTTCTGATGCGGAATTATTATCCTCGAACGGCAGTCCCCGTCCGAGTTGCAGCACCGGTTTCGCGGTTTCCGCTTCCCCCGCTTCGAAGCCGCGGTCGATGGCCAAATCGGGTCCCATCTCCCGCGCGGAAAACTCCTTCTCCCACACCTTCGCCGGCGTTAGGGAGAGCGACAGCAAATCCCGGGTGGACAAAACGTTCCCGCCCCGCGGCTGGTCCTGCGCCCGCACGTAGTCTGCATGGGCGATGATGTCTTTGACGGACACGAGATGCCGAGTGATGGTCACGTCCGTCGTGGGCTCCTTGTCCGTGGCAAGGCCGTTGGCGGCGAATTTCTCCGTTGCCTTGGCGAAGAGACTTTCCTCGGACGGAAGTGCGATTCGGAAGACGCTATAGGCCGCAGACGT